TACTGAAAATACCATGGACAGATCGAACGTCTAACGAATAAGTCCTTCAAAGAATAAAAAAGGAAAGAGAGCTGCTTACATCAATAAAAAGAAGAAAAGCCAGTTACTTTGGACATGTAATGCGAAACCAAAAATATCGGCTCCTACAACTAATAATAACTGTAAAAATTGAAGGCAGGCGTTCAATAGGTAGAAAACAGATGTCCTGGCTAAGAAACATAAGGGAATGTACAGGCCTAAAAACAATAGAGGAACCGCACCGCAGCAGACAGAGAAGGATACGCCCATGTGATCGCCAACATCCAGTAATGGATAGGCATTGCTAAGAAGTACAAAATATGAATGTTGAAGGAGTATTAACCAACATCAAAGTCATGGAAATACTGCATATACAGGGTGTTGTTGAAAGGATATCATATAATTTAATCTCATGGTCAAGAGACAAATGGCATTAAATCAAAATAGTTCTAGTGTTGATGATCCCAAATAAAACCTAAACCTAAAATTTAATTAAACCGTTAATTAATTGCATATTGTAACCAGAGATAGTATAATTTTATTTGTTACCCAGATTTAAAATAACCGAATTTTTTTTTTGAGAAGGTTCATTTCACATACGGATGAGCAAGATTTGCCCTTGCGGCATTTAACGACCAACATGGCCGCTAACAGGTCGTCAATAAGTTTAGATGCAGCATTTTTAGGACAGTATTTTCTCAAAATATGTTTACATTTTATTTGAAAAAGACTTAAGTGTCTACAAATCGCTGTTTAACAGGTTAATCTGTGAAATGAAGAGGAAACCGCGGAAAGAAAATCATTACCATCTCAACGAAAACATTTATGCCGCCTGCGGCGTCTCACTTTTTATCGTAGCAGCAGTCAATTATCAAATAGCTACATGGATCATTCCCGTGTATACGAAAAAGTCATAGCCGCCTGATCGTCCAGATCAAATATGCTGTTAATTTTTAAACAAAAAATAAAAAAACTACAAAAAAAGCAAAAAAACTAAACCAAAGGATTGAAGTACGGATTCACATTTTGCCTAACATGACAGATTGGATAAAATTACAAGGTGTTTCTTAACAAATCTGATTTTATTTAGAATTTAGAACAATAGAGTTGTATATTCATCATCTTCAAATTCTAAGCCAAATTAAAAATTGCCAGCATTGTATGAACCCCATCATTTATCTCAGGGTTGGCTTGAAACTTAGATTTATGCAAAATTATAGCTGTCATCACACTGCTAATTGAACAATATGTTATTATTAATAACAACAATTATTTATACATTCCTATGACCTTTTAAATTGAAAAAAACTTTTCCTACAATATCTATGTAATCTCTATTAATATTAGTAGAACAATTACAAAGTACTCTCTATCTCATAAAAGCATAAAATCATTTTTTTATAAGCTATGTTGTTTGTTCTGATCAGTAGATCGAAATATTTGCGTTATAAGAGAGATTCAACCCCGAAGCAAGTAATGGATATATTCCCCTATTGATATTTTTATACTTCATAAACTTTTAGTTTTAAGAACAAGACACGGTAAAAAAAATACGATTGTAAATACAAAGTATGTCTAGACCCGAAAATCTCCGGAAATATATATTTTTTATTTGAGATATTGATGATTGATTTAAAAATTTTGGGCAGTAACAAATTGTAATAGGAAATCCGTTACAAAACGAAAAATAGGAATAGGTTTTTCAGAAAACGGAATAACTACTAGTTCACTACCATAACAATCAATGAGCAAAACTACACATTAAAGATTTTCTTAGTTCGTCAGTTATTATCAGTTTGTATTTAAAGAAGTCATTTATAATGATATGAAAAATATAATATTAAAACTAAAGAAACACAAAATATTAATTAATTAATCAAATTAATCCCATACATTAAAAACTGCAATACAAATGTTTTCGACCGCGTAGGTAAAATCGGCCTAAACCAGAGCCAAACCAAATAGGAGAGTCGCTCCATTTAGCCAAGCGCAACGTCGAAAATAGTATCGAATTTTAATAGAGTATGTGCTTCTGTTTTCGTGTATTTCTGACAATTTACATTCACTGTGAACTATGGAGATGTAAAGCGATTTTTTAAATATTCATACGAAGAAAACTTAATTAAATTAAAAGCAAAAGGTAGGCCAGTACCAGATATTACTATTGAAAAAGCTGGTGTAAGGAGAGGAAAAAGTTATACGCGGAAATTTAGTAAAGACACTTGCTCAAAAAATGAATGGATTTGTGGATATTACAAAAAGAAATGCTCTATATTTTTTTTCCTGCTTACTTTTTGGTGACAATAAAGGTTGGACGGAAAAAGCTGTCCCGAGCAGGCATTTAAGTTTTAAAATAAAAAGACATGAAAATTTTGCATTATCAGGGTCAACCGCCTCAATTACATTCTGGTTATATAATGAAATGAGCTTTTGAATGGGCTCTGACGGGACATGGTGAAAGCGAAACTTCCTAAATGAGCACCTAAAAAATTATGCGATATTTAAGGATATTTTGGTTAAAGTAAGTTTCTTTGAAAGAATTGCAGAACACCTCAAAAATTTTCCCGCGAGCCGCCGCTGCTTGTAACTTCAACACGTCAAGTTAAAGACACCCTGATTGAACAGAACTAAAGTTAGACAAACTTAAATGGAAACACAAAACACACCCTAATCTAAAGGAGCACCTTGTATGTCGCATAGATGATTGCCACTGGTTGCTGGAAAAATGTATAGAGGTGCACAATTTCCGATTATTCGAAAAAAGAAAATAAAACCTAGTTTTTTGTTTTATAGTCGCACCGTCCAAAGTCAATTTGTCCGTGTGTGTCCATGTTTAATATAAAAATTGAGCCTAACACACCAACATCCATGCTTCTCTACCTCCGTTAGAAAGGGGACTCTTTAAAAGTGTCCAATTTGGCCCACCCTATATTGGTATCGGAATTGGACCTTCAAGCGTTTGTACTTTGTTCTGTCCCCAGGATTTAAAAAAGATGTTGATTTTCGAAACTTAAAAACTTGTATGACTGAAGCCGGATACAGCTGGCAAGTGGTCTAAATAAAATAAATTAAAAACAAAAATACATTTATTTTTCTACAACCTACTCCAAAATACCCCATTATGCACTGATCAAGCGTTGTGCAGTGTCACTTTAAGATGTCAGCTTCGTGACGGCTCAGGTACTTTAGTCACAGATTTGGTAGATCTTAGTCACAGATGGTAGTTTTACATTTGTCGGTTCTGACAGTCACACCGCACGTCACTCACTGAATATATGAATATTTATATATCTATGTATGATAGTTTTTTGTGTCAAAATAAAATTTCAGTCAGGAGTTTGTTTTGGCACGAGAGGAGTGATTGTTTAAGAATAAAGGCCGACCGCTCCCAAACCCGTGGCCTCCGGATATGTCCAAAGTGGCTCCTGACAGTAGTTAATGAAGATGACGTCTTAAAGTGTCACTATTCGCTTGCAATATACTTTTTTTCTTCCGCCGGGAAAAAAATGTCTTGATAATTCATTTAGTTGTTTAGACTTGTCAGTTTAAAATTTCATTATTTTGTTGTCGTCATATATCAGCAATTGGTCTCCCGCTGCAAACTTCATGTTTAATGCAAAAAATACATACTTTTTGCACTAATTACACAAATAGTTATTTTATGTAAAAAGTATAGTGTTTCAAAAACAAATAAGCCATCGCATGGAGGGAAATTTGTTTATAAAAAAAGTTCCCGAATATTAAACATATAATCCTAGATAAAAATATTTTTCAAAAAACAGCATTTGTAACAGATTGCGAAAATCCTTGTCTCATAGGCTACATGCCTGTGATAAAACTGATCTGACTATTTCCATTATTTTATTTAGTGTTAACTTTTTAGAACATATTTTATTGTATATCAAATGGCCCATTGTCAATTTTCACAATTTTTCGTTAGAAAACGGGGCAAAGTACGAGGACAACTCAAGAGTCAAAAAAACTTATTCAATGTAAAAAACAATAATCGCAAGTCCCGCGACGGCGCTGGACTTCCGATTTTCTATTTAGTTAGAAGAAAATTGACCTAAATTTCAACAAAACGGAAATGTTTAAGATATTGTATTGTAAAAAAAGCTGATTTTTTGAAACTATGCATTTCCCGACCTTTGTTGGCACATGTTCCTTGAAACTCGTTATTTAAGAGGTTATTGACTGGATTGATAGTGATTGGTTGAGAAGAAAATTTAAGTCATGAAAATACTACTGATCAAAATTAAACATAAATATACTGTAAGGAATCTAAAATTATTTGGCCACGCACCACCACAAAGAATAGTCTTAAAGCAAGAAGTTACGACAACGCAAAACATTAAAAACTCACTTCTGAAAAACAACAACAGAATATAAATAATAATATAAATTGTTCTACTGCACTTTTAAATAACTTGCTCTTAAAAAAGTGAAACAAAACTAATATATATACCAAGAGAACAACTAACAAATGAAGCCAAGTCTTATGAGCGCTTGTCAATCAAATTAGTATTATTATCATGATTTAAAAATACAAACTATTAATCTTAATAAATTTTGAAAACTAGTGTTGAAAAATTTAAGGGGTATTTTTACTAGTTTAGGGATTTAATAATACCATTGGATATGGAATATATTTTGTGCTTAATAATTTTGGACAATTAAAAGATTTTCAAATAGATGACAGGATCACCCTACATATTTTCAAGTGTAATGAGAAAAACTCCTCTTACATACGTAGGAATCTATGTCAACTTACTACCACTATTTCTTAGATCACATTCCTAGTATTTCATTTTAAAAAGCAATTTATGAGATTACGAACTGACCTCCATTAGTGCCCTAACGTCTTAAAGGCGGAGCTAAATTTGTGCTATAGTATATGTGGCAGTTTTTCTTTAATCCAAATTCCACCCAATGCGACAATTTAAGTAACACAAGGATTTTCAAGAGAAATGCAGTACACTCACCATTATTTACAACTTCCTGAGGAGATTGCACCGAAGTAGTGTCTCCCTCATTAACTTTTTCAGGCTGCCCCTTTTTCGAATACTTCTTGTCACATTCCGCAGGATCATCCTTAAATGGTTGGGTAACTGCGGTTACGCTATTTAGAGATGCACACGAAGCATTATGAATGTCACCTACATTTTCTTCTTTGACTAAAAAATGAAACAATGCATCCACAAATAAAAAATCAAATTGGTAATGAGCCCTCACCTAGGTTATTTATTGGCTCACAAGTATTAGATTCTTTATGTTGTGGCTCTTTTGGAATGTCTGTCTTATAATCCCGTTTTCTGCTTTTTACAGGACTCTCTTTGTCCTTTTTATGTAGTACAACTTCCGCTGAAAGACTATTAGCTGATACTATGGGTGTTATTTCTTTGGCAGTTTTATTCGAATTGCTAACAAATTCTTTAGCATTTATCTGAAACAGAATAACACAACGCATAAGGCAAATTTTTACATGAATTTCCATGAATGTACGGGGAAAACAGTAACTATCCAACATGTACAAACTACCAATTGCGAACTAAAACAATACACCAAATCGGCGAAAACGAGTAGCACCGCTTTCTACATCTGAAGTGTACTGAAAAAATATTGTCCAACCAAAAATATATACAAACATTGTTCAAGAAATTCTTTGTTTTCATTCATTTACTATACAGAGTGTTTCAAAAAACAAAAAAGTTCGTGTTAAATATTTTTAAAACACGAAAATCTTTATGTGGTAGGCAGCATGCTTTACTGATTTTTTTTTTCAAATAACATACAAGGGGCACAAAACATAAAAATGTATTTTGTACATTTTTATGATTTTTATTTTTTCACTCAAAAATGAGACAAGTCAAACAGTCAAAAAAAGTTGTTGGCTTATTTTTTAAGATATCTTCAGGTACATGATTCATAATTTTAATAATACAGTTAACACAAAATTAGCCTTTTTTATTATAAATGATGCTGCCAAATTTCAGCAACATAGGGAAAAACATCTAATAGATTCTAAAAAAACAGTTTTTTTTATATTTAATAACCTAGATTTGGGAAAGTAAGCATTTCGGAACCTACATGAACTTTTTTTTCATTTCTTTATATGATGGATCTACAGCGGCGCATTAGCGCATAGTTATTTGAAACACTCTGTATACTAACCAGAAGAACAATGTTATAATATATAACATATGTTTTATATACCATTGGTTTTATATTACGTTCTTTGATTCTTTTTCTGGTATTGTTCATAAACCCAAATACCACAAAGTATGATCCCCAAAGCGTCCTTAATGCATATAAATACCACAAATCAAAATGGTTTACGACATATATTTTTTATAAATATTTTTTAAAATATAAATTAATTCATTCAAAACTAATTTTCTGTTCAACTATAGCTGATTTAAAAATTTATCTCTTGCCTTTTTGAATTGAAAGGACAAAAATAATTTTAATTGGGAATGCCTTGTAATAAATAAATGAGTAGAAAAAATTATAGGCTAGGTAGCTAAGTTCCTCGACATTAAAGTGACTTAAAACTGCTCTCCGACTATTTTAGATCCAAATTTCCAAAGCTAAAAGATATAAATAATATATAAATAATTTTGAACAGAATTTAGATGCACCAATGACATTTTTTTCTTAATCGATTAATGTTAAAATGTTAACTGTTAACAAAATAATTGAACTTAATTTCTTTAAAAAATCTTACATGTAAATTACTAGAATTTGTGTCATATTTCTGGTTCTGTAGCACCTGAGTTGGTTGTGGGGGAGGTGGGTACTGCTCCAAGTACGATGGGTCCTGAAGAATTGGCTCATCAGGCGCCATTTGATGTTGATCTGCGGATATTGCTTGTGCCACTTGTTTTGCAAACTCGGCTTGCACCTTAAAAAAACAATAAACTGTAAACAGAGAGCATTTTCTTAATGTAGATGACTACCTCCTTCTTGGGCCTACTGGGTTGTGGTGTTTGTCGAGCTGAAGACTCGCCCGAGGGCGGATGGGAATTATCGTCAAAGATTTCATTCATTTTATCTTCACCAGTGGTGGGATCAATAATGGCCAAGGCATGAGGCCTCTTAATTCGCTGATTACTCCTTGAAAAGCTTGCTGGTGGCGGAGGGGCCTGCAATGCAGCAGGCTGTTGTATGGGACCCTGCGGAGGATTTGGGGGTGCCGATGTGGCTTGTGGCATCGGATTTCGAGGAATCATTTGTTGTTGAGTATAAAATAATGGATCTAAAAAAATTACAATTTTTGGTAAAAATAATTTGCAACTTAATATGCAACACATACATGTACATTCTTACACAAAGAAAACTGAAAGTATCATTTATATATTGAATAAAAAATTCCATTAGTATACTTACAAGTTGATACTGAAGGAGGTTGTGGTGTGGTATACTGGTAAGTCAATTGCTGACTACCAAATACATATGGAGCATTAATCATATTCGCCGGGCGCTGAGCTTGAGTATTGTAATACGCCACATTAGGCAAAAACATTTGAGAGGGTATGATATACTGAGGCTGGTATACAGGCGTCTGAGTTTGAGGCTGCAAGGAAGACACCCATGTCACACTAAATGTCTCAAGTAAATGTGCACATACCCTATGTTGCTGGTTCGGCATTCTAGGTGGTTGGTTTGGAGGTCCGGCAGTACCTCTAGGAGAATAGTACTGATTCGGAGTCTGCCTCACTGAAGGTTGCACAAACTGCAAATAATATGGTACTAACAAATCCACAATTTAGTGAATTTATCAAACAGCAACAAGGGAATGACTTTTCCAAAATAGGTGCAACAACACATAAAATGAAAAACAACAATACCTTTAAATGCAATGAATGGGAAATTGCTATATAGAAAATATTATCGTTCAGTAGGGAAAACCTCCAGTGTTACAAAGATAAGCCAAGATTTTTGGAATCCATGACAACAAAAATACAATGTGTGACATATTGCAAATTTCCAAGTTGCATTGTCTTATGCTTGTGGCCAATTTAAATTGATGTAAGTTGAAATATAAAAAAAAAGTGAACACATAATACTGCAAAATAATAATAATAATAATAAATATTTACCTTTTAAAGGTAAAAGGTAAAAAATAATTAAAATAGCATATCCAGGTCAAGTAATCAATACTTAAACTAGAACTAAGAATAATGTGATTTTTAAATGAAATATTTAATAATTGATAGGAAATGGAAATTTAAAAAAAAGAGCAAATAAGTTATGAGCAATTTTTGTAAACCAGTATAATGTCTTTCTTTTTATATTTTGTTGTTTTTAATATCAATTTAAATTTTTAGCTTATATTGTTGAAAGGACAGGGTTTTAAAAAAATTTACCATAGGACCCATCTGATTCGGTATATTTGGCACCTTGATGTCGGTATTAGGAGGGGTTGACGATTGACTTGGAGGAACAGTAGGAGGTAGTCCCCTCAAAGCTTGACCTTGTCCCGGCCCCTGTGCTTGTGGAACATAGGATCCAGCTGGGTTTGTTACCGAGAATGCATCAGAACCTGCAAAACAAATTTTATTATCTAAAACTAAAATAGAAAGAACTTTTGATTGTGTTTTTTAATTTATACAGCCCATACAGTTATAAGTAATTTCTTTATAAATTACCAAACTGCAAGCCAACTGCAACATCGGTAAATGCTTTAAATACCTAGTTTTTTGTATATATAAAAGCATTCAAGTTCAATAAAAGTTCACCAAGGAACTTAGATAAACTCATAAATACTTACCATTTGGTGGAGGCAATATAGGTTGATATCTAACTAATGATTAAGGTAATATTTTGAATTAAAGTTAGCGTTAATGGTTTCTTACATATTTATTACAAAATTTGTGTAAATTAGTTAAAATTAAGGTGACGGCTGCTGCACGCCTTATGAAATAACATAGGTAGTAATATTTTGCTGCTACAGTTTGCCGATTATGTTCTTGAAATGAATTTTATACCAAATACCCCATCTTAGACAATAGTCCACCATTTAGAGCTACTTACGCAGATATTGATTTTATCTGGTATCACATGGAAATAGGCACATGTGCGATTTTTGAACGCCCAAGCAAGAAAAACTTACGTTGCGGTGCCATCATCCTATAGTGTGGAGGGGGTGGCAATAAACATAAACCATCTTGCTTAACTGGAGCACTAGTCACAAATCTTGACACCATATTCAACTTTTGCTCACCGCGATCCGAAATCTCAAAAACTCATGGCTAAAGTCTTCCGAACCAAAACCACATTCAAGCGAAACAAATAAAAATCGTAATTGAACAAAGTCATTAATAAAGGCATGACTTAACACTACTGACTACCAATGGAAGAAAGTAAGATTTTCGGAGTTAATTTAAAAATTATGTTTTGAATCATCCATCGGCAACACACAATTGCACTTAGTTACAATAAAAATTACCCCGGAATCACGGATCATTTGACTTAAAAACTTGGAAATCTTATAGAAAATCACAATGCACTTTGCAAGAAAATCGATAAGGGCGTTTTACACACGGATTTGTTAGGAGCATCGCCAGTCATTTCAACTTCTTAACCCACAACTTTGAAAGCGCGAGCGACTTTGATATCTGGTTGCTTTCTTCGAGCAAAAGATTTAAATAAAATCAACTTAAATGAAAATTTAACACTCGCACAAATCGCCTACAACAAACGCCATTGTATATTGGACACTCGTGCAATCACTTCGCGGACGGGATGTTGCCAGATTTATAACAAGGTCACATCAAATGAAAAGCTGTCTACGCTCAAATTTCATTAAGTGGGAACTTAGGAATAAGTCGAACATACATCTATTTATAAAGTAAAGCAAGCATAAAATAATTGAATCGAAGAATCGAAAATAAAGGAAAAGATTTTGGAAATTTACGAGGAAATTCATCATGACTAATGATTCTGAAAATTAGAAAAAAACGTATGAAATTTAGGATTTCAAACTAAGTGTATCTATTAAACCTTCAAATCCTTAATAAGCAAAATAGGGAATTAAGATTTTTATTAAAACTAAGTCTGACAACCCTGTACAACCAAATAAAGTACTTCTGAAAATTGCCACTAGGAATGGAGCACGCGCACAGTGCCACAAATTTTTGAAAATTTTAATTAACATTTAATTTCATTTTTAACCAAACATTGGCTCCTGAGAATAACAAAAGTCGATAATACTTCAAAGCTAGCGATAAATGTCAAGAAATATCCACATTTAAACTTTAATTGCAATTTGTGTGTTTTTCAACACAAAAAGAAACAATTTGGTGATATAGCAAATGATATTTAGAACTTAACGCACAATATTGCATCTCACTCGTGTGTCTCACAACCAATCATGTGATAAGGAAACCAGAATTCTTGTATTTACATTAGCATCTTTAGTTAAATTATACCCATAAATCTTTACCTAAAACTAATTTATGATAAAAGCATTAAATTCCTCCATATATTCACAACCATTTTTCAATTCTACCATATGGCTTGTCAAATAAATACAACTGCAATTTGGCAATGAAACAATAACAGGTGAATGTAAAAACTTATTTAAAGAAAAGTCACCATATTAACAAAAAAATAAACCAAAGTGATGGCACTGTCATATGAACCATTAAAAATTACAGTCAAATCGAGCTGGTTAAAATGTTGAATATGTTTGACATTTGTTTAATTGACAACTACGCGTAACTTTAACCTATTTAAAGCAAAAAAGGATACGGTGAATTAGAATATATTGATGTTTGAGGCCCTGCAGCGGCCGATTGTTTTTGACTGTTACTCATCGCAGTCCCGGTCTCTGGGGTCCCTTAGATCGGGCGCCACAGATGGAAATTTCGTATCTGCATATGTTCACGATGGCACTATGCGACACTTTCACTTATATTCCAGGTTGCGCGGAAGACATTATTCACTACTAGAATCTTTAGTCAAGCTAGATATCATTAAATTTCTTATCTAACAATTTCAACACTTTTATCAAAGGTTAATTAAAGATATTTTTCAAAATGGCGGAATATTAACCCAAAAATAAAGTTTTAGGTCCAATGCCTTGTCAACTTCGGCCCGTAAATGGACACATCAAACTATCCGTCTAAGATTTTACAAAATTAACACTACACTTTCAATTAAAAAAATAATCACTCAAATTCTTCAAGTGACACGCGGCTTTCACGTTTGCACGTTGCTAGAAAAGCGCACCATAGATAAAATTTTATTCCAAGTTGTCACCCAACCAGCGGCTTGTAAACTGTTAGCTGCTTATTATTGGCAATTTGTTCGAATTAACGTAAAAATCGACATTCCATGTACTAGTCGTCCTTTTCTAAACCATTTCAATCAGAACATACATATGTGCCAGGAGGAGCGCAATTTAAACGGAAACTGTCAAACCTGGCAAAAATAAGCAATCTGCTGCGCTGCACCGTAACCTACCTTGGTTTTGGAAAAAACTATTAGAACATTTTATACGCATTTATCGTCGAAACATTGGTATGTCACTGGGAAAAGTAGAAAATGAAAAATTGAAGCACAATTTGGAGAGTCAATTAAATCGACTAGTTGAGCAGTTAAACGATTTAGAAAAAAGCAGGTGGGTTCGTTTTTCTGTTAATAAAATATAGGATTTTTATTTGATTATTTATTATGTTATCCTTATTGTTGTAATTATTAGAAAAACAACGTTCATTTGAACAGTATTAATGTTCAATAAAGGGCTAAAACTTTATTTGTAATTCCCACAAAAAGTTTAATGCCTAATAGGCAAAACTTTACGTTGTTAATATACAAATGGCTATTTCGGTACGGGTCTAAAAAACAATATTACAAATGCCAAGTTAGAACACCTTTTCCAAAAAGCAGCAATAATTTATTATTTTAAATTTAAAATAAATATAAAAAATAAATTATTGTGTGTAGTAACTTAAATTTAGAAAACACATTAAAGCATCCAACCAATCTTAATTTTGAAACTAATTATTAACTAAAAATTATTGCCACACTTTTGTAATGCGAAAAAGCATGCATTTTTGTGTAGAAATGATTTGGATTCTACTGAATATGAAGAGACAAAAGAAGAAACAATCGAACAACTCAAAGAGCTGAATGAAATGTTGGAAAAATTAGTTAAAGGTGATATATCACTTGTAACTACTTTAGGAGAAGTCCAACTTGTAAGTTTACATTAGTTAAAACTCTAAAAAACATTTTTGGTGGTCAAACTTTTAGGCAACTCAGGCTGCAATTTCAAAGGCATTTAAGACCCCAGAAGTTATGTGTCTGTTTGGGAAAAGGGATACTAAGCAGCTCCGGGAGGCGCTTGTATATATTAAAAAGCAAGTTAAACACAATAAACTCAGTGCTAGCACAGGGGATGCCCGAATTGTAGAAGTCCTGACCGCTTTAAGACAGCAGAATGAACAATTAACGCCACAGGAACTTCAGTTTTTGCAAAAGCAGACAAATATTCAGGTGTCTTTAGAAGTGGATTTTATTAAAGTTGATGACTGACCTGTCTGACCTATACATATAAATACAAATTTTAGGATTATAGGATAGCACTTGCTTAGAGTGCTAAAAAAAGGTAGTTGATCAATCGATAATAAAATCGATCAGATATTCAATTTGTAAGTCGTATGATATTGTTTATTGGATTTTCTTAAAACAATGTCATTTGTTTCATATTTGATGAGAACTGTTACTAATTAGTTCCTTCAACTATTGGTTTCATGTATTGCTATGTACCTTGGCATTTTTTATCCAAATTAAATAGATAAGGAAAAGGCACATATCTGTTTTTAACATGTGTGTATATAGCTTCTAAATTTGTATTAATTATTCACATATTTGGAGCTTTGAATTCACAAATTTCATTTGGGTTTTTATTAGTAAGCTAACCCGTTTGTTGCCTACAAATACAAGAAAAATTCATGTTTAGTGAAAACAGTCATAAAACACCAAGCTGATAAACTAATAAACTACTAAAAACATATTTGTTTCATTTTTAGCAACAGACCTGATAATTAGACTTGCTCAATTGATTGACAATAAGTATATACCTGACAACATTAATTTTTATTTAATGAACCAGTACAGGATTAAATTGTTAGGAAGGCAAAAATAAAATTTAAAAATAAGTCAGTGTGCAAAAATCAGCAGATAATGATACATACACCAGACAAGTTTAAAGCTAGCACATAGCATAGCTTTTGTGGATAGAATGGAGCAATCTATAGATCAGATCAATATCAAATCAAGACTCTCCAGTCCACAACTGGCATGCCTTAGGTTTGTGGCGAGTAAACAACTACCATTGGAAAAAATACTGCCCTAGTGAGGACTTTCCACAATGCCAGTAAAGGTAGAAGAGGGAGGAAATTTAACAATGGAATGGTAAATAAAGCTCATGCCCTAAAATAAAATTATAGTTCTACAGCTAACAAAGACAAACTTTATTCTAATTAAAATAAGCAATATTTTTTATTTGTAAAGTATTACTTTTCCAATATAACCATTAAGTCTGTCGTTTACGCCTGCACACTTTTTTGTGCTCAGACTGCCAGTGTTGCTGCTGACACGTCTGTGAACAATAAGCGGTGTTCCAACAACAATGATAAATGGCATCTTGCTCGCAATTGTAACACTAAAATGTTTTACTAAAGTACTGAAGTTTGGTATTAATATTGGACATACCCATTGCTTCTTCTTGGTTTCTGAAATCTGGGCATTATGCGATTCAAATAACCTCTTTAGATGATCATTGTGATTGTTGGTTACTCTATCAATCTCTGTTTGCATACTCTCCATAGCATATCGAATTATTTCTTTTTTGGTTGTCAGTGATTCCAAGCGTCGTCTCATCTAAAATAAATACCTGAAGTTTAAAAAACAGCAATCACATTTTATACACAAATCACTTTTTCTACTGCGTCACTATAAGGTTGGTCCAACTGCTGCATTCCAGTTTCCTGGCTCGGACTTCTGTTACAGTTTTCTGTTGAACTTGTAACTTGTTCATAACAAGTGTCTTCATAACTGTAATTAGATTAATAATAGTACAATAATACAGTGTTTATGTAATTAACACTTACCTGAAGGATTCTTGAGGTAGGGTACTTCCCCGAAATGAAAAACTTGACGATTCTTCATCTTCACAATCTGATATGTTAATGATATTCCCCGAAATTTCATTGGCATTCGAGCTTGTATTAGCACTACTGCTAGTTTTGTCCTCTATATTCAGGTGAAGTTTTTTAATGTCCGGTTTTTCGTCAGTCACTAACAACGAAAACATAGTAGATATAAAAACCGGAACTGCATCAACTTACCCAAAGATCGCTTTTTGCCCTTTACAGGACTAAGTGGGGGATTGGTAGCATTTGTTTCATGAGAGGAGAATAGTACTTTTTGTTTAAATATTTTCTTTGGTTTACCATCAGCCTTAACTCTCTCAAGTTCTTCTGGATCAGATAGTAATTTTTGATGATACGCTAATTCTTCATAAGCCTTATTAAAGGTGGAAATTGGTTTTATCTAGAACATTTAAGTAATAAAAATAGTTGGCATTGGTCAACCTTACCTTTAGACTTTCTTTCGCCACTGTAATGGGCTTTATAAACGATTTATGCAAATAAGCCCTTTCATGTTTACCTCCAAAAAATCTAACATCACAATGTGTGGAACTTTCCCTCATGACCTAAAATTTTCAAATTATTTGGACAATAACGCGCTGACAATGAAATACCTTGGCCGGCCAATAGCTATAGCCTTTTTGCTTCGCCCAAACTAATTCATGTGGATCACGACATGGTAAAGTGAACCATTTCGTATTAATTTTTTCATTACTGTGTCTATAACAATCGGCACAGTTTTTAATTTCCATTAAATCGTGCATCGTATCCTTCACCACAAATTCCGTGGCTTGATATTCTTGAGAGTCAGCTAAAAATGCATCGCCTATACTAAATACGACACGGAATGTTGTGGGCAAAATACAAGGTTTTAAGAAAGTTTTACTTTTGTAATGTCCAATGATAATTTTTTAAAATTACTTTCATATTATATAGGTGTCCCAAAGATGTTAGAAGTATCTAAGTTCTATTTTTTTTTTAAATGGAACCCTGGTATATTATAGCATTTGTGGATTCTACGACCAAAATAAACTTTCAGGTTTTTTAAATAATTTTAATTTTTGTCAAAATTTAACCTAGCTCAATTTTTTTAAATACATAAGAAGTATTTAAGTTATGTAAGCGAAATCAACAGTAAAGTGTATGGATCGTACATTGTCTCCAATTAACAGTTGATTGTGTGACATGTTTAAATACCAACGGGTGCAAAAACTATGTAGGTACTATATACAATAACTAAAATACTAAAAATTAAAATCAAACCCTGTACAGGATGGAAAACCTTTTCAATATATATAAAATATAAATAATATAAAATATGAACTATTGCTACACTCTACTGCATCTTTCTTTCACATAATTTAAATAATTCCAATTACATTTTGAAAAAACTCAAATTATATCAAAAATCTTAAGATTTAGGTATCAAAAATCTTATTGAAACCCACATACTCTTACATATTTTAATTTTAGAAACTAAAAATGGTTTCCGTTTTTAAAAATACAACTTTGATACTTGTATAGAATAAAAGTAATTTTAAAAAGTAACCATATTATGACTACCAAACTACTACTAAACTAACCAAAAGTTTTCAAAATCTTTTATTTTGGCCACAATATTCCGTACCGTATAGCCTGAATAACCCTGCATATTATTTTAGAATTAAGATCACTGTATATGTCTACCCCACTAATCAACAATAGACATAATGAGTCTTCCTGTTAATGGGTCTGCCATGTTCAGTAATTAATGAAAAGTTTACTTTAAATGTTTATTGGTTTTATACTGGCTGCGCCTGTGTTTTATATGCCTCCTCCCCCCACCCCCGGCAACACACTTTTAGCCCATACACGCCTATCAAATCAAAAACTGATTGCAAAAGGCGTCTGCCAGATTTCTCTCAAGCAGAATAAAAAGAGTATTAAGTCTTAAACAAAATGTTTTGCAAATATAATTCTGAATAACACACTTTACACGTCTAGAAATTTGGTTTTCAAAGGGTCACATTACATGTTTTCAATACTCACTTCCATGAAAAAGTGCAACATTGTGTTGCACACTTAAAACATCGGCGAGAAACTCCGCCAAAACTGTGTAATATTCTGTATTTAAATTCACCTCAATCACTGACATGTCTCGATGCTCAAAAAATAACTGATTTGCTCTCCAGGTAAGTTCAGAATCAGTAAGCCAATCCGGCCTATCTTCTTGAGCCATAGTGTGAGTAATGGTGTTTGGTAACTAAAAGTTAGAGATGAGGTCTTCATTAATCATGTTTCTATCAAACCTACCCAAGCTCTTATTCTATGCAAAACAAACTTTAGCAAGTAATTCATTTCCGCCTTTGAAAGTTGGCATTCCTTGTCATTGTTCATTATATTACAGATGCTGCATAAATTCTCATCATATATAAGGTCATTTATATGGTTGTCCAATCTGCCCTTACTTGAGCTCACACAAAGGTCCGATGATGATAAGTTCAAACGGCTTGAATCCAGACCCTGATCCACATTACGCCTATAATTATCAAAACATTATCGCTATTTCATATATTTTTGTTTGGCAACCTGCTCTGGTATGATTCAAATCTACGTTTTGCGCCTTTAATGCAATCTATGTGATACACCCGGAAACATTTAGCGCAAGGTGTTACTTCACCAGCTAAATGACACTCAAAACAGTACCAATCTTTGCCATCTAATTCGGGCTACAACAGTAATTGATTATTAACTAAAATGATACCAATCTATCACATGCATAAATCATACCAACTCTTGGTCTGTAATTCTAAAGGTTTGTGGAACACCTTCCGCATTTTTCTTCCCAGTCCTAAAATTAGTTCTTTAATAGTAAAAAAAACTGAGTAAATGATTTAACTTACAAAATCAGTTTATCTTTAAGAGCTTGTTTAATATGCAATTCAACCTGACTTACAGAGCACTCAGTGATTTTTTGAAGATATTTGTAGATTTTTTGGGAATCACAAATCTGATGAGCCAAATTGATCGATCTTATCGCGTCCCATAAGTGCTTAATATTTATTGGATCACAATAACGTCTGATAACCATATTTGCCCTAAAATGATATCTTTCTGTATATTAACTAATTAAGCATTGACATAATTTTCAGCAGATGACCGCTCGTAAAAAAAGATTTAATTGTGTTGGTTATATCAATTACAAATATTTTTCCTGATTGAATAAGCGCGACGAAAGCTAAAACTAAATAACTTCTTTCTAAAGTTACTGCAGCTCTTAGCAAATTTTTTTACCTAAGGGTGGCCAAGTGGTTTAACCAATTTGAAGGCTATTTAGACAATTTAAATGCCTAACATAATTTGCCTTGTAGAAATGAAAATATTAAAAAAAAAATAAGGAGATAAAAACATTAGAATATTTGATTTTTAAAATCATTTTTATTTATTAAATCATGAAATAATTAAACTGCCCTGTCCCACAAAATTCTCGAAAACTTGCGAAAAAATTAAATACTAAATATTATTAATTCATTGAATGAAATTATGCCGATCGATCGAAATTTAAAATAACCTTTGCAAAATAGCAAAACTAACTAAAATAATACAAAGGCTGTTCCATTCTATTCCAGCCATCTTTGAATGGAATAATTGCAATCGTACCAATCAAAAATAAAAGTTTTTAACTTAAGAAATTTACATTTTTTTAGAAAATTGCACTAGTTAGGTAATGTAGTGACCTAAACACTTACAAAAATTCATCTTTTTATCACTCTACTTAGGGCTCAGCTCAATCACGAAAGCGACACATCGATTTTAAACTATACACAAAAAAATTAATGCGGTTGCTAATGATTTTGTCAAATTTCTTCACTCGGCGTGTTTTTTCCCAAAATTGTTGTTGTATCTTAAAGTAAAAACCAGCTCCAACACTTTTGAATTTTTTTTTTATGTTATTGACTTTCTTAAAATACAAACGGACCAAAATTGATATTTTTTTGTGAAAATGCTTTAATATTCCATAACATTGATTAATAACGCAATTTAAACTACAAAATTTGTTTTTTATCAATAAACTAGGTATGGGGCAGATATCAGATATTACAGTTAGATGATATCATATATACAAACAGTTACTTATAGTGATAGCTGGAGCTTCCACCTGCATGAATTAAAACAGTTACGAGTTTATCAAATCATTGCATAGTCAGAACAACTAGTTCAACACAGGCGCTGACCCAGTCTGTTCGCTTTAGAAACATGTTTGAAATATACGCGACGATTGCTTGTGTTTTAATTTTGACTGGGGGACTGAGTGCGACATATTTCGCCAAATATTTTATTTACAAGAAAGATATTTTTTTGTGGACTGTAATGCTGGAGAGTGCGATGACAGTGTTGATTGGACTGCTTTACATATATGGCGCAATACTTTGGTCAAACGAGGAACCTCAAAACTTTCAGGTTATCAATAATATTGACGACTTAGCAGTGGTTAACAACACACATGACAACAGCAATGATGAACTATTTAACGAGCTACAGCAACTTTTAACAGTTGAAGATATGCATATTTTCCCAAATTTATCAGACATCGATAATAAAATAGAAGATACAAGAGAAAATCATAATTTGAATTATGATTTTTACCAAGGCATACTAAAATTTCTTATAAATCAAAAAATGAAAAATAATTTATTAACCATAAGAAAAAGTAAGCAAATCCAAATGATTGAAACCGAGATGAGTCAAACAGATGAAATTGAATGCTTTTACATGAAAACATTTCTTCAGCATGCTCTAATGCTGTATTCCTTTGTACACTGTGTTATGATGCTTGTTAATTATAGTATGTTTTACTACAGTTACATTCCGGAGGCAACATTGGAAGTTGGAACAAAGGCTGTAGAACCTTGTGAAGTGGTAAAGACTCCTGAACACACTGATCAATTATTTCAAAAAATTCAAGTAACAGAAAATACAGAACCACCTGTTCACCTGTTTAATGTCAAAATGGATACTGAAACTCAGAAAAATGATCAAAGGAACGTAGCCAAATTGATTAAAACACCTAGTATTAAGAAACAACTTCTACAAATGTTGGTTGAAATCATTTTTATTGCAATTCTCACTGTAAGTCTTTACAGTATCTTGAGAATAGCAATAAAGAACGACTTGCCTTTAGACACAACTTCAAATGAGTACAATTTTAGTGCCACATTAGTCGATACCAATGATCTTGAAAAGTTGGTACACAATTTTAATGATGATAAGAAACAGGAAATGGACAACATCGTAAAGAAAATATACAACTTAATAGAAACAGCGAAAAATTCAATAAATTCTAATACTACATATATAACAACTCTTAAAGAACATTTTAGGTATCGCAATTTCACGCAACAGTATAATGATGGTATTCAAGGAAATGTTTACCTACGAGTTTACAACTTCATAGTGTTTATCATAGTGTATGTTATCGTTTTACTTTACATGAACAATTTACAAGCAAAAATTGTTAAGAATACTAAAAAACCTTTCTCAAAATGTGTTATGTTATTTGCAATATTATGGTTGCCCACAATAATAGAAATGTTCTATAGAACATACATAGTGAACAAATCCCCAAACACTTTATCCGGATTGCTGTTATTGCTTGCTAATGGAAATACAATAACCCAAACAATACAGAAATACGCGCAATGGACAGGATACACAAAACAAAACTCAACGGTGGAGCCGCTTCACAAATGAATATTTCCTTATATTACAGAAGTTTGGCAATTTGTTCAACGTGAATAAAATAATTACCCAGTGATTGAACCAAATTATTTCGCTACGAGCACTTAATAACAATATATAAAACTTACAAATCCCCAAAAGATATAATGTTTGACTACATTGGACACAGTTCACACAAATAGTATCAACACTGTTCTAAACACAGAATATAAACTTTAATAAAACTTTTTCTGAAAAGGTCAATATTTTTCCATGACTTAAATAGTAATCTTCCTATCTTGCTTCTTTACATTTGCAGGACAGTCGTTCATTTTTTATTTAAACCGAAGATAATAACTCAATTAGTGGGAACAACCGTTTGCCACCTGTCAAATAGTTACAATGAATGCACCTCGTAATTGATTTTAAATGCTTTTTATCTATTTCGTTTCTTTAATACAAAACATTTGAATTTGTAATGCAAAATTTTTGGTCATTTGAATAAACAGACTCACAAGATGCTTTTTTTATTTTTATTCTCTACAGATTAACTACAGATTAGCCGTCAAAGCTTGAAAGTAAAGGAACTTATTCTGTCATATAGATGAATCTTCTTTTTTATTCGGTCTTGAAGTTAGTTATGAAAACACGTTTTAAATGTATTTAAAGTAAATCGTGGTATATCGGTTATGAATTTGTTTAACACGGAGTCATATTAATTCAAAAATAATTATGGGTAAGAAGAACAAACGGAGTAATAAATCTGCTTTGGGATATTCCTTAATTAAAGACAGATTTGGCAAAAGTAATCTTAAAAAATTTAATTCGGATTCTTTGGTAAGGCAATATTTTTTTAATTTTAATTGGAATAAACAATGTAGTCTTTTAGGTACACACAACTGAATTGCAAGATGGATATGACTGGGGCAAACTTAACCTGCAATCAGTCACAGAGGAATCATCATTTCAAGAGTTTTTATCTACTGCAGAATTAGCAGGCACCGAATTCCAAGCGGAAAAGCTGAATATAACATTTGTTAATCCCAGATCAAATGTCGGTTTATTGACGAAAGATGAATACAAAACTATATTGGCCAAACAAAAACTATTTTATGATATTATAAGGATCCCAAGAAGGTGACTTCTTCATCATATACTCTATTCTAACAGTAATTCAATTAAACTAGTAAAGAATGCCAAAGATCTGTTTGAGGCTATCATAATAAAAAAGGAAACAAAATATTTTTCAATGATAATCTGCATTATTAATTGATTGTAAAATCATTTTATTCTTTGACATATATATAGCTGAAAACAAATGTTGGTGTTGCTAAATTTTTGTAGTTCTGCAAATATGATATTGGTTAAAGAAGAATTTTACCATGGAAATATAGCATTATCTAAGTTTGCTTTTGCTTAAAAACATTGTAAAAAACAATAAAATAACTGATCTAAGTATTTGTAGACCACCTTGGAATATGGACACATCAGCCGAAGAACTAGATAAAATGGAGAAACAAAGTTTTTTAGAGTGGCGAAGATCTCTAGCAATGTTACAAGAAAATGAGAGTATCCTGCTAACTCCATATGAGAAAAATTTAGAATTCTGGCGTCAGCTTTGGAGAGTTATAGAGCGCAGTGATATTTTAGTTCAAATCGTAGATGCAAGGAATCCCTTATTGTTTCGTTGTGAAGACATAGAAAGATATGTCAAGGAAGTTTCTGAGGATAAAATTAATGTTGTCCTACTAAATAAAGCAGATTTTTTAACAGAACCGCAGAGGCAATGTTGGGCTTATTATTTTGCTTCTATAAATGTTCAAGTGGCATTTTTTTCTGCCACGGTATCAGAAGAGAAATTGAATCTAAAAGAAAGCAAAGTGACTAAGTCAGAAACTGTGAAAGATTCTTCTAATCCTAGCAATGTTGCAGATATTAGGGAGGTGAAAAGTAATATAGAGACTTTAGAAAAATCAGTTCAAGAAAGTGCCGACACTTTAAATAATATTATGGATCAAATTGAATCCATTTTTGGTAACACAAAATTACATGATCAGTCAAATTTAATTCAAAATTCTAGTAAGCTTTTAAGTCGGGAAGAGCTTGTGGAATTTTTTAAACAAATACATTCGGGTCCCAAAGTTACAAAAAAGGTAACAACTATTGGATTGGTGGGTTACCCAAATGTTGGAAAAAGTTCAACAATAAATGCATTATTGACTTGTAAAAAAGTTTCTGTGTCATCCACACCAGGCAAAACAAAACACTTTCAAACTGTATATTTAGAAAAAGATGTAATTTTGTGTGACTGCCCAGGTTTGGTGATGCCAAGCCTTGTTTTCACTAAAGCTGAAATGATCCTAAACGGTATTTTACCTGTTGATCAAATGAGAGATCATATATCGCCAATGAATCTTGTAACAGCCTTAATTCCCAGGCACGTCATCGAAGAAAAGTATGGGATTTTGTTACCGCAACCCATTGAAGGAGAGGATCCTAACAGAAATCCAACTGCAGAAGAATTGTTAAATGCTTATGCTTGTAATGTGGCAAACCCTGTTTATTTGAACACTTGTTTGAAGTAATTTTTGTTTTAGTTAATAGGGGCTTCATGACAGCTAATGGACAACCGGATAATGCAAGAGCTGCGAGATATATATTAAAAGATTTTTTAAATGGAAAATTGCTGTATTGTCACGCCCCACCAACAATAGACCAAAAAAAGTACCACTTTTGGTGGGAGAGAAGTAAAGCTCAAGTAGAAAGTAGAATACTCCCACCAAGGGTGACGAGAGCAATTCAAGTAAAATTACACATTTAATAGTATTTAAATTTATTTTCAAACTATTTTGCAGCCTTACAAAACTTCAACATCAGATTTTGATAAAGGTTTTTTTAAAAATCATCCTCAAACAGCTCATATTAAAGGTGATAAAGCTGATTTTGTTTCAGGAAACGTGTAAGTATTAGTTAAACATTCCCAATAGATATTGTTTTTATTGGTCAATCCTTGGAATATTATAGAGACCAGGCGCCAGTGGAAAAACCATGGAAAAAAATTAATAAACATCATAACAAAAAAAAGAAGGAAAAGTTAAGAAGGGTTTATGCACATCTTGACCAACATTAAATGTTTTATTACCTTTTTTAAATAAAAATGGTAACTGTTTATACAAGTTTTTTTTATTTATATCTTAGGAAAAAATATAAGAAATCACAATAAGTAAAACCAGTTAAGAGAATATTTTATACATACAGGAGTTTTTGGATATTTTTTTTTAGTTTAATTATAACTTTTTTTCAGTTTTTATAGGACTAAATGCTATTTTTAGTAGTGCTTTAAATGCCAAAACTAAAAAGACACAACTTTAGCACTTACCCCCGCTCTCATGCGGTAGTTAAAAAATAACGGTTTAAAATTCTTACTGCTTTAATCCTAATCCTAATCATTTACTGGCACTGTGCAATTTGAGCTGCTTGCACTATAGTGATCTGATTTATTTTTATATTAACACTGAACAAACAAACGCATGGAATTGACCGAGCCAAATGAGGTCTCTGACGCCTTAACAACTCATATCTTCATTTTTACTGATCTCTTGAGCTGGAAAGGATTGACCACATCAAAGATTGTGTAAAAAAGTAAAATCAGTTTTTTAGGACAATACTTTACTATTTATAAAGTTCAATGGTTTTTACACATTCACATTATCACATACAACATACTCATTAAGTATAGTTTAAGCATGTTCACACGAATTTCGCGATATTTTTTACACTACTACAATTTGAAATTTCTAAAAAATTTCCCAAAATGCATCAAAATTCGGAATTGAGCGTTGGGTGTGTTGGGCTTGATCTGTCTTCCATAAAATCTTTTATTTGACACTATTTAAATAGCAAAATATTCATTAAACAATAATCAAACTGGAGAACCAAACAGCGGGATCATCCCTCACAGTATGATATGGAATGGGACTGAAAAAAACTTCATTGCTCTTGCTAGTGTTTGTAAAATATTTCTTTTTCCCTTCCAGTACAGCACTAAAGGGTCCTAACAAACATAAAATTCTGACAAGTGATATTGAAACTTTTCAATATTATTATTTCTTTTTTTTTATTACTTAGCGCAGAGTTGGTTTATTTAAAAACTGCTTAACTTAGACTATTCTTAAAGTTTCGGAAATATAATTGAAAAATCAAGCATTTAAATTATAATCGTCGCTACAAACATTTAACGGGGTGTTTAATTTAAAACATATTTTCTTTATTATTGATAAATATGTTTTTGAGCGGTGAGGAGCTGGCCATTGTTCTAACAGTAAAAAAAATTAAAAAATTAAGAAAACAAATGAAATATATGGATTTATGAAACAAGCCAAATTTCTTCTTTTATTTGGTAGTTAGTATAACAACTATTACTTAAATCATATAGTTCTTTACCATTTTGAACTCGCAATAATAAATTTTATTTAAAACTGATTTTTCGACTGTTCAAGTAGCCGCCCCCTATATATCAAAATTATGAACTGTAGGCAGAGACTTGCAAAATGCCGACGCAATCTCCGATTTGCATCCCACATACGTCGGTATCGCATCCACAGGACGCATTGGCCGACTTTTAATTCTAGTTGCTATATCCTCGCAGAATTTTTACAATTCAATGCATACCGTCTGCAAATACATATGTTCGTTGGTACATTTAATTATACTGAAACTATTTTTTCCTGTCTGTATGACTTAATTAACGATATTTATTTCAAGATAAATAAAATCTTTCACTCTAACAACTCAGATAAAGGTCAAAAATCTCAAAAAGAGGGCCCTGAACATTTCGCGATTCAGATAAACTGTAAATAGCAAAAGAAATATGATCACTTTTCCTTTTTCTGTGGATCTATATGACAAACTGACCAGCTGATCCTCCTAGCCCTAATAAAGGAATAAAGATTTAACAAAACTGTAAACTAAAACTTAATTATTTGGTGTTGTTTTGAAGCTATTTTTTCATTAAAAGGCTAATTTAGAAATTAATATATTGAAAATTTGTGGTCCTTACTCTTTAAAAGATGTTCTTTCCCTTTGGTGTAAAATTTTTGCAAAATTCGCGTGTTAGTCATATATAAAAAATTAATTGAATACAATGCTATGTAAAACAGGTCTTTGACATTTTTCTTCAAAATTGTGCAAAACTTCTTCTATGTCATTATCTAAATCTTCAGTTTTTGATACCTGAAAAATAAGGCAACATTTAAAATGCATGATCATTGAAAAATTAATCAGTGTACCTGCATACATAAGTCACTAATTAAAAAGGCCCCTATTGTTGCTTCTTCTAAATTGTCTTGAATATCTATGTTAATAACATGTACTATAGAATTACTAGATGGCGTTTTGCTTTCCATAAATTCCACAACCTGATCATAGACTCTTTCTTCACAAGTAATTAAAATATCAAATTTCTCCTTTGTTTCCTGAAATTTTTCTGGGTAACTTTTAATCCTGCGATTTCTATCAAGTGTATGCAATAATCCATTTTGAGTGTACCTAAATACTTGCTAAGGAAAAAGAATGTGAAAACAAGTCATTTTTTAAATTTTTTTGACTGGATGAAGGATACAATGATTTATCCTTCTCAAGTAGATCCTGGTAAATTTCATCATAGGAGGTGCCAAAATCATACACATTTGGTTTATCGGCTGCCGAGCCAGGAATTTTAACTTTATCCCCAGTTCCGAATGACTGAACATGAAAGCCTTTTTTTGACAAAAATGCATGAGCTTCCATACTTCTATTCATATTACTTGAACAAATTACAGCTATTCTAAGATTGCTAATCGAAGACATGATTATCTAAGCCGAGGTAATCCACAAAATATTTATAAATAATTAATATTGATGAGTGAAAAATTATAGTTACAAATTAGAATATATTATAAATTGCGCCAACTTAATGAAAATAGTATAAAAATCTAAATAATTCCATTTTAACTAGAAAGTAAAATATTCTTCTTCATTTCAATATCAGAAGTTGCGCAAAATTACTAGGATCGTTCGCCCATTGGCGACATCGAGGAATGTCATCGATGGGCTTGCTAAAACTTCAAACTATGACTTCTTACATTGATCTTACAGTGATCTCCTGAATCCCAAAAACGAAAATTATATAAAGTTGGAAGTTGGAAGTAGTGTAGTATTATGACGGTTGTCAGCGAGATGAAGATGACGGGATGGAGAACAAAAGTACACGTTTGATAAGTGTTGCATTTGATCAAAGATCGGTTGATTCCAAAACAAACAAGTTTACTTGAATATTTCAAGTAGGTTGTCTCTGCTTGGAGCCCCTCTATATTTCTAATTCTATGTGTTGGGGCTTATATCTATTGTTTATTATATAGCTACTAGAAATATAGAGAGGTCGTGCCTATGCCAATAAAATGAAGCAACTCGGTGGGAAGCGAATCCACAACCTCCCGTAAGTCGCGTTGCAGTCGGAATTACACCCATTTGTAATGACGTCAACTTGGTTACCGAAAACGTATGTTCTCTGATATGGGCCGAAGATGGTTCGGTTGACAAGGCATTTGACCTGCCCAGCGTTACCAACCCTACTGTTTTAACAGTAGATTTGCTGTTTTCACATTGATGACCATGTTTTCTGTTTCATTCCTATTTTCTACTGTTTTTCGCGTTCAGCGCCACCTAGTACACTACTATGCAAACATTTTTTGATAACCACTACGCAATAAAACGCAATGACAAACCACTACGTAATAAAACGCATTGATACTAGATGGCAGTATCTTCTTTATATTTTTATGCACGGGGAAATCCCTATTTACGAATAACAACTACACGCCTATTGTATTGCGTAGCGTAGGTATTGTTTTATAGTCACACGTGTCACAACACCTTGAACAGTTTCTTTGAATTGCTGCGTCTATTTTGAAAAAATAATAATTACATAGTTTTCGATAAAATGAGTAGTGATTAATCGACTGGAAAAGTCCTCCTAAGAAGAAAAATGTGAAATATGAACAGAAATTCGTAAATTCGTGGTTAAAAGATGATAGGTTCAAAGGCTGGTTAAAGAAAAGCACTAAAGGTGAGACTTATTTCTTTTGTTCTGCGTGTAATTGCGTCAGAAAATGTGGTATACACGAACTGTTACGACACAAAGATTCAACCAAACACGCGAAGAATAGTTTGAAGTTACAAAAGCAGTGCCCAACAGCTATCTGTGAAACGCATCATTGAATTGAATTGAAGTTACAAAAGCAACAAAAACTGACATCAATGTTTACCTCAGCTTCCAATTCACAAGATACGAAAATTGCAGCTAAAGCGGGTGAAGTAAAAATGGCCTGCTTTATTGCTGAGCATAATCTGTCTTTTAACATAGCATCTCATTTGAATAAATTGATTTGCGCTGTATGTCCAGATTCGAAAATTGCTGAACAATTATCTATAAGCCGCACAAAAGCTAGAGCTATTATTGTTAATGTAACTGGGCAGACAGCTGAAGAAAATATAATAGAGATGTTACAGAACAATTGCTTTGCATTACTTGTTGACGAAAGCACAGATAAATCTACCATAAAACATTTAGCGCTTGGCGCTAGAATAGTAAAATTAGATTTCAGCGTTGAAGATAGATTTCTGACTTTAATACCAATCGTAGATGGTATAGCAACAGCGTTGTATAGCAAAATAGTAGAATGTTTTGTTGAAAAAAATATTCCTTACAAATCAAACATGATAGGCCTTGCTTCTGATGGCGCTAACGTTATGTTTGGAGATAAACATTCATTGGTCACATACCTCACCTTTTTACTATGAAGTGCATTTGTCATTCTTTTAACCTATCCGCATCATACGCATGTGAGAAATTGCCAAGGGGCGTGGAAGATTCTGTAGAGACGTATATAATCATGTACAAAATTCTCCAAAACGTATTGGAGATTTTAAAACATTTCAAGTATTCACAAATATTAAACCACACAAATTACTCCACCCTAGCCAAACCAGATGGTTGTCGCTTATTGAGGTAGTAAATAGGCTTCTAGAACAATTACCAGCTATCAAATTGTATTTTCAAGCTGCAGTTCATGTACATAGATTACTTTCTGCGCAATCAATTCTTTCCAAGGCTCTCGAACCGACAACTGAATTGTACCTGGAGTTTTTGAAATTTGCATTACCTATACTCTGAAATTATATTTACTATACGACAAAATACTGACCGCATACACAACGATCTTGGAATGCTTTGTACAAACTGAATATTTGAATCTCACTGAACAAGAAAAAAATGAAGCACAAAATATTTTACACGCAAAAGAAACTAAAATATTAAACCTTGACTTCTCGAGTGAGCAGAAACATTTACCCATGCAACATATATACGTTGGTGGAATGGTGCCAAATTTGATCAGAAGAAAGAGAGAAATAGGAGAACTAGAGGAAAAACAGCTGAAAAATTTCTACTTAAAGTGTAAGGAGTTTTATATCGAGGCTGCAAAACAGATATTAAAAAGGTTTCCTTTTGACGACAAAGACCGTCAAGCATTAAAATGTCTGAAGATGCTAAATCCTAAAGCAATTCTGGATCCTGAAATAAAAAAGAAATTCCCTTCCATTGCAGATTTACATTATTTCTTCCCAAAGATTTGTCCAAATAATATAACGGAACTGGAAAGAGAATGGCGAATGTTAAGAAATGTCGATTTTTCTTTCGACCAAAACAAAACTCCCGATATTATCGATTTTTGGAAACATGTACAAGAATTAAGAACTGGACACTAATCTCAAACGTTCCCTACATTATGTGAATTGGTAAAAAAGCTTTTGTGCCTACAACATAGCAGCGCCGCCGTGGAAAGGTTATTTTCTGCTATAAATATGAAAACCAAATTACGCAATAGAATATATACTATTAAAGGAGTATTACACACTAAATCCGAAATAACTGATTGCTATTCATTTGAAGCTACAGAAAAGCACATGAAGAAATTCAACAAAAACATGTATGATTTTAAAAATAAAAATGAATGTGAAAATATTGAAGATGAGGCAATTGAAAATTAAACTGAAAAATAATTTTACTTTGATTTTTGTTTTATGTTGCTGTGATTATAAATATATCAATTTATGTGAGTTCTAGTAACTAAGAAAGTTGTTTATTATTTAATTATAAGAGCAAAATTATGAAATCTGCCTTTTTTTCTTTACCTACCGCTTTCTACTGTTTTTTTTTAGGCGAGTTGTTTTTTAGTTTTTTGAGGTTGACAACACTGGACCTGTCACTCGCGTCTGTATCCCAACATTATTGGGGACTAATGCGCATAAGTCAGATATAGGGAATACATTTCGGCGGTTTGACATTACTAAGGCAATAACAGAGACTAACCAAAAGTGAAAAAAATCAACCGCCTTTACGTTGAACCTTCTTCGCCACGCTTGTTATCACTTAGGCGATACAGAAACTAACCAAAACGAACCAAAATGGAAAAGAAATCAACCGCCTTCATGTGAGCTTCCACCGCGAGGGTTTAGCAATACCAAGGTGATAACAAAAACTAACCAAAATTGAAAAAATTCAATGTCTTGTCCATAATGGTTTATATGATAATAATATAGAGTTATCTAGGTCCAACACTGTTTTTAATTTTTCAATAAGAATAGTTACATTCTTGGTGTCGTCTTCATCAAAAATCACGTCCGATTGTATTTTAAAAGATTTTTTTTAGGTTGTGCAGGTTATGATTTGTTGCATAGCTTATTCTGGTGGAACGATTGAAGTTTTCACCCTGAATTTTATAGTTATGGACTCCCTGAAACATTTTTTATTTTAATTGTTCTCGTTCCACCTGATTAATTCTTAGTCTTCCTACTTCCAGTTTATGCTCTACTTGCGTGGAAATATAATTGATTTTGATTTTACCTTTTCATCATTTTTTTTAATTTCACTAATTTATTTAAATCATAAACCCACAAATAAAAATATTTTAGGACAGTTAGGATAGGTAAGTTTGAAAGTTAGCTTAAGGTTACTTAGACGGACTTGGCTTGGCTGGACTTGGGACTATAGGGTTTTAGACATGTTCGCTTCAGAATATTAGGAACGTTCCATCCCTAGAGTTTTAATCTTGTTACTTTTTTCTCGGCATGATTTAAAACTTCGAAAAAAGTTCCGAAAAGTTGATAAACCAATGCTTTTTACTGACCGATGGATATTGCGCATAACCTTAAATAAAAGTAAATAAAAAATGAATAATCATTTCGCATCACACAACTTTGTTGTCACCACTGTTTAGGTTAGATTAAAGAAAGATAAACAAAAATGACGTCATTATAAATGGGTATAATTCCGACTTTACCAATCGAGCCATGCTCGGTTCCTAAACAAATAGGTGATTTTTTTGACCTCGAAACCAATGCAATTGCAATTGCAATTTTAACAGATATTTTTTACTTTTCGTTTATGTATTTACCGAACTTCGAATCGAAATGTTGTTGATGTTTAGTGTTCTGCGACAGCAAGAAGTTTCATGTCTCTTATCTATGTAAATTTAAACTTTATTCTCTGATGCATAGACACGATATGGAACTGTACTGGTAAGGGTGGCACTGGTGGCAGTGATATTTTTTGGAATGTTAGCAAAAATTAAACAGGCTCGAGAATTTTATGGTTTATAAAATACGATGTTTTTTCAAGTATGTACTCTTTTCACTCTCTTGTTATGTGTACTTAGTGCAGAACTTCAACAAGCTAGACATGAGGCAAGTCAAACAATTATGGATATATCCCAATGTAGTTCTCTGAAGTCGCAGTGCAATACTATAAAAGAAAATGATGACTTGTCGTTCTTGGAATGTGTTCAGTCTCTACATCCCAAAGAAGTTGATGGACTAAGTGCTACTTGTCAAACAGTTATTTGGAAACTTACAAATAATGTCATCTCAAATGAAAATGTTATGAATCTAGTAGCCTCACCATGTCGAAATGATATGAACAATTTAAAATGCACTATTTCTGATGGTAACTTCCTTAAATGCCTAACAAACGGTAAAGATGGTGTGGAAAATGAGGAGTGCCGAGATATTATACTGAGATTGGAAAATGTTGCTTTCACAGACAATCACTTTATTGACAGTTTTTTAAAGGAGTGTGAAAAAGATGTCACTGAACTTCAGTGCGGGAAGATTGATTCACAAGGAATGACACAATTAAAAACTGTATCTTGTCTTCAAGAAAATATTTTAAAAGTGTCTGATAGATGTAAAAAAGAAGTTTTTAAACTTACAGAATTACAGTCTGATAACATAAAGTTAGACAGGCAATTATATTTGGATTGTGCTGAAGATCATTCAAGGTATTGTTCTCAGTTTGCCCCTGGAAGTGGTAGAGTATTTCATTGTTTAGCGCGACAAGATCCATCAAAACTAGGCTTTAAATGTAAGCAGAATTTATTGCGTAGGAAAAAAATTATCTCTCAAGATTACCGAGTTAGTAAAGGTCTAATGAGGGCTTGTAGGGAGGATATTAAAAGAACCCATTGCCGAAGACAAACATCATCTGATAAAACAGTACGTTTGGCTCAGATTTTATTATGCCTTGAAAATATTTCTAAAAATGGTAGTGGGGTTTCATCAGACTGCCAAGCAGAAATGATTGAACATCGGAAAATGTTAATGGAAGATTACAGATTATCACCAGAGATTGTTGATAATTGTAAAGGGGAGATATCTTATTTTTGTAATGGAGTTGACAATGGGGGTAAAACTATACATTGCTTAATGGATCATGCGAGAAATTCTATGCATAAGGATCACAATTTTGATAAAAAGTGTCAAAAAGCTGTAAGTTTGTTGTGCAAATTTGACTTTATCGTTATTTTCAGAGAAATTTGTAGCTGGAAGATCTAATTAAACAAGCAGATATAGGTGAAAACTGGAAAGTAGACCCGGTACTACAGAAAGCTTGTTCTGCTGTGGTCTCATCAGCATGTCAGGATATAAAAAGTGGAGAGGCTAGAGTAATGAATTGTCTCATGGATAATATAGGGACAGCTCATATGACTGATGATTGTGAAGATGCTCTCATACAGATCCAATACTTTATTTCAAGAAAATTTGAATTGGACTCTCAGCTGTTTACTGCTTGTAAAGATGATGCTGTGAAACTCTGCCTTGTAAACAGCGATTGGGATCAAACTCATCCGCAAGTGTTACCTTGCCTTTACAGGTAACATTATTCAGTTTTTTGTTTATTTTGCCTTAAATTCCTATGAAGAACTGATAAGTATCCATAATTGTAATTTAGTTCATATAATTTTTGCTGTAGTTTTAGCGAGTAACTGAAAGTATTTGCAATTGAATTTGTTTTTAGTTTTATTCTTCTTTAATTGTGATTCTTATTAGTCATTGTCTGTGTATTAAAATTAATTTGTATAAATGTATGTTGCTCCTTTTAATAGGTATGCTGATCAGGAAGAGAGATCTTTGCAACTGAACAAATCTTGCCTAATGAACATTCGAAGAATAATGAGGCAAAGAGCATTAAGTGTTGATCTTGAACCGTCAATTGAAGATAATTGTCTTCTTGATTTAGGGCAATTCTGTCATGATAAAGTGAAGAAAGGGGAAGAAATGTTATGCTTGCAAAAAAATTACAATGATTTGGAAGACCAGTGCCAAAAGACTGTAGGTTTGTTTACAGAATTCCAAGCTGAACATGCAGAAGTTAATCCTTATATAAGCAAGTATTGTGGTAAAATTATTAAAACGCTGTGCACAACAGAAGCTAAGAATGATGAAGGGGATATCATGGAATGTTTGATTACTCATAAGAATGATGTGTTGGTAAAAGCTAACCAGCCTTGTCGAGCTAGCATTGAACATTTTCAATTAATATCTTTGAACGACTACAGGTTTAAATACTTAACATAAAACTTAATAGATTTAAACTTGTCCTTTTTTAGATTTTCATACAAGTTTAAGGTTGCCTGCAAGCCTTATGCTATGCGGTTTTGTAGTCTTTCTCATACAAAAAATGAAGTGGTACGATGTCTCAGTGAGCAAGTTCTTAATGCTACTATTAGAGGCATCAAAGGTCAGGTATCACGTGAGTGCAAGCAGCAATTAAAGGCACAATTATTTCAACAGCATGAAAGTATTGATTATGATCCTGTACTAAAGGCGGCATGTCAACCAGATATCAAAAAGTATTGCAATCATATTTCTGCAGAAAATGCGCAGGTAATTTGATCCTTAGATGTGAGGGTATTTATAGTGCCTAAATAAATAAATGCAATTAAAGCAAAGGTTGCTGAGGAAAAATGCGAATGCATAACAAAATTTTATATAATCGTAATAAAACTCAATATAGACATACAAACATAAAAGTTGGAGACTTTTAATAGTTTTTTCTATTGAAGCTTAAGAAGATCAGATCATATTAGGTCTCAGAATGTTGCACCTCTAGCGGTAACTTTAAAAAGTTCCGTTACAGGATTTACGTTATTTATCAAACCTCGATTTTTCATTAATATATAAGAAAAGTTTTCTAGAACTTAGAAGAATAATTTTTGTTAAAAAAAAACAAGAAAATTGAAATTTGAAAAAAGATTATCTGATGGTATCTTCCTTTTGCTCAGGTTTTAGAGTGTTTACAGACTGTAAACTCAAAACTAACAGACAAATGCGAAAAAGAAGTCTTCAAAGTGAAAAAACAGGAAATTTACGACAATTCCGTCGACTATGCTCTTAAAACAATGTGTGCAGACGCAATCGAACAATTTTGCCCACATCAAGATAAAGATAACGTATTAGAATGTCTAAAGGTAATAAAACTGATTTGATTATTTTCTAAACAAGTATTAGTTATATGTTATTTTTTTATTTTGATTATAGAAAAACAAGAATGAACTTGGCTTCAACAAAAAGTGTCGAACTATCGTCATTCATCGGATGATCGAGCAAAACTCTAACTATCAGTTAAATCCATCTTTGCAACAAAATTGCAACATGGATATTGAGAAGTTTTGTGCAAATATTCTCTCTAGTCATGTGATAGGTAATGCGGATGATGTTGTTATAAAATGCCTAAAGAGCCACTTCAAATTGGGAAAGCTATCTAACAAATGTGAAAAGGAAATTACTTCTATCCTGCGAGAACAAGCCTTAGACGTGAATTTAAATCCACTCATTCGGTAAGTCAATATTTTAAAATTACAAATGCTTCTGCTTCATAAACTTGTTTTAAATGTTGGAATTTATAAAAAACTTCTGCTTAATACACAGAATTAGTTTATAGTTACTTTTCTAGATGAAAATTTGATGACTCATGAATCTAGTTTTAATTTTCTAATCTTTGAATTTAAATCATTTCTGATTGTTAGTTACTTTTTCAAGTTTTTAAGCATATTACCCTTACCTGGGAGTTTTATCAATGGGATAATCCCATTTTACCGATAAATTTTAATTTTGTTACAAATAAGGCAATATTAAGCGGGCACTGAACTTTTCTTTAAAAGAACTTTTTGTTTGCCTAATGCGCTAAAGTCAAAATAGAATTTTAGAAAAAAACTCAAATACAACTTAAGACTTAGTATGCTTTTGTTTTTCTTTAGAGCTGTCTGCGCAAATGAATTGAAAACTATTTGTAAAGTTAATGATGAGGAAAATTCTGGAGATGCAGAAGAATGTTTGAAAGATGCGCTTCTAAATAGTCGAATTCAAACGCCTGAATGCAAAAATGAGATTGCCAATATGATAGAGGAATCGCAGGCTGATATACAAGCGGATCCTCTCTTACAAAAAGCATGTGCCTTGGATTTGCTCAATTACTGTAGTGACATACCTCAAGGCAATGGTAGACGTAAGTAATGAATTAATTGATCATCATAAAATCTTTGCATTTTCTTGACATTTTCAGACATAAACTGCCTTAAAATAGTACTAGAGGGAAATCAAAAAATTTCAGTTAAATGTAAAAATATGCTGAAAAAGAGATTTGAAATGTATAGAAATGCTGCGCAGGTGAGTTGATTTATCTCCAATGCAAAAAGTTATATTTGGTACTTAGACTGTTATTGCTATTATGTACATATGAGTCATATTCAAGCCCAGCAACTGGACATTCTTCACAGTTAATGGTGATTTTCTGTTTCTTCTCTACATTTCATACATAAATATATAAAAGAAACATTAAGGAAAGAGGCAAACTGGTCAGATTAATTTGTCATAATTAATTTATTAGTCTTTGGGTCAATTGATAAAAAATGGTATCCTAATATTACAATTTGGGCATATTTTTTATTACTTTTAATGTAAGTAATTGCAACTGAACTTACTTTGGCCACTGAAGCACTTTTGTTAGTAATATGCTTGGTCCATTTGCCACAGCACATGATCTGTAATGTGATCTCTACTTTCTTACAGTATCGTGATTTATAACCTCCTTACTATAATTGCAATTGTGAGTTTATTGCTTTTCAGTTAGTTGGAATGGGGCCACCCGAGGACCTGCAGCAATTATACAATCAAGTGGTGAGTTCTCCATCAAAACAATATTTTTTTCTTATATTACTAACGATCATTGGGTCAATATTTTTGATTGGTATTATGTGTGGAAGACTCAACAAAAGGAAATATATGCTCTTGAAGACAAAGTAAGAAAAATCAAAAATTTAATAATTTTCTCGCATAGACTATGGAATGTTGGGAGCAGCTATTTAAACCAGGAGTAGAAAATTCAACTTCATAATTTTGAAAGTTGTTTAGATTATATTTTTTTTATTTACCTTCCTCATCAGTATTATATATATGGAGCATGTCAGCGCATATATTTTTTAATTTAAAAAAAATTAGATCAATGACCTTGTACTGAAAGATCAGTTTTACCCGTGTCTTTATCTTTTATTCTAAAAATTCCAAATTGACAGAAAAATTATTTCAAAAAGAGTCATTTTGAAGACTTATTATAAACTAATTACACTTTTAAAAATTCAATTATTGTTTACTAATTGATCTTAGCCATGATGGGAAGTTGCATTAAGAATTTAAATTTATACATTATGTTTTATGCACATATTACATCTGTCAAATAACTAATGCATACTGTGATAGTTACTGTATATTGTAATCTTCATTTTAACAAAGATATTGTCAGTAGAATAAAAAAGAAATAAATTTTATTATATATAATTATTTTAGCTGTGTGAATAATGTAAGTAAATGGTAAATATTACAAAAATCTACAATATTAATTTGTATAAACATTTACTAATAAATAGTATTTCTATTTCTGCTTTTTAAGCTTTAACCATGACATTTCCCTATTAAATTATTCTTTTCTACTTCGTACTCTGTCATTAGCCACCTTGACCATTTCCTGTTCTTTAGTCATGGGTTGGGAGCGTTCCTACATCTTTGGTATATGTAAAACGCTAACTGTATTTTGAAGTTCCGCAGATTTGATGGTCACGCCATTCATCACTCAGTGAATGTATTCTTGCCTTTTTACAATGTACAGAAAAACCAGAATAGAAAAATTATAGAATGCAATATGTTTATAAATTTGTTCAGACATTCCTTTAACAGTCACATGGCTGCTCTGCTCCGATCGTGCTCATCACTAAAGTGTCGTTACAAAAAATTCCATTGAAAATTTATAGTGACCGACATTTTAAAGTAAATAACCCAAAAACGTACTACATATACCTTCACTGGTCCAACCACAGACATGTTTCACTGTCTTACAGCTCATTATTATGATTATAGTTACAGGTTATGTTGGCTTCTTAGTCCATGTTAGTTGTTGGCTGGTCCTATAGCTGATACCAGCTGATAACAACAGGCAAGTGTGATATATATATATATATCCAAATTATTTGTATTTACATTTTTGGTGTAGTCAAAAGAAGTTGCCATGTCTTGTAAACCCCCTCTACCATGACACATCCATTTTTTTTATAAGCATTTTTATGTGGACTATAACTTTGAAGGCTTGTAACACATTATCACACCATTCTCTTCCAATTGCAAAATATCCTGACAACTAAAACCATGAGTCTCCAAAATTTCTTTTGTATGTTGACCAACCTTGGGAGCAGATTTAATTGAACTTGACAATCCTGGGGTCCTACTCAGTTTAGGGGCCGGGCTTGGAGTATAATCGCCACCATAATTTGTAAATATCTGCTGGTGGACATTGTGAAAATGTTTGGGAGCCTCATGAAGGTCCAAAACTGGTGTAACACATGCATCTTTAGAATCAAATATTTTACACCAATCTTCTCTTGTTTTTTCTTGAAATTTAGTTTTAAATAGTTTATGCATGTCATTAAAGTCTCCAAATTGTGGTGCCTCCTCAATTGTAAGACCTAACCCTGTCAGTAGCTGACTATAAAATTGAGGCTCTAGGGCACCAACAGCTACAAATTTTTTATCTTTTGTTTTGTAAACCTCATAAAATGCCGCACCACCATCCAAAATATTTTTTCCTCTTTGGTTACCCCATATAGGCAACTTTTGCGACTTATATAAGAAGGTACCCAAGTATGCAGCACCATGAACCATACTATTATCTACTATTTGCCCGAGATTTGACCTGCTTCGTTCAAATAGAGCTATAACAATTCCTAAGGCACACATTAATCCCCCTCCGCCAAAGTCAGCAACCAAATTAACTGGAAATGAGGGATTTTCACCAAATCTACCAAAGAATGAAAGCAAACCAGACAATGCCAGATAGTTAATGTCATGGCCTGCCCTTTTACTATAAGATCCTGATTGTCCATATCCAGATAATCGAGCATAAATTAACCTTGGATTGTCTTTCATTAAAATATCTGGCCCAAGGCCCAATCGTTCCATAATGCCTGCCCTAAATGGTTCTATAATTACATCACAACTTCGATTAATTATTTTTACAATCTTGATAGCTTCTGGATCTTTTAAGTTTAGTGCAATAGATTTTTTACCATCGCCCAGACAATCTATGCTGTGAGTAGTGATCTGAAACGAGACTACTGGTTATATTACAAGGTAAGAATACTTCACCTAGAAGTGTTTCAATAATAAATAACAAACAGAAAATAATTTATATATAGCAGTATATTATTAATGTTCGAATCAGCTATACCTTATCAAGTCTTATAACAGTAGCTCCAAAATCAGACAAGACCATTCCACAAAATGGTCCTGGCGCTAATCCTGCTATTTCCAAAACTTTTATTCCTTTTAAAGCCATATTCGCAAAATAAATATTTAGGAGTGTAAAGCTGTTCAAACATCAATTCTCTCAAGTTAGTTGTATCTATTTAGTATTGAGTGTATTTGAATAAAATTAATTATTGATACTCGGACATATTACAACCGACTATTCGAGCGATATTCATCCGTCAACCAAATCAACTCTATAGAATAAAGGTGATACGCAAATTTTAGAAGCCGGCCCTGGGTCAGTATTCTGGTTACACGTTTTTAGACTTCACACGATACGAATTTTCATCTACTAATCTGCACTTTGCTCCATTTTCTTTCCAAAGAGACATTTCTACAAACTTAACATGTTTTCCTAGAACATTTAACGAAATCTAGGCACATTTTGATTTACTTGCCGTAAAGATGCTGCAACCAAATTTATTGGCGATTTGTTAGCGGCCATGTTGGTCAATCTCATTGGTTAAAAACAACATTTTTAATTTCGCGCCAGCGTAAGTTGGATAGACCTCCAATTTTTTTAATAGTTGCTTCTATATTTATAATAGCTATATGTTATCGCTTCCTTTCAACTTAGCCATAAATTTTAACTATAATAATTATGTTTAAATCAATCTTCTTTTAATTCAAGTGACAATAGGCCAAATATTTCTTCTTCTTCCAATTTTCTCCATTTGGTAGAGAGTAATAAAACAACTGGCTTCATTTTCGTTATTTTCATGATATTTTATCTAATGTGTCTTGTTTATCTACATATCCACAGTTATGAAGAATACACACATTACATTACCTATTTGAAAATTTATAAAAGTAGGTTACAAAACACAATGTTGTAATCCCAAAGAATCTATATAATATTCTAGTGGCGTTTTTTTATCATTATTTAAAAGAAGAGTAACTTTATGTTGGCAGCACTCCATGAGAGTTTGTTCGCCATCATAATTGAATTTTTGAAGTTTTTGTTTATTTTAATAAAATATCCTGCATTCGATGTTTATGCCAATATGTGTAACAAAGAGGAGTTATTTTAACTCTTGTCTTTAAATACGCTTGTGGAAATGCTGATTAAATTGTTGTAGGTTGTAATTATTAGTTAAACGATATGTGTAAAGTTTCCTAGTGTTTAAAGTTTAAATCTTTTTCTCTGCAATTTGCTACGGTGAAAATTTAATATTTAATAATGAGTGGAAATGAAGAAGAGAAAGACGCTAGAAATGCAATTCCACTAGACCTGGCTAGAAACCAGATTGCCGCTGTAAGGACAGCGGAAAGCAAGCCTCCTCTAGTTATAAGCCAAGCATTGCGCAGTGTCAGAGTACTTGCTCAAGGCGTTTCTTGTAGTACTACCTCATCTTCAGTGGGGCAAACAATAATAACCAACATAATGCCACAAGCAGTTATCAAGCAAGGTAAATAGCTGTGGTAGTTTTAGTTCCATACCTAAACTGATTCTTTTTAGATGGGAGGGCTCAGATAGCTAGTATAATTAGCTCTCAAGCTCAGGCTCAAATATCTAGTAGTTTGGCTATTCAGAGGCCGGCCCAAATAACTTTGACATCACCTATTGTAACCCAAAACACAAGTGGCACTACATATCATGTTCCGAGGGGTCCTGCAGTTGTTGCAAATTTGGCAGCTCCGAGAAGTAATATTACTGCTGTGCGAAGTCCCATGGTTGTTTCAGCCCAAAGTTCTCAGAGTGGACAAAGTCATCCTTTTGTGAAGCCCCCTAGGTAAGTTTGTTAAATGAATGAGATTGTGTGCATTTATAATTTACATATTAAGGGCTCCCAGTCCAGCCCAAGGAACTGCATGGCTAACCACAAATTCACCTGGTGGAGCTCAAGTAAAAGGAGCCCCAACTGTACTAAGTTCGCCTGTGCGAGGGGCTACAGTAACAGGAAAACTTCAGGTCACTGGAAGACCCTCACAGTCTCAAACTATTTCAACTATTAAGTCAGGAACCATATTGCAAAGTGGTATTACCATTGGACAAACAAGTCAGGTATGTCTGAATACCGATATATAGATATCTGAGTAACCTTCATTGCATTTTTTCAGGTGCAAACATATAAGCCTATATCTGCAAATATACAATCAAGTGGATCCAATATGACGTTGGCACAGATAATGCCTACTCGTACCCAAGCAGTCATTTATGGAACAAACAGTTCTACACAATTTACTCCCACTCCAAGAGCAATAGTTACAAGTAGCTTACAAAATCCAACTAGATCTCTCCAGACGAAACCAACTGTAAGTTGTTTTGTTAGTCAGTGAGTATTAATTGTTAAAGATCATGTAAGAAACATAAAAAAAGCAGTGTTGATTCATTTTTACAAAATAGAATACTAAAACATCCTTGTTTTTATTACTAAGGGACAAATTTCCTCACCACGTTTACCCGTTCCCGTGACGCAAATCCAGAGCCATACACGTTTGGTTACTTCCGTGCAGTCAACACCAGTCATGTCTAATACTAGGATCTCAGCTTTGCCTTCTTCAACACATCACAGTCTACTAGGATCAGCTGGTAGGATTATTCCTCCCACCCAACCTACCAGTTCTCGTATGTCAGGGTTACCCACACTGGGAACCACAACAGTGACAGCGGTAGCGGCGACTGTCACCAACAGCACCTTATTGAGCAGTCAGCCAAGAACGTTGAACATCCAGTCTTTGGTTGCGGTCGCAAATGGCGGGCACAGCAAAATACCTGGTCCACAGGCAACTAAAATTATACCTCAACCCGCACAAGGTAGCATGTTCCATTAAGATTGTAATGTTCTTTACACCTTTTGTTCTAGCTACGATTCATTTGACTTCTATCCAACCTGCGCAGATCACTACAAAAGCTAATACGGTGATTACCACTGGAGCAAGGACAAGTAGGTTTTAGAAAAAATGGAGCAAAACATAGTAATTGTCTTTATGTTTTTGGGTATAGTTAATGTGCCTGCCACAATAGTGACTCAGCAAAGATCATCGGTAGTAGACCATCCAGAAGGTATGTCTATTGGCAAAGTTTTTTCAACAAGTGAAAGTCCAGGAGGGATCGGTAGCACTAATGTGTTTATTCATGGCCCAATCCAAACCCAGAGGCAAAGTCTTTCAGGTAACTAAATTATTTTTTGAAAGAATATATCATGGAACAGTCATCTTCACATCACCTCAAAATGTTTTCATTAAAAAATACAAAAATTAAATTTGCCAAAACCTTTCTATATGTGCCTTCTACCAACATTGACTTACTGTTTTTAACTTCCAGCACATTTAAATCCAGAATATCAAAATTAATTTTGTGAAATGATGTATTTTTTTTTTATTTAGTTTTGGTATTATTCTGTTATATTTTTACATCTATAGTTTTATTAATATTTTAACTTGAACTCTTAAGTTTATTTACTTAGATAACTGCCTTATTTTGGAATTTTCCTCTTAGATAACAAATAAGTAGGTAAATATGTCCCTGCTTCCAGCTTGATTGGAACAGTTTATTTCACACCCTCAAGGCCATAAAATTATTGTTGCCAATTTAGTAATTTAAAAACAAATCCCTTTACAAATTACATTAGTCTCAACATTTAAACTGTATCTGTCCTCTCCTCAGTCTCCTCTATCTGAAGGGGGAAAAACTATCAACCATCTAGTTCCTGAGCGCGAAAGTTTTTTTTTTTTGTCGGTGTGTTTTTAAAATATACTCAAATTCCATTTTATTTAAAAAAAAAAAAAACTTAAGTGTGTGGAAATTGCTGTTTTATAAAATACCATAGCCGCCCAATCTGTAACAATATTGAAAACGGATGCGCCGCAGGCAGCATTGTTATTTTGATAAAGAAGGTTGTGATTTTCCGTGCTTGCTTCAATATTTCACCCACTAAACTGCACTTTGCGCCATTTTTTTTTTTCTAAACAGCGATTTCCACACACTTAACTCGTTTTCCTAGAACATTTAACAAGATATGGCCATATTTTGAGAAAATACTGCCCTAAAAATTTTGAATCCAAACTTATTCACGATCTGTCACCGGCCATGTTGGTTATTGAATACCTCAAGGTCATTGGTTAAAATCTCGCGCATGCGCGTGTGACCGTACCTCAAATGTTTTTTCATCGTTGCTTCATAAATTTCAATATATTGGCACAGCCAGGATCTCTTATCATGGTGGGGGTGAAACACATTTTACTACTGGCATGAAATGTGAAAAAATTCAACGCATGAAACCGCAAATGGACGTTATAACAAATAAGCAAAAGCTATTGGAGAATAATCGGAAAAGATTGTTCATCAATCCATCAGTTTACTTTACTTTTATTAATACAAATTATTAGGTCTAACAGCCCTACAAGCCCAATTTTATAAACCGAATTCCCCAATTGGAGTTATTTATCAATCAAATCAAAAAATGTATCCCCTTCAAAATAACAATTAAAGTCTATTAATAATTTTACTATTTTTTCCCATCTTCTGCCTACTCTGCTTTCTGTCGAACAGTGCTTCGCTTTTATTTATAAATTAGCGACGTTTCCGAGTTTCGGCGGCAGACAGGGGCGGGTTTTGCTCGCATGAGTCAAACAGCAATTAAAAAAAAATATATATTTATATAATTCGTGCAGCCTTTAAAATTGAGGTCGGGGGTAGTCGAACTATCTGCTATGTAAAAATGTTTAAAAATGAGAATGAAGAACTGCATATTTATTTTAAAACTATATTTTCAACCAAACTAAATCAAGCTTAATAGTTAAAGGCCCATATAATGTAATTATTTCCCTCAAATTTCGTTTCATAATCTGTATTAGGGGCCTGTATCTCAATAAAAGCGCGCCACAAGAATTACTAACTTCACCTTCCCAAATTTTGCACCAACAATTTTAAAAAATGCTGTATTTGGATTTATTTTAGCACTATTTCGTTCAAATTTAGTTACCATTTGCTCTTTTTCCCTAGGTGCAGGGCCTGCTAGTATATCTGTGTCATCTCAACAGATTCTACCTCCGTCCACTGTAACATTAACGGGCAATACATCATATTTCTACGAAAGCGCCAATGCAGCCGCTGCTTATTCTAGACCTATAGGTCAACAACCCACGGCATTCGCCGCAATTCCACAGGGTGCAGCTGTACAACAAGCACGCAGTATCAATAACATAAACTCTCAACAGACACATGGTGAAGGACCAGCTCAGGTTTGTTTTACTAGTTAACATTTTAACAATTTTTTTTAGGAATTGTGAGCAGTCAAAATAGCAGGTTTAGTTCTGTAGTGATGGTTGAACAGAACCGTATTCAACAATCTTCACAATTTCAGTCAGCTTCTAATCAGTCAACATTGGAGTCTCAAGGATTTTCCGATATCCCACAACAGACCCCACAGCAACATCACCAGCAATCCCAGATCAAGGTATTTCGTCTAAATTGTTTGACATACATGCCTAAATAAGATGAATTTTTGCAATTTGCAGGTTACATCATCGCCCAGGCCGAGCATTTTAAGGAAACGCGACCACGAAGGGTCGCCTTTAAAAGCTGCCAAAAATTTAACGCCTGTTCTTCAAACCTTTGGTCAACAATCATCTATTCAGGGACCACTTTCCCCTCAACCTCCCCGTCCGGATTCCAGGGACAATGGTCACAGTTCAGGTATATTAGGTTTAGGGTTTGTTTGGCCAGTCAGTGACATTAAATTTTTAGGAGGCAGCACTACTATTTCAGCAACATCTAGTCCTGGCCTAGCTGAAGTTAATGAAGATAGTAATCCGCCCATACTAATAAACATGAAGGATGAAGAAGTCAAAGCACCTTTGGAAATGAGCCCCAGAAAAAAACCTAGGAAACAGCAACTGTAAGTTATCAAATATGATTAATTTGTTGCAATGCGCCTCCAACTTCATTAATACAGGCTAAATCAATAGAACAATGTGTAACTTCAGTTTTAACATTATTAGGACTGGTAATGAGATTGATGGCAATATTGATGACATGCAATTTATTTCTGAAAATGGCTCAGTCAAAAAGGAAAATTACGACTCAGATGATCACCACTCTGATGGAGAACCTAAAGATGGGGCTCCAGAGGCTGTGCAAGTCAGTACGGTAAGAACAACATATAACGCGGCAACTGAGGCTCCAGCAGATGTGACGGAATCAACAAATTTTAGATGAGAAAGCCAGCAAGTGCTAGTTTATTAAATGGATACCGACAAACTTGGAAAGCAACCCATAACCATTATCAACGGTACTCAGATGTTAAACCTAAAGATGAACGAAGACCGACCATAATGGACTTGGCAAATCAAAATCGGGTAGTAGATAAAGTAAACGGATGGAAAATCCACCACTTGTCTACCCAAATGGAGAATTTAGTTAGTCTTTCTTTAATTTGTCTTTGGTATAGCATTTGCAATGTTGTCTATTGTGTTTTTTGCTTTTTAAAGTTTAAAGAAAAGAAATCGTGTTTACATCATAATTTTAATAGGACTTTAGATAGATGTCTGTTAGAAAATTTTCTTGGCATTTTTTAAGAATCAGAGGTAATTTTTTTGTAAGGATTTGATGCAATTTGAGTATATTCCAGAATTGGTCATTTTTAAAACTGCTATTGCCTACCTACTCAAATATTTTTCTAACCAAATCGCTTGAGAGGAAATTTCGATGTATAACAAAATGTGCTTATTTGTAAATTGGATTTATTGATTTTAGGCTGATGAAGAGCAAAGTGTATACAATAGATTAACAGAACTTTTAAAATTCGCCGAAGCTGAAGAGGGTAATAAACAATTTGACAAAGAGTTGAATAGGATAAATGAACTAATAAAGGTATGTTTTTTTCAGTACTGATAATGTGTATTTTCAGTATTTCTTTTGTTTGTATAGGGCAATTTGCAAAGAATAAAAATAATTAATGATGGAATGCTGGAAGCCAAATCGCATATAATGAAAATATGCGATCATCAACGCCACGTAATGGAATTAATAAATAGGTGTGCCAGTAAACGTAATTTTAAGAAGCGAGAAAAATCGTAGTTGTGATGTTTATATAAAGTTTTTATTGTTTGACGTAATAATTTTTAAAACGATGTTCATTGAACGTAAATAGTTTTTATAAATATTTTTAAAATAAATGCAGTTTTTGTTAAAATGTAAATTATATTATTTTAAAAATTTTTAAAAGTACTAGTGAAATAGGAGTGAAGTAAATGTCTCAAGTTTTTAATCAGAAGTTTTTTTTTCCTTTCCTATGCCTAATATTTTAATCATAGGGCACACTACAGTGTGATACAGGGCATATTGGCTTATTGCAACAAATGTTTATGGAACTTCTGGAGTTGTAATTAACCTTTACAACAGTTTTTTTTGCAGTTAGCTTAATTTGTAGTTACCCAGAATGATACGAAATTGGACAAAGGTATAAATAGAAATAAAGTGAAAATGATTAATAATAAACGGTTATTATTACGTCTTATTTAAAATCGACTTAATTGCTTTTTTTTCGACTCTCTAATGTATCACTTTAATGCCAGCTTTTTTTTTTTCACGCGTTGCATGTGTTGTTTACAAAACTTATTATTATTACTCGGGCAATTACAAATTAAACAGAAAAGTGCCAAGGCAGAATTTAGTTTTTGTACTTTAACATGGAAAATTCAAAGTGTCACTACTAGGAAAGAAATACCTCTATTATTGTCAGAAAATGTTTGCGAGGCATATTTGTCAGTCTTCGTATCTTTGACGCATTTTAATATGTACTGTGAGCAGACGGAAAATTTTCGCCCGGATTTATATTCCCATTATGCAGAGTGTTTCATCAGCGAAATAATGATCATTGAGCCAAATATATTTTTGCGTTTAACATGAAAAATTTTGAAACCACTTATTATTTTTCAAAAGGTCTGATTATAATTAGTTATATTAAAAAACGAAAGTTCGAGGGATTATCCTGAACCTTCAAGATTTCCTACCAAATTAAACAAATAAACATCATTAAACGGGAAAAAATCCAAGTTTGCTTTTTTGAAACACTTTTTTGTTATTATTATTATTATTATTATTATTATTATTATTATTCAAACTCCAACTAAACCTATAAAATATAAAATGTGTTTTAATTCTCTTTACAAATGCCAGCAATATATGCAGCTTATGTTTTTAGCAGAAAATATTTTTGACAATTTTAGAAATCATTATTTTGAGAAAAATTTAAACTTCAAAAAAACTTTACAAGCTTTCTTAATTTCCCGATGTTTATTTGTTTAACCTGACATGAAATCTTGTTAGGACAAGATAATCTCGCTACATATTTCGAGAGTATTCTTTCTTTTTCTTGACACAACATTGCGATTAATCCCAAAAAATAGAAATAATTTTAACTTTCAGTGATCATCATTTAATTAATAGTATCTGCAGTTGATATTACTGAAACGGATTCAATATAAGGGACGGCTAGTCGAATCAGATATTCAACAGAGGGAATATATAGTGTCCCATAAGAGCTGAAGCATATTCGATCGTTATTACGGGCAATGGAAAAAGGGTTTTGATGCCATAATCCGGTTAATCGTACCTTAGACGTGTACGGCGAACGGTACACGTTGCATTGTTCTGAAAATTTGGTCAGTTCCTTAATCGGCGATGCTCTATCGGTCTAAAATATTTTTAAAGCTGCGACGTTGTTTTTTCTTCGAAAAAGTAGCATCAACATTAAAATTTTAAGTGGGACACCATGTATATATTGCATTTTCCGATCCGCTATTTTATGATTGTTCGACGGTTTTTGAGAAAATAATTATTATCTTCATTTTTCCGACCAAGATATAGCTAACCCGGCTAATTTGATTACTATGACACAGGACATAGCTTAGGTATCGAGGTATCGAACAGAATTTCTTAATATCGAAATTAGTTTTACATTACAAAGGGTTGGACAAAACTATTGATTTGCCTACCAGATAAAACATTGTATTCTTATTCAAAGAGCAAACTAAATTCCCTTTGGAATGATGTATCATATCTAAATCGTTTGGTTTCTGAAATAAAAGCAAAACGGGATTACTTTGGCATAATTCATCTTTTAGGTGGCCATAAAATATCCGGCTTATGTTAAATAATTCATTTTTCATTTGACAGTTCAATAAATATTTACTCCAATGTACAGTTCGCGGTGCACGTCTAAGATACCATCAACCGTGAAACACCCATACAGTTTACTGGTGGGTCTTGCAGGGAATGGTACCGTAAATCAATTGGATCTAGCAAAGTGCGAATTCAACTGAACTGAATAAGCAGCAACTTGAAGAGGACGTTCGTATATTATAAAAATGACAAAAAATTAAGATTTCTCAATACAGCTGAAAATCTCTTTTCTGGTCACCCTTTTAAATTCCAAAAACGAAAATGTTAGATGGTTTAAAAAATGCAAAATTACCATACCACACTTAGTTATAAACTGACTTTAGGATGGAAAAAGGCAGGAGCGGTAACATGTTTCCTACATATTTGTGGCTATTGTTAATCAATATTCTATATACAGATCACTTTCTTTGCATTAAATATCATTTGATATTCTAACCAGAATTTTGTTTTTGTACTTTCATGTACTTTATGCACATAACATTGGGCAATAACAATTTAAGGTGTCACTGCTAGGAACAAAATATCACTATATGAAGTAAAAAAATCAATATTTTTATTTTACTCCCCTCCCAATTAATTTCAATTAAGCAGCTGAGAGCATCCACTAAATTGTTGTAAGAAAAGCTGGTGTCCTATATAACACATCGATGGTATATTGAAAAATTAAACAATATTAATTCATTGTAATGTTAATACATCAAATTGTAAACAATAATTACATAGCTACTTAAAATAAAAAATAATGGAACAAACGTCACTTGCAATGCAATTTGAATTTTATTTAGTTGTCGCAGTTTGTTTTTCACTTCACTAACTCACGGCGGCCTACCTCGAGAGCCCCTGCCACGCCCGCCTCTGGGAGCGGAACTTCGTCCTCTTCGATTTCCTCTTGACCCGCGACCGCCTCTAGGACCACCCCTGCCCCTGCCCCTGCCCCTGAACTCTTGCGCTGGTGGTTTCCAATTATCCTCTTGGCTATTGTTATAATTAGAACCCGATGGGGGAATGAAGTCCAGTGTCGATCTATTTCTGAAATTTTGATTGAATCCGCCAGATCCACGGAAATTGGAAAAGTTCGAATTGCCGCGAGACCAATCTGTAAAACCATTTACACGTTACTAAATATATAGAACAGGTGCACCATTCTAAAGAATAACTTCAATTATTTTTGCCCGCCCTCCCGTAAACTTATGACATTAGCTGGTTAGAGCGGAATCGAAGGAAAAGTGGACCGGTACAGCTGGGCAATTGATATAAATTGTTATTGATGTATAAATACTGAACAGTAGTGTCTAATAAATTGTGTAAGTCAGTGACTTTGTTATTTTTGAGTGAATAAATTTTCAAATAACTTAAGTTAATTAAAACTATTAATTTTACTAAATTTAAAAATGTCCATATATGCAATAGTCTTTACCTTCATTGTAATAATCATCACCATAATCCCCTTCTTCTTCAAAACCATTGTTTCTGAAATCATTGTCTCCGTAATCATCATATCTAAAATCTTCATCGCCCATTAGATTGTTTTGATTTCTCATATCAAAGTCTCTGCTGTTTCGGAAATCCATTTCTTTTCTGAAGTCCATATCGCCAAACATTCTCATGTCGCTATCTAATAATTAAATCCAGTTTATGTAACGCTACCTATATTTTCGGAAGGAAGTATAATATTATGCAAATATATAGAGTGTTCGTTTCAAAATGTTGTTTTATCACCATGCTTTTATGAAATACAGTGCATAATTAAAAATATTTAAAAATTGTACAGGACAGCTCACTAATGCGTGATTCTTTTATATCTCCATAGAGATTTATATGTATAAAAGTGCTACAAGTAATGAAAATTTTTACTTTTATAAAAGTAAACTTCCTTATTTTAAGTGGTACACCAGATATATTACCTTATTTTTAGAATTTTGAGAAAATTTCACGATATTCTGTTCTTAAAATTCTTGAATTTTTGAAAGAAGTAACATTATTTTCAACACAACACATTTGCTTTTAACAATGTCTGATTCATGGTAATTCAAGTTTACGCTGTGTCCCACCGGGAACTTCGTCGATGTTATGAAAAAACTATAAGTAGCAAAATTAAAAAAAAATTGAATTAAACTAATGTTGGTGGGGGAAATTCAGGTAAAATATTTTCAAGACGGCGGTACATCCGAATATACCGGAACTGGGTCAACTTTATTATTTTAAATGAAAAAGCCTATATATTACTTTTTTGAATTAATCGAAAAATCTTCCATTTCTGAGATATTTAAAATTTGATGTCAAAAATGACGTTTTCGCATAGGGATAGTTTACAATTTTCCTCTATTAACTTACCCGGTAGAAAATGGTCTGTTGAACAAATTTAGATAGTAATTGCAATAGGATGTTGAAAAAATATCAATTAAAATAAATTGAAAAAAACTGATGAAAATAATTTAAAATAAACTTTTATAATTAGACCGTATTTGCCATTACAAATTAGGACGACTTTGTAATGGGTTGTATATTACGAATATTTATGGTTTTCGACATATTTTTTTTACTTCGTCTGGTCTTAAGGTTCAATTAATCAAACTTAACCATGACGAACGGCCGCGCGTTTGAAAAAAAATTTTTTCTCCGGTTTTTCAATTGTTATTTTTTTCAACATCCTATATTATTAATAATTGCAATTACTAACTAAATGTTTTCAACAGACCAATTTATACAGGGTAAGGTAATATAGTAAAATTTTAAGGGATTTCCTATGGGAAAAATTTACAGAGAGTAATAAAATGTTAAATATCTCCTACAGAGTAAAATTTAGGTATATAAAATATGTTAGCCTGAGTGATCCCACCAACATTAGTTTAACTCCTAACTTAATTTTAATTAATTCTAATTTAATTGTTTTTCAAGCTACTTATACTGTTCCCATAACAGATCGACGAAGTCCGCGGTGAGACACTGTATATAACAAGTTTTTTTTACAAGAGATAAATTTCAAACGTACTTAATAGTTTGGTCAGTTGGCTTTCATAATTATTGATAAATTCCATAAAAAGCTTGTAATCAAAACGTTATTTTATTAAACTTCATCAAATCTGCCAAATTAAGAAAACAAGTGATAAAAGGACTTTAAAGTAACAACACTGATCCTGTACAAAAATGATTATACGATCACACAATAAGGACTGAAAACTTTGGCTTGATTTTGTGAAAAAACGAGGCAGACAGTTTTGTCTTACCTTGTTGATTATTTACATGATTAAAGTTTCCCCTCATGTCTTGGTCTAAATTTCTTAGATCCTCATCATAATACGCAGCATTTGGATCAACGTCCATGTTGCCGTGATCACCATTGTCATCATTTAAATACTGTTCTTCATCTTGATCCCTAATGGGCATTACGTCGTGCAATTCTTCAATTTCGCCGGAGTCAATAAATTTTTGCAACACCTCTGGTCCTTCAGAAATAGCTTTTTCTAGTTTAGATCCAGCTGAAAGTATAAATTCAAAGTTATCTGAAATAGTAATTCAAAAATCATGGGTAACAGTTTTTATTAGTCAATATGCAGTGTTTTATTTACTTCTTTTTAACTGATGATAGTACTATGGAAGTAGTTATAATCCAGTAACTGAATGTAAACACCATCATGATGCCTAATCAATATTTTATTCCGTCTAAACCGGAGAAAAAAAGGGCTATTTTTTCGTAACATTATCCACCCCAACATGACGACTATAACCGGACATCTGACGGTCAGACTGACAATCGGTTCTATCAAACATTCCAATGTTGCCAAACGATCGGAACACTTTTGCGTCTAATATTGCATGTTAACTATCATTAAGATGCCAATGAAGAAGTAGAGTTTAATTTTATTATTTTCGGAGCCATCTACGTTCTAAACGCTATTGCCTATTGTTTAAGTTATTTTTTGGTTGAAATGAAAAGTTTGTGAGAAAATGTGTTTGTGACACAGTGTACTGTTATTTTGATCGAAATTATTTGTTGAATAATCTCTGGAGAACGTTTAAATGTATCCTTTTTCGAAAATGGTGATTTAGTGATTCTGTTAAAAAAAGCATCCTTTGCGGTGCTCTAAGAAAAAGGTGTGTCACTTTCTTTTGTAGTTTGGTTCGATTAAACTATTTAGTCATTAGAAAATATGCCTATGATAATTTTATACAGTTGAGAAAGACCTTTTGCGCATGCGTCATCCAATACTTGACTGATTTGTTTTCATTTTTCTCGCAGAATACTCTGTGCCATTTTTTTGTTTATTTTTTATGATTATCTTCCTATCTTTTTAGTGATTTTGTGACAAAAATGCCTACCCCCCCTTCGAAGTGGTTTTTCACAAACTTGTATAATTTCTGCTTTTAATATTTTATTCTTTCAACAAATTAGAGTATTTTTTCAATAACGCGCTCTACACCATATCTCCTTCTTGCAGGAAGATTTTATAGGATCTGAAATACTTTGAGAAATTACTGCCGCAAAATTGCGGCATTCAAATTTGTTGACGATCAGTCAGCGGCCACATCGGTTTTTGAATGCCGCAAAGTCTTGTTGGTCGAAAGCCCGAATTTGCAATTAGTTAAAAACAAGATTTTAAATCTCGCGCATGCGCACAATGAATGGACCTTCTCAAAAAAAATTTGATAGTTGCTTCATAAGTACCTGTATTATCATCATATGCACGGCCTCTATATCTATAGTAGCTATACGGATTAAAATAATGGCAAATTAATAGTGCTGAATTTATGTAATTAGCAGTGTTTGTACTAAACTTTTTGTTGTGTTAGTAAACAAAGTAATAACGCCGCTTAATCACTTTTTGGACATATTAAATTAATGGTGAAATTTTGTTAACATTAATATTGGAAAGTTATTTTTTAGGATTTGACTTTGAGATGAGATTGACAATGTTCGAAAACTTAAACAATTACTGGTGCCAAAATCTTAACACTAACACTAAAAAAATATATATTTGAATTTATAAGATTAGCAATTACAGTCTGTATCAGTTTTTTTCATATTTGAATTTATTAAATGGAGAGTTGAGTGATTTGGCAATCTAGCATCACGGTAATATCTGGATTGTCGCTGTCCAGTGACACGACAAGTCAAATCTTTGCAGTAATTTTTGTGCATGTCATATTTAGTTATTTATTTAGTTTTAGAAAATACTTTTTTTTTATTTACATTTTGCACTAGTCAAATACAAGGCAATACTCACGTTCAACTGGAATAAGCTTTCCATAAATTATTATGGCATTTGGTGCTATCTTCTCCAAAGGCACAACACCCGGTGTGTTTTCTACAATTTTCGTCAGAACATCGTTAATTCCATCATCTACAAATGCGAAATATATCAATACTGATAATACGCAGGCTTTTTTGAAAGTACCTGTTTCATTCCATTGGGCTTGGAAGTTCCTTGGGATTGGCTTACTAAACGGAACTTTTTTTGGTTTGACTTTCTCTTCATTATTTAACAATCCGGAATCGAGGTCCAAACCTGGAATAGCGGTATTTTCATCCCCTATTAACGCCGTTAGCTCGACTTTATCCTCGGGCCCCATACCAGGAATCACTGCTGTCGGTTCGTCTATAAAAATGAGCCCATAAGTTTTTGGGTGAATTAATCCCATCATCACACATTTACCTCCTACATCAATATCTTCCAAACCAGCTATTCCAGCTGGAAGAGTATTGAGGTTATACTTGTCTCGCATTTGATCGCCTGGTCTATTTCGGGTCCAAAATTTACTTGTATGGTCGTTAGAACCAGAGCAGAGTATATGACCTAAAGGATGCCATGCAAGAGTCCACACTATACTGTCGTGGGCCTGTTCGATTGCGCCCACCTCTTTGTCGGCACTAGAAAATAAACAAAATCAAAACGTATTATGGCAAGAGCAGGCACACTTACCCCACATGCCAAAACATTATAGCCCCGTCAGAGCCGCCACTGGCAAACAAACCTTCATGCACAGGATGCCAAGCAACACTTGACGCTTCCTTTTTGTGTCCCCTAAATGTTTGAACCTCCTGACTAAGATTCCTCAAATCAAACAGCTTTAATAAATGATCTCGAGATGCTGTTATTAACCAATTTCCGTTGTCGTTCCATTTCAAATCCATTACCGTAGATTTATGCGCATGCCTAAAACACAAATTATTAATCAGAATTTGATTGGATTGTTCCAATGCTGGGGAGGTGCTTTTACTATACTTACAAAGTTGCCAAAGATTGACCAGTTTTGGGATCCCAAAGCTTGATTGGCTGTTGATTATCTTTGCTGCCAGATATAATGAGACCTTTTTGAGGATGCCAATGGACACATTTTACATCGGCTCCATGACCTAAGGTAGAAGTTTGTACACTAAGTACATTAAGTGGTAGTAACTTATTGCAAAGGTGTTGTTTTTTACAAGAAATTAATTTGTCACTCCGCAAAAGGTGTACTTATAAATTTATATATCACGGAGGCAAATGTGAAAAAATGACATCATAAGAATTTACGCATTTCTTTCGAATAGACCTTCCATTAGGGAGATATTGCTTTTTACGGTATTACTGAAAACTGATTTTAGTTGAAGAACTTTGAAAAGCTCTTATTTTATCTATTTATAACTTAATACACATAAGGAGAGCTTGGTGTTTTAGCCAACAGTGTCTAATACTCTACAAAACAGTTTATGATTACGAAGAACTTTGTAATGAAGAATATGTAAACATCAAACGATTCAAAACGAAAGACAAATCCAAACACTGGAAACTTGGCGATGAGTGTGGTTCAATTTAAATCAAATTTTATAGCAATGGATAGTAACTTATAGAATGCGCTAGGGTCAACCAACAAATCAACAATTTATTTCGATTCTTTCTTTGTAAAAACCCTACAGACAAGTAAATATAAATACATTAACACAAATACATAAGCAAATTTTCAACGCCCCATTTCTCATTAGATGTCTCTATATAAATAGGACGATTAGAATTCCTACATATTTTTGCCTGCAACATATTAAGATATATTTTAGTTTAATTGTTATATAATTATATATATATATATATATATATATATATATATATATATATATATATATATATATATATATATATATATATATATATATATATATATATATATATATATATATATATATATATATATATATATATATATATATATATATATATATATATATATATATATATATATATATATATATATATATATATATATATATATATATATATATATATATATATATATATATCCAATGCTGCTAAAATCTCTATCAGCGACATAACTTTGCAAACCGAAAGAACCAATACAAATCGAATTTCAATTGCTTTTGTGTCAAGTGAGTACTTTTTTTTACTTACCTCTAAGTACTTTCTCCTCCTGGTAGCGGAAAAAGTCCCAGATTCGAAGGGTTCCATCGTCGGAACATGTTACGAATTTCGTGTTCAAAGGGCTGAAGCTGAATAAAACACATCATGTCATAACAGTATTTATTTTGGTAATTTAAATAAAATGCGCACCATCGAAAAATAGTGCAACCATACAGTTTTCAATAGTCCATTAACCCAAAAAGCTTTATTGAGATCACTAATTTTATTTTTAAAATGTATACGCACTACCACCTTTCAGAAGTGTCTCCCACACTGTAACTGAAGATACTGTCTGTTCCATACTCGAACTACTGGGTGGCCGGAAAAAAGATTAACCTATTATTTGTCAGTCTTTGAACCTTTGACTGGATTTATACTCCTATGATGCAGGGTGTTTCATCAACGAAATAATGATCATTGAGCCAAATATATTTTTGCGTTTAACATGAATATTTTTAAACGATTTATTATTTGGTGAAGGGTCTGATTATAATTAGTTATAATGAAAAACAAAAGTTCCAGGAATTATCCTAAACCTCCAGTATTTCCTAACAAATTAACCAAATAAACATCAGGAAACCGGAAAAATTCCAAGTTTGCTTTAAAAAAAAATTTTTTTTTATTCAAACTATAACTAAGCCTATAAAATAAAAAATGTGTTGAAATTCTCTTTACAAATATATGCAGCTTATGTTTTTGTTTTGTTTTTATAAACCATTATTTTGAGAAAAATTGAAACTTCAAAAATCTGATTAAAAACTTTATAGGCTTTCTCAATTTCCCGATGTTCATTCGTTTAACTTGACATGAAATCTTGTTGGTTCAAGATATTCTCGCTACATATTTCGCGGGTATTGTTTCTTTTTCTTGACGCAACATTGCGATTAATCTCAATTTTTTCCAAACCATTAAGCTTAAGACAATCTTGGTCAATGATTCAATAGAAGGGACGATTAGACGAATCACATATTCAACAGAGGAGATGTAGTGTCCCATTATAAGAACTGAACCACGTTCGATCATTATTACGGGCAATTGAAAAAAAGTTTAACTTAGATACTTTACTGCCGGAGATATATATAGTATATAGGGTGTTCCATGGGTAATGGTACCTTAGCCGTGTACGGCGAACATAAGCGGCGATGCTCTAAATATTTTTAACGCTGCGACGTTGTTTTTTCTTCGAAAAAGTAGCATCAACATTGAAATTTTAAGCGGGACCCCATGTATATTATTGCATTTTCCGCTAATATTTTGATTGTTTTTAAATACCTGCCTTTAGCGGTTTTAGAGAAAATAATTATTTTCTTCATTATTTCGGCCGAAAGATAGCTTCAATTAAACTTTTATTACTAAGACCAGTAGAAAGTTAACATTTTGACATTTTGAACATAGCTTAAGTATCGAACAGATTTTCTTAATATCGAAATTAGTTCTACATTACAAAGGGTTTTTAATGTATATTATCACATATTCTAAGAGCAAATTAAATTCCCTTTCGAATTATGTATAATACCTAAATTCTTTGGTTTATGAAATAACAACAAGTTTCTCTCAAAACTGGATTCCTTTGGCATAATTCATCTTTTAGGTGGACATAAAATATCCGTCTTATGTTAAATAATTCATTTTCCATTTGACAGTTCAATAAACATTTACTTCAACGTACCATTCGTCATAAACGTCTAAGGTACCATCAACCGTGAAACACCCCGTATAGTATTGCTAAAGCTATTAAAGTACTGTCACGCTGTTATGGGTTTTGTAACAGAACGTTTACGGGTGGGTCTTGCAGTGACTGGCACCGTAAATCATTTGAATCTAGAAAAGTACGAATTCAACTGATCTTGTCGATTGGTAAGATCATTGGAAAAATTTTTCCTGCATCAAAAAGCAACGGAATAATTCAGCAAATTGATGAGGATGTTTGTAAGTTACAAAAATGATAAAACATTAAGATTTCTCAATAGAGTTGAAAATCTCTTTTCTGGTCACCCTTTTAAATTCCAAAAACGAAAACCACACCCAGTTTTAGACTGATTTTAGGATGGAAAAGGGTAGGAGGGGTAACACGTTTCCTATATGTTTGTTGCTATTATTAATCAAAAATCTATATACAGATCACTTACTTTGCACTAAATAATATCATTTGATATTATTACCATTAAAAAAATACACAGAGAAATATCTAAGATTTATTTGTTTTCTTTTTGCATTATACAATGGAAAATGTCATTTTAATTTGATAAAATAAATGTTCCGTCGCTTTCAAGTTGATGGTTTCCATTCGTAAAAGGTTCAGATCACATTAAACCAACAATGCAGCAGTTCCACTCCAAACCGCCGACTGGATTAAGTGCCCAAATATATTTTCGCATAAATCAGTAAAAACAAGAGAAAATTATGAGAACATTCAATAGAAATGGAAGTAATAATTAGCCAATATAACTTGGATTAAATAAATACCATTATTTTTGGAAACTGAGAAAACTGATTTTTTAGTCATGTTTATCAAATATTTGACGTAACACTTGTCTAAATGAAAAATAGTGATCGAAAATGACAAGTAAGTAAATATCTTGTGGTATTTCAAATGAAAAACACTTCTGAAATTTTTTAGTTAGTTATATCATCATTGTTCGACTCTCGACTTATAGGTAGACTACAAGTATACCATTTTCTTTTAGTAGAGTTGTTTTTTTTTCAATTAATATGATTAGATGGGTGCGAAGGAAAAATGAACCTTTATATACTCCAAGTCAAAGTAAAATTTTAAAATATACAGTTGGTAAAAGAACACCACAGAAATAACTGACAGAAGCAACACGTTATTACTAATCAATTCCTTTTATTTTGGTACACCAATACAAATTGAGTGACATGTATTGTATATGCCCGGAAAAATCATTTTATTGTTATTGTTGCAGCTCTAAGAACCAATATCTTTTAATTCATAGTCAACAATAGGAGAATAGGAATGGGAATATATTTTCATTTAAATATTTTTGCACAACTCTTAAACCATACCCACACTGAAAAAAAAATGCTCCAGAGGAAAGGCAATATCAACTGCTATAATTTAATGCAATGAATAAGTAGATCTGAAATACTATTCAAAAATTTCTTGTACCTTTTTTTTAGAAAGGAGTTGAAAAAATCTGTTCATTAGTGCAAAACAAAAAAGAAATGATTACATTATTTAATATGGATGCCCGAATAAAAGGATTGAAAATAAAGACGCAAATCCAAATGTCTTTCTAAATTTCAAGATGTCAACAGAATTTAAAAAGGCAATTGGATCCGACTCCATTAATTTTTAATTAAAAAAGATTTATTTACGTAAACAAATTACATCACGGTACAATATCACAGACTTATTAATATGTATATCACAGAAAATGTTTAAATAAAAAATATTTAATTTAAAATATTCTCATTTTGACTCAACTAACACCTTTATTTGAAAATGTTGCACTAATGTAGGGGAATGGGAAAGGGATATATTTATTGAACTAAAATATTTACCACGCACTTTTATACATATTCGAGTGTAACATAGAGAAGTAGTGTTGTAGATACCTTATGCCGCGTAGGGCCTCCTTATGAGCCTGGAACATTTTCACATTGTTCATATTCGACTGCCAATATTTTACGTAACCAGCATGATCTCCAGTTACCATCCAACTGTCATTGTGACTCCAAACCATCGTTCGGACTGGACTGTCGTGAGCCTAGAAAAAAAGAATTTTAAATGAATACAATACAGACAAGTTATTCATAATTTTCACATTTGTGAGATTGTGAAGTCACCACTAATTAGTCAATATTATTCCTATTGGTAATTAACAATTTAGGAGGTACTGCGTAGTGTTGGAGCTGGTCAGTCTTTGACTACTTTTTAATTGACTAGTCAAATTCGATCAAAATGTTTTAAATAACATCAATTGAAGTGTATTATCTATTATTACTTAATAGCAATACGTATTTCATAAACTATTATGCCCGTATGTTGTCCAGTTTACCTATAACCCTCTTCAAGGAATACCTGAATACGATACTTGACGATTCGAGGAATAAAAAAATCAACTCCATGACGGCGATGTATGGCACAATAAATAAATATAAACTGACACAAAAAAATTGGCCTATTTGAATTTAAAGCAACGATTTCTAAGCATCAAAAAAGGCTAACGTTTATGCGACATTTTTTTGGCAAGCTTCACAGCAGTGGGATTCACAACGTTATAAATAACAACACCTAGAAATTTATAAGAAATATATCATTAACAATATTAATTTAAAAAAGAGATTATCCTAAATTCTTATACAGGATCCAGCAACGCAGGTAGTACAGATATTATGTTATACCGGATTAGTATTTGGCAAGTTGTGCACTCCTTTTTTGCTAGAAGCAGTTTTATTTTCTTTTAAATAAGATGTTCAACGGACGCTTTTCATAAGACGCTATAATAGAATACTACTTTGCTTCTAGCAATGTGCAACATTTGATTCAAACATAATAGCGATTTTAGGGAAAGGTAGTTTCGTGTTAAGGGGGGATTTATACTGGACAAATCAAGAATTTTCGATACTGAATACTTTATTTTGTTTTTATCGAATAAAATCTGGTGTCCTGTTTCATGAGTCTAGTGTTCTTTTAGCGTGTACCAATTGTTTGCCACAGACGCACGGTCTGCCGTGAACGACTGCCGTCTCGAAAGAAATATTTGCCTTTTCCTTTTAGATGTTGGTAGATTTTATGACAAGTGGATGTTTTTTTTCAGAATTTTCGATATTTCAACCAGGGGGGTGGGGGGTCATTTACGGAAATAGTTTCTGTAAGTGGTTTTGATAAAATATATTTTTTAATTGACCGTTTGATATCTTGATAACGAAAACTGTTTGAGAGAACTGAGCTGAGATTAATTGTTGGTTAAGAGATTCGGTTTGAGATATTGCTCTGAAAACTAAGGAATTGATCACAGAAGATTTTTGGGCTGGCTTGGTTAACCATACCAGAAGTTATGGGCTGGACAGGAAAGTTTTAGTTTGCTAAATTAACATATATACACGTATTTGGACGTAACAAACGTTTTCTTCTGTTTTAATGTGTCTATTTTTCTATGAAAGACTGTGAAAAGTGCCGAAAAATACTCGTTCCTTGCTATATCCGCACCTCGGTGCTCCACGAAAGTAAGTCGACGTGAAGGTGTTTAAATAGTAATTTATGAAATGTCACAGCGTGTTCACAAATAAAAGTTTATAGTTTTATTTTAACTTTCAATTTTTAGCGCGGGTTTGGGAGCATCGGATTTTTTTTTTCAAAAACTAATGGCGGTACAAAAGGTATAGTATGCACGTTTGGTAGGCTTTTTAAGTCACTCGTTTATTAAGCTGCGTTCCACTCGAGCTAAATAAACTCGTGTCTCAAATGCCGTTTATCACAAGTGTTGCATAATATACTGTTATGGTCTTCTTTATATAAGTCATGAGTTTGTCTTAATACAATTAAACTTGCTGTTTATTATTTTCAGAAAAATATGTACTTGATATACAAGGTGAGGTTCGATATAACTTACATTAACAGATTCAGGAAGAAGATGAACTCTATACAAAATTCTGCAAAATTTATAAATATTTTCTTTTTCTGTCCTTATTCATTTTATTATTTGTTGTAGTCGTCCACGTACGTCAAGGCAATTTCCACGCTCCATACACACTCAAAAGAAAACTAAAGATATTATCATTACCATTAAACTTAATGCTACTTCCAAACTACATTGTCTAGCAAACAACTCAAGGCTATTGCAGAAATGTGTAGAGTAAAAAATTTGGAAATTTCGTTCCGCTCAATTTCAGGGCCAGCCATAGGCTTAGGTAAACTTTGAGCAATAAATTTAGTTTGTAAATACATCAGTATTTGCTGTTAAGTCATAGTGTTCACGATATTATAAGATTAGTAACAAAATTGCGACATTCACACCAATAAAAAGATGTTATAAAAAGATGTTCCAGTAACAGTGAGAATTGGAGAAAACAAGAAATTATCGTCTAAGGGTACCTTCGTAAATTCTTTCTTTTTTATGAGTTTCTTGCCCATATCATATTTTGTGTTGGATAACTCCTAAATCAACCTAAACCCCAGTGGTCCATCCGCACTCGATAAAAAGAAAGAATTTTACAATAAAATCCATGCTAAAAATGAAAGTGGGTTAAATAGTTGTTGGGTCAATCTGTATTAGCTTTTGCATACCTAATGAGGTTTTATTGCTCTCCATCTTTCTGAAATAGACAACACAACAACTACGTTAACACTGTGCTGGCACATTCTCTCATGATGTGAATATATTTGTGCTATTTTGAAAAAAAAAAAGGATCTAAACATTATGCAACATGCTGATAAACTGCTGTTACTCCTTTATTAAAAACTTTAAACTCTAAAAACTAAAATTCGTCTGGTGCCAAAACTCCGTTTATCAAACTTGTTTCATAATATACTGTTTAAATGTCAGGTTTGCATATCATGTGTTCACCAAAACCGACTGGCGCTCTTCAATATGGGAAGAATATTATTTTTGACACTCGATGTTATTCAAAAAAAAAAAAAAAAAAAGACATACCCATTGTTATGTTTAATATTGGTGTTATGTTGAAATGGAGGTTCCCGCCAAATAAACTTGATGGTAGGTATAAACATTGGGAGCGTACCGCAATAATTGGACGGCTACATGGTACTTAGTGAAGTTATGACAGCCTTTATTATATTTATTACTATGTCTAAAAGTTAATAACAACAGTAGTGGAGATACCATTAAAGTATAATATTCTTAATTTTGCATTGCAGCGCAGAAATGAAGACTATACGCGCAGTAAAATTAGAAATTTTGGTACTGAACTCCCAGTATAAAACCAAATACAGATACAAAGGATTTGCACCCCTTCGTTGGCAATTTCATCCCCTTTCGCTTCTTATATATTTTTATTTATTATATATTATTTTATATAAGCTTCCTAGAGAAAGAACTACTGTTAATAATCTAATACTCTCGAGACAATCGACGCAACCAAGAGCGCTAGGTTTATTTTCGTAGGACATTTAGGAATGGTGGAGTAAAGAGAAAATATTCTGTGCATGTTACTATATGCAAAAAACATGAATATTAATAGTATCCCTGGTGTACTGTATTTGGAAGTTTAACATATGTATATGTTTTCAATTTTGATTTAAAAAATACTTACCATTTCACTCTATTGTCTTTTTTTGCAGGATTATAGCCAGTTGTATCATTCAACTTTCTATTTATAAACATGTATCAATTATGAGAAAATATAAACGATAATAACGAGACAAAAAGTTAGCAAAGTACTAGCAAATTTAAAGCAATGAAGAAAATTTACTACCCCCAGTGTTTTAATAGATCAAGTAACAAATAACTTGACTTTATTTTCATGTTATTATGTCATATTATGATTAATTATAGCATTAAATTCATCTACCAACCGGCCTATTAGGGTGAACAGAAAGTCTGCAAAAATTTTAGCAGTTCACAACAAACTACATATGTTTTTTTTTTCATCACTTAGCAATCAAAATTAGAGTCACCCAAAATTTAAGGACTTTTCCTAACTAAAATATTAAATAAATAATTCAACTGAAAATGTTCTATTACGTAAAATTTAATAATTACAAAACTTCTACTGCTACTATTTATTTAGATTTAGATTTTTAAAAAGTATTAGAGTAGCCTTTGGAAGTTTCTTTGAAAATAAAAAAGACTTGTACTATTAATCACAATTGACTATCTTTGATTGATTCCAACAAAAATGTCTTCATAACAGATCTGCATTATTGTTTTTAACGCTTCAGGAAATAGGTGATAAATTATGAACAGAGAAGTGGAGAAACTAACAATATCAATAAAAATGTTACTCCAACAAATAGCTGGGAAAGATGTGGTCAAAACTAAGAGAGGAATACTTTGTTTGCTGTACTGTTATTTTTATAAAAACTCTTTACACTGAAAAAAAATCAGCAATTTCACTATACAATTTTCATTCAAGCATTGTTTAAAAAATGGGTGTTTAAAACATTTACTTACCTGTAGAATTGTCTCAAAATTAAATGTCAGGCCATTCCATAATGTAAATTCCCCAGAACTTGCGCCAGTGACCAATCGTCGGCCTTCGGGAGTCCAAGCCATGCAAAAAATGGGGCACCGCATCTTATTGGTGGCAGTTTTCACAAAACGAGTAGTGACACAATTGATTGGATTATCTGGATAACTTGGTGGTGGCATTAAATCTGGGTAATACATAGAATCAGGCTGTAATGCTCTTCGGTCTCTAAAATCCCTTTGCCATATCCTGTTCTGGAACAACATTACTAGATATTTTAAAATATTCAAAAATCATTAGGTTCTAACTACTTACTTCTAATTCTTTAATAATTGATGAATTATAATCAACAGTTTTTCGCATGACAGATTTTCTCAATCTTTTACCATCAAAATCCTCCAAAGTCATGTTACCCAAAGGTCCAGGCAAAGGCTTGTGTACATTCATAAATGGCCGGAATTGTGGCCGGTTGTTAAAACCTTCAAAATAACAAATGTATTCAATTTTGTGTTTTACCAATTTTTGCAGCAAAAGTTCACTCACCTAAACCAAGATTATGGGAAGGTGGGGCCATTAAATTGGGAGGCGGCATTGCCAAAATAGGTGGCGGTTGTGAAAATTCCATTGTATTTAACGATTGCAAACTCCTTACCAAGGAAAGAAAAGCATAACAATAATAACTGGGGTTTAAAAATGTTTTTTTTATTAATTTATCAATCCTTATTGGAGCGCACCATGGCGAGGCAAAATTAATGCAACGTAAATACGTCGAATGGTTTTTAGGACAATAAAAGTTTAGGAGATGCGAATTCGAAAGAAAATAACATAATTTTCTATAGATGGGGTCCAAAATCCCGAAAATTATTTTACGCAACGCCACAGCACTTAATTTAAAATGGCGACGACTTGGCAAACATATAATTTGGTAAGTTTCAAAAATATAAATTACCAAATGGGCAATGATGGAATATATAACTTACCAAATTTTATGTAATCTGTCTTCGCAAAAACATAATGGCTAAACATATCTTGTTATTTGCCAAATTTCCCAAACATATTAAGAAGAAGAATAATGTTTTCCGGTCACTAATAGAGAGGTGTGTGGAGTTTCCAGTAATCAATATTTTGTAGCAGATACTGGACTGATGTGACTGCCGATCAAAATTACTAGACAAAGTAATAGTAATAAATAAAAGCATTTAAAAGGTTTTAACTTTTTTGTGTTATAATGAAAACAGAAATTGTTAATATTATTCGATTCCTTTAAAAATATATTTTTCCTTGCGTTTTTTATAACTAGGTAATTATTGCATGACAAGAAGTTGTTTCTACAACTATTTGGTTGGGAAACAGTACTTATGATCAGTATTTGTACTCAGTATTAAAAAGCATATGTAATATTTGTAACAGTTACTTGAAAGTAATCGCTTATGCCAGCACTAACTAAAGGGTCTTGCGTTAATAAAAAGAAACGTTTGAATGTATGAATAATTTAGCCGTCGTTACCAGTTTGGGAAATCAAAATATTTGTGTTATTAGCTGTTAATGCATTTTTTTATATAGCTACTAGAGATATTGCCGATGCTGATAATACAGGAACTTATAAAGCAACTATGAAAAAAATTGAGAAAAAGGTTCATTCAACACGCGCAAGTTTTTAAAATCTCATTTTTAACCAATCACGGCATTCAGCAGCCAACATGGCCGATGACAGACCGTCAGTAAGTTTGAGTGAGACATTTTTAGGGATGTATTTTCTCAATGTATGCCTAGAGCTCGTTAAATGTTCTGGAAAAACGAGTTATGTGTGTGGAAATCGAGCATTGCAAGTATCGGTGCAATTGTGTGGTTTATGGTCCCTAATCATAGTCGGTCCCGCTGTTTCTGCCATCCACTCCGATTAAAGGCCATGGGCTCGGAGGGTCCGTGATGGAAGTAGGGGTGATCGTTATTCATTTTTCAATTATTTTAAATGTATTTGTCTCAGTGTAAATTAAGTGGTTTTACCGTTTTGTGAGTTTCGTGAACGCCTTGAAAGTATGTCTTGCCGCCATCGCCGTTTTTGCCATTGACGTCGGTATAAATCAAAGTACTTCCATGGAACCAAAGAATGATTGCTTGCAAAAATAAGCTCGTGTGCGTGTTTCGGTCTGGGACCGAAATGAAAAATATCCCAGACGGTTTTTAGTAATGGGCGAATGTCCATGTTAGATCTAGTTAAAAGTGGAAGAAGAAAAATTCTGTGACAAAGATTAGGAAAAACTAACATTATATTGGTAGCATTCAAAAGACGTTACTATATATGTATTTTATTTTACATCAACATTTTTATAATATCAATAACGTCGCGAGAATCCTAGGACTATATGGTATACCATCCATATTTTTTAATAATTTTTTGGTGTTAACAAAATGCCCCAAGAATATGATTCAAGAATTAATTTACATTTGGAAGTAAACAATGGTATTGAGAGGTAGTTTATTTTTTTCCCTATGGTAGTATTAGTATGATATGAGGATGCAGATAGATACTGTAAAAAGAATTTACATTTAAATGTTTTAGGGTAACTGAATTGGTTCACACACGATTAGTGGAAAGTGGCTGGCGTGACCAAGTGAGATTAGCATGTAGGAAGGCTATAGTGGACTGTGGTGATAAGCATGTCCCAACTGTTGATGAATTAATTGCAAGTGTTACACCAAAAGCTAGAGCATTAGTTCCAGATGCAGTAAAACGGGAACTATTGCACGAACTTGAAATAATTTTAACAAATGTGGAAAAAGTAGGATACACCAAAAATTTTTAGAAAAAATGTATTTCCAATATATGTAATGATATATTCAAATAAAACACTTAATATTGGTTCATCTTGAGTTGGTTTTTTCCTGAACAGTGGAGCCTTCTAATAAAAAGAGTAAAAAAAAAATTATTAAAAACACGTTTTAAAAGCAAGTTTTTTTTTCTAAAGAAGTAAATCACAGCCTTATTAAAATCTAATTATATACAGTATATCAGATCTGATGTTACGTTATTCTATAATTTACTGGCATATACTTAATTATATATTTGTCTTTATAATTCATCTTTCTTTCTTGATTCCATTGAGCAATCACACTGAGCATCCGATTTTTGTTCAACATACTCCATCCCTTCCAGAATATCAACTTTACTAGTTATCTTTTTTCTTAACTCATTTAACAAATGGATATGATAACAAAATATATGTTGTGGCAACAAGTGCTTATTAGCAAACTTCTGACCATTGCTGGCTATTTCTTTCGCTTTTGAATCATTTTCTTGGGCCCAATGTAATTTTTCTAGAAGATCAGACAAATCCTCATTTAAAGGAACATAGTGATAATTAGGTTCCAGATCTTTATAAAAGTGTTCATAATACTTTGAATGTGGCTTAAAGATAAGAGAACCTCCTCCAAACAAGAAAGGCATTCGATATGGAGCCACAGTGCCATCAATAGCTATTTGATATTTGAACTAAAACATAAATTTAAATATCACCAATAATCAATCAAATATGAACTAATTCACTTACTCTGAAAAAATCAAAAAAAGATACATGATCACTCTTTGGTCCATAGATGTGTTCCTCTTCTTTATGAAAGAAAAAATTGGTTAAGGAGACATTAAATAGATTTGGATACCTCTTGGATAATTTGATTAGATCTAAGCGATAGCGGTTAGAATCCCGTCCTCTCCAAAACAATCTGGGTTGTCTTTGCTCCCAAACATCTTCCACATTACCTTGCACTGATAACATGTCAAGCATAACCCTAAAATGCCAATATTATTAGACTGTTCTTTGGAAACATGAAAAATGTAAAAAACCAAGAAATACAGCACAAATTTCAATATTTTGATAAATATTACCTGCCCATATTTTCCAGTGATGCTTCAGTAAGCTGATAAGTAGGCATAACAATATCATAGCTATCATCACTCCCACACCATGAAAAAATTGGATAAATATCTGATGATGACTTTAGTGAGAGTGGCCAATCACCCAAATTTACAAAAAATTCCAAATCTGGAAGATTTACTTTTTTTGCAAGTGACAACAAAATTGCATCAGAAAACATATTAAATCCAACATATTTTCCATAACATTTCCTAAATATACTATTTTGCTTTACTACATAGTGGCACAAACTTATAGAATGAGGTTTATCGAAATTATCAATAATCTAAAAATAAGAACACATAATATAGGGAATATTTTGTTACAAGTATCTTACTCTCTTTCTGATATGGTTCCAATCAATAGTTTTAAATACAAGGAAATCACTATTAATTTGCCTAGGAACTTTACCACAGTGCCATTTCTTAATAAACTCAGTAATATTTTGCCTAGGGCAGTTGCACTCAGGAGAAACGTTTTCATTAATTATGTATGGTGAATTACCAACCAAGTTGCCATCAAAATGAACAATAATTTTTAGATAAGTACACTGTTCGTAAATCTTATATCTGACGATTACCAATCCATCTTTTCTGTCTAATATGTTGGTCCAAATCCGACACGGTCTTTTTTGGACTGTGGTACCATCAACCACTATGGACAAATAATCTGCAAGTCTAGAAAATTCCCGTAGATTAAAAATTACTGTAAATTAATTATTGAATATTTGCCTATTAAAGTGCACATTGGTGGCATCAATAAAAAAATATCTCGCAGGCATAACAATATTTTGCGGTTCCAGGCCGGGACCCCATATTTTAATTTGTCGAAGATCGAATGCTTGTTTTTCGGAATTTATAAATGGATGTTTCATACAAAAAAATAATGCGACAACTAAAAAAAAAAATTTCCACAAAAACATTATTTGAAAACTATTAAGTTTTTACCAATGAAATTCAATTCAATTCAATTCAATGATGCGTTTCACAGATAGCTGTTGGGCACGACTACCAGGATCATTCGCCCATTGCCGACTTCCGTCGAGGATTCTCGGATCTTCTCCAGGAAGGAGACAGAATTTTGAAGTTCTAAATGTCGAGGATTTTCGTATCTTCTCTGGCGAAGAAGACTGATTTTTGAAGTTCCAAATGTACCAATGAAATAGAAATGTATGTATTTCGCTTCTTCGTATCCACATTACATTGGGCATGGTTTTAGGATCATTCGCGCATTATCGATCATTTTTATATCACTAGAATCAGTTTTGATTTGAATTTGCTATAATTCCATACCGGAGAGAATGTATACCCCGTAAACGCAATAATTTTTTTTTCGGTTTCATTAATGTGTGTGCGTGTCGTTTGGCCTAGCTAATTTCCCGTTTCTCATCTCTAAAGGTAGAGTTGTAACAAACCGTCCTCTGTATAATGTAAAATATGTTATTTGTAAGCGTTGTACACACATAGCTACTAGAGATTTAGAAGTCCTGCCCATGCCGGTAAAACAAGAACTTATGAAAAAAATTGAGAAATTCAATTCAACATGCCCATGAGCGAAATTCGTTTTTAATTCTTTAACAACCAACATGGCTACTGACAGATTGCCGAGAAATTTTTAGGCGTTATTTTTACGATTGTGTTTGCTCAAAATATTTAGATAAATGGTTTAGCAAAACGAAGTCAGTGTGTGGAAATCTCTGTTTAGAAAGAAAATAACTCCAAGTGCAGGATAGTGGGTTACATGTAGAGGCATGACCGAAAAAAATCACTTCTTGTACGAAAATATCCATACCGCCTACAGCGCATCACTTTTACCGTAATAGGGTCATTATGCCATTATATTATCTAAATGGTTGTACAACATAAAAGTGATGGTTGATCATGACCAACAAAGTAAAATAAATCCTCGACGGAAGTCTACAATGGGCGATAGACCCCAGTAAACATGACCATTTAGTTTAAGAAGGATTCTATAGATCTCTGGTTATAGTAGGTTGGAGGTTAGTTAATTTAAGTGTTTTGCGAATGTGATTGAATTTTTGAAATAATGGTTAAGCAGCATTCATTTAGATTAAGAAAAAACACATCCAACTCCATGCGTAAAGATACTCATAAAAAAAATAAAGCGTTGAACATGTGTGTATAAGTTTTATTTTACTGGGCTTTTTTTAAAAGAGATATTTTTAGAAAATCAGAGCGTAAAATAGTGGATTCAAATTTGAGCGGCCTTGTTTTTCCAGCAGGTGAAACGGCCTTCAAGATTTTATTATCTGCCCGTTTTTGCGCTGCAATTTGGTCACATATCACAGATTGCGATGAAACTTTCAATTACTGGGAGCCAACTCATTTTATGGGTAATTTATAAGGTCGAAATTTTCTTCTCTTTATTTCTAATCCAATCGATATGGTTCCAGTTTTTGGGAAAGGCCTGCAGACATGGGAATACAGCCCTAGATTTGCTATACGTTCCTATCTATATATCATGGTTCATTCAACACCTTTGTGGATATATAATAAAATTTTGCAGCCAAATCCTCTTTTAATGTTTTATTTTTTAAGATGCTTACTTGGCCTCATATGTGCTGTTACAGAAGTGTATTTTTACAAGTTAGTTTGTTTTATCTCATTGTAAACTAATGTCAAAGATAAAGTTTGTATCCAGTTATTAATTTTGTTATTATAGGTCAGTATGCAAAGAGTTTGGAGTTCATATTGGGCGAATATGTTTAGTTTTCCAATTATTTTCACCGGGAATGTTCATTTCCAGCACTGCCTTTTTACCTTCAAGTTTTGCTATGTATAGCTTTACTGCTGCTTGTGCTGCTTGGTGGCAACAAAGGTATGCATTGGCAATCTTTTTTGTTGCTCTAGGAGCTCTATTAGGTAAAGGCTTGTTATATTCCAATTATTTCAAAATTTTGTAATTCTTATTTAATTGTGTCTAGGATGGCCCTTTGCTGCAGTGCTGGGGGTTCCAATTGCTTTTGACATGGTTGTTCGAAGAAGAGCCTATTTTGATTTTATTATCTGGAGTGCTGTTTCAGCAATAGCAATCCTTGGGCCAATGATTGTGATTGATTCTGTCATTTACGGCAAGTTAGTGATAGCTCCTTTAAATATTGTTCAATATAATGTATTTGGTGGTTCTGGACCCGAACTGTATGGCACAGAACCCTTCTCCTTTTATCTACTCAATGGATTGTTAAACTTTAATTTAATTTGGGTAAGGATACAAAATACTGTTTTTTGTTTCAATTAAATAAAAGGGTAAACCTACGTAATTACTTTAATAATTGTTACACATAATGGCTACTTTTATCGCAAATGTCAGTTAACTACTTATCAATCTGCTGATCGGATTGACAGAATATTTATTTTTATTTATTATGTTTTATAATGGCAATGTTGTACAGTATATTATGTAAGCAAGTATTTAGAGATGGATTTTCAAATTATCATACATAAATGAAGTTACAAATTTTGTAGATATTCTAATTTTTTAGATCCTCAGCGTTTTCTGTCCAGCAGCTTTGATACTTAATTATTTACTGGTCCCCTCCAGAACCAGAAGCACATTGTACCTACCTCACTGGCTGTCTCTATCCCCAATGTTTTTGTGGTTGATAGTTTTTATGTTTCAAAAACATAAAGAGGAACGCTTTCTTTTTCCAATATACACTATGATTTGTTTGTCTGGAGCAGTTTCTCTGGATATAATTCAGAAACTGTGGTTTCGAGGGTGGGCCTTTGTTAGAAAAAATACTGGTGGTAGTCATTATTTAGATAAAACTACCTTTGTGATGGTAATAACCATAATTGTAACATCTATTTTAGGTGGGTTGTGGCTTGTGGCATAGACTTTTTGTTGTTGATATTTTTGTATTCATTTCAGGTATTTCACGAATATTTGCACTGTATAGAAACTACCATGCACCACTAGATCTTATGATTGATTTAAATCGATATCCTCTAGAAAACAACATACCTGAAGATTTTGAGATACAAATATGTTTAGGTAAAGACTGGCATAGGTATCCCAGTTCATTTTTCTTACCCAATCACAATTGGAACATAAATTTTGTGAAATCAGAATTCAATGGAATGTTGCCCGCTCCTTATTCTACTGAAGACAATGCCACCAAGTTGGTGCACAAGTATTTTAATGATGAAAATAAGGAAGAACTAACTTTATATATTGATGTTGACAAGTGTCATTTTATGTTGGATTTGGACTTGGGCAGGGAAACTGACTTGGAGCCAATATATGCAAAGAGACATCAAATATGGACTGTGATTTCCAGTTATCCATTTTTAAATGCAGAAAAGTCCAATAAGCTAGCTCGATCTTTTTTTGTTCCATTCATAAGTGAGAAATATGTTGTGTTCGGCAACTTTAGTTTGTTGCAGGCTGTGAAACTGAAATTTACATAGTACTTAGTGGCAATGTGGCAGTGTAAAACTTGTCAATGTTAAGACTGTTTTAATTTACAGCTAGAAGTAAAGCCAGAAATAAAGCATTTGAGTAGCTGTTACCATAAAATTAACAAAGATTTTTTTATTTATTTAAAATGTAAAATATGTTTTTTGATATTTTGTTCTTAATTAAAGTGATGACTGGTAACAACTCTTTTATTATAAAATAGGCGCTCAATATTCCCCAATTATATTATATAATAGTACTCAAGTCTTCTTTATAATATTGTTTGTACAAAGTCCTTCAAATTCAATTCTCTATCGAAAATTGAAATAATTAAACTCTTTTCCTATCATTCCAGCCTTTATCCTTTAAGATGTGTATCTAGGATAACTTCCTAATCTTTATTTAAAATATAAATGTGGTTTCAATGGCTCCTATGCATATACTCAATGCTTTAAAATTGTACCTCAGTCTGGAGTCCATTCTAGAACATTTGGAGTACAGAGCCGATTAAGTGCATAGCCAAAAGGGGGTTTATGCACACAGGCCCGTGGTTACCTTGTTCCGCCACTGGCAATAATTCAAGAAACAAGTGTCCCTATGACATCATTCACCATGTTCATTATATATCTATTGTACCCTAGTCTGGAGTATATTCTAGAACATTTAGAGTACGGAGCCAGTTAAGTGCATAGCCAACGGAGGTTCCGCCACTGATAATAGTTCAGAAATATATCGCTATTGTATATAAAATTAAGTGAATCTCTGCACCAAGAAATGGTGATTTTTGTCATTCAAAGCTATTTCTATTGCTCCTTGTTCTGGCTTTGCCATATTTAAATTTAAGGATACATCACAATTTGTTAAGTAAGTAAATAAAATAAATCAAACAGGATTATTAGTTGTATGCGATTTCATTCAAATAATTCATAAGATAAATGTTTAAAAAAAATTAAAGAAACCAATATTAAGCAAATAATATATTACAGGAAAGATATATTTTTATATAAAAATGTTCAAATCTAAGAGCTAATGTAAAATATAGATTCTCCATACTGATATAACTAAGGTAAAAAGTATAAATAGTGAATACAAACATGTATATCAGGAAATATGGGAAAGTCATAATAAAATGACACATGCATATCTATAATTTCCAAATAAAATTTTTTGAACCAACAACCAATTCCAAAATGAAATGCACAATTTCACAATCAAAATCTTTGGAAAAAACATTTCTTGGTTTATCACAGATAGAAAAGATCTGTTGTTGACAATTGACCCGCTAGGAAAGCATTAAGAGTAAAGAGATCTAGCATATAGTAAATCTTCAAGAGTCTGGTTTTAGGCGTCTTCATAGAGTAACCTTAATAAATTCAAAGTATCAGTGGCAATTTCATGTAATGAAAAATTAATTGGGATGAAGTGAATATTTTAGATTGAATCAATCACCATTTTCTACAAATCAGTCTTCCAAAAATTCTGGTTGTTTCACTATTACTGTTAACGTAGACTACTACTCATTGTGATACTCAATATTAAAATTTGAAGCACCTGTTACAATAAAAAAAGCATTTTTGTTTTTAAAAAACAAATTTAAATATGATCTACATAAAATATTAATGAATCTTTAGGTTCAGATAATATATTTAAATGCAAAAAAACTGTAAAATGACAAATTGGTTGGTATTGCAAAGCATTATCACGACAATATTGCCACACTTCTACGAACACCTATTCCCCCATTGGTAATATTATCTAAACTGGACCACTTTTTTAAACCGTTTTTGATAGCTTCAGCAGTATATTTATCTGCCATAACTCTAGACATTGCCTCTAACTTTTGAGCCCTGTCTTTGCTCAAAGGCTCGCTGGGGAAAGTCAGATCATTAGCTTCCGCCAAAGTTCGCAAATCAAAGTAGTACTTCGCATAAACGCTAGATGGTACATTGATATTAAACTGTAAAAGTTCCAGAAATCTCCTTTCCAACTCATTCATATCTTCTACCGTTATATCCTTAAGTATTTGACAGTAATCCACATTCCAAACAGCTTGGTCATCCCACACTTTTGATGCTAGCAAAATTGCTCCTGCATGAAAAAAAGAAGATATCAATTAATAAAGGTAATTGAAAATATCATAAAAATGCTGTTAATTAAACTTTGGAATTTTTTTGTTAAACTTCAATTTTAAAGTGCACTCCAACTAAAAGTTTCATATAGTGAACATTTAAACTAACCTAAAACTATCCTCTTCCAATTGGATGGTTGTATATCTAACTCAGCATAAGTTAAAAGTCTTTCTAAATACACCAAAGTTATAATGGCACATTCTGCAGTTAATTGGGCTGCATTGAACAAAGTTCGAACAAACTTATAAATCTGTCTATGTTCTGGATTGTGTTTGTCATAATCATCACTCACACCATCACGGGTTAAAGGATGAAGTTTTTCATCAAATATATCTATCTGTCTCTCCAAATCTCGATTTTTTATATGATAATAAATAGCTAATGCAACACATTTGACAGTGTTTTTCAAATTGGGCTGGGAGACTGTACTGTCATCAAGATATATAGTAGAACATGAACTGCTTTTCTTTAGAGGTCTAACATCAGCAATTTGATGTTGGCTCTTCCTCCTTATCATACCATTTTCTATGGCGGTTTTTGATCTCTCGATAAATATGGTTTTTGCCATTGGATCCTGTGAAGGATCAGCCTCTCCATCATCCTCTTCTCTTTCACTAATATGTTGTAAATTGGATACGCTGATTTCTCCATCACGAAGTGTCTCTTCAATAGGTATGATATCTCTGTGGTTTGATTGCGGACTTGAGTAAGAACAACAACTGGTCTTATTTCCCATTGCTAGTCTGTTATAGAGATTTTAACCCCCAAATGCAATCCCAGCTACACTAATCGTTTTTACTAATTTCTGACTCATTTTTTTCACTACTAAAAGTTCCGGATTATGTTAACCTTATTACCGAATGCTAAAAACTAGATATTATCTTATCAGCTATGTAGTCACAGGGATGATAACCGTTTGTTAAACACACACATATATTTAAATATCTTATTAGCCGCTGCAGAGGACAAACTCGCATTCCGGTTTCGGGTTATTATAGAATAGCTGGATCTATGGAAACGTTCTTGCAACATAAAATCGAATTACATGATTTTAGAAATATATAAAACTGCTATAAATATTAATCCAAACGACATGTTTTGGATTTCATTGCCATAGATGGATCAAACCATAGAAAGGCACAGTATACAACGGTAAATTTATAATATTACCGGCAATCGGCAATGAATACCACAGTTTGATTTAAATATTTAGCTTGTTTGGAGGTATTTGGGCATGGATTGTCAAAGGCGGAAGCGCGAGGTAACCGTTTTTTAAGAAGGCATTAAATATTTGTTACCTTCATCTTTCTCTTATCATTCTATCAACTCAACTCAACAACAGAATATCAATAACTAACCAAAAAATGTTAGAAATCAGCAATGAGCGACTTTTCCGAATACATGCCTACCGTTATGTATAAATGAAGAAGTGAAGAAGAGGAAGGTGCAGGGTACTGGAAGTTGTGTAGTGTTGTTTGTGAAGCTGTCGTTCGAGGTTCTTTTTTATAGTGTTGTGGCAGTTTATTAAGTTATTGGGAAGCAAAAAATGAGCAATCTTAATTCTCGCTGTTTCCAATTACATCGGGAGCACCTATTTATAGTTCTTTTATACAATGTAGTAGTGGATGGTCCATGGCATAAATGAGAAGATAATCGTCTTTCTGCAATTTCTAATCTTCATCATCTTGCTCTGTGTACACTAATTTGCAAAAAGTGCAGATTCCTTGAACTTGTGCCGTTTATGTAACGTAAACCAAAATGAATATGTTGAAGCTGATTACGCCATATTAATATATGGGTGAGTACGGTCGAGTTCAGCTATAAGTTTTCAATAACCTGGCAAAGAGGGGATGCCAGAAAATACTTCAACCGCGAATGCCCTTTATAAGATAGGCAAGTGTCGCAAAGAAACTTGCCGCTCCTTAAGGAACGGTCGTCTTCCACAAATTAGAAGGAAGCAGTTGTGAACTAGAACGATGATTTTGCAGTTGATCAGGAGGAATTTTGCCAATTTTGCATAAAATCAAATTGAGGCAAGGTTTTAAACCTTCTGGTTGTTTTGTCTTTGGCGTTATCCCTCGTTAGACGCTAATAGTTTGTTGAGGCAGACGCTGCTAGATGGCTCCACCTCGCAGTAAATCACGGAATTATTTAGTTAAAGCATGTACAATTGTGGCGTCATCTTTGGCAAAATCACGGAACCAATTAGTTGCAGCAAGCACCAAGAGATGAGGCACGTACTGGCGCCATCTCTTGTCGACTAATGCATTTAGGCAGCTGCTAACAGTATGAGCTTATCTCTAAATTCCTTGTATTGACTATTTCAAGGAATTGTTATCCAAAACAAGACCCATCTTAATCGAAAAGAATTTATTTCATATAATAAACCGTCATAAACTATCATCAAACTTCTTCATGCTTATGGTAGAAGTAAAGAAACCAGAAATCTTTGCAAACGGGATGTCTATGCCAAGTTTTCTGGGTTTATAAAAAGTGAATTCTCTTTACTCCTAAACATAAACATAGGTAGGACTCACTTTACACTTAAGGTAAGTTCACCATCCGGAAGAATATGTGATTTCTCGTTTCTTCAGGCAACTTTCTTTTTTGTAATGCTACGTTAAGTAGGCCAACAAACCCCGCAGCAAGTAGGAACTGAAGGTTTGGACATTAAAGAGTACATTATTATTGCTTCAATCAGCTGCAATCAAACCAAAATTAATTTGAAATTTAAAAATAAATGTGCGCAAAACATTTGTTTTCTCTGCGACCACTGTATCTCTTCTAATTTCATCCATTCATCATGGTAGTTAGAGTGCAAACGCCGTTGAACAATACAGTCTTGACTCGATTATGAGTTAAGATGATGCGCAACATACCTTGAAACATGAGGTGTTACTACGTCGGGAATTTTTGAACTGCTCATAATGGTAATTGTGTTGCAGAAGCGATGAGAGAGTTCGTCTCAAACCTTTTTGATTCTTGAACTATAAACAAAACTTAACTTCTACTAAGAATTCAAATGTTTTGTTTTGGACTGCCACAAGAATCGTAAAACTAATAGGATTGCCTAATCCGCCGAATCTGTCCGCAAGTGCAATGCGAAAACTCCCGCTGGCTGTGACGTAGGTGAAGTCCTGTATTGACGCGTTTACTATGTAAATGCATGGAAATAATCTGAAACTGAGTAGCTAATATGGCATTTTGTTTGGATAAACACTCGTTATTTTCATTTAGTGTCAACATTAAATCGTTTTAGTACTTATTTATTAATTATTGGAAGTAGCGTAGGGTAGGGTAAAAATAATACTATTGCAATAAAAAATATTTATTAAATATTGTTACACATAAATACATAAAACTAGCGAACAAAACGATTTACTTGTAAAACTTTGTGTTTTACGGTATTCTACCATTTTAAATATACAAAAATCAACAAATACTTATAAACTAGAAATCCCTATTTTTGGATATATTAAAGAACATTAAAAAACAAAAATACATTAGGCATACATAACAACTATTTATAGGTGGTAGTTAAATAATATGTATTTATATGTACCCTCGTATGTACATAATATAAAAAATACATATTACTACATATACTTAAATCTTTATTTTACAATTTTTCCATACTTTCTAATTTCTTTTCTGCGGGTATCATCTTGCAAAGATTTTCTTTTTAGACTAACGTTATATTTTGCTTTTAAATTTCTGAAGTTTAAACGAATTATCGTTCTCAGCTTACAAAAATTTCTAACTAAACTAAATGGTAATTCTTTTTCTGTTTTAAATATTTTTTTTGCTATGCTGTAATGATGATCTGTGGTAATTTTATAAGTATAATCTCCTAAAGTGGGGATATCTGTTTTGTGTTTTTTGGCTAAATAGCCCGCAATGTAATTCAAAGCATCTTCAGCAGTTTCCTTAGCACCCTGATTAAAATCAAATTGATCCTTAGATTCACTTGAAGAAACTGATGAAAATCATGAGCTGCTTTGGGACTCATTATGTAAATTGTAAACAGGCGTGTCTTTAATGTCAACTTGTGCAGTTTCCAAAACTTTGGTACAAATAATGTAATCGGCTAAAACTCGCTCTTCTGTATTTACTTTAGAACTTAAAATACCAGGATTTTTTCCTAACAGAATCATACGAATTCTGTAAACGGCCCCGAGAGGTGTTGGGTGTTCATCTGGACCCCTTCTGCTTCTTATTTAAAAAAAAAAGTTCTCCAAACTATCCTGATTTAATTTATGAGTACAAATATATTTAATATCTAAAGTGGACTTCATGTCTTCAAACAAATTTTGTAAAGAAATAATTGACATTAATATGCCTTTTTGAAAAGTCATTAGGGCGTTTTTTTCAAAAACTCATATTATAAATCAATTCGTACATTTTTGTAATTGGTCATTTTGATTTTTTCAATCTCTTCCGTTGGCATTTTTTGACGGGACACTCCCGTTTGAAACATAGCTATTAAAAATATCGAATCGTAAATTAACATCACCTATAGTGTTTCCCAAATCCTCTGCTATTTTCTTATCTTCTCCCAGCTTATAATGTAAAAGAGCAGTAGAAACATTATTAGAGAGAAGTTGCGTAGTAAGTCGCACATTTTGACGATTTGTTTTTTCAACATCTAAATGCTTTTGGTTTATTTTCCAACAAGCATTGACTTCACTATCGGTTAAGGAGACCAGAGCCTGAAGAGGATTTTTATTTAAAATGAAATTGTCCTTTAGCGTAAATCCCCTAAAAGCCTAAAGCAATAATAAATAAATATGGAACATCAGCAAACATATAAATGTTATTATTGAAAATGGGATGCTTAAATGATATTTTGTGAAGTTCAATAATAATGTCAAACAAAATTTCTTGGGTTATTTTTTGGTCAAAAGTAATAAAAATAGGTTGCTTCCAGTTTGAAAATAGGCCTCGAGCCATAACAACTTGCATATTGTTATAAGGACCTAAAATTTCTTCCAGTCTTCACTTTCACCTCATCATACTGTAAAACAACTGTTCTTTCAAAAGTAGAAAATGATTCACCTGCTAACTTAAGCATTAGCAGAACATCTAATAACATTCTTTGACTTAAATTAAGTTCAGAAGCCAATCTTCTCGAGGAAGAAAGTGCTGGTAGTGGATAATGTAATTTGCTTCTTAAATAAAGGTTAGATTTCTTACTGTAATATCTTAATGTAAATGCTCCGGCTATTTCGTCTCGAGTCCAGTTTACTCGCTTTTTTTTTTGACAATAAATCGATTTGATACTACATAAGTACCATCTTTAAAAGTGTCATGGGTGGTTATTTCTTCAGTTGTTTTAGATTTTGGGGATTTATAATATTTAGTTTTGAAATATCTTAGTTGTCATTAAGAATTTTATTTTTTTTATTACTCTTGATAAAATGACCTTTAGTTCTAATAGAACTAGCTTCTAGCAAAGAATATTTTTTGGTTAAATTATAAAAACTATCCAACAAATCCATATACTTAGCTTTACAATTTATTATTTGTGGTTCGGAGATGGGTTCTGGCCTGGGCTCTGGCATGGGTTCTGGAGATGGAATTTTCTCTAGAATTTCACTTGTGGCATTCGATGTTGTTGCTAAAAGCTCAGACAATACCTGCTGAGCTTGTTTTTTGGCATTTTTGCAATGAAGACTTTTTGATCTAGATAATCCTTCTTCTGTTGGTGGTTTCTGGTTAAATAATAATATGGTGGGAACAGCAGTTTTTTTTACAATCTTTTTTAAAGGTAAACCTAAAATTTAAATTTTTTGGTGAATTTAATGTGTTACTCAAGAAAAAAAGAACCTAATAACTCATTTTGTAATTCTCGTTCGTAATCATTTTCAGTAAAATGAACTGAGCAGACATAGCTTTTATCTGGATTAAGTTTGTCCTCTCTTCTACATCGAACTATCCACTCGTTCCTAATAGTTTGGGATACTAGATCTTTCCCTTTGGGAAAGCGATGAAAACTACATTTTCGAGAACTTGCTTTTTCATCAAAATAGTTGTTATTGCACCCATACACGGCACATCTCTTAACTTAACTTATCCCACTGAAAAAGGTAAAAGAAATGTATTTCTTACCTTTATCTATATTATTATGTGTAATATTTTGAGCTTACCTCCTAACTAATAACACCGCTAATAAGCAGCACGAATACAAAACTTTTAAGTGTTTAATTAAGATTAAAAATACTGTTTTTCTCAGTTCTCGCCACTCAAGCACATACGCTTTTAAAGTATTTGTTAAAGCTTAAAAACACTGTTTTGTCCAAGTTTTTTTTTTACAGAAATACAATTAACACAAACATAAGCGCACTATTCATTAGTTTAAATTATTTTAATTGTTCAAAGAACACAAAATACAACGATTTAATAGGCCTTGAAATGCGTTGACAGAATACACAAAAACTGTTTGAGGACTTCGCTTACGTCACAAGCGACCACGTGCCATGGATAATTTTGGCGAACGTATGTCTTATGGGATTGGGCAATCCTATTAGGTTTACCATTCTTGGGACTACCAGCCTATTTTGCGCGAAACTATGGCATCGTGTCTACCATTAAAAAAATAGCAGTTCAAAATACTTTAACCGCAATTTTTTTCTACTAATAATATACTTATGTAGAAATTGCATCGCGTCAACTATTTGATATTTATTTATTCTTGGTTTGTTTGAATAATGGGCGAATATTTCTCGTGATATTTCAAGCTTTAGTGAATTAAAGTTGCTTTAAACTATGATTGTACAGAACAACCAATAGAGAAAAGTAATATGAACGACCTAACCATAAAAGGTCGTCAGAAAACCAAAATAATATGGATGTATTTTTGTAAGTAACAGTGGAGTGTGACGGTTTATAGCAGACATCAGTTTTGAACTACTTCATTGCTATGGCTCAAAAGGTAGACAAGGATGAACTAAGAACTAAATTAACGCCATTGCAGTATCATGTTACCCAAGAAAAGGGCACTGAAAGGCCATTTTCAGGTTATTGCAAGGGGAAGTAAAGCAGTTATTAAACTGTATTTATGCGTTGTTTTTCAGGTTGTTATAATAAGCTTTATGATCAGGGTACTTACACATGTGTGGTTTGTGAACAACCTTTATTTAGTTCTGAAACAAAATATGATTCGGGGTGTGGTTGGCCAGCGTTTAACGATGTTTTAGACCAAGGCAAAATTAAACTGAAGCCAGATTCAAGTGGAGGTATTTCTAATTTATGGTATATATGGAAGGTAAAAAAATAGATGTAATTGATATTTTAAAATTACATTGCATCTCAAGCTTATTATTGGGCATATTTTTTTGAAAGGTTATCTATCTTTTCCTTGATATACCATTAAAAAATGTTCAAATACAGGAATATTTTGATGGATTAGACCCACTCCATTCTGCTGTAAATAGTTTTTCATCGCAATTTAGCAACATGTCATGTCACAAATTGTTTTAGCTATTCTCAGCTATTATTTTAATTTTACTTCAAATTAAAAAAATCTCATATACATATATAATAAGCACATTTTTCTTCTCAACAAAATAACTAAGTAATATTGTGATTGTGTTACATTGGTTGGTTAGACACTATCAGGGGAAAAGGCTGGAGAAATGATCTGCTTACAAACGCGTGTAATGGAAGTTCATTGAAACTTGACTAATGGGGCACAGAGTTTTGGAATTACAGATGCTTCTTTTGTAGTTTTCCACCCTATTTGAATAAATTTGTTTTGTTCAAACATTTCAATAAATACAATTAGTTTCTATTTTTTTACCTTTTCTTTTTTATGTAACTAACATAGAACATGCACAATTGAGCTTACTATTAATAATATAAACTATTTAGTAATTTATAGTTTAAGATAATGTCATACTCAAAAACTGTCTGATTTTTTTCTTACCCTTTGTGTGATGTTGATAATTGACATATTTTGATACTTTCCTTTGTTTAGGTTGAAGCTCCTCTAATAAATCTGGCTTTCACTAAAACGACTGGACACTGTTTAGAGATATTACACTTATTAACAATATAGATTTGTTACTGTTTTATGAACATCTGTGTTTAAGAAGTGCTAATGCAAATATTTTCTCTCCTTTCCTGTCCCTCAAACCTTTCTTTTTATTTGTTATTTATATTGGTTTGGTTACTATTCTTACCCATGCAACCTAATTCTTGTTCCACATCCTAACCTGCTCGCAGTTGGAGCAAATTTATTACTCCTGATATCCCAGCCAGATAGAATTAGGACAGAGGTGTCTTGCTCTCAGTGTGGTGCTCATTTGGGGCATGTGTTCAACGATGGACCTCCTCCAAAGAAAAAGAGGTTCTGTATCAACTCAGCATCTCTCAACTTTAAACCAAAGAAAAACTAATGATATAGGCTCAAACACCAATTATATTGTTAGATTTGCCTCTAAATGTTATGCAGTTATATTGTTTTGTATGTAACTTAATTAACTTAATGCTCTGCATAATACTTCTGACAAGTATATTGGCTTATTTGTCTTTATAATTGTTTTGATATGTTCATGTTTCACTCGAATTAAAAACTCACTAATTTAGATTCTTATAGTTTAGATGAAACAAAGATCGAGATTGTAATTCAAAACATTTTACTATTCGATTTTGTTGTTCTGGACAGGCTAGGTTCTATTTACAATTGTTGGTTTAATGAGACTGCCAAAGAGCTGTGATTTATGAAAAATCTATAATCGGAGAAACTCATTGGGCTATAGCAGCCAACAATGTAAATAGAACTGGGCCTTGAAATAAGAAATGATTTTTGTGACATTTTGAGATTTTTTTTTACAAGACGCCTATTGATTTCTTTATGATGTGCTTACCTATAACAGGTTATCTAACATTTGAATCTGGCCTAATTCTGACTGATGTACCATATTAGTTAGTTCTTCAATTGCCTAAGACTAACATGATTGAATGTAAAAATATTAATAATAAGGTATATTTTCTGTAATTTTGTGTTTTATTTTCACACTCTCAAAACATTATATCACATGTGTGGTCCATTTGAGCGTCCTTGATCAATAATAATCAAAAATAATAATTATTATTATTTAAAGAGATTAATAATTAAACAGTTCTGGAAAGTATAATATGTTAAAATTACTTATATTAATGGTCTTTCAATTTTATCAAGCATATCCTATACCTAAACTTAGTTTTTTTTAGGTATACACAACTCCAAAAGGTCGTCAAGTTATGAGAAAATATCTCAATAAGTTAAGAAAAATAAAAATAAATAGGTAAATTTTAAAATTTTGTGAAAAAAATTTCCTTTACCTTAATTCAGAAATTCTGCCTTTTCTAAAGCCCAACATGTTGAACTGCATGGTGTCAAATTAATATTATAACTCGTTTAATATTTTTTTAGAAAAAAAAAATAAATTCAAAAGTTATGGATGACTTTAAAAATAAATGACTGTCCCATTTTAAAAAATTGTCTGCAAAATAAAGTTGCAGTTTCCGAATACGGCGTCATAAATATGGGGTATTAGACACAGCGAATTTTTTACGAAAAAATGGCCCTAACTCTGAAAACACTCGGTATAGACCACAAGAACTATACATTGTGTGATTGAGTATAAAAGGGAGTATCTATTAATGCCATGCCAGGGGTTTCATTAAAAAAATATATTTGGTTTCAAAACATATTTATCAATCGCCCTGTATATTTGATATTGATATAATTTAAATTGTTTCTTTTAGTCTCATCTATAAGTTTGTATTTAACATTTTTCTTTAAAACAAATAGTACAGGAGATAAATTACTTTGACACACGATTTGGATACCTTAGACCACTTTTGGCAACCTTAAACCACCTAGAAATAGATAAGAAAAAGGAGTATGTAATGAACATATAATATAAATTACTATAACTTCTTGGGCAACCCAAGAGAGGAAAGAAAATGTAAAAAAGTTTTGGCGTATTTGACAAATGTTGTTAAACCAAACAGCTGAGCTCTTTTTTTCAGACCATTAATAATACAAATTCACATATTGCACCGATGTTACCAAATCAGGCATTGTTTCCACATGAAACTTCACATAGTTTTGTTGTAATTGGGCGCGAAAAGGTAAAATGAAATATTAAGGTTTAAAAGTGCCTATTGTATTTGATACGAAATACAAAATGATACAAAGTAAATTTTTTCTTATAATATTGTTGGAGGGAAAAGTTTCTAAACAACGTATAAAAAATATGTATTTTGTAAATCATAGCGTTTGTTTTTCTTATATAATAATACTTTCCTAATTTTTATTGTTCTATCTATTTTCAGCCATGTTTGTAGCGTGATAACTGGTTTTTGATCCACCGTTTATATAACAAACTACTCTTTATTTTAAACAAAGAATCTCACCCGCGAAAGTTTTTCGCACAGTTTTTTTAAACACCCTGTATGTTCTGTCATGTCTGTTATGTCAACAGCTATTATAGGTTGATATTTAAAACCCATAGTATTAGACATCAATAATATCCTAATAAAATAGATATAACTCAAGTGACATATAGCGTTCTTACAGACGTTAAATAATTAGAAATAACGCAATTTTAAATGGTATTGTTATTTTACCTTACACATTTTTTTAATTTGCGTCTGAAATTATTTTCGGCTATACCAAATTCAGAAATCCTACCTATTAAAGAATGTCTAATAATTGTGTTTTCTGAAATGTCTATTAACCATACAAAGCTGTGGAGAAGACAAATACTTTATAAATTAAATTTAAATACTGAAATTTCGACAATCAAACAGGAACACACTGTAGGAATTATTATATATAATTCAGGGTATCCATGAAAGTCTAGGAATTATTATATATTATACAGGGTGTCCATGAATTTACTAGTCAAGCAACTATATCTACACGACTGACACGACTTATTAAAAAAAATCTTTAATTCTCATTCTATTTTTAAACACAGCCAATAGACCACGAAACAGAACAAGTTGCTGCACACAGTTAGGTACAAATATTCTAAGAGCCAACTAAAACTAATAAATTCAAGACGCCACAGGAGGTATACCAAACTGCAAAAATCTCAAAATTGCGTTTAATGATGGAAAGAGAAGTGCCTACCGAAAATAAAAGACGATTGAGCATATTAATTGGATTTCTTTCTTTTATGGGTGAAATACAGGACAATAATTTTTTTTAAGGAATTAACTAGTTTATTTCTTCATTATTGTATAGTTCTTTACACCAACCTCTTCGTCATTTCTTTCTTCATTTTCATTGCATTGATTGTTAGTTTCTGGATGTATGTTTTCTTTTTCTGATACATTTCGAACAGGTAGAGTTGTATTAAAAAAAATTTGGAATGTAATTTTTTTGTCTATATAATCTATGTAACTATAAGTGACAGTCATCCTAAGAATCCAATAAGTACGGATCGATGTCTAAGTTATGTCTACTCACAACTCACAACAATTTTGGATTTAATTTCATTCGCACTTTTTAAAACTCAAAAAGATAAGGTATTCTCATTATTGTGCATATTTCATGATATAGAAAACTCGGTAAGATTTGCCTAAGCTTGATCGATCACATTCACAACTAAAAAATTTGGTAAAATATCGCATCAAACTAAAAAAATAAACTGGACAAAAAGTGGTTCTTGTGGACTTGCGATAAAGTATTACAAAAATATTATATAAACGTATAAATGTCTTGAATAATTTCGATTTCAAGTAATTTCTTACTTTGTCAGAATAATTGCAAACAGATTCAGTATCTGACACCTTGGTGTAGTTACAGTAATCTGAGCCCTGGCCAGTTAGAAAACAAGATGACACAATGCGATTCTGGTAGTAGTTAAGCTTGATTTATTAATCCCACAGCAAAAGTTTTAAATTAGATTTGACTGTATTATAGAATCGAAAGTATTACAAGTGATATAAAACGGCTCGCCAGTTTTCAAACTGTAAGTCTAAAAAATTTTGTATTAGCAAAATTTAGTATTAGAAAAATTTCTTAGTAGCCAGGAAAAGCAACATAATTTGTCTACAAAGTAAACAAACTTTGAAGGGAACAAGATCGACTTATTGAAATGAAATCATTCATTTCACATCATTCAAATCATTTGGAACCTACATTTCTGAATATCTTCAGCGATCGCAGCGCCACAATAAAAATGAACTAAACAGGCTCTTTTAAGGTACTATTAGAGGGTATGAGGATCCGTCGTTTCGCATCAACTTTTAGTTAGACAAAACGTGGTTCCCTCCAAGCTCAGAGGGAAGTCGGTTATATATGAGGGTAGTAACAACGGTTTATACAAAGTATCGAGGGAAGAAGCTATATATATAAAATTTAATACTCGGCAGAATACCTACGGTTTCATTTTAAAAAACCACTTTCGGCCTTTTGTGTAACAAATGTTAAACCTCCCTGTATAATGCAGAACAAGCCTCATCTCCAAAGAATTGTGTTTTTTGGATTAATATGCCATTTACCGTGAAATTCGATAAGCAGAGGTATTGATAAACAAAGAGCTAGGTGATAAATACTTATATTAAAATAAAATAACAAAATGCATTTATTATAGACATATTTTATTCATTATTTCAACTTTCAACAGATGCCCACTGTTCGGATCACAAAAACGTCTGATATGCGTCCTGTAAGGAGCATCACTTTTAACAAGTTTAGGCACTGTAAAATACAGACTTTTTAATCCTACAAGCCATGTCCTAACTTATTACAGATATATCTTTTACATATTGACAGAAACAATTGCATACAATAGAATTGTATTTACATTTTGACTTCCTGGAGAACTCGATTTTCTTCATGCTGGTCATACAAATATATACAACGCAAACAAAACTATAATAAGAAATAGTTTTCATACAATTGAAAAAAATTTACTCTGCCTTCAATGACCCTTGCATGCATGAAAGAGCGAAATAAGTTTATATTTAGATCTACATACCTAAAATAGAAAGAACATAAATGGATAAGCAGATGCAAGTTGAACTTAGTCTACAGTTCCGCCAAGATAAGTCGGTAACAGTTACCGCTTGGACTCGAGAAAAGTTGAGTATTTTCCGATTAATTCTGGAGATATCGAGAACAGATACTGCTCAGATTTTTCTTTACTGTCAAAACACTAATCATTAGTTATAAAAACTCTACAACTTTTCTCGAATTGAATTTACCACGGTTTTCGGGATGCCAAGCCATATTTATCTGGAGAAAACTGTACAAAGCGCAAACGCTATTGATATAAGAAATTTTATTTATATAATAGTATTAAATAAGTACAAAGCAATTCAAAGAAATTTTATTTATATTAAAATTTTTTGAAAAATTATGTTAGCTACAAACATATTTCTTTAACAAAATGTTTTTTAAATAATGCAATTGCAATAGCTTTACTAATGTTTTTTAATGGATCGCAGTTGGAACTTGATTTCAATCAAATAATAAACAATTCATTCAATAATAGAAAATTATTCCTACATGATGTTAGGATCAAACAAATTGCAAAAATTTAATAAGTTTTCGTTATTTAAATTAATATGAAAAAAAAATACTTGATCCCCTGTGACGTAATATAAATATAAATGTGGTATTAGGACGAGTACAGAGAAAAACATTAGATTGTAACATAAGTTCATCAAAAATTTATTCAATTGGAGATGAAAAAGTACTCCAGTTCATTGATGAAATCTTCAGGTATAAATACAAAAAAAGCATCCAACATAAAAACTCTACACCAACAGTTTTTGACTACAGCTTGTATTTTGCAATAATTAACAAGTAAAATTGGTGATAAAATAGTGCTGACAACCGCTGCTACTCATAAATTATTATTTTTAAATTTGAGATTCTGGGACTGACACAATGATTTTGTTTAAAATATGAACATTTTTTTTTCATAGAATTGATCCAACTGCACAATTTTCCAATCATTACGAATTTTTCCAAACAACCATTAAATACAATAAAACATAGCTTGCGGATTAAGTCTCCCTATCATAAACTATGTAATAATCAACAGACATGTTCTGTGCTTCCAGTCCATCCGCCTTCTTAAAATAGAAAATTGTAAAAAAGAATAACAAATTAGTTTGAACATATTAAGAGTCCATTCAACTAAATAGCCAATTTGTTACATTGTTCGTAGGTTTTGTCCATCGGCACTTCCACAATATTTTTTGTTCATCCAAAATACTATATCACATACTAACAAAACTGCACATTAATTTGGTCCGGAAAAATCAATATTGTTTTGAACTGCATTAGGATTCTTTGTCTTTTGTATCACCGCAAAATATTTTGAAGAAGTCTGCCGCACCAGCGAAACACAAAATCACTTCACTCTTTTGTTTTCCCATTTTAAGAGTCCGCCTTTCCTCAGTTAGAACACGATCCGAATAGTGAGCCGCTAAGTTTATTTTTTACAAATATTCTCTATATAATCCATATACCATTTTAGTATTAGTATTTATTTAGCTTTTTTTTACTTTAATTAACCAGTTAATGTTTACCCGAAGCGTAACTAATCTGTAAATGTAAATGACGAAAGCAAACCAGTGTCAGCAACGTAATACAACCACTAGTTGAAGATTTATCTTTTCTTGATAAATTTTATGAACGAGACACTTAATTTAACTTCAGGTTTTATCCACATGTATTGTTAATGGATTATTAATGGAGACAACATGGAGAAAAGTAATGCCGATAATGGTTGCTTCTATTAATATTTTTCTTTTTATGTATTCCTTTAGCTGCGATGATTACCACGACCGCCTCGGTTTCTGTTGTCTCGCTCCTAAAACAAAATAATATTACTTACTATCACTAACTTACATGTACCGGATGTTCCTATTATTATTTATCTCAGGTACCTGTAAAAAATTCACTTATACTTTTAAAGTATTACATTATTGTAATATGCTGAATGTTTGTATTTTCGTGTACAAATAAGAACTTTATTTTAAACAGAACACTCTGTATATCAAGGCGTTTTTTTTAATCAGAACTTTTTAGACATATTTTATATGTAGCAACCTAACCCTACGTCTTATCGTTTCTGACATATTTTGAATTTAATGCCAAAAGTGACATTTGCATGTTTAAATATATCTACCGATGGTTCCGGCTGAAAGCCTTTGTTATCTAGTTGAAGTTGATTTTCTTTAGTGGCCTATGTTTATATTTTAAAAATAAATAAATACAGAGTGATCTAACATGAAAAATTTAAATGAAGAAATCGTAATTTGGCAACTTTGGTAAATACAAAAATTGTAGAAATAATAGCAATTTTCAGTGATATTTTTTCAAATATCTTGCGCACTGTATGATGGACGAAACCTGAGACTTTCTCTCCACACAATTTACGATACCGTTTAGACCTAATTTTCCCACGTTTTAGAGTTTTTCAGAGTCTTTTTGATTTTTTGCAGACAATCGACACACCCTGTACATAATTGAAAAAATGCTGGAAATAAAGGTTACAGCCCAGGATCTCCCACGTTCCCTGGTCCAAGAATTTTCCCAATGGAGAAAACCGTTATCGAGAAAACATTTTGTTTTGAAACTACGCCGTAATAGTCAATGACGTCATCGCGACTGGCGTGAGTGCGAGAAATATCGATTTTCATATGGATTTTTTCAAATATCTCGAACGGCGTATATGAAAACCGTTAATACAAAAATTGTAGCTCTTGATGTGGCCTTTAATACTGTTTAAACCAATTTTGGTTTACGTCTAATAATTTCCTCTGGAAAAGCACAATTTTCAGGGTCTTTTAGATTTTTGTGCATAATTGAAAACCCTTGTGTATAATCCAAAAATGCTTAAAATAAACATATAGCACCGGATTTTTCTCGTCTGCTGGTTAAAGAATTTTGCTGATTGCGTTAACAGTTTTGGAGAAGAATTTTTATTCTGAAAACCAAAAACACCCAAAAAAATTTCAAAAATATTTAAAATATACTCGGCGGCATTGGGACTTCTACTTCTCTGTCAAATATGAAGTCGGTAGTTGCAAATTTAGGGCACCTATTACGTTTTTTAATATTGCACAAAATATCGCGAACACCCTGTATGATATGTAGAAACCTTAAATACAAAAGTTATAGCTGTCCATACGGGATATATCGTGGTGTAAGACAAATGACACAAATCATATAGTCACAGCCTTCTAGTTATAGCCAATTTTTATTAAAAGAGGAACTCAATTTTCAGTTTTTGCGAATACTGGACACACCATGTACATTTTTAAAAATTACCAAGATTAAAGATTTATAGCACTGGATCTTGTGGACCTTTTCGTCCAATAACTTTGACGATCGCATAAACAGTTTTCGAGAAATCACCTTTTTCTTAGACCCTTGCGAACGCGATTTTTTATTCTTAAAAAATATTTACCGCCCCCCAGCCCACCCCACTTTCAATAGGTCAAGTCAGGGGACTAAGCGCTATTTGTTAAACATGCAAACGTTACTTTTAACATTAAATATAGGATATTATATATGAAACATGTCTAGAAAGTTCAGATGAACTCGTAAATGCCTTAATATACAAGGTGTTCTAAGAAAGTTGTTATTTTGTACAACAATGTAACATTTTAAAAATACAAGTGAATCTAAATAAGTTTAGTCTCTAAGTTTTTTAATGATGATCCGACCCTGTATGCATATTTGCATTGTCTATTACTATAGGGCCCCGTCCAAAAACCTTTTTTTTTTAACTTACAAAGTCTACAGCATTATAATTCAATGCATACACATCAAGGGCCACTGCAAGCCAATTCAGTTGTTTGTCCAAATTAACAAGAAATATTTAATGAAAGTATTTTCGATTATTTGGAACAACATCAAGGTCGTCAGACAGGGGAATGTTTGGTGAGGACTATAGTCAGAGGAGTAAGAATACAAAAAAATTGCCTATTTTATCCAAATTTGACCGAACAACATTTTCAATTCTACATTTGCACTCAAAATTTCCTTTTGGTTAGTAGATAGATTTTGAAATTTATAATAGATTTTTCCAGGGAAAAAAGGAGAAAAATTTTAATGCAAATACGTGATGTTTTCATTTTTCTTTTGCAAATGTGTAATATGTAAATAAACTGCTTGTTTTAACCAAAAGTAACATGGTAAAATATTGCCTCACTCAAACATTCAAATTTTTCAATTTATTATTATTTATTTATATGCAAAGTTACATAAGTAACAGCAAATTTTCCTTGGGAGTAGTGTCGCGCTACTTAAATTAGTCTATTTACCCTATGATGATCTCCGTAATGATCACTTCTATCATTCCTATAGCTTGGTCTGTGACCATCTGTGTCCCGATCGTGATTCCTAGTGCCTACTCGACCTTCACCGCGGTCCACTCTGTTATTACCGTCGTGATGAGAGTCCTTTGGGTGCGAGGGCTGTTTGCGATTGTCCTCCTCCTCTTGCCTTTTCTCATAGTGGATAAAATCGTCGAAAATCGAAGTCGAATGCCGATACGAGTGCATGATCCGAAGCACCTGTAGACCCCGCGCGTGGGGCACCTCTTGAGCGTCCCGAGAGTTTGTCACCGGCTTGTTGTCATTGTTCTCAAGGTGGATGTGACGGAGCTGTACATTTGGCACATCCTTTACATATATCCAACGGACCTTTAATTATTTCACTATTAACATATAGATACCCGATTTAAATTATTTTTTGTTACTTTAAACTGCCCCTTCCATTTGTCTTGTGACCAGACTGAACTGCTGGCATTGTAATCTACAGAGGATACCATTTGAGCCATACCACAAAAATGTCCTGAACCATTTACAGAAAAGAACAAATACACACAACCATTGCCTTCCCTTTCTTTATAAGCCTGATCCAAACGTTTGTTGCCGTGCTCTGTACTACACCAAATTTCATACTGGAAAACGGTGATAATTTAATGACGTTGCAACCCTAATAAACCTGCTACATTACCTTAATACTTCGATGAATATCATCTTCAGAGTAGGATTTTATAACAAAAAATCTAGCGTTGGGGGCAGTAAGGTCGAAATCGGTAGGATTATAATTGTTTTTCCCTCGCAATTCGTCCAACACCGGGTGAGTTGGGGGCTGGGTTTGCGGAGTAGCCATTATCATTTGCATTGGAGGGGGCATCATGCTCTATGAAAACAACTACCTGGTTCATTTCTTTTTAAAAAATCAACATTTTACTACAAAAACAAAAAATGCTTAGGTTTAGTTAATGGGCCCAAACTTTATGGGAGGTTTTTATTAATTTTTTAAAACGAGGTGTAACACTGTGTAATTACGAGTTGGAAAGTGGATCGTGGAAAGCATAGATTATGACAACACCACTGTATTTAAAACAAAAATCCCTCATATTTCGAAGATAAGGAAGAATTAATTTTACAATTTACAATTTTTTTACAATTACATTTTCACATTTACAATTACAAATTTAAGTTATTAACGATTTTAAAGAATATAAAGATATAACATGAAATAGTTATATAGAAAATCTTGTAATTATTGACTTTATATTTTTATTGATTTTTAAATAATAAATTATCTCATTAAAAATTCACAAATACAACTCTGTCTAAACTTAATTAAGCCTTTGTAAAGGAAAAATTTTCAGTCCAACCCCCGCTTTTACATTACTCCAAATTCGGTGGAAATAATTGAAGATTATTGTAAGCTGATGTAATTACAGAAACTAACCAAAACTAAAGACTCTACATTACACATAATAAAAGAAAATCTAAATTGACAGACTCTGTATGAACCGTAAAATCTAGTCCACTCTGTTAATCTTTTGACAGAAAAAATCTTAATAACAAAATCTTTTTAACCTGCATGTGCGAACCCGCCGGAACTTGAGGCGGCAATAATGGAGGTATCATGGGCTGCGTCTGATAAGCCGTCGGTGCCATAGGGTGTTGCGGGGCACGTGGAGGGGGTACCTGAGTGACAGACGGAGGTTGTCTGGGAGGCTGTGGTGGAGGTGGTCCATTCCATCCCAGTCTCACATTAGAAGCGGCTGTGCCTGAAGTTACGTTTGCCGGTAAAATGCTTTTCGGAGGGACTACATTGTTGACTACCGAAATTTGCGGCGGCGTATTCTAAAAAATTAGTAATATTTGCCAGATTGTTGACTTACCCTGGATTAAAATCAAAATATATTGCAAAGGGTACATATACATAATTAATGTAGCGTGAAACACCAGTTTTACCTTATTCGTGTCCCAGGTGCCAATATCCATGTTATGTTTGCCAGGAACAATGGGGCCAGGAGGCATCCCTGGACCTTTCTTTTTCAAACCTTGGTTCTGAATGGTCAACTGGGGCTTCGCGGGTTGACTAGCGATACTTGCCCATGTCGTCTTCTTTTGAAGACTCAGGCTATCTTTGGAATCATTTGATTTCAAATCCAAATTTTGCATAGCATGCTCCACACTCTTTAGGGCATTTTCAGGTATCGCTTGGGTATACATGTTCTGTTGGTCCCGGTAATATTCATCATATTTCCGTTGGCTACTCAGCTGGCTGCCCCATGTGTTATAATCCCCATTGCTATGGAAATAGTTAAAGGACGATGGTTGTCCGGCAAAAGCAGTTGGAGTAGAGAATGTTGTTGATGGGCCAAACATTCCTGTATGATACAAAATGATTAGCAATAATTTTCACTTAAAAAATGGATTCTAGAAAAGAAGAGTAAAATATTTAAATATTGAACTAAGGTGGCTATTACTTGATGAAAATCCATTTATCAAAATAAATAAGAACTAAAAGTTCAGATTTTCACGAAATTATATATTATGACATGACAATTGTTTTGACATGACAATTGTTTTGACAACACCGTGTCTTTATCAAATGTTTGATACATTTGACATTTGATAAAGACACGGTGTAATATATAATTTCGTGAGAATCTGAACATTTAGTTCTTATTTATTTTGAAACATTTAAATATTGGCGAAAATAACTATAGAAGTAAATATATCACCTCCTATATATTTAATAAGATATTAGGCTTACGACCTTCTCCTCAAATAAAATGATCGTCAGTTTTTTTTTCTCGTTTTATAAACGTTGATAACCAAATATTCACTAAAAATTACTAACGCCCCCCACCTATACCAAAAATTTGAGCTACGAAACAAGTAGAGTTAGAAATTAGATACACTGCTTTCCCTATTTATCTCCTTTAGCCCTTTCTAATTCGTGTTATTGTAAATGTTTGTTTGGTTAGGTTAGTTGCATTTAGATAGCAAATTTATAAGATATTTTGTTTATGGATAGTACCAGGTTTGCCATGACTATTTATACCCTTTCTTAGACAACAAATAAGTAAATAAAACAATACAACTTAAATATTAATTGACAAATTAATAAATTACTAACATTTTCAAGTATACACTAACAAATAATTCATTGAATAGGCATATAAAACTTGGTAACATATAACACAACTTAGTACATACTCTCATCAAAACAGACAACAAAATTTATAATTTAGTATATATGACATAAAATGTTATATATTTAACATTACTTTGTTTCTCAATTCCCTATTTATGTTGCGTCGCAATGTCTTCTTAGTACCAAATAGTATTTTTTTCAATTTCGCTTTTTTAATTATAGTTCTATATGTTTCTATGCAATATGTCAAGTCGACTTTAAATTTCCACTTATTAGTAAACCTAAATATTTGTACTCTTACAATTTGTAGTACATTATTTAATTTTAATTCTTTCTTTACCATTATACATAATATATACATATCCAGAACTTTACTGAGAATCCAAAAATTTAATAATATACATGGTGTTACAGTTTAAATTAAGAAAGCTGGTATTTATTCCAGATGAACGGAACACCCTGTATATCTAAAAAATTACAAAAAAATCTATGCAAAACTATGCAACTTTTCTATTTAACTTTTTTTTCTATTGTTCATAGTTTTTAAGTTAAAGGGGAAGGGAACCGTATTTTGGACACTTTGTACTGTTTTCTGCCACAAGAGTATATTGTCCATAAATTATGACATATTCCTCAAAAACACACTTGTTTAACATACTTTTTTATCAGTTGTTTTGAATATAAATTATAATTTTTTTCTTCCTGGTTTGTTTTCTATTATACTAATTATTTTTGCCTCTCCAGCAAGCAACTTAACCACTAGTGGGCTGACTTATTTTTGATCTGAATGTTTCTTTTATAATTCTGATATGTTTATTTACTTCAGCTGATAGTTCGGCAGTATCCCTAACCGCGCCTCCATTCATGTCTGTTAGTTTGCTTATGCTTAATTATTTGTGTTTTACTATTACATAACTTTTTGTTTTCTTTTCAGAATACTGTTTCTGTAGTTTTCTTATTATTTTATTTTAAAGAAATCATTTATGATCCAAGAATTATCATTTCTAATTGTTTTTGTCATTATCATTTGTCATGTTTGATATTATATCTTCTAGTTTTTGTTTCCATGTTTTTTATCCTTGATTTTTCTCTGCTAGAATATCGTTTTTCGTTATTAAGGATTGTATTTTACATGAAATTAAAATTATGTTTTTATTGTATGTAAAATTTAATTGTTTTAGCTGCCAAATGTCACTCAACACATGTCAGAGAAGGTAAAAAATCAATCTCTGAGCATCACGTAGTAGAGTCTGAACTTATTCCCAAAACGACAACAACAAAATAAAAATGTCAGGTACTCCGAAATACTCTGGGAGACCATCATTAAGTCATGCCAGTAGATCGATATTGATCAATCTCGACGACATAGAGCAGCTAGTTACGATACCACCGGATGGAGGCTGGGGCTGGGTGGTCGCTCTCTCGGCGTTTCTTGTGAATTTCATATTAGATGGGACCATTTACTGCTTCGGAATATTTCTGGACGATATCAGCAAAGAACTGAAGGTAAAGCCTACTGATGTGGCAGTTGCGAATTCTGTTCTGAGTGGATTTTACTATTTGGGAGGGCCGTTTGCGTGTGCCGCTATAAACCGCTTTGGTTTTCGAACGGTTGGCTTTGTTGGCGGAATACTGGCAACTATCTCCTTCCTTTGGGCCTCATTTTTAACAAAGATACTACCGTTTGTGCTTACCATCGGCATATTGGGAGGATCGGGGTTCAACTTAATTTACGCCCCTTCAGCCATTGTGGTGGGATTTTACTTTGAGCGATGGCGAGCGCTCGCAATGGCCCTGACGCTCTGCGGTACGTCGTTGGGTGTTATCATATACCCACCGCTAATGATAACATTGTTTCGCAATTACAATTGGCGGATTAAATTTCGAATAATCGCAAGCTTTTGTGCGTGTTGCGGACTACTTATTCTGACATATAGACCGATAAAGCCGACGAAAATCGGTCCGGCGGTACAGTTTAATGACTTTTCTAGAGGGATATCCGCGGCGACACTGCAACGCGATTCCGAAGCGAACGCGGGATTTGCAACCATTTTTCAAAGACTAAGGAATACCATTTTCCCTACAATATCTGAAATTCCCAGGAGCCATTACACGAGCTTTGATTCAGCAGGAAGTAGATCCAGTGATATTTCCAGGTTTATCATGCAAAGGAGGGACACAGACACTGCGGACATTCAATCTACCTTCATCAAATGCGATAGCGATGAATGCCTGCCAGCATCAGAAGCGGATCAACAAATTTTTGGAGCAGGAGTGAAAACGCGTTTAAACAAATGTTGGCAAAGGTTGGCGTTTCTTGACTGTTGCAAATCCAGCTCAGAGAGTTCCATAAATATTAACAGACCAATGTACAGAGACGATATATTTTACGCAGGTTCTGTCTACGCCTTGCCTCAGTACCCAAAGGACTCGCAGCCAGTAGACCTACTAAATCCTTCGTTAATGTACACATTGTCTGTAACCCGCGCAGCGACACAAAGAGATTTGTGGCAAGAAAGGCAATGCCTGTTGTGCCCTGAAGCATTCTTAAGAACTTTAGCCACGATGCTTAATTTTCAAATGTTAAAGTCTCCCCCATTCCTGATAGTAGTGTTGAGCGGTTTTTTATCATTGCAAGGAATGTACATCCCATTCATTTACATCGCCGAAAGAGGAGCAGAACTGCAAATAGAGAAAAGCAAATGTTACATGCTCTTGTCCGTAATTGGAATTTCGAATATCATTGGGAGAATAAGCTGTGGAACCGTCTCATTTTTCCCAAAATGGGATGTGAACTGTATTACTTATGTAGGCCTGATTATTTGTGGCACTGTAACAATCCTCTCAAGTTTTATGAAAACTTTCTCGGAGCAAATCATATTCTGTATTGTGTTCGGATATACCATTGCTACCTTTTCCGTTCTTAGAACCATACTTTTCGTAGAGTTTTTCGGCTTAGAAAATTTGACAAATGCGTTTGGATTAAATATGTTTTTTCAAGCAGTGGCTTCGTTTTCAGGGGTGCCAATATCAAACGTTTTATATAAAATAACAGGAACTTTTGTTGCCTCATTCACATTCTCTGGGGGTGTAATTTTGTTAAGTGGACTTTTACTCATTCCTATTAGGAGATTACTAAAAAGAGAGCAAAATACAAGAAACTAAAGTTGATACCGTTTTTTGCATTTGAAATAGTGCCTTTATTTATTGAAATCACTATAATTGCTTACCGTCCATTGAATAAGAATCATGTGGATATCCGCTTAAAAATGGCATGGGATCCGTCCCATTTGACCATGTGCCATCCCCAACACCGTAAGCCTGATAAGGGTAGGATCCCCCACTACCATAATAACCTGAAAACAATGATCAAGAAGCATTTTTCATTTGATATATACAATACAATATTAGCAGCATCATCTCATGATAATATAGACTCCAATACTTCTTAAAATATTTTCAGATATTAACTAGTTTAAAAAGTAGATGCATATTATTTTCGATATTGAACCTTTTTGCTCAGTTGAAATTGGTTTGTTAACTTCAGGGAAATAGTGATTCTACAAAACTGGCCAACAGTGTTGCAATATCCAACCCAATATAACCTGGAAAAAAATATATCAAAATAGTTCAAATAATTTGAAAGAAGTGAAGAAAAATCTCACTTTTATACTTAGTAAACTAACTTAAAAAATTAAAGTTGGGGATTACTTTAAGAAAAGGATAACCAACTGTAGAACATACCATTAATTGAGGGTTAGAAACTAAGAAAGTGATATGCAACATGACTTACAATTACTAATGCCTCATGATTTATAAACCGCATCCATAATAAAACAAAACTATTTGCATTTTTAAAATATAAAAGGTATACAAATTGTGGATTTTCTGCAACTTTTATTTCTTGTGCAGTTGCTCATTATTGAATATTACAACACTGTATGAAGTGAATGTGCATTTTATTTCACCTGCTGTACTCATATTGTAAAGATCAGTTGCGCTTGAAATGGGGACCGACGTTCCGTAAGCAGTATGCGCGGCAGAACTTTGTTGCTGGGACCTCCATGGTTCGAATTCTTCTGAACTCGTCGCTCCTTCGCCACCTCCTAACTGTTCTTTAGACCCATTGGACACTACAATATGCCCGCCACCATTGCAATTTTAAATTTTATAGTCTTATACAACTTCAAGTGATGAACCAATATATATGAAATATTATACAAACAATTAATTAACTAATTAACTAAAACCAGAAGTAAAAAAAAGGGATGGAGAGAAAACAAGTACATACTAAAATTTGAGCCAAAATCAGTCAATTGGAGAAGATCATTTCTGCAGTTGTGGCCTAGAAATTAGTAGTGGTCGATCTTTTATTAGCATTACTTTAATTGCATGCTACACAAAGAACTCTGATTTTTTTTCTCAAACCAAACTAACCTGATCAATAGTGTTTCAATCAAAATCAAGAAATACAAATACAATACTTAGTGATATAAATTTAATTGAATTTTTAAAATTATTTTGGTCAATTGACACAAAAAAATTTGAGTCGTCAATTCCACAACGCTACTAACCATTCTGTCAGACTTCTAAAAACAATTGCTACTTTTTTGGAAAAACATTTTATAAACAACAATCCCTATATCTCAAAAAAAATCATAAAATACTAAAACAGAAAAATAGCAAAGATTTGCCGGTTTTTATTTAGTTGTGGATTATCACTCACAAACCACTGAGTCAAATCAAAACATAAAGCAGTATCATAAATCATAATTATTCTTTGAAAAGTAACTAATTTAAAGAAAATTAGGTAAATATTGATAGATAGTAAACCTACAAATTAGGACTAAAAATGACAATGCAAAAATACTTCTTAAAAGATAATTAAGATATTCAATATTTTGTCTATCCCACCATCTAGGCATTAAATAGAAAACAAAAGACATTGTTTTTTCTTAAGATTAGGCAAAATGATTTTATATTGGTATTTGCACCACTAAGTTTATTCATCTTACTTTGGGGAAAACATTTAAAGTTTTTCTTGCAACACAACAAATCTGTAGTATTTTGGTGCAGTATGACAATTTTCCAAGAGTTATTATAAGTCATTACCAATACTATGTTTTTTGCATTGTATTTACACCTACAAATAAATCCCTGGGTGCATTAATACCTGTCTGTTTTAGTTCAATTGAAAAATCTTAAGCTTCAAAGTAAATATATTCTTGTATAATTTTGTATAATGTATCATCTTACGCTGGGGTTTAAAATTAAATTACGCTTTACTCCATTCAATATTATGAAAGTGCCTCTACATACCTTGATTTCCCTGTCCTTTCATTCGCTGAACAAAATAAAAAAAGGATTAGTGAATTGGTTTTCATATTTTTACCAATGTACCAAGTGTCAAAACGTATGTTGATTTTTACCTGGTCTGACACGCCTGCTGACATTGACTAATCTTGTATTTAGTCACAATACCCTAAAGTCACGCAAAAACACTACCACTATTGCACTTTCAAACTCTAATTTGCTACACTAAACTGTTTATTTCAGTTTTTTGATAATTAACAGTCTTTAACAATGGCGTAGAACCACTATTTTAGTTCATAAATATTTGCGCAAGTGTACAAGCTGGGGGTTCAGCAGAAGTTGACAGATGTTTAAATCTACGCGCGTAATTTGAATATTTTGCCCAATGAATGTAAAAAATTGCTGTTGTATTTTATATATTTTTAAGCGTTTTATTCTATCTTAAATGTTTCTTTTCTTTTTCAATGTTGTTTCTAATAAGTGATTAATTTTTTACATTTAGTGTGTGCTCTTTTCTGCGATAATGTTCTAGAATGCATTGATTTTGAAACATTTTTTGGGCTATGCTGCCTATAAAGTACTTGTCAGTAAATATATTTGCCATTCTAGTCAACCGAAGAACACAGTTTTTTCATATTTTTGCTCGTGTAGTCGCGGTTGTCTCTGTCGGTCAACAACCATAGAAATCCTGCATTCTATGCATTCAACCGACGATACATCAGATAGCACAGATAATAATGGAAAATTGATTAGGTTTATTAAATTAAACTCCCTTTAAATAATAAATTAACCTTGCCAAAATAAATCACAAATCATCGCAACATAGACATAGGTTAAAAAAATAGGAAGTTTTTTCAAATGTTACAAAAAACAGCAGTTGAACATTTGGCAACACTGTAAGCTCAGACCAGTGTACGGAGTAAGCAATGGTGGATTTGTGTATTTATGTTTCCTATAAAAAGTTAAAAGGCAATGTTATTTTGCATATTGGTAGCAAAATAATATAATGGGAGCGACGTTTGTTGCAGAAATGGTGAAATCACTACTTTGTGTGCCTTTTGAGTTTTTCGTTAAAATGGGGTGATTGCTTTTTAAGTTAGATCTTTGTGTTTCTAAAATTTTAGTGAAAAAGGCTAACAGAAACCTTTAGTCGGGGGTTAATGTATTCCAGTAAATTTACGTGATGGAAATAGACGATCCAGTTGATATTAATCCGGATAAAATTCCGGCGGTATTATGTCAGGTAGAAGATGTTGTTCAAAGTGTATGTGTTAGTACCTCAACAAAAATAAACTTCAAAAACGAAAATGATTTAGAACATAAAATCGGCAGGAAAACAATCAAACATGCACTTCGACGGCAAGCTAAGTGTCGCAAGAAGAACTCAAAGATAGGGTCCTGTAGTACATTGTCAATACCACGAATAATTGTCAAACCCATACCGCCTCAAACAGATGAATCATTACTGTCTAAAAAGAGTAGAATCCCAACCATGAGAGAGGTGCTAGCATCAATTCCAGGATTCAATATGAAACCTCGAAAACGCACTAATAAAAAATTGTCAACTGCAGCACAGTTGGAACAAACAAAAGAGGGATGCATTGACTTGGAAACCCCAGATTCTATATTAGTTAATACAAACTTAAGGCTTCTATTAAATAAGGGTACATTTGCTTCTTTGCCACTTCTGTACCAGAACAAGTTGGTGCAGTTGCTTCCTAGTGTTGATAGACAAATTGTAAGTAATTCATCTGATCCAAATTGTATAGAAATCAGTTCTGTTCTCAATAATGAATTTTTTGCACGAGCATGCTTAGAATGGCAAGATAGGTTGGCTGAAGGTGAATTTACTCCAGAAAATCAACAAAAATTAAAGCTTGAGGCTGATAAGGAAAGAAGTAAACTGGATCCATGGAAATTAAAGCATTTCGAACCAATTTGGGGGTTTAAAAGTGCTAGTAGCGATTGTGAAAACTTTTCTGGTTCGACAAGTGAGGACAGTATTAGACCTCCCATAAAAACCACTATAAAATTACGCCCATCCACAACAACCCTTAGTAATAGAAATAAACCCTTACCACCACCTCCAGTTAAGAGATTAAGAACAGTTGGTGCTATTACTAGATCATGCTCTAACTTGAAAGAGGAAATGTTTAGACCCCCAGATATAAAAAGTCATATCCCAGATTTACTCCCCATAAAGCAGATGAATAAAATTCAAGTTAAATTAGATGATATAAAACCTGAAGTAGTCAGTAGTGATATGTTAGACAACCTTTCTAATCAAGAGCATAAAGAGCTGTCTGAAAAAGAAAGTTCCAATATAGAAATACCCGAAAACTGTATAGTTAATATTAGTGACAGCATTTTAGAAACAAATGAAGAGACAATCATTATTTGTAGAGATCATATAACTAATGGACCTCAAGAAGACGGTTTATCCCATTCAAATTATGATAAATCCTTAAAATGTAAATCAATTAGCCCTCTCGCTTTAAGTCCTGAACCAATGGATACTAGTGAGCTAAAAGATCCCCTTGAAATTAATACTGAGAGCCTCAGTGATGATGAGAAAGTAAGTGAACATACCTCTGAGAGTACTGAGCAACTTGATGACTATGAAAAAGACAAAATGATGGATGAAAATAGTAGCAGTTCTTGTAGTGTTAATGTTCAAAATCTAGAAGAAATATCCAGCAATGAAACAATTGAAACAGTTGATTCTTTACAATTACAAGAAAACTACAAAGAAATTAATCATGTTGATGAATCATCATCTTCATCTGCCACAACAACAACTAGTACAAATACTGATGCTAAGTCAGTTTGCAGTCAAGATGAGTCAATGATATCAACTCCAGATATAACTGATATAATTCCTGTAGATACAGAAATCAATGTAAATGCCCAAGAAATGCTTATTTCAAGTTCTGAGGAGAAGCCTATGTATATTGAAAGCCCTGTTGATTCAGAATGTCATTTGGAGACGACTGATTCATCTGAAAAACTGGATGTACTGCAACAACCATTTCAGATGCTTCCTAATACTCTTATTTTGCAGCAGGAATCATTGATTTTGGCAGATTCAGACATAGATGCCGTCAACAAAGATGATTCTGTTGATAAATTAGAAGCAAGTGTGGAGGAAGCAGACCTAGTGATAAACTTTAATGGCTCCAAAATAATACATGATGATGATGCAAATGAGGACAGATTTATCGATGCAGAAAATTATGTTTTAGAATCTGGACAGATATCAGTTTCTTCAATTGACAATGACCAGAAAAAAGTAGAGAGTGATATTCAAGCAACATTTTTCGGAGATAATGTTTCTGGACGTAAGTGTTATTTTTATTACTTAAGGGGTTGCATATATAATATATAAATACTAACATTTTTGATTTCTCTTGAGAAATCTTTAAAATTGTATATCATTCATTCAACTATTTATATCCCAGCCATTTGTTAAAAATACTTTGTAATAATAATGATTCAATGATATTATCTACTGATGACTAAGTTTTGTATTTTTTTCATATAGTGCTTATGTTAATGATTTGTTGGAATCGTTAATCATATTTGCTGTAACTTTTTTTTGTATTTTTTCCGTTGAATTCTCGTATACCATAAACTATATAGCAATAAATAAGCAAACAAATAGTAAAGGCTTGAAAACAAAAAATAAAATTAAACACATATTATATTAAATTTTATTAGCTTAAATTCAATTCTGTAAAGGAGAACTATTGACAGCAAAACATGATAAATACAAAATTCCTGCCTTTATATATTTTATACATCAATTTAAGTAATAAAGCAACTGTTCTTATACATCAGAGAAAGACAGATTTAAAAAAATCTCTTATTTTTCAACTAGCAGATAATGTTATTATTAAACGTGTGTTGTTTTAAATTTAAGTGATCATTTATGAACCTGCTTTTAAAAGTTTCAATCCTTGATATAAAACAATTTAAATTTTCTGTAATATTTCAGCTTCTGAGGAATGTTGTTGGGGTTTGGTTGACTCAAGCACAGAAAAACTACTTTCTCCTTTAAATAACTTAGAGTCATCAGTTAGCGCCCCTATAGATATTCCAAATCAACCTAGCACTTCAGAACATGTTCAGGTTATACCCATGCAGGAAGAATTAGAAGTCCGTTTGGAGGAGGGAACTTTCCCCGTACCTAATGATTGGCCATATGATGTTAAAATGGACTCTGATATGGTTGAGGCAGCTTTAGGTCCTACAGAAAACAGTGAAGTAAAGGGACCACCTAAAGGAACACTGATGCAGGAATATAATACAGCGAGCCAAGTAAAATTGGAACTGGAAGTGACTTTAACTCCCGAAATTATCAGTTCTGATAGTTTAATTACCAGCACAGTGAACACAAGCAATATTAGTACCAACCAATCTGTACTTCCATCATCTAGCCGAACAGTAACTACTGTCATCCCTCCAACTACAATTGTCTGTTTACCCTCAGTAGTTAATATGCCGCCGCAACATCCGTCTGTGAATGAAGCTTCTCAATGTGCCCCAGCGATCCCAAGACCAGGTTCTATACAGAGCTCTAGTGCATTACCTTACTTAGCACTTAGCACCAGTCAGCCTATTAGAGCTGTACCTACACACAGCAAAACAAAACCAAAGCATAATACTCTAGGTAAAGGTAATTGTAAATATTTTTTTCAATTAATCGCAGATTCTCATCTTTTAATAACATTTAAAATTTTTGTATTGTGCTTTATAAAGGGAATCGGAATCGAGGGAGCAATAAACCACCTCCAGGAGCAGTAAATTTGGAAAGGAGCTATCAAATTTGCCAGGCTGTCATTCAGAATAGTCCCAACAGGCACCAGTTAAGGTGCCAACTTAAACCCCCTCCTAGTTTATTAGCAGCTGCTGCTAATAATAATAAAAGAAATGAAAACAGACAAACTCAATATAGTTCAGTCACTTCATCTAGAGGTTCAAGTAAGACTTTCACCCCACCTTTACCAGCTATTGGGAACTATCAAATATCAAGTAAGTTGCAAAGTTTGTTCAAGTTTATTTGCCGCTTGATTTCTTTGTACTTGACTTGTATTTCGGTTTCAGATAATATGAAAAAAAGTGGTCAGAAGTTCCGACCTGGCCTGCCTTGCCAACATCAAAGGCAGCCCAGTCCCCCAGTTGTTGTGAGGCATGTGTTTACATCGGGGCAAGGAATTCCAGTCACTATGGCTGTTTTGCCTCACACTCCGGCATTGAGTCCAGAAGTGAGTGAGTAGAATAATAAACTTATTCATGTAAACCAGATTTGACTTTTGTTGCAATTATTTATTTATTTATATTATTATTCCTGTGGTCTAGCTAAAATGAAAAACACATTAAGTGGTATAAAGTTCTCTGAAATTTAACAGTGACATTTTAAGCCAATATGTTATTCCACCATTTATATACTTGAATGAGGTGGTCATCTACAATAAATGTATACATAATAACCATAATTTTAAAATAGAGTTAACTTAACAATATATATTTATATACTAAAAATATTCTGAGCTTTGCTATAATTGAAAGTTAATTTGATTTTGACTATATACCAGGTGGCCACACTGGATAGGTATTAAATTCAGATGCAAACGTCAATATTTGTTTATTTTGTATGTGTGTGTATGTTTTGCTCCACTAGAGATGCTCTAGAACACTGTATGCGACTCAGATGGACCATTGTTTTGACCTAGATAGAACACAGGGTAATAATCTAATAATTAATCATTTTTGGTTTGCATGTAATGTAGGGATGCCTCCTATTTGATTTGTTACTTGTATAACTTTATGACACATCATAACATATTATAACACCCGGTGCTGACAACTATTTGTAAATAACCGCCCTTAATAAATTGTAAAATTTAATGTTTGTGAGGATTTGGTACTTAATCTTTTTATCTTTTTCAGGACATTCAGATTTTTGCCACTTAAAATATGCTTTGATTGATACTTTACATAATCTGCCAATTTATAAATTATTTAAGATTTTAAATTCACTTAGTTACATGCATTACAGTTTAATGAATGTTAGTTGAAATGCAGGCGGTGATGGATTTAATCCACAAGGAAATACAGAAAAGAGAAGCCTTACTTCTCCGGTTGTTTTTGCCATTAGTGGCTCTTCTTTTAGCACTAAACTTTGAAATTGTTGCTTTTAAAAAATATTGATTTTTTCAAGTTGCTCATATTTTTAAATGGCAAACAAAAACTAAACAAATAGATCGAAAATTGCAATTTCTGTGTATTAAGTTTCATTGCTATTAAAAAACAAAATCAACACAATACTCTCAAAAATAACAATAAAAGAAAATTCATCCATTTTCGCAATATATCAGTGTATCTCTAAAGCAAAGACTACGTAAAACAACAAAATAATATTACAAAAGAACAGCCTGTAGTAAACCATTAAAATTGAAAAATGATAAAATAAACTTGACTTCTGTTTACTGATGAAGTGCTGGGAGGACGAGAGCGAGTTGAAGGGTTGAGGAGTGAACGCCGGTAGTAAATGAGCATTTTTTGTCATTTAACCGTAAATTCTCTTATAAGAATTTACATGTAAAATTTTACTTCGTCTATTATAGATTTTGTTGATCTTATATTTCCCTCTGTAGTTAAAATTATTGGACCCTGATTCCCATTAAAGGTATAATAAGTGGTGTTAAGTATACCTACTTTCTTCGGGCATTTTGACAGTTTTGACGACAAACCCTTCGATTTTGGTGCTGGAGGCGGGGCTTATTACCGACGTATATAGGACGCAGTTATAGACACATAAACGCTGACAATTGCTTCTCCATGTTTTAAAACCTTTTTTATTTCTTAATGGTTTTATCCCATCGCGCCTTCTGCCTTTGTATTTAATGTTAAAATGGTTTAAAACCTTTTTGTTTTCGCATTTCAATGGAATTTTAAAAACCTGTTTTAGCTGGCTGAAGGCCAAGCAAACAACGTAGGACAGGTTGGACAATACATACTCGTCCATCGTACCGGCATTAATGATCATAGCAACATACCGCGTTCTTCATCAGCACCTCCGTCGCAACAACAAATGAGTGAGACAATAAACACGGGGACTACTTCCCAGATGATTTCTGTTGGATCACGGGGACGACCCGCTAGCGTTGAGGCCGAGCATCCAGCAGATCCGCAGAGCCAAGTTCACGATTTTATAGTACAATGTCCGAATCCGGGCGTCCAGGCAGTCACCCGGAGGCAACGGCTTGGCCCAGGAATAATTTATGGCGATATAAGTGTTGATAGTCCTGTGAATAATTATACGATTATTGGAGATAATGTTATTGTCGATCACCCTGTTGCTGCCATGCAGAATTCGATGATTGTTCAGCAGCAGCAGCAGCAACAAAAACGCGATTCATGCGCTTGTAGTTTGAAGGCTATGATTGTGTGCAAAAAGTGTGGTTCATTCTGCCACGACGATTGTATAGGACCGAATAAATTGTGTCGGACTTGCTTTATTAGGTAGGTTAAGGTTTAAGCTTTAGCGGCAGAGTTTCGTTCTGTTCCGACAACTTATTTATTAACTTTCTATGAAGGTAAATGCATCTTTTTTGTATTAATTTTCTTTTCCGCAGTCGTAGGAAACTATTGTGATAAATACTTATATATCTTTATTTCATTTTATTTTTCTTTTTGTGATTAAAATATGCAATATTTTTAAATTTATTTATATTATATTTGTATCAATGTGTCCCAATCACTTAACTATGTATGACAACATTTGTTCCTGAACCCTGATAATTGTTTTCTAGTAAATATTCAAGTCATCTTGTCCTTTCTTTGTTCTGCAGACTAATTTACGTTGTACAGGAGGGCTGGAGTTTTTGTTTTATAAAAAGAGATTTTTCCCACAAAACTATGTCATAATTTTTAATTTTTCATAATTGGTGTTTCCATAATGACACACAAAAATCAAAAATAGGTTCATGTTCTTATTTCTCACTTAAGTTTTTCACATTGCCTTATCACATAAAATTGAACTGAAACCACTCGTCAAGACATGCAGGACGCGTGTTGAGTTGTGTAAAATTCATGAGAAGCTCTGCACAAAAGAAAAACAGAAGGAAACAAGAACTGAGCTTTCAGTGTTAACTCTGATAGACTTTATGAGTATTTCTTCAAAACCGCGAGTAGTTTAAAGTTGAAAAAGTTAAAATTAGATATTTGTAGATCTTTCAGAAATTGTTCAACATAATGACTTAAAATTGTCTAAAACTTGTAATCTTTTGCACTGTATTAATGTTTTGAGCTTGTACAGTTATAAAAAATATTCTTTTTGTTTCAAAAAACTGGGTGTACAAATTTTGCAGTTTTAATGTTGAATTGTTTCTAAAATGTCCACACATATATGTTTGTTTATTTTTAAGACTTTCTTTTTTAACTTTAAGACTCGTATGTTTCTTACTATCAACTTTTGATACAATAAATAGGTAGCTCTATTGCCCATTCTATACCAAATTCTCTGGGTTAGATTTTTGGATTCATCGGATTATTATTGTATTTTTGAGTAATTTTTATTTTGGACTAACCTATGATAATTGGTAATAGATATTTTTTGTTGGTAATTTTTTTTTTGTTCAGATTCATGATAAATAAAGATTGAATTATTCAAAATAGGATTTAAAAATACTTTACGATATTTACGCTACAATTTTCAGTGCAGTCTTAAAAGTCTTAATTCTATCTTCCACACAAAACTTCTTAAATGGAGTAGCCATTAACGAAATTTCTTTAGTTTTGTTTTTCCAAAAATAATATCGATAGAACATTTACATTTACGTACAATAATGTAATATTTAAATTATCTGATCATGGGTTTTATGAGCAAATGTTGTCTAGATCTGATTTTCCAGATTGTATATAATTTTATTATTAAGTAACATTGGTAGGCAAGGCTCAACAAGATAAAAAACTTTGATATGCTTTTTATGGATATTATTATAAAATAATTAAGCAACATTTTGATTGCGGAACGATCCATTAAGTCTATAGTGCTTTGGGAATGTACCACATAAAATTGGTCTCAATTAAATTTGGCATGACTGTTATATGGATATGTAAAACAAGTAACAAGTAATTTATTGTACAGTGAGTCAAAAATAAATGGTAGGGTTGATTATAAAAACAATATGTTATTAAAAAGTTAAAGTTAAAAAGATTCCAAACAATTATGAAGATATGCGGAAAAAGCGAAATTTCGGAAAATGGTTGCATTATTTTCACGTGATTTTATTTAAAACAACATTGTAAAACAAATTACACATTTGTATATCATTCCTTTCCCTCTGTTAACTTATCTTTTTAAAAACATGGTTACAAGTATTTTAAATTCCTGAGTTTTATTTTAATTTTTTTCTTCGCATTTGTTTATTATTTTATTTTGTTTAATGGAAAAAGCACACACCACAATATAAATATAATAAAAAAAAAATTAAGTAGTCATGAAAGTAATGTACAAAATTTCGGTTTATCCGAATATCTCTCTCTCCATACATTTTTTACTGTCTAAACGGCTCATTGATAGCAAAAGAAATACACCACTGACCCCACTTGGACCTTGGACGCATTGTATAAAAAACTTCAGTCAATTATCATCTATGAATTGACAGTGATTGGTACATAGCACAATAAAATGACCCAAATCCAAAACAATTTCATTATCAAAAAAAAAAAAACTGAAACAGAAATAGGTAATGTAGATCTCATTTTTTTCATCCTCTTATAAATAGGCGTCTTTTTTGATAGATTGGCAGGTAATCTGACATTTTGTTATCATTTGTTAACTTTATTTTTAATTACCTGATTTTGATTTATTTTAAAGCATACTTATGTCTCTTAGAATCTTGTATAGAAAATCAAAACATTTATTGGTGGTTTTATAGCGTGATTAATAAACAGGAAGACTTCAGTTTTAGTCAATTAATTTTTTTTCTGTATTTTTGGATAACGCCTTTCTTAGTTATAACTTTTGATTGATTTCAGAAATGTTGTAAATAGCCTATGCCACGCTCTCTTTAAGTTTGTCGTTTTTAAATTTGTTTTTTTTTGTTCTGAGTTTTGAAAGATTAGTATGGGACTGCCGAAACAATGCAAGTTTTGATTGATCAACGTTGAAGTCTTAATTGTTTTAACTGGCAAAATATTTTCCAAAATAAACTTGGCAGTTGATTGCAGTAATGAAAGGAAGAAAATTTTGAAGTGTAAAAAAAATATTTCATGATTTTGTTGAAAATAAATTTCCTTGATACATTAGCTTATTGTATATTAAGAACCTCGAAATAGCATAAATTTTTTACTCATTGAAAACAAGCTGTTTCCATAAAATCTAAGTCTATCTTTGTAGCACTTGACATGTGCTTATGGACGAATAATATTTCCCGTCTACTGTTTTTGAAACTCCATTCTTATTTTGTATTGAGGAAAGATGTCCTATCTTCAAATACAAGTTACATTGGTTTTTGATTGCAAATTTCTAATTAAGCTACTTTGTCCCTTGATCAATTAAAACTATTCGGAAAATTGTATATCATTTCAAATTGCAAATAGATCTATGCATAACAAAAAAACAATGAACTGATTTGGAAAATAATATTGTTTATATTATTGTTATAAGGTGTCCAATTTTTTATGAATTCTTTTTTGGAAAGCGTTTCTTCTGTTCGACTTTTTGAAGCAATGATAGGCTCCAAGGTCAAGTTTCTCAAGGCCCTTTTTGTTATTTAATATCCCTCATATTTTGTTTATGAACAAACATTGAAAAATCAAAAAACTGCCTCTGGTAGACATTTTTCTTCCTATTTCAGGCATAGGTATGTTTTATAACTATTGCTAATTTTAGAGCTTGAAGCAATGTTGGGTAGTAGACACAATGCACAGTTTTTGTTCAGCACTTAAGCTAGTGAGTTTTGAAAATATGGAATTGTACCACTAAGAACATTGAAAAATTGGACTCTCTTTTCAAAGCAGCATTTTTAAAAATACAGTAGAAAGATAATCACAATATAACCATTGCTACCATTTTAAGCAGGCATTATAGTACTGTGTACGAAATCCTGAAAAACATGTTAAAAGTCAGCCACCCCAGTTAAAAAACTGGCTTATTCTTGTTTTTTATGTCTTGGATGATGCCCATACACTATTTTATAGTGATATTTATCAGTTTATTTTTAATATTTTGGTCCGAAATTGTGCAGGTAGTTGAAGCTTTGTTTTGTTTCAAATTATGCAGCTTGTATAAATCATTTTTCTGCATTATTCTCTATGTAATAGTCAATATTTAATTGTAAATTGAAGCAAATTAAAAATGTATGTTTGTTACCTTGGACTTAAAGAACTGATATTACTAAAATACTTTTTAAACATCTCAAGTAAGGTAGGTTTAGGTATCCAGATATATTATTATAAATAGTAATAAAAAGGTTTTAAGCATGTGATGTGTTTTATATCATTATATAAGTTGATTTTTTTTGTCCCGTTAAGGTACTTAATTTTTAATTAATAACAATTAAAATGAAATTGAAAATAATTTTATAATCTTATTTTATTTGGAATTAAAGATAAATTACACCCCCTATGCGATGTGCTTCTAATGAAAACTCGAATTGGTCTGTTTTCCTTAACAGACGCGCAGTTATTTTCCAAGGTACTTAATTTTTAATTAACACTGTACAAAATCATAGGCATAAATGCGAGGAATGTTAACAGTTTAATTATAAACTAGATATGTTTATTAGAGATGCTTTAAAAAAAATGCAAAAAAAAACATTAATTTGGTTTGTTTATTAATTTATAAAGGAATAACATAATACTAAATTTTATTAAATCGTTACTATAAATTTAGAATCTCGTACATTAAAAAATATCAAAAACCAGGATCAAGTTGACCTCTTATGTCTAAAACCAATTGCATGTCCAATGGCTTCAAAGTAACCCTTTTTGCATGTGCACAACATCGACAAGCGTCAGAAAACAGTTGAGTAAGGTATAATTCTGCAGCTTCCTGTAAAGCTTCTAAGGCAAGATATTGAATGCGCCAGCCTCCTCCAGGATGGTTTTGCATTAAAATTTCTTTTACAAACCTTGCAAATGACAATTTCGGTATTAAATTCGTCGTACACTTTTGTAATGCCTTCATTTGATGAACCATACGTTTTGAGGCTGTAGTCCTCATATTATTGACTATGTAGGTTATTGTTTCAGGTTTCTTTTTCTTCGGGGACCTGCTTTTCCGAATACTGCTTTTCGTGGAAGGTTTTGGGTCCCTTTTTTTTGCTTTCATTTTAACATACGGAAATAAATACAAAATTACATCTGAAACTAGTAAAACCCACAAAACCTAAACCGCTAAAAATTTTTAGGTTAGGTTAAGTTTAGGTTAACATTTTTTAGTATGTACTTTTAAATTTAAGAGTAGAGACACGGACTACAAAACAAAGTACTAATTATGTGGAAGCAGTAAAATTCAAATTGTTGAATACAGTCATTGATTTAACAGTCAATATTTTTTTTAGATTTAGTTTTTTTTTTCTAAATGGAAAGAAAGTTGAGAGAATTCCTTTAGATTTTATCACTCGGATGTAGAGTTGTGTCAATCGCGATTGATTCGGTCACTTTGATTCAATCATTTCATAAGATCGAACGACCGAATTCCGTTTGTTCGTAACGATTTGATCACCTTTCTCTCTTTCGCTTCCGCCCTGACGCGTCTGAAGTGAACGAATACAGGACGCCCGTACCAAAACAAACAAATTCGCCGGAATACGATGCATTTGAATGGTTTAAGATTTAAAGGCATGACTGAGACAGGCTACGGAAAAGGAATGGAAGTATTGTTATAATTATTCTATAGTATTGAATTGTGACATCGATTGATAGATTTGCTTATGTGCTGAATTGAATATTGAATGAAATATCTATTTCCACACAGGTATTTAATTGAAACAAATTAATGTATTACTGGTACAACCCAATACATCATGATTCAATAAAAAGCAGAACACAGCTAAATATTATACTAACTACAACAGAAAACATAACATATAGACACAAAAATAATTCAAATTCAAATGAATTTAAATCGGTCGTTCGGACTGTTCGGATTCAGTGACAATTGCCGCTTATGTTGGCATCAAAAAGTATTGAAATAAACGATTGATTGAAATGATTGGTCCTTTTCGAAATCGGTCACTGATTGATTCGGGCCTCGTAAAATGAACGATTGACACAACACTAAAATAAACTCACTACAAAACCGCTACGGCTTTGTAAATTCAAAATAATTCAAATGTCCAACACGCTTCCAATCGCAATCGCTACCGCGATAGCACTTTGCTAATTCCGCTGAGTGCGACCATTGAATATCAGGTATTATTAAGTTCTTTTCTTCTCCTTTTATTAAACGAACTTAGGTAGGTGATTTTTACAATACTGGTAGAAACTGCAAGAGTCGCCGAAATGGGGAAGTTATAATACTTCTCGTAAGCAGCGTAAGTTTGATGGGGACAGATTGAAACGGTCTATAACTGGTTGTGTGACGTCTGTGGCCCAGTCAGTAAAATTATTTTTTATTCGAATCGAATTCTTTTTTTTTCATAGTTAATTCCGTTTATTTTCGTACGATTTGCAATGACAGTAAAAAAAGTTACATAGACAATTTAGCAATGATATTTTTTTAATGTCACCTATTTTCGTCGAAACAACTTTGATAGCTTATTTCGGTAGGAGCATTAATTCTGTGGTTATTTGCACAAATTAACCATTTTCATTCAGTTATCTTTGCCTCTTCCTCCTTTTAGTTATATCAAGATTTTGTATATGATGGTAATACAGGAACGAGTGAAAATAGCATAGTCACTTGAGGCGCATCAATTTTACCGTAGTAAGGACTATTTTATCTTATGACGGGTAGTATAATGAGGTATTCTTTTCATACACGTTAATAGCTACTAATTGCAAGTAATTGGAGTAAGCGATTGTTTTATATTATTTTACAATTATCTACCTGTGTATCTTTTTATGTTTATATATGTTTAACCTAAAAATTAAATTCTTACTTTATGTATGTATATCGGACGTCTCACCGTGAACTTAGATGATCTGTAGTAGGAAAACGATAAGTAGCAAAAATTTGAAAATTTTGAATTAAACTAATGTTGGTGGGGACAATTCGTCTAAAATATTTTCAAGGTAGCGACCCATCCGGATATACTGAAACTGGGTGTCAACTTTGTTATATCAAATATATTATTGCCTTTTTGTATTCCCCAGAAAATTATATTTCTAATTCTATGTTTTATGTACATCATATTTAAATTTCACCGTTTCAGAGATATTCAACATTTTATGTTAAAAATGACTTTTGCAGACCTAACAATAGCTGTAAATTTTTCCCATAAGGAATCCTTTAAAATTTTACTTGCCCTGTAGAAAATGCTCTGTTGAACAAATTTAGTTTTAGTAATAGTAAAAATAACAATTAAAATGAAAATGAAAATAATTGTGAACATCATTTTTTCTAATGAAAACTGTTTTATAATGCTATTTTATTTAGAATTAAAGATAGATTACACTCTGTGCCATGTGCGTCTAATGAAAACTCGAATCGGTCGGTTATTTTTATCGCTCTGTTTTCTTAAACAGACGCGTAGTTATTTTCTATATTATAACTAACAAATATTTTGTCTTAAGTAAGGTTTTTATAAGGTAATTAAAAATAAAACAGTAAAAATGTTACTAAAACCCTTTTAATTCATTTGGACTTACAACGCGTCGAAACGAATCTTTACAGCAAAATTAATTTAAAATTTAAGTTAAAATATACAGGGAGGACTATTCTAAATTCTTCCTTTCATCTGGTCTCTTATAAACGGAGTCCGGGATTCGTCGAAGCCACGTAATTTAATAGCTCGTCCGAATCTTCGCAGACGACCGGCTTTTCGTGGTAACAAGCTACATCGTGCCACGCGATACCGTCGTTATATACGTTGTTGAGAATGGAGAGGCAAGACTCCGAGGTTCCTGCAATTATCAAATAAATACGTGGTAATTCTCGTTCTTATTTTCTCACTATTTACGACAATGGTCAATGTCAAGAGTCCCTTGCATTTTTCGAAGCTATTGATGATTGATTATTGTATTATTAACGGTTTCTTATTAATAGCTAGAAATGATAATGATTGAATGAATACATTGTGCTCCGTCTCACAAATACTACTTTATAATTTGCAGTTTAGATGTAATAAATTTGATTGATATTTTTAAAATTAATTATGCTGAATATACAACATTACTTTGTCGTGTTTCTTCTGCATTCTTTATAACATTTTCAGATAAAATATAAACTAAAGCCCCCGTGTAACTCGGGGAGACTCACCAAAAATGTAATAGAGAAAATATAAATTTATTCTGATTTATATTTTATTTCTTTTTTAAAGAACATACATCAATATAGGAAACAATTTTTCTAAGAAGAAGTATTGTATATTGAATAATAATTGAACGAAAAAAAAAAGTTAGACGCGAAGAAACTTTTAATAATGAGTAGTGATTTATCCGATTGAAGAGGGAAGGGTGTGCATGGTGGGACAAATTGAATACTATTAAAGGGAAACTCCACCTCCTAAAAGAGATAAATGAAAGGTGTCAGGGTAAAAACTCGACATAGGTATCTGAGACCATTTCAGAGTTAGAGGTTTTTTATTGCGTTTTTAAAAATTGTTAGCTCCACGACACATAAACCTATTTCAATTCCACTTCAGATCTGATTTTATGGACCGAATCCACCTTTGTTTGAAGGGGTAAAAACTCTGTATTTCGAATAGCACTCAAACAAAATATCAAGTGTGCTCTATTTTGATGAGCGAGCCGAATAGGCTGGGTCCTGCCCTGGCCCTGCCTACGTTGTAAGAACTCCCTTCTCGAGAAAACGGTTGGAATATTCCATCCACGTCCTGAACTGGTGCTGGATTCAATAAAAGTGAAGCGCCAAACCCTGGCATTTGAAAAAGTGGAGCTGGAGCTTGAATACAAATAATCGACTTATAGCAGTACATGTTATATATAACATATCTATATTGAATAGTGGAGTGTAAATAGTTAATATTAGACGAAATAAATTTTTACTTTCGTTGAGTTTTACGCCGAGTGACTTGTTTAATTTCACCGTCGCTTTCACCCGAAATATTTTTGTCCGTTGAAACACTTATTTTTTAAGTGCCCTTTATATGTAAAAACACCACTAAATTCTACACAAAATTTTCCGCCACCAAAATTTGCAGCGATATTTAAATTTTTTTTCGAAAAACAGCTTATACAGTAACAGATATAATATTTTCTATGAAAACTGAGCCCCAGACGCCTACTACCTTTGGAATTACTAGCGGAATTCATTCTAATTTCCCTGAAGCTAGTTGGACTGCGTCTATACTTTCCATACTGTCCATAATTCGTCTGCGGTTTAAAGGTATTTTGTCTTTCTTACCGTTAATATCAAATTCGGCATTGTCAGGTTGTCTCTGTTTCTTGTGTCCCGTCGACGACCAAGGATTGTAACTAAATCCGGGCGGTACCTGATTGGTGGGCGCCATCTTTTCCCTATTTGCAGACCAGAACCAACCGTAAACGTTTTTAGGCTCCAAATCGGCCCTATTTTCGCAGCCTTTAAAGTCACAAAGACGACCGGAGGTCCAAATGTATGGAACGTCGTCTGAAATTTTTACGAAATATAGAATGGTACACGAAAAACGCCAGCTGCTATAGTATTAATTGTTATCCGATTAAAAAAATGTAGAGACCATATTAAATAATTTGAAGTCAGTTACAAGTTGGGAAATAAGACCAAAATTTTTTCTTATATGCTCCTAAATTCTTTATGCCGCGTAATTTAAATCAGATAAACGTACAATAGTTAAGAAACCTACTCTGCCACTACAAAACCATTTAATCAAGAAAAATGAATTCAACATATATACATTATAAACTAGTGCAGGGTCGGACTACACTAGTGGAAAGAAAAGAATTATACTGGCATGCAATTAATTTAATGAAATGCAAAAGCTGCCTACGTATCTTTGCGAAATTACATAATTCATTTGCAGCAGCACTAGCGTTAAGTCATCTATTAAGTACTGAATTATAAATAGTTCTTACATTTCTATTTGGCATCTTTTTCTTTAATATCGGACGAAATTTAACGATGTTTTTAAAAACAATATTTAACAAAACCACAACGCAATAATACATTTCGTAAGAAATTAATACTAGATTTTTAAGTATAAAAAGCTTCCAAGTAAAAAAAGCTTTTCTATTTATTAACTTTTCAAATCATTATTTTAGCCCCACCCACTGATAATGTCAATTGATCACTTTATTACCATTGGGTTAAAACCATTTATCTGTGAAAGCACTATACGTGGTTATGCTCATATATCGCGTCCCCTCGCAGCGTATTTCCTTCATAGGATCGAAAATTACGAAAACAAAGTACCTCAAATTTAAGAGCGGTATAATTATAGAGTTGTTTTAAATATTGTGGGATTTTTTATGCCAATTTTGTGTCTAATTTGTATTAGGTTCCCTATTGACTTGACAATAAATTTAATACATTTCATGAACTCTTTGTAGGGGCATTTAATTGTTCATTTCCTTTAGTGAAATATAGAGTGAATACCTTATAAGGATAAGCCGTGACTAACAAGGGATATTATTCAACGGGTGTGAGACTAAGAGACTTATATAAATTCGCCACCTTGAACCCAAATAAGGAAGGCCTCATGTTGTATTATAAACAATTAAAAAAAGTTCACAAAAAGCACATATATGCAGCTAAAAAATTGTTTAATGATCAATGTCTTTTGAATTCCGACAACAAATCGCGTTCCGCGTGGCAAATAATAAATAACGAATTAAAATGTGCCACAAAAACACCGGATTTTTTTTTGATATAGACGGGGAAAAAGTTACTAATATGACTTCGGCTGCAAATTGTTTTAACAATTTTTTCGTCGATTTAGCCAATAGTTTGAAAAATATGTTTTCACCACATAAAAATACGATCTCGCTAAATGTAGCTCTTGCAGAGGGCATGTATTTAAGTCCATATTTATGTACAGAAGTTAGTAATATAGTTTTGTCTGTCACTAAGAAGTATTCAGCGCTGCAGCATCGTCTGAGCAACTTAGCATTGCAACCAAGACAACGGTTGAGCAAATGAAACATTATGCAGAAATTAACAAATTGATATTGAATAAAAGTAAAAAAAAATTCCTCGGAGTTTCTGTAGACTCGAGACTCTCCTGGTTCGAACAGGTGGACCACATTCTCAGAAAACTTTCTGTTTACTGCTTTGTCATATGGAGGCTCCGCCATTAGGTGTCTTTCCCCTTGTTAAAAATGTACTATTTTTCGTATGTCTATTCGTGTCTCAACTACACCTTGGTTTGTTGGGCAGGTTCCCCACGTGCGGAGCAAGTCTTTAGGATGCAGAAACGCATTTTACGGACTATACTGTTTAAGCCCTGGAATTTTTCATGTCGGAACCTATTTCCACAACACTCTTTATTGACACTGCCTAGTATGTACATACTAAATTGTGCCACGTACGTAAAAAGTAACTCTAATCTTTATATGCCCTCAAAAAACTCAGATATTCAGTACAGTTTAAGACCGAATCTTAACATAAAAATACCTACACATCGACTGTCTCTTACAGCAAATAGTCCCTTTGTTTTGACTGTAAAAATTTATAATAAATTGCCTATCGAACTGAAGGAGATAACTAGTCAAACAAAATTCAAATGCACTCTTAAAGACAAATTGCTACGTCTCGCCTATTACAATATTAAGGATTTTCTTTGTTGTGATACCTTTTAATACGTATTCGTTGTTTGTTATTGTTTATATATTTGTTATTTATCCATGAGTATTACTTATTATTATTATTATTATTAATTTACTAATTATACTAAGATAATTTTTCCAACACTTGTAAATCAAGTCTTATGGAAATAAAGCTATCTTTATCTATTCTTTAGTCAAACGTGACCATCAGTATAGGCAACAGAAACTTAAATTAATATAGATATTACGTATAATAATTTACTTGTGTCCTCGGATCAAAAAGTTTTTGGAATAAACCAATTTTATGAAAGAAACAATTTTGTTCATAGGTATTCAAATTTATTAGAGCCAAGTAGAATGAATGAATCCTCTGATAGTTTAGATAGATATTTCGTGATTTTTACTGATATCAATAATTATCTTAAAACCTACACAAACTTAAGACAATAATAAAACAAGGGAAATTTATTCTGCTTCACTTTCAGAGATGCTGTCATTAATTCTATTCTTAATGAATATTAAGAAGTAGCAAGGACCTTAATAAGCCAAAAAAGAAATTATGTATATGATTAAAGCACCTGCTTTTTTTATTTCACCATGTAGCTAAATAGAAAAACAATTGCGAAGCGACCGTAAGTGAAGGTTGAATGATTTTAAAAGTGATGAACTCTCAAGTGAGGTGGCAATGTACAGGTATTTTCTTTTATTTAAAGAGACCATTATGCAGGTAATATCTACAAAGTTTTACCGCTAAAAGTAACTAATACCAATAATGTAATTTGTTTTTCATTATAACTCCATAGATTATGACATATGACAAGCTGCCAGCTATGTAGTATTTGTAATTGGTTTCAAATATTCTAGTGTAAAAAGGACAGTATACTAACCAAATGTGCAGTAAGATAATTTGTGAACCTTGATCAAACTTGACTAGATAAGGTCGAAAAGAAACAATTGTAATGGAGACGTCTGAATCCATCACGGTCTACAGCTACAAATGTATGTGGAGCACAACAACAAAATAAATCTTTCTGGTGAGCCACTTTCGACATTTCCGGTACTTTAGTCACGGATTTGCGTATGTTTGCGCAGATTTAAGACACTGATGGGTTGTCAGTTTTGACAGTCACTAAGTGGATGTATTTTTCTATCTCAATGGTTTATTAAACACTCATTCCGCTCATGTCTAAAGTGGCGTTTATTAACGTTGTTATATATTTTGGATTCTCCACTTATTGCAGATTTTTTACAATTTTGGAGTATATTGGCATCTGCGGACATATAGCACCTGCGGATTATATAAAACTAACGGTCGTAGAAAAATTATAGTATGCAACACGTCTGGTAAACTTTTTAAGTCACTCGTTTATTAAACGCTCGCTCAGCTGCGCTCCGCTTGTACCAAATAAACTCGTGACTCAAATGCCGTTTACCGCACTTGTTGCATGATATAAAATTCTCATATAGATTACCTACAATATTGATAGACAAACCAATACTACAAAACTAAGAAAAAAGACTACTAAAGAAACTAAAGAAAAAAATACCACTAATTAGAGAGTACATTTTCAAAAATTAAAACAATGCGTCACTATATACGTACTTTGTTGAATCAGCCTGAAGATCATGTTATTTTCTTCTTGTGTCTCCAGCGAGACTAGATCCATACAGTACTCGCGACATAGATTTCGTCCATCTAGCCAGTCCATTTTTCTGTTAGCCAGTGCCGGAACGTGACCCGTAAAAAAATAGTTGTGCCCCCTAAAGAAAAACTGTTTCGGTCCTAAAAGCAGAAGAAAATAATAGGACTGGAAGACATCTTTTTAAGGTTGCCAATCATTTTGCAGTAAACTCTTGCTAATAAAAAATATAAATAATCCGTCTCTATTTTTAGTAATGACCATTTGAGGATTATTTTACCGTCGACTATATCGCCATGACACCAATGTTAATTAAGTTAACATCCTTCTGTATAATTACCGATTGTTACGGAGATTTTCATTTATATTCTTTGCGAAGGATTTTCGACAATTCTAATAGGAGATGATCGTTACGTTTGTGGAATTTCAACGCAACTATAATTTGACTTCGGTGTTAATTATCGCATTAAATATCTTGCAAGGCGGTAAGATGAGTTAATCCGTTCATGGGAGATTTTGTGTGAAAATACTGGGACTTCTATTATATTATTTTTCATTTTGATGCCCGATTTCTATAATAAAGGGCGTTAAAGTTTATTTAAAAAAATACTTTCATAACTTTTGTTGAAACTTGGTATGCATAATTTTCCTGTTATGTTATACTTTTTATTTAAAATTTGTAAATGAAAACTATATTCCAGCATAAAAATGGAGGTTCCTGTACCCTATTACCTCCGCACATTTTTCTTATGTACGCCTTATTTCGTATAATAAATCCCCCTTACTTCGCATAATTATTTCGCTCTTGTTTATTTTTTGGTTTTTAAGATATCGCAGGTTAATTACAAAATTTTAAAAATGACTACTGGTAAATAAGATTTTTTTTAAATTTTAATTGACAATAATAAAAACTTCTTAAGTATAAACATTAGACCTACTTTTATTAAACTAAAAACGCAGAATAGACAACTTAAAATATCTACGGAAAACCCTGTTTCACTTTTCTCATTTCTAGTCAAAATATTTAGCATAATAATAGAAGTACTATTAACGTCGAAGATTAATGATAAAATGTCGCAAAAATCACAATGTTTACCAAAAATAAAAAGGAGGAAATATTATTTCGACTATAGGCGGTCATCGAAAAAATTAGGAGGTGATAGGGCACATGACACCTCATTTTTCTGCTGGTATGCTGCTTTTACTTACAAAATTTAAATAAGAAATGTAACTCAACAGGAAACATTTTGCAGTAGACTCTTGCTAATAAAAAACAAAATAAATGAAAAAATGCGAGATTTATAAGAAACATTTTTTTCAAAAATAATATTTTTCTACTCCCGTCTGTAAAATGCCTAATTACACACCGATCTAGCGTACGGGAAGCGTCACTTTACCAAGTCAGTTTCGTTTCCCACGGATCCGAGCCACTTCGGACGTTTCCGGGATTTTACCGCACGGGTTTGGGAGCAATCAGATATTTTCGGAGATATTTCCTACCCCTTGAATTTTCACGTTTGTGAATACTGACGGTAATGTCAGTGAATGTATTTGTGTTGTTTTGCGAGAATGTACCCAAAAACTATTGGTCGTAGAAAAAGTATAGCATGCAACATGTTCGGTAAACTTTTTAAGTCACTCGTTTATTAAACACTCACGTCAAATAAACTCGTGAGTCAAACGCCGTTTACCGCACTTGTTGCATAATATACTATTAACACCTTGTGTTATAGAAATCAAGAGCGAAAATAAAAAATCTTTTCGGTTCACCATGTATATGATATATCTATCTAATACTCGTGTTGGGTATTTATTTTCCAAATTATTTCATCTTTCATTTGTTTAGGGTGTGAAAAAATAAATTTCGCATGTTATTGTCGTTGTGACAAATATAGATACAGTGTGATCTACTTCTCTGCTTTGCAGGCTTGTTTTGTAGTGATTCTTTTAGCCATAATGTTTGATTCCGTTCCAGAATTATGTAGTTTATCACCATGTCCAAGAGCCAATCTATGCAAATAATATTTTTCTTCTTTTGTATAGCGCACGGTGAAGTACGTATATTTCAGCTTCCATTATGTTTATGACATTTAGTAATGCTAACGAAGATGTTCAGTTTATATACAATAATTACTGCTGCCATTGAGTCATTCGAATTATCAATACAACCTTGAAGGGTCCTCCGCATACACGGTAATTAAATAAATGCACCGAATACATAATGGAATCTATTAATAATAATTATTTATTGCGGATCTATCCCAAGTTGCGTAAACTTCGCACGTATTCGCATGTCGTAAAAATCATCGTGCTTTCTGTTTTTCTTCACAGAATTCGTTCATAGAATTCGTTGGGGTCGTAAATGATTCGAATATGTATGTCTAGCATTAGATTTTGCAGTTGGAAACGGAATATTTTGTAGGGATTTTAAAGAAGTCTTGTCAAATCGTGATTTTGGCTGTAAAGTCGTTTATTTTAGTCTTTCAAAAAATTTGTGGAATCACTGCCAGAAATCTATGCGAGGTCAAGGTTTTTTCGTACTTTGCGGTGTGTATTTGAGGTTGTGTTAAAGTTCGTCCAACGTTAGTTAGTTGTAAGATTCCTTTGAACTGTCCTGAAAGCACTATTTTTTTATTTTAACATCAGCTGGTATGTATCGTTCTTAAGAGTTTAATCTAAATTGCAATATGTTCGTATATATTATGGAGAAGAAAATATTTATCGAGAACGATTAGTGGCGGAGTTGATCATTCAACTAAGTGACGACAGTGACGATTTTTTAAGTGACTGATACTTTATTATTATTATTATGTAATGTAATGAAATAGAATGTAATAAATTGTTACTTTGTACTATTTTTTTTATGTACATGTATCAAGAATTGCATTGCAAAAAAGATTGAAAACATACGTAAATCCCGCTTGTTAGTGTAGGTAGATAAATTCCTAGGACGGTCCTGGAATGGTCTGCTCGGCAGGGTGTTCTATAAGGGGCTGCGGTTTTGGAGTAATAACAGTAGGCAAAGTTAATCACGGGATCGGTTGTAAAAGCACTATATTTCTGGTATATCAAACAAACTTAACTTACTGACAGCCAGAATCATAATATGATAACTATTAAAAACCATTAAAGATACAAATTTCTAGCTTAGATATTACTCATCCCTTTTTTTTATGACGTAACTAAAATTTAAATATTTCCACCACTTTGGTCCTGACATTTCGGATATTTTAATTTTGGGGGGACAGGGGCAGCGAATTTTGATGCGATGTCCTAGTACTTTACTTGGAGGATTTTTTAGACCTTAGACAAATTCTGCGACCTTTTATAGTTCCTATAATATTTATTCTGCGTGTTCGTTCTTTTATGGTAACTCCCCAAGTACCTCTGTCATAAGAATGTCCCAATTAGGACTCTCGACTACCTGAGTTCGAGTAGACTTTCTCGATTAACTGCTTCCAGAGTCCTTTATTAAGCTCCCTCTTCCTCTTCTCTCCCCGTTCTTAGACATAAGAAAGTGACTAACTGATACGAATTAAGGAAAGACCCGGGCAAGCTGTAAGAATGAAATATGGCCGAACAGGTCTGTACTTTGCTTAGAATTTAATTATTTGGGGTTTTGTTAGGAAAGATACTAAACAATATTATTTATTTATGTGTGTATTTATGTTGAAATCTAAAATAAAATTACAAATTATTTTTATTACCTACTTAAATTACTTAAAATTGTTCACATAATATATCAATATCACTATCGCTATCATCGCCTGTTCTACTTATTATTTGTTCTATATTATTTGCAATTTGGATATACGATTGTTCTGCTTTTTCTATATGTTTAACAGAATTTGCTCAACTTTGTGGAGGGATGTTAAAAACTTCGGTTTCTATAAGTTTAGACATTGGAGTCAACACGGGGAAAAACATTGTTACGACGAATGGCAGATTTCAGTTGGTGCCGAACATATTCAATGGGATTAAATATACAGTGGTAAGGTGGAAGCCTGAAAACTGTATGCCCTAGATTTTTTGCATAATTATCACAGACGTATTCCTTTTGTAGGTTCAAGCTTAGTAGAACCTCAATTAATTGCTTTTTGGTATAATCTTCGTGAAAATAAATCTCGTTATTATACATGTAGTTTTGGATTGTTGCTTTTGCGTCACATGAGGAAGGGGTTTTAGTCAACTGTCTACTGTGATAACTTGTATTGTCCATTACAATTACGCTATTAGGAGGAATGTTTGGAACTAGTTTGTTTCTAAACCAACTTTCAAATAAATCAGCGGTGGTGTCTTCATGGTAATCCAGAGAAGAATCTTTAATATTTTTCACAAACAGAGAAAGTCCATTTGGAATCCAACCATCTTTAGAGCCAGCATGCAAAGTAGTTATTCTTTTATCTCTTTTTGATGGCGCGTTTGTTTTACACTTATCAGTTGAGTCAACCCAACCCTTTTCCGGGGTATCATAAGTGTCGAACCAGGTTTCATCCAAGTAAATAATTGACCTTTGTGGTTCTCTGTAAATCCTAATTTTTTCTAGATAGTCCGAATTCTAAAAGATTTCATTAAAACTTGCCTTTTGTCAATTTTTTAAAATCTAAAACCCATGTGTTGACTACACTTCCATAAGGTAGTTCTGCCACATTTAACACCGGTTTCATCTTTTTCAAGCCTCCTAATGAAGATATCTAATGTAGGCACGCTTTGTTCCCGGTATAAGTGGTAAATTTTACGCCGTATTATATCTTGATCACTTTCATCTACACTCTAGACAATGTCAGCATCGCTTCTTTTTTTTCTCGCTGAAATCGGATTATTCACAATTTTCCATACAGTTGATGTTGGAATTTTCGTCAATGTGGCCGTTTCTTCTAAAGATGCTTGCTTGCTGGCATCACGTTCAATGAGAGTCAAATAAACATTGTTTATAACTTCCTTAGTCTCAATAGAATAGTGTTTTCTACATTCGGGAGGGAGATACACTAGACTCGCACATATTTTGCATAATTCGCACGCGATTCAACACACACACGAAATAAGAATGATTACTAATAAACTTAAATTAAGTAGTATACCAAACCAAAGAATATTAAACTCAAGTAGGTATAAAATTATTTTCTATTACGGACCATAAGTTTACCTGAATTTAAATTACGAAATTTTAGGTAATAATCTTGTTGCATTAATGACCACCCTTGGATATTCCCATTCAAAAGCAATTGGTCACTTTCTTATATCTATGAACAGACCATACCCGACATTTAATTGTGTGGGTTTGTCAGCCTTCTCACTATTCTCAACATCTAGATGGTATATCGAAACTCAACTGTTGCTACAATAATAATTCTTTATTCCTGAGCAGACGCCAGATCTCGTTGATATCTGCTTGGCAAACACTGGGATTAATTGAAATTTGAAGGGATGTTCTCTTTACATGGTGTATTTAAGACAATTGTGCACTTTTTCATTGCCAGGACACCTTGACTCACACCCATGGGCTTTTATTCTCATGTTTAGGTTCAATTGTGGACGTTTTTATTTGTAAAAAATGAAACAGCTTTTTAAATAGTTTAAGTATGATACTTTTTTCGTTAGTTATAAGTGGACATTCTGACATCTAAAAAGAATGTGCTTTTTCAAAGCCTTGTCAATTTTAATCTAACATTTTCTGGTTTAGTAGGCACCATGGTACAAATTTTTACGCTTATTGTATGGTTTATTGCTGTCAGCTTTTTGAATTCGTGTAGAAACAATTGAGTCAATATTCCCATGACACGTTTCTGAAGCTGACCTGTTGCATCGAAATAAAATATTTGAATTGTGTGAGGTACATATTACTTAAAAGTTGGCAAATATGTTTAACAATGACCAGATCTTATCATAATTTCTCATTATTTGCCTAATCCTCGCCACATTAAAATTCGTATACTACTTTAGAAGTGAAAGTATCTTAAGTAGGTATTCGCTATGTTTAGGTTTGACTGACTGTTAGTGACCTGTTTCAGTGCTCTTCAGATTTAATTAGGATTACCCAACGAGCCTGCATTTTATCGACGGAAATGTAAATAAGTATAAGTTAAATGGACCGTCTGCCTATTTGTTTGAATTACAAACTAATGAATATGCTAGCTTACGTTTAAGCCAGTAGATTAACCTTTCAAGGACGACTGAATACCTTAAATGACAGGATCATGACATTCTAATGTTAATATAAATATGGCACATCAATAATTTTTTAAGTAAATTTTAATCTTTAACTTTTGCATTTTCATGGTATTCGGTAGGGAACGCCCTGTTTTACAAAAATGTTGAAAAATTTTATTAAAAATACATAGATATACTTTTAATTATCTGGAATTTGTTTCAAAATTGCGTTTAAGTATCTTTTTTCTACTCCCTACTCTAAAATTCTCAATTATGCACGGAGGGTTATTTAAGACGTCAGCTTTCTTATCCATGGTTACAAAAATCCTAAAATAGTTTTTTACCCTTGTTTCTCAGAGAAAAAATGCAAAGGAATTTAATTTAACCCATGTTTGGATTCAAGATTTATAGTAATGATTTAATTATTGAATGAAATAATTTTGTTTGCTTAATAATGCATTTTTTGTTTAAATCACTTCAGGAAAAATAAACTCATAAAAAGCAACATCGCCAAAACGTGAAGGATTAAACGCGTTTGTTTATAGAGCTGTTTTTTTATTGGAAATGACCTCAACTGACTCCGACCTTAATATCCATTATTTTTGGGAGATTTCGTATAAAGAAAAGAAATTTTAAACTTATTGCAATACAGAATAATCGAGTAATTTAGTCGGAAATCACGATGATGTACTAAGTGATGGGAAGAGATATCTTAATGTCTTGAAATGTCGAGTATGCCTCCAAGAGATATATTACGGATAATTTAATTTGTATAAAATTTCATGCCTATATGTTTTAAAACATTATCATGCAAGTGTTGCCACATGATTGTTCTAATGTCTTTGTTAGTTTACCTTTAAAGTATCCGCAATTAAGCGAAGATTGTACGTTAAATTACACGTGAAGTGAGTTTTGTGTTGTAACGCTTGATTATACATAGAAACTGTTGCAAAAATTGGTCTCAGTATAGTGAAGACTCTAAAGATGATAATAATAACAATAGATTATTTACCATACTCATTGCAAATATTAAATTAAAACAAATTAATTTCAATAAAAGATTATCTACTTGACAAAATTGACATGAATTCGAACCATTAATTCAACGATTTATTAATATTTTCAAAAAATAAGGATATTAAGAAACTTGCATCAGTAATAAATTAGAATTCACCTTCAAGAAGAAAAAATAAAATCCTTGATCTCTCTGTTCCGGAAAAACAAAACACATCCTGCACGGAACATTAAGTTTCAATTGTTTTACGGACGGTTACGACATCATCATCTTTTTTGTGGTTTACATACATACATAATGTAAACGCAGAGAAGAATATATCACACAATATTCATGGCCTCGATTACTATCGAAGTGAAGAATGCAATTTATGGATATATTTAACGTTTCGGTAAAATGAATGAAATAGTATTACTATAGTGTTTGAGATCAATAGTTTTTATAGAGTTTTTACTTTCTTTTTAAGTGTGGTTAGGCAAAAGTTCTTTATGTTATTTGTAGTCTTGTCTGATGTTGAGGAGGCGGTAATATATGAAACCAGTAACTCATATTTTCGGTTACATGCATATAGCTACCAGTGGACCTTACAAATTGATACGCTTCAGGCGGCAATGATATTTCTGGGCATGCCGTTAAATTTCCCACTCTAACCTGCAATTGGCGTTATTTTCTTTCTAGCGATCTGCGAACTGTCAGTGGCCATGTTTGTTGTTGAAAGACGCTAGGGGTTATTGGTTGAAGGAGATTAGAAATGAGCGCGCATGCGCATATTGAATAACATTTCTCAACATTTTTTTCATGGTGAATTCAAAAGTTCCAGTATTATCAGCATAGGCCTTCATACACATTAAAGCCGATGTTTTCGACAACTTCACATAAACAGTAATTATTTGTTCCTCCTGATATTTTTCGATGTGAGGGGAATGTCCAACGCATCGTGACAATTTTTCATTTTTCGTAACAAAAAAAAAAAAACAAAAATTTCATATAGAAAAGAACAATGTTTTTTTTTCTAAAGGTAAATTTAATTTTTCTTCACCTGGAACAAATGCGTTGCTAAAATAGCTAATTCTATTTTTTAAGCATCGAATGATTTATGTGGATTTTTAAAATGGCCAGTTTTTTCACGATGTTATAAAAATGCGTGCTGTGTAAAAAAGAAGGTGACTGGCAATGAGTTTTTTTTATTGAAGAAAAATTATGGTGAGTAAGAAAATGTCTTCTAAAACTGCGTCATGTCTAAAAATACTTACTGGTTGCGCATTTCTGTGGATTGGGCAGCGAAAGGAACCTTCCTGGCCGGTTTGATACTGGCCTAGTTTGACTAAGTACCGGGCAGATTAGAGTTGCTGTGCATGCCACTAGTGCAATCCAAACAATTTTCATCTGGAACAAAATTACTCTTACTCATTTTTCGTTAAATCGGAAAAGATGCGAGGACATTTTAGAATCAACGATTAATTGCGATCTAATACACAGAAACCACATTTTTCGACCAGGAATTGATAACGTCCAATATTTTACTATAGTAGGTCAATAATACATTTATTTTTTAGCAGGCTTAGCGGTTCCATGTACAAAACAGAATTAGTCAGAAAAAAGCTAGACAGTCATTTAAAAAACACAATAGAAAAATTGGGTTTGCACCAAAAATCCTTGTATTAATTCCACGACATTAGTGTACCCAATTTCTTTGTAACCTAAAACACGTTTTCGTGTTATTTTGAAGAAAGCGAATTTCGTATACTTTCTCGAGTATAGGGAGTGCCGCCTGCGTTGCGATTAATAATTAGTTTGTTTTAGGAGTTTCGCAATTGGCGAGATAATAGTCGGTCCAAGTGCAAACACTGAACCTATAAATTTATTAAATAACTCTTTTTTTAATGCAAACCCGAATACCTAACACCTATGGCATGCCACAGTTTGTATTAAAGAGGGTATTGAACATAACTTTAGATCCCCTAACATTTTTATTAAATTTATCTTTTCTGACAGGAACATTTCCCTCATATCCCAGAAAACTTATGTTGTATCATTTTCAAATAGCTTCGCTAAAGTATTTGAGTATGTTTTTTTATAGAGATTGATTTCTTTTGTTATCAAATTCTAACTCCTTCTAAACTACATTTTTGTAAAATCATTACATTTCGAGGCCGGACGAAAAGTGTTCGGTGTTTGGTTGGTGGTTCAAAATTTGTTAAAATTTAAATTAATTTAAATTATCTTAGTGTTCGTATTTTTGATAGTCTAAATTTTTTAAAACAGACTTGACAGTACCATTTCAATTGCGTATTTGCCCTTGAGTAAAATTTAATAAAAAAAACGTATCAATGGATTAACTATGAGACATGTCATAACGAATGGAACTATACTTTAATCAAAAACTAAAGTTAATTACAATTATTGGCTTTCCAAATGTCATGTAAGTCATGTAAATCAATTTTATAACTTACTGCGATTAAACTGTAATATGTTTCATAATTTTCGCAACTTTTCCACTAACCGCTTGAAAAAGTCTTAAATTATAGATTCTCCAATAGTGCCGGTTAAATAAAAAAATAACTTGGTTTTCTATCTGGAATCTCATAAATCTTATGGTGCAGGCCACAATGTTTTTAGAGTTCAGTTTGTAGGTGCCCGAAGCAGAACAACTTTCTTTTTATCCCAACAGTGATGATGTATCAGCGGAAATATACGTGCGCGCCTTTGCTTTTGTTGGATAGTTCAATTCTTACGAAAACGAGGATTAGATTTTTTTTAAATCAATTCTTGTGGATAATAAGTACCTATTTCCAGCAATTAGTCATCTATTGCAAATGAGATACAAGATGATTGTTCCAAATAACCATGCACGCCAAAAAAAAGAGAAATCTTTGAAACATTTATACTTAACAGTAACAGTGTTTATGTGGCATATGGTTGTGCTATTTTTTATTTTTTCTCAAATGTGTTAATTATTATTGAACGTTACGTAGTGCTGCTAAGAAACAGTGCTTATGAATATCCGGCACTATTTCGTACACGAGTGCTTACGATAAATTTAAAGAAAAACAATTTATTAAATATTCAATCTCAATCTAGGTGTAACAAAAAATGTATCTATTTGAGGCGGATTTTAGTCACTAGATTGAAAATTATTGATATTGTTGTTCCAACTAAAATTGACCTTTTAATATTTCTTTATGCCACTTTCACGCAAATGTATATTATTATATTCGGTCCAATGAAATTTTTCTTTAAACTGCAATTTTTGCGAAAACGATAGAGACAACAGTATATTTTCGGAAAGGCCAAAGAAAACTATAATCTAATAAATCCCATGGTTAATAAAAAACTGAGATGACCTTGACTAATTTGAAATTGCATTTTTTTATTATGCCAAAAAGTTGCTGCGCTCTTCAAAATTGATTCTGTTATATGGTATTTTTCATGGATGGTTCTCCATCCAAGTCTTTTTTAAATAAACTTAGCAAGCTGTGGTTTATTTAAAACATAGTCATCAAATACACTTAACGGTGTGTGGAGCCGGATCTTACGACCCGGTATGTAGGTACACAAAATTATTCAAAAAAAAAACCTTAATTAATTTGTGCCTTGACCTTTCCGCAGACACTTCTTTAATTATGTACGCGAAATAAGATTCCGAAGATGTGACACTGTCGTCCTTTCAATGATATTGATAATTGATTAAAGGCGGATTTTATATTGAAATGTATCTAGATGTTTGTCAGATGCAATAAGCGTTTCCTTGTTTTTTATTCAGTTAACGGCGGTCAGAAAATCAGACTTACAAAAATTTTAACTTAAGAGGGACTATTATGGTGCTATTAGCGCTCATATAGCCTCATTTAAAATACTCTGCACATATTTTACTAATGGTAAAAAGAGTACTATATACATCTATATCGAAAATTAGAAAAACATTGTGTGATGCCTTGGTGCTATTCCATTTTAATTTCTGTGAAGTCATATCCATATATAACTTCACAGAAATTACCATTAACTGTCTCACATACACATTGCAAGGAGACCTATCCAAAGACCGAAAGAAAATTTGACCATATTGCATTGACTTAAAAATCGAACAGAGAAGCAAGCATCATTTTTTCGTATTTTCATAGCAATCCTTAAAACACAAAAAACATAGATCTCGATATCACAGCCGAAATTTCAGATTTTCTCATTTAGTTCAGTATCAAAACATAAAACCACGTGTTTTAAAACAAGTTTTTCTTGTAGTGCACCTAGTCTACAAAAGTTTGCACACACAGTGATCGTAGAAAGGTTTAAACCAAAAAGAAAATTTATAATTTTAAACGTTTAAATAAATATTGATTAATGGAATGGCGTTAGATTTTGAAAAATTCAAAACTTTTATATGTATTTTGATCGTCAAATCTAAAAATGCTATATTTGTATGGCACTTTAATACTTCTAATACCCTTCGGACAAAGTGTGTTAATTTGAAAATAATTTTATAAGGTACGCATAAATATGCACCTCGCAACCTGGAACTTCTTGAAATTGTTGTATTTTTGTCACAATGTCTTTTCTATTACGTATAGCCTGAAATCAGAAAATAGTAATGTTAAAAGCACGCTTTTCGTGCATTTCCCAAACGGTCGTGGTTCGTTTCACGTTTCTGTGCAATGAAGCGTCGATAATCCACCACACGCGAGGGAAATTTTGCAATTTGGTGTGCGTTATCTCAATCGAAAATAATTATTGTGCTGCAAAAGCTATCTTCGTTCGTTTTTTTCTCTTTAAGGAGGCCAAATTGCACAACATCTTTTTATTAATGTGAACTATCAAGTTAACATTGACATGATTCCAAGCAGCTTCGTGCGCATCAAAGTGTCTGACGACATAAAGAGCTGCCTCGGAGGCATCTACTCTAACGGGTATCAGTTGAGTTATTCGCACCTAAAAGCTTCAAACTTGTTTCGTTCCACAGCATTGAGCAGCATGAGGTATCCTGTGCCTTGATGTCATTGAAGCTTGGAAAATATCCCATTTGTTTGCTCGACATATTTTTTAAGTTCTTATTCTTATCGCAAAGAGGCGTAAAAGGCTGGTTATAGTTATAAATAGGTACTAAATACGGCACCCTTTTGGATTGTGCTCAAGAAGAAACTTTCCCTGATATTTTATAATAAAAATAATGATAATTTATTTTATTTGTTTGCCGTACCTTCTTCAATCTTAATTTAATTGATAGATTAAAGCACTCGTTTTCGAAGCTAAAGTTAGGGGAAGCGAAAGCCCTTGAAATCGATCTAAACTGGAATGGTGCTCATTATTATCATACTGCTCATACTTATTAAATATTTGTATAAAATTGTTTTAAAAAAACGAAAAAACTCATACAAATTGATATTGATATATGTACATTAAAGTCTTGCATCATGTAATATGCAGTAGATGTATGTATATGTATGTAGTGTTTCCTCAAAAAAAGAAAATCTTGTTTCTGAAATCGGCATTATTTACGAAATTATGCAGATAAAACAAAAAAAAACTATAATACCCTGTATCTAGAAAACGAAACGCTTTATGCTACAGGTTTACTAAATAACAACTCGCATATTGTGCTCCAGGAAAAACAAAATATAGCAGTTTAAAGCCGCTGAAACTTAATTTATAAGAAGATGGTGTGCATCCTTGATGTGTTTCGAGTAAATCTTTTGGATGTCAAATACCATCGCGTTGATATTTTGCCGCAAACTAAACCAATAACTCTCCTTTTTCTAAGAATTTTGAAGGCCATTGCGACGGAATGAAGAAAATGTAATACCCGGATACCACGTCACGACAACACTGACAAAATTATCCTAGAAAATCACGACTAACCTAAATACGATGCTCGTTTTTTTTTGTTATTATATCCTAGAATTATCGCTTATTTGCGAAATGCCAACCTCTTCTGATACAAGGTGACAACAAATTCTCGTCAAATTTTCATCAATTTAATAAGTATGATTTTGTTATTCGACTATTGTTGAGGGGAAAATAATAGCAGTTAGTTATGCTATCACGCCACATAAGTGAAAGACTAATCAACTTAAAAACCATATTTTGTTAGTACAAATACATATTTTCTACAACTTGGTAACAGGGAAGCGGAGTATATTTATGCTCTTTGTTTCTTCTTTTGTTTTCATAAAATGGTATATGCTTTTACAGTACCTATATTTTAAAGACTCAATGGATATAACTGGTTGCCGGGTATTTCAACAAATTTATTAGCAACAACTATTTTTCCAATATATACTCTCTCCTGATGAGCGGGTTCTCTCACATTAGATAAATTTTAACAGCACCATGATTTATGGAGTTGACAACAAAAATGTACGTGAAAATAACGTAATTTTTTTGAAAAACATTGAATCAGTCGGTACAAATTTTGTCAATCCTCGATACATATTTTGAGCTGGACAGGTCTTTGTATATATAATAAAAGTTGAACCATTCACAGTACCAAATAACAACCATTTTGTGGTCAATAAACAAACAATATCGTAACACGTAAGCACTTGCTTGTTTTACATGTAGAGGGGACTATTGGTTCTAGTCAGTCTATATTCCTGAATATGTCACCGTAGAAACTGATTGGATGATAGTCGTAACAGCGTAAAGCTATTGTTGCGTTTTGAATAACTGCCTAATTGATTATTTACCCAAAGCACTCATACAAGAAGAAGAAACAAATCATAAAATCATCTTTAAACGGAGTGTCAAAATATTAAAAGACTAAACCCGATCCTCTCATCTAAAAGCAGAGATTAATGTTAAATCTTATTAAATACATTAATACCTCTATTTCAAAAGCTATAGTTTCCAAAAGGAAGTAATGAATGAATTTTAAAGGGCGTTTCCCAATCGATATTAAACTATTATCCTAAAATAAAAATCCGGTACACTATTTTCTACGAAAAGGGCAGCAACGTAAAATAATTATTATGCAACAAAATTTTACTGTAGGAGTTTGTTTGGTCACAAGGAAAGCGAGTCGAGGGGTTTATGAAATATACTATACTTTTTCTACGACCGTTACGAACAAAGATATAGCAAAAATATCAGATTGCTTTTAATCCCTGGCCAAAGTACCGAAATGACTCGAAGCTGATTTTTTAAAGTATCGTGTAGTTGAGTATTTGAGAGTGGGGAGTAGAAAAAATAAATTAAGTTTAAGTCACACGGTTAAGTCGCAAATAGTTGAACTGATTGATAATCTGATAATAAAACAGCTAGGTAGCCTAACACAGCTTAGGAACCTAATGATGTTTTATATAAAGCAATACCCAAAATGATACATGAGGTTCTTCCCATTTTATAGGTTGTTTTAATTGGGTTATTAAGCCATTTTCAATCATAATTTAGCTTTATAATAACGTTGTTTGCGCAAAAATAACTTTTCACTTCTTAGGTTCAAACCGTTTTAGAAGATTAATGCAATCAAAGTAAAATCTGCAAGTTATTAATTTGTAGCTTCACATAACAAGTCAACTTAACTTGTATAACTAAATGAAGTTGTTGGAAGAATAATGAACGTCAAAAAAACTTTTAAAAAATTATTCTTTTTGAAAAATAGGAAAGATTTCTTATTTTTTTAGAATCCTAGTTTTTTCTTCTATCAAACTGGTTTAACACCGTTTTTAAATTTGAATTTCGAAATTGAAATCTTTTAAAAATATAAAAGAATATATAAGATTTATGCAAATTCGCAATATGTGATTGGTTTTTTAAGGTTAGAAATTAATTAAGTAAGAAGGCAGATAAGAAGCAAGCAAAAAAATTCCACTTAAGCAAATAACGAGAATGGTACATCATTAGCTCCTATGATGCAGAAATATTTTAGTCAATAGTAGTTCAAAATTCACAATCAGGTGAGATCCCAACGAACAATTTCATTTAAATTATTAGTCCGTTTTTCCAAAAAATACATTTTCAGGTTGATGCGTACATGTATGAGGACATTTTTCATTGCAAATACCAGTGCCATTACTAATTTAATGGTGTGATAAATCATGTGTTTCAAGCAAAATTACCGGTGCCATAAAAAAAACAATTATCTTAGGTTACATAATCTGGTAATCACGTACATACTTAAAAGTCTAATATTACGTTAGTTGAAAATGTATGGAATAATACATTTTTTTTGGTAATCACTTCTTATCACCAGTATCTGCCAGAAAGGCAACACATTCAAAAACACTTACGGTGTCTGACGCGCCGATAATCCTAATTGGTGAAAATGTATATTATTACGTATCTGGTCGTAACACACCCACTTATATTTAAAGTAGCACACACGTGAATTCTTACCTTGTTGGACGGTAACGTAACACAAAATCTCACGGTGAGAGTGAGAGTCATCTTTATATTGGTAAAGAGATTCTTCAGTTTGGGGGGGTTCCTGTACAGCAGCGATTCGGCCAGCTTCTTGCCGTTAAATTGCATCTCGTTTGCAGATTCAGTTCGAATAGGTACATTATGTATGGTACTTTTTTCGCAACGCATTGAAAACAGATGAAGAAATGTGAAGATTTTTTTTGTTCGGTTAATGGGAAAAGACATAAACTTTCCATATTTGTGTTGGCACGAAAGGATTGATATGGTTGTTTAATTGTCAATGTAAACGCAAGTTTTAAATTTTATTATGCTTTAATAAACACGCATACGATCTGGAACCGCACGCACTTAAACTTACGTCGTTATTTAGTTTTATTTAATTTATTTAATATGTACACGAGTTGTAGCTGCACGCAAGTCATTGTTTATAATAATTTTTACAATTTAAGTCGGTATTTATTTTTTGCTGAAATTATTATTGTTACCCCTACATTTATTGTTAGTCCTACATTGTTGATTTTTTATTTTAAAATAAAATAAACACACTGTAGTTTAAATTTTACCTGGAGGTTCCTATTAAATTTTGACAGTGTTATACCATTTCAACGAATTTTTTTATTGGTTGACTTCATACCAGTGTAATTAGGTGTGCATATTTTATTAAGGTGGCTTTATACGGTGCATTATGATATATGCGTCCGCGTCATAGCGCTCCAATCGTTTGTGTCAAATGACATTATAGCGACGCTGTCTTTCCCCAGACGGATGGGAAATTTTAAGCGTAACTTTTTGCGTCCTCGCATATTTTAAGTCAAAATGGAATGGAACAATTGTTTACAAAAATCGTTTTTTTTTTCACTATAATAACAAAGCAAGCATTGTTTTTCAGAAAACAACATATCCAATACTTGGGCGTTTACGTTGTTTATTTACTAATAATACTTTTATTGTTATAGTCCTAAATTTACAAAAAAATCTCAAACTTTTCTTATCATATAATCGACTCATTATTCCAAGTATTGTAGTTAATTCATAAAAAAAATACCTTTGTTTTGTTATCCTCATTACCAGACTAATTGTTTATTAGTAGATAGATAGAAAAGAACATCGTCAACATTTTGAACTACTTGAATTTTCTTGTTCCCTTATCCTTTTACAAGATAAAAAAAATCTTAACGTTGAAATTTTCTGGAATTTTATCGTTATAAAACAGTAAATTTGAGATTCGGTCTTTGAGAGTGTCCAAGAAGAATAATAGTCAAAAAAAAGTTAATAAAATGTTTACATTGCTTACAATAAAAATCATAGCAGATTTCAGCAATTATTATTTTAATATACGTGCTCTTAAGAAAATTTCGTCGAAATCATGCAACGCTGGCAAAATTTACTGCTTCTCTTTAGATCATACACACTGTACATTTAGTTGCCAAGTTTTTCAAATATATCTGGAAATGTCTGCGTTGAATGCAAATAATAACACATTTATGTACAAATCGCTGTATAAGGGATATTATCCATAAACCTTTTGTGGTAACGGTGCCAACTGATTGAAATACACAAGTATCAAAATTTAGGACAGATTTAATTGAATTTTGTAAAATGAGTACTCATTATAGCATTATTTTCCATCTTTAAGTCACTGCCTACTTGGATTTATTTTAATTTTAATTGCTTTGCTTACTTGGAATCTAAAGATTTGAACATAGAACTGAAACATAATATTTTTAAGATCCTGTCTTCACCTAGCAAGACGTTAAGAGTATTGCTGAAAGCCATATAGCAATTTTCTCTAATGGTATTTGGCTTTTTATAGGATTTAAGATTACAACTAATATTACAGAAACTGAAAGTAGTTTTTAATAAATCAGTGCTTTATATTAAAAACTTTATGCTGCAATAATATTCCGTATCGGCTTAAAAAATTATAAAGGTGGCCTATCTCAAATGATTTAAAATACATTTCATGTCACCCAGTAGATGAACTGATTATTTTGGTGTATTTAATTAAATATTAGCACAAAATGAATGTAAAGTTTACCTAGGGGTACTTACTGCATAATAATACGTTACCGCCGAAAATTTGATGACACCGAAACTTTCAAACCGGTTAAAATTCCATGCACCGTAGTCCTTGTAAATACGCGGTACAGAGTGCGTAAAAAATAATTACTAGATTTTAACCAATTTATTAAAAAATTAATAGTTGGTTTTGCTGAACATTATGTGCTATTGAAGTGTGATCGTCTTCGATAAGAGAGAAATAAAAAGTTAGGAATAATAATCGGTTTTATTGGGTACCAATTTACATTAGAGTTTAAAGAACACTCAATTTTCGAAAAATAATAATTCTTCATTCGCATTGGTAGTAAAATATAAAATGTGTTGAAAACGTCTGTTTTCTTTGTATCAAAGTGGTGCAAATAAAGCAGTTAAAAAAACCTCGGCCACGTAGCGTTTGGGGATAAAAGGTTGTAGAAAAAAAAAGGCTTATTTGAACTGGATAAATATAAAAGTCCCTAAAGTTTCGATGCTGTGTAGCTGTTACTGCTTTTTCGTTATTTCTCGCAACACACTTTTTTCGGCATTTCGGCATTACAAGCATATGATTTTAATTATTTTTATTTTCTGCTTACACTTTACCATTGGCCTGTTCTTACATCATAAAACAAAAAACATACGAATAGATGTTTAATTTATGAGTCCCTATCCGCTATTATAATAACACATTTGTCCTTTTCCGAATGTACGTAATACTTTCTCCCATCTTAATTATTAAGATTAAGATACTTAATCAAACCAAAATTCGTGAAATAATTATCAAAAAATATTCCACAGTTTTGAACATTGTGGGCAATTCAGCATCGAAATGAAATAGTTTTCCTTTTGATTTATATCCGTGCCTAGCCTTGCTTATATAAGTTTAGAAATTGTAAACCGGGAATAGAGAGAAGCGATCACTGAATAGTAAGTTAGTCGGGATCAGTTTTTCTTTTAAAAGTTTGCGAAACTATAGGAAAGAACTTCTATTCAAACCAAAAGTAATGTATATTTTTTTATCGATTTTCCAAATGCTAGTAAAAATGAACTAAATGATTTTGATAGTTGAATAATTAGTTTTACTAACGGTATGGTGACGTGACGCGGTGCTTTTTCAAATGCTAAACATATTATTTTTGACAGTAAACAGAAATACCGCTTACCGAGTATCCCTAACTTGTTTGACAAAGTGATTCCACAATATTTAACTAAAAATAGATAGTTACATTAATAGAAATTGTTGAAAATGTTTGTTTTTTGGAGGTCTGAATTTGTGTATATCGTTGGAAAGGAAAATGGCATTTTCTAATTTATGGTCACTATTCAGCAAAATCCTATTACATTATTTTTCATTAGACATTTCAAATAAATGATTATTATTTTGAGAGGCGTATCGTTTGGTTTATTCGGCAAGTAAATGAAAGGATTTTGTTGTCCATAAATCTTTCAACAATATCAATAGGGGTCTTGCTTTCTATATGCTGACCGGCGTTGGTACTGGCAGAAGCTGATATTTGTGACTTCTTCTGTCCGTAACAGCGGTAGAGATAAAGCGTGAGACATAAATTTTCAACATAGCCATTGCAAAATGCGTAATAACACATGCATTAAAAACAACATTAATCGGGATGACATTTAGCCCTATATTACTGCACTAATAACGCTTAAAATTGCTATCATGCATATTTCGAATTTCGAAACGGTTCGGAGTAGTCAATTATTATGTGTTGCTTGTTACATAGGAGCACATGTTGCTTAAAAAGTGGAAAATTATTATTGTAAATGTTTTGGTGTTAATGTATATCTTGATTACTAGCAATGTAAAAATATTTTTTTACTTCGTACTCTAGATCAAGACGTGCGAACAGTGTTACTACAAAACATCAACTTCATTAAACACTGTCGCAAGCCACTGCTGTATATTTAGCGATTATTTCTGATACCTACTTTGGTCACTGATTGGAAGCGCTGACGGTACTTAAATGGTTATCGTAAAGTTTTTGAGTCGCTCTTTAAATTTTTCCATCTTCATGTTCTCATCCGGCTTACGTTAAATCTGTTACCTATTCTTCGGATACTAGTAGAAGGTTGAGCATCAATCGCATTAAGTATTGCCTTTTCTTGAGCATGTTCCTCTTGTACGGAACGTTCGAAGTAGCTGTTGGACACATCAAGCATTGATAAAAACAGTTCTACAATGTACTCTACGAGTGGAAAATTGTTGACGATATTCATCAACTGCCGCTCGTCCAGTTGCATTACACAATCCATAAACAAAGCGAATGTCGGCGTATTCTTGATTCGAAAAAGTAAATATTGTACCTTGAATAGTATTTTAATATAACACAAAAATTAATTTAATTGACGTTGACATTTTTAGCTTGACCCCAGCAACACACTCATTAGCTGTGGCAGTCATGTCGTGGGACACCTCTATATTCTGAGTATCCTAAAAATATTCTAAATTAAATATTGAATATTTGTGAGTAAAAGAAGCTTTTATGAAAATTGTAACGGGGAAGTATAATTTTCATGATACGAAAGTAAGCAAAATTTTGCAAACTTCCCTGAAACTAACTCCTATTACTAAAACTGGGCGAGTTAGGAGCTCTTCAATTTATTATTAAAGATAACAAAAACACACATCAATATTACAACAGCGTGTTATTTTCATCTCTTTGATTTCAATACTTTGGGCATATCTTAATTGTTCACTTTACCTATAGCATATACTCTAATTGAGCTCTGAGAATTCTCTTTTTATACGCTTTATAGTACACGTCCTATATATTATCTGAGCCTTTTCTGTTAAATTTGATTTTATATCTGACAGTTATCAACGAATCAACTAATTATATTCAATGTAATGAGCGGAACCTTTTGTATTCTTTTGTCTCGAACTAATTTGCGTTGTCTATAATAAATATATGGTTTTAGAGGTAACATCGCTCGTGTTTGTCGGTGTACGTGTTTGGACATACCCGTGCGGCAGAAATTAATTGCTGATTCCATTTGAAACGCCCGAATAGGCATTAATGTATCAAGACCGAAGAAGAATTGACTTTCACTAACTCTTATTTGATTCAATGTCAGATGTTTTGAGATCGTCACGCTCGCCTTTTAGGAAAATCAAAAGGTTAAAGACGTAATCCAGATCGACATTTTGCACCTTATTTTACATCTCATGATCTTTTATGCGTTAATGAAAATCATTAGTGAAGTATTTCAATTATCAAGGTTTGCACAAATCCAAATTTACTCCCGGTGAAGGAAAACTGCGTCGTGCCAAAAACTGCTGCACTAGCTCGAACAAAATAAAACGAAAGCTAGTCACGCGTGATGGCGGACTGAGAATTTGATAGTAATAATTCACGCCTGGTGTTCTTTACAACCTTCATTATTATCTTTATTTTAAATGCTAACAGCGCATTTAAATAGTAATGTAGTTATTTTTATATTATATTTCATGCCAATTTATCGAGAAGCTCGATTATATTTAAAAGTTTTTTGTAGCAGATGTTTTTTTCCAAGAAATATATTAAGCGAATTCCCATTAAGAAGAACAAGACAGTGCAAGATTATAGATGATAGTATGATAATAATAAAAGGTTAATCTAAATTGAGACCATACAATTGAAGTCATGCTTAATAATTGTTTAACCAAAAAAAATTTTTTTTTTGATACAATAATTTATTTTCCTATATTAATATTAAGGTACCATTTTTATTTATGTTTTAAATATTACCACTACTATTACCATTACTATTATTTATATTTTTACTTTTCTTTTGTTTTAAAAATTTTTGTGAATTGATTAATCGGTAGGTTTTTTAAGAATAACTTTTGAATAAGCGCCAAATTTTCTTCTTCGTTCTTTTGTTTTTTGTCTCTCAATTCTTCAAATATACCATCACTAAGAACGGCAAATTACCGTTCTAGATCTAAATTATTGTTTTATTCTCAGCTTGACATTTCAAAATAAAAAAGTTTCCATCAAAGACAAGGAGAGTACTAACGGTGTAACATAGTATTGCATTTATATATAAATCGGTTATGGAGTAAATTAGATGGTGTCAAGAGTTTATTTGCTGGCATTTAGTACTGATGATGTATGCTGTATAAGGTGAGATAACTGTCCCTCACAAATGTGTAATGCTACTCGAGATATTATGGACTGCATGTTTGAAGTACACTCTGAAATTCTGGGCGATGTAGACGATATTCCACAGACTAATGAGCCGGTTTGGATACTGGGAAAAAGATACAATGCAATACAAGGTATAAATGAAAGGTACAAAAATTTTATATACCAACTGCGAGTAATTGTAGATTTGTATCAAATCAGGCAAGATATTATATCGAAATTATGGTTTACATACCGAAAGAACTTTGTTCCCATTGGTGGTAGCGAAGGTTATACTACAGATAAGGGTTGGGGTTGTATGCTTCGCTGTGGCCAAATGGTGCTTGCTCAAGCTTTAATTAATTTCCATTTGGGTAGAGATTGGTTATGGGAACCTGATAGTAGGGATTCCGCTTATTTAAAAATCTTGAAAAAGTTTGAGGACAAAAGAGGTGCACCATTTTCAATCCATCAAATTGCTGCTATGGGCGAGACTGAAGGGAAAGCAATAGGGCAGTGGTTTGGCCCTAATACAGTAGCACAAGTATTAAAGTAAGGTTCAGCAAATTTGATGAAGACTTCTGCTAAACCTCTTTTTGAAAATTTTTGTTTTCTAGAAAATTGATTAAATTTGACAGTGGCAACCAGATTGTGATTCATGTTGCATTGGATAATACAGTTGTAATAAGCAATATTAGTAAGTTGTAAGCAAAATTTTGATTTCCACATATACCTAGTTAATTTTAGGAGATTTATGTTGCGTTAGTGTCACTGATTCAATTAAAATAGACTGGAAACCATTACTGCTTGTTGTGCCTTTGAGATTAGGACTTTCAGAAATAAATAGTGTATATATTAAAGGCTTAAAGGTATATTAGTCACTAGTTTCGATATACTCAACTTAATATCTTCTTTTTTTAGAAATGTTTTCAGTTTAAACAAAGCCTAGGTGTAATTGGCGGAAAACCAAATTTAGCTCTATATTTTATAGGTTATGTGGGGAATGAGGTAATTTATCTGGACCCACATTTGACACAAAGATCAGGTTCAGTTGATAATAAGTTGACTGACGAGAGCAAAGAGCTAGATGCTAGTTACCACTGTAAATATGCTTCCAGAATGAGTATACTAGAAATGGATCCATCAGTTGCAGTGGTTAGTATTTTTGTTACGCAGCTATTTGAGTAACTATGTGAAGAGAAAAAACACTTCAGCAGTTTTCATATTTAAATTATCTTAAGTTTAGTCATTTTTTCAGTGCTTCTTTTGCCCTAGTGAATCAGATTTTATTGATCTCTGCCAGAATATAAAAGACAAACTAATTGAAGAGGAAAAGCAGCCATTATTTGAAGTTATTTATGAGATGCCCACTGAATGGTTAATTACATCTGACAGTGTAGCCACAGGTAGCTTTTTCCTATTTTATAATATTCATGATTTATTGGAATTTGTTTTTTTCTGTTTTCAATTTTCAAAGTATTACTAACTTGTTATATTTAACTTCCACTTCCAGCTTTTTAAGGCTTTTATTTTAGTGTTTTTCATTTATTAAATATAAGTATGTGGCTAACTATATTATTGTTTTAGGTTCAGACATAGCAGGAGGTAGTCAAGAATCAGACAAGGACGAGTTTGAAATATTATAGCTTTAAGCCATTTATAAATGGATATTTGGTAAATTTTTGTTGCTTGTGTGTATATATATTTTTTTACATTAAAATGGTTTCCACATTTGCGAAAGTTTAAGTTATTATGAAATTGTGATAATTTGTAAGCAATAAATTTATTTAAAACATTTACTTTTAAAGATGTTTTTAGAGCATTAATTAGTATACCTTAAGGCTTAATATCTATCATTTTTCATTATGTTGTGGGGAAATTTACCAGGATCATTCGGCCAATCCCCTCCGACTTATGAGGCTAATGGTAAAATTATTAAGCTTTCAAATAACCCCTATAAACACTTTTTTTTAAATTGATTGGGTTTTGTACAAATAAAATAATTTTAGTGAATTATGCTTCTACAAAATACCTCTACCATTGATTGCAATCAGGGAGCTATTCGAGCAATTCGTTTTAATGGTAAAATTTTAATACACTGCTGATATTAATTTAACTGAGGAACACCATTTTAGTGGACGGTTCCTATTGTTTAACATGTGGAGCAGATAAAAAAATTAAATTGTGGAATCCTTACCGCAATTTATTATTGAAAACGTATGGTGGACATGGTAATGAAGTTTTGGATGCTTGCAGTTCTTGTGATAGTAGTCAGATAGTTTCTGCTTCATCTGATAAATCAGTTATTGTCTGGGATGTCACTACTGGCCATCCTTTAAGAAGGCTTCGAGGACATGCCGCAAGTGTTACTTGTGTAAAAGTAAATGAAAACTCCAGTATTGCTATATCAGGTGGTTTAGACAATATGGTGATGTGTTGGGACTTAAAATCACGTTCACAGACTCCTGTGCAAATTCTGAAGGAGGCTAAAGATTGCATAACATCTATTAAAGTTACAGAACATGAAATATTAACTGGTTCAGTTGATTGTTCCGTTCGGAGATATGATTTAAGGAATGCCCGGTGTGACTCTGATTTTGTAGGAGGTGGGGCATTGCATAATTTAATTTTTAATTCTCAAATGGTTTCTGAATTTTCAGCTGCCATTACATCAGTAAGCTTTTCACATGATGGGCAATGTATTTTGGTAAGTTCTGCAGACAACACTGTGAGGCTTATAGATAAACATTCCGGTGAGATGTTAGGAGAGTAAGTATTCTAAAATTACATAAAAATATCTTAAATAAACATGTATATCTTTTAGATATATTGGTCATCGAACTGAGGACATGAACATTGAAAGTGATATAATAACAAATGATAATTACATATTATCTGGATCTGTAACTGGGGAACTTTGGTGTTGGGATTTAGTTTCAGCAGAAGTAAAACAGAAATGTGTACACACACATGGAAAGGTCCTAAATTCTCTAAGTGTCCATCCAACCAAAGATATTGTATTAACGGCTGCAGTAAATACTGTAAAACTTTGGGAAGATATGTACAATAGTGAATCTGAAACAGTTGAAACTGTAAATCAAGAACATTTAATGAGATAGATATGATTCTGTATAAAAGGTGGTTTTTAAAAAATTTTATGTTGAGTTTTAAAATTTGGAAACAGAATGTTAGAGTCATATACATATATATATCCAAGGAGACAGTATTGTTTTCATTTTAAGGTGATGCAAATATCTTGATTCTCTTTATGATTGAACATTGTTACCAGTGCTGGACATAGCCGGGTTTTTTTACAGATACACTATGCAGAGAATAATATATTATTATATGTAAAATAAACAAAAGTCCTGTTTATATTTCATTGAGCATTACCCCTAAAAAAAATATTTCTCACAATGGTGATATGGCTCATAAGAAATTTACAATATTACAGTGAATAAAAACACGCTAATGTACGGGAGTGTTTAACCTCGATTTTACGTTCGTCTTGTACTATTCTGCTTTTGCTTATTGTTTGTGAGAAAAGTGACTTTTTGAAAGTGAAAAGGTGTGTATTACAAAGATTATAAAAAATTAATATTGTTTTATTATAATTTCACAGCTCCAATCATCTATTGCCCCTCTTGGGTAATTGTTGTTTTCTTCTAACTTTCGTGGTTATTCCACAATTCATTTTAAGGCAACAGTCCTCATCCCACTTGTCCCGAGCCTACATGCCTATATTTTGTTGAAATTTATTTATTAACTATTGACATTCCAAAGGAATTAATAGTACATTATCTATCTATGCAGATGTAGGTGTCAACACAATATTGTAAACTTTTAATGTTGTTAAGCTTTTATTTAGGAATTAAAATAAAGGTTACATGATTAAACCTTAATAATGGTTCAATAATGATCGTTTCAGACTTATACTTAAACGTTTTTTAGCTTGCGTTTCAACTGCTTGGTTAACACTCCTTAGTTTATGTTGCCTGACTTATGCAACCGCGAAAAGACGCTGCGTTTTATAAAAGCTAAGCACCTCTTCCTGACCTATCAGTCGTAAATTAAAAGCGTGCATCACGGAAGTGTATATATGATATGATATATTGTACTAGATGGAGTCCGCCTCTAGCGAGTGAATGAAAGCTTGGGTTATAAATCGCTCCGAGAAATTTGAGGAGGAAGCGTGGTAAACCAAGGAGACGATGGAGACAAGTCGTGGAGGAAGATAAATCAAATGTACTGATAAGAAAAATGTAGTAATGTTTAGTTAGAGTTATTTTTCCCGAAACTTTTTTTATGGGAATATTTTTAATTTTTTGGGCAGATAATTTTTATTTTAAAAAAAAACTTCTGGATTCCTTCTGTGTCAGTTTTTGTTGAATCAAACTTGCTAACGTTTCGCCAATCATCCTGTTGGCTTCTTCAGAGCTTAACTGAAACTGGCTCGCATTTTACTCTGTACCTGCTTATATATTGTTTGAGGGGGCTGAGTTAAATGAGAGACATAAACACCGTCTCGGATGATTGATTTCATCATAATAATTCATCTCAATAATTTGACGGAGTGTTTTGTTTGTTTTCTTTTAGATCCTGTGTGCGATAACCACTCAAAAAGTATTACTCTTAAAACATTTATGGAGCGCATCTGTCCACTTTACTTTTTACAATGTTTGAAAAGTCTTCTGATATTTGATCCTAAATTGGAACCGTGGTCATTTGCTACAGGCATAGCTTTGTCTAATGATTTTAATGATATTTGTCAGTCAAGAATATTTACTGTACTATTTTGGATTGTCGATAATACCGACAAGTATTAGTTCTATTTTTCCTGATGATAGATCCTTCGCCATCAGCATTATGCTCGAAGCGCAGTATGAACGGTGGAAAAACGCAGCAGGTTTCGTGGCAGAACTTGTAATCATTGTTAAAAGAGTTCACTGCGTACCGAGTCCTCCAGTTCTCAGTGTGGGACCCGGCGCGATAAATATCACTTTCGGTTTGGTAAAGAGCTTCTAACCGGTAATTATGGTGACATTTCTGCCTGGGTTTGTAAAATCTATATCACAGCTTGCAAATTGAAGATTTTTTGGTAGATTGAAATTATTCAGCAGAGCTTTCTAGGTTCTAGGCAAGTTAGTCATGCTAGGTGGTGTAAGTTTTCGTCACTCCAGCGGAATGCTTAAGGTCATCATAGAAGCTAATTTTGGTCTGATATCTGACACCAGACTAGACCAATTTTTTTCCGGACCTTGATATCGAGGCAACGGCGTTTTTTTATTGGTCGAGCTTCGTCTCTCATCAGAGTATAGATTTACATAGATGACAACAAGGATATTGCTTGTTAGCGAGGTCCTTTGCATCGTGGTCACGTCCGGTCGACTTTAGCATCTCTTCCGGCATTCTCTTGGAAAGAAAGTTGTCTTGTGTTGAAACCGGCCGGACTCTCACGCAGGAGACTTTGTTTCCAGTAGCGCCGGAGAGTATTTTTTTTAAAAAGAATGGCTTCAATAGATTTATCAATCGCCTTCAAATTGGGATTTAGCGAGGTCAACAAACAATTCCTCCTCTCTCATAGATGTGGTTTTGTGCTGTTTTACAATAGGGTTGCACATTGGCTTTAAGTTGGGCTATGTTATGTTATTTTGTGTGGAAAAAATGTAATTACTTTATAGCCATTATTTCATCTCATTATAGTATATTATGCAACAAATTTGATACACAGCATTTTAGTCACAAAATTAATAAACGAGTGATCGAAGAAGTTTATCAACGTGTTGCCTATCCTGTTTTTCCAAAAACATCCCGAATACATTAGCTGAGCGACGTATGATATAACTGTCAGGATTGACAAATGCTATCCGCAGCTAAAATCTACTGATAACATCCGATCGCTCCCAAACCCGCGACCAAGGGAGAGAGCTGAAGTCTTAAAGTGGCATCCGTGCATAAGTGGCTATTTTAGCGTAGACACTACGAAAAGCAATTTATTGTGATATGAGTAAAGGAATGTAGAGCGGGATAAAAATGATTCCAGTCACTGTTCAGCACTAATACATTAAAACTTAAACACTTGTTTTTTTGAGGTATATTTTGTCACGTATTCCATTTTAAATGCTACATAGCTTTTAATGGCGAGGGTGTTTTGGTCCGTTTTTTTTAATTAACCTTTTGTCTACAGTCGCTATAATTAATTGAAATGTAATTATAAAAAAAACAGGTGTCGCTGCGGTTACATTTATATGCCCTACATAACTTTTTCGGATTTAATTTTGCATTTGTTTCAAAAATATGCTTAAATACACCTTTGGTAGAGCGAAACGAAAGATGTATTCTATTCAGAAATTAAATTGTAAAACAACGTCGCGGGAGACTGAAAGATCTCAAAATAAAACAGTCCCCAGATTCAGTAAGTTCAGTTCCTCACCTACTTCCATAATGTCTGCATAGACCGATTAGATTTAGTATCTATTATTTAATTTTTATGTGTATAACCAAAATCCAGAAAGGTAAGAGCGATTTGAAAATATGAAATTTTCATTGTCGCTTAAGAATTAACATCAAAAACTGTGAAAATCAGTCGAAACAAACGCACGCAGTCATTTTTTGTCACCCATGTTTTCTCGTGATTCAGTGGAAGGTGTCACTTGTTTTACGTTTTATTTATAGATTATTTTGAAATTTTAGATTGCATATGCTACAAAAGCACTCAAATTTATGATTTAGTTAAAACAATGTTCTGGAATTATTTAATTGATTTTTTTTAATGCAAATATTATACGAAAACTTCGAAAAACATGACTGCCACCGTCATGTTTTTTGAATATTATCCAACACGAGATCTATTTTTACCACCAAGTTTTTAAATGGACCTGTTTTTTATTTTTTTAAAAGAACAAATGGATTCGAGATTGGGAGATTGGGACAAACCCAGAAGACCAGTGCGAAACAAAAGATACAGCAGGTTTGAAGGGTGAAATGTTTTTTTTTTTGAAATTTTGTATTTCTTGACCTTGTTTGACGTATATTTTTTTGCATTATCGCGTTTATAACTAATGTTTCTTAACTGCATGCGGTGACGTAATAACATTTGGGGTAAGTATTTTCTGCAGTAATAATAAACAATACTTTTAGATAGCGGTAGAACGTAGTTTTTGCATTGTGTCGCTAGATTTTGTGAATAGAAGTTCGTTTATTGTATGAAGAAAATTGTAATTTTCAATCAACACGTGCGTCAAAAAGTCATTAAATACACGAGATATGTCACGCCTTGTTGAGAGTTATTTATAGCAATATCAAATATTGAACTATCAACGAAAAACAACTATCTATTTTAGTGTTTGTGGTTTGTGACATTTTTAATCATTTTTCATGAAATCAAAATTTATGTTGTAATCAGTATATCAAATCTCTAATATCTAGCATTTCAAGTAAGTATAGATATAATTTATATAATCTTTTTATTTAAAATTTCTAGTATTTTGAATAAATGCAACCTTTAAATATACTTAATTTATAATCACTGTCTTCAATCTGGTATACATCCGAAACAATGGAAAATAGGATACGTTATTCCTGTGCATGGGGCCAATCTGAAACGGGACATTCGTTCGTTCAATATTTCGCTTTTCACTTTAGTAAGACCTTTTCGGCAATATTACGTTGATCAGATCAGCATGTTTTTTTTTAATACGCCAGTTTTAACAAACTCGGCACCTTATGTATGCAAGATATTCTAGTATTTTTTGAGAAGTGGTTTTCCGCTTGTTCTGTTTAACTACATCGAACTTTCTAAGGTTCCAAGGTAGAAGATTCACTTCGCCAAATTAAAAACTTTTCATTTCAATGAACTATCTCGATGTTTGTGACTTTTAACAATAATTGTATGTATATGCAAAAATTTTCTATTCACAAGTCCTCTCAAGCGTCCAATTTTAGACATTGATTTTTTATCATATTTTAAAAAAATAAAAGTAATTAATTTAAAACATCAGAATTCGAATTAAGTCATCTAAAAATTGTCATGGAATATAAGATCTTAATACAGTTTCCAAATTTTGAAAATTAAATTTACTTAATCTTAACCCGGATGATGATGGAAAAAATTATTAGGCCATTAGCTTCAACATTAGCAACAACAAGGGTGAAATTAATACTAACGAAATGGTAACATTTTGTATATTAAAAAAGCTAGGTTATAAAAAGTCGCCCGTATCTTTATTAATTTTAATACATAAATTTCAATTTTTTTATGTGTTATTTGGTTGAATTGGTCTTTATAGTTTACTTCCGTCTGTATCAAAAATACAGGAGTCCAAAGTCTCGTAACTTCAACGTATGTTGTCGCTGTGCGCTAGAAGTCCTAAGGAACCAAGTCGCATTTTAATTTTTCACAATGTTTATGAACATAAAATATCATGAGTAAAAGAAATTCTAAATCCAATCCCAGACCTTCCGTGCACCCTACAAAATAGGATGTTCAACGTTTTAGGCGCATGTTCGGTGAAGAGAAAAGACAGATTAAGAGACTTTTCACTCCCGAAATCAAGAAATTTTTGAAAGACTGGTTAGTGAGGAGGCGAGAAAATCCATATCCCAACAGGGACGAGAAAAGAATGTTAGCTGTACAAACGGGACTTACATATATCCAGGTTTGAATTTTTTTTGAGTGGCGTTTTTGCTTTCATCATTACGCTGCGTGTTTTCGACACAAGACCCGCCGATTCTAGCTTGAACTTTCCCTTTCGTTCAACCGCACAAGCCTACAATCTGACATGATTCGATAACGAGTCTCATAGGAACGTGGATCAATATTAATCAGCTGAGTATAATAATCACCAGTGAAATGGAAATAAAAAAACGAAGCTAAAGAATTACTGATTAAAGAAATGCAGAGCTATAGAATGGTCAGAATTATAATCTTTAAACTTTAATTGTTCAATATTTTTTATCATATTGTGAAAGATTTTTTAAAATTTCTGGTAGTGCCGCCCGTATATTAGTTCTTAGTTCTTAGTACTTAAAATCTCTAGTTAATTTAGAGCGAATTTAATTCCTTAATTCCCCATTTCAGCCACAAAGACGAGAATCAATATTTTTGCAGTTTAATTACCATTTGTTTAGTTACGCTCAGTCGATTATAATTGAAGCGTCTTCATGTGCAGCAAAATTATGAAACTATAGACTTATGTGTCTACGCGAATTCGAAAGGCGCTGGGATCGCCAGCTAGTTGTGCTTTTGACTAATCAATTTTTTTTAACGGTAGATTTGTAATTGGTTTGCGAACTGGCGCAGAAAATTGAAAAACGCCGGAAAGGAACCGCAAAAGCGGACTTGGGGAGATTTGATAAAAACTTACAATAGCCAGGTTCAGGGAAACGTCGAGCATTTCAGCATTTGCTCGGACGACAGTATTTGGGAAGAACCTGAAGATGATTTTGAGCAATCAGATGACAGAACAATTGAAAGCGGAAGCTCAACATATAGTCAGATCTACAACAATAATAACGGGTAAGAAGTAACGGACTGGATCAATCTTTGGCTATAGCTCAATTGTTAACTAATTTTTTTTAGGATAAATAATTAAAGGATATTATTGAATATCGCAAAGATCGGGTGCGAGTCTCAGTAATCCTAAAATTTCAAAATATGTTGCGATTTTCATTTAATTCCAATAATTATTTTCGCTTTAGTTAGTGCCATTTTGTTTTATAAACTTTATAAATAGTTTTTCGCAAAAAAATAATCAATAAACTGCTAAGACATGCGAACACAGTAAAAAACATTAAATATTTTGGTATCTTTACACTGCATTTTCTTGAAAATTTTCGGTATTATGGGAGTAATCGGATGTTTTGGTATATTTAAGTCGGGTTATTTTGATGTTTTTCAATTCTGACGCCCATCAGTGAACGTATTTGTGCTGTTTTGCAAAAATGTATCCAAAAACTAATGGTCGTAGAAAAAGTATAGTTTATAAACTTCTTTAATGATTTTTCATTTATTTAGCACTCCTTCCGCTGGCCTCTAACCGTATCAAAAGAAACTCGTGACTAAATTGCCGTTAATCAATCTTGTTGCATAGTATACTTATTTAGATTGCACTAGTAACTATGAAAGAAAGTCTGTTAAATATTTATTGTTTATATTTAATTATAGACAAATAATTTCTGGAGCGATGCTGCAACTCTTAACATTTTTAAATTAATTGTGTTATTAACTTTATACAGTGCATTAGTGGCTTGCCCTGTAACCCCTGAATAACCTCGACTATATAAGGTTGCTACAAAATTTAACCTAAACTACAATCTCCGAATACGCAGTGATAGTGAATAAAATTAATTATAAAAATTAAATCTCAGTCTAGAGTTATGGGACTACTCAAAAAAAAATTATTATTGCTTGCTTACAGTTTAGGTTAATTTTGGATAAATATCGGTTTTTGGAGTTTGTACCTATATTTCATTACTAGTTTTGGAATTATCATTCTACACATTATCTGCAAATATGGATTATGAGCATGGGATTTTTTGTTGCAGTGATCCTCACAACCAATGTCATTTTATTAGCTCGACGACAGAAGCGGGACAAGCAGCTCCATTTTCCCAAAAGTCGCTAACTTACAATTTAGATATCATGGAGAAATATGTCCAGAGTTTGCAGTCACCCGTACCCGAAGAAGAGAAACCATCAATGATTGCGAAGTGGTTGCAAAGTGCTGAGAAATTCCGTCCGAACGAAGATAGCTTTCTCGACTGGACATTCCCAAAATCGCGAAAAAAGAAAACCGCGAAAGTAGAAACGGATAATCTGCTCTTGGTTCACGGAAAAGAAGAACTGGCTGCCGCAGAAGCGCTCACCACTTTGGCAAATTCGAGCAGACAAGTTAAATTGTGAACGAATATGGTTTTCATTTGGTTAGTTGTGATATCTTAAGGGAGCTCAATTATTTTTTATTGTTATTTACGTTAATATATTGTTCCACATTACCCTATGTTTAGTATTAATTTGAGATAAAGGTAAACCTTGGATACCGAATAGTTCTTAATAAATTACAGAGTGTATTGGGATTGCCTACACGTAGTTGAGGTTGTTTATATAGAAAATTTGTGTACTTTATATCATAGAACTGTACCACATAGTAGGTCTTGCAACGGCGAAAATGGAGCCCAATTTTAGGAAAATCTAGGAGGCTTGATTGATAAAAAAAACGCTATGCTTGCCAAGTGTTTATTTTGATTCCAGTTTGTAAGAATATAGAACAAGTACAGATAATAGCTCTTACATACAATAAGGTTTGAGAAATATTCTTTGGACACGACCCTTTGAGCACAAGCTGCAGGCTAACATTAAATAAAGAAACAAGTAGGTAACATTATCAATAACTCCAAAACAGATAAAAAAAAACGATTTTCGGGGCGTTTTAAATTAGACTCGAAAATTGAAATATCTAGTATGCAGACTTAAAAACCCTCGGATTATAAATTTTCATTTTCTTATGTCAGGCGCTTGTATAGCGGCACGTGAATAGCGAAACTATATATTTTTTTCAATATTTATCCCATATTCGGCTTTGATTTTCGATGAGCAGCATCGTTGGGTGCTAACAAGAGAGAGAACAGTGATGTAGTACCCAAAATACCGATTCAAGAGAAGAGTTGAGGGTATTGTTGCAAGAATGTTGGATTTACACACAGTGTCCTTGAAAGTTTAAGTTTTTGGATAATTAACCCGTTTGCATTGCATTTTGCAATAATGGTTTTTGTTTCATTGTAGAATTCCGAACGGTTCTAGCACGATTCCCATCTGCGCAGCATAAATTTCATTCCAAAATTTTGGTACGAGATGAAGCTCAAAAAAGTTTCCATGCATTTCTCACGATTATGCATATCTCAATAGTGAGAATCGTATTAGCACTCGATTCTGTCTCTTTCTGTTATATAGGCATTATTCGCAGTATATTTGTGCTATTTAGTAAATATCGTTATTTGTTTCTTCAGCTTCAAAGTATTATTATGAACTAGCTGGGTCTTAGACTGACCGTCGCGAAAAAAGAGAAGCTTGTCCATCCCATCCATAGTTTATAATTAAATTAGAGTCATGCAATATTGCGTGTTGGAATTATTCATTTTGAAGAACCTTTCGCAATTCGTATATTTTAGTTGCTACTTATTGGAAAAAAGGCTTGTACAAATAGAAAAAAAGATGGAAATTGGTGTCATACTAATCTGTTTGAAATAGAAATAGTATAGAGCGTATGGACGTGAAATTGTAAGAAGTAAGAGGTCAACATGAAAACGATTGCCGAGAATCTACTGCATTCACACAAAACGTTAGTCAAAAAATCAGACTCTAAATGAAATTCAGAAACTTCGTACTTCTGTAGTTTTGTATGCAAAAGGTTTGTTGCAAATTTTTGTTGCCTTCAAATAATCGTGATTTTTATTTATTTAGTAAACTAACCAAAATTTTCAATTTTGTAAATCTAGAGTTGTAAAAACTAGAGTTACGAAGCGGAAAATCGAGTTGTAAATATGACATGGTAATTAGTTGGTTGTATCGATCTAACAGCAACAAATTTTTCCACAGCTGTTTTGGTCCGACTTAAACAATGGCGCCATAGTTTGGAAAAATACTATTTTATTTGAAAAAAATATTTTCTTAAGCGTAGCATAATACTTAAAGACAAATATGTTAAAAATATTTTCAAATATACATTATTTTCTAAATATGGGGATATAGTACTTTGTCGCACTAAACGGTACGGAATATTGTGGCCAAAATACGTAGCTTTCAAAAAGTGGTACTTTTGAACATCACTTTATATCATACTGGTTGTCCCGAAAAGAGCTCAAAGTATCAAAATTCCCATATTATACAGCCAGTTCTAAATTTAGAATAGAACGCTATGTTTTTTTCGTATCCTGTAAAAACGTTTTCGCCTTTTAACAAAATGGTGATTTTTAAATAAAAGCTTTAATGCATCTAATTGACTATGATATCTAGTAATACAAAATTGTTTATTTGGATATCAATTGGGTTTGGTTTGGGTGTCAAACCGGTTTATTAGATACCTGGTGAGTGTAGGTACTTTATATATGAAATTAATTAAGTTGGAAATAAATCAATGTGACCGCCAAACTCTCATGTCCCTTCTATATGTTCACACGTTAAAGATATTTAAAGTTTTATAAATAAAAATGGCAGATCCCGAATACCGTAAAAGTATCAGTATCAGTATATAAAAAGACTTCGCACGTCCAAAACATAGTACCACAACCGCCTCAAAGGAGTAGAGTTAAGAATTGTATACACAGCTGCATTGAGTTGGTTCGATAAAATAAAGCTAAGTAGAAAAAAAGCCACAACTATTATTTTTAACAAGAGCGAGGGTTTATTTTTTCCAGTTCTCATTATTATTAAATTTCTTCTAGTTATTCATCATGATGCTTATGTAGGAGTATGATCCTTTCACTATCTGCAATATACGAATGAAAGGAGCTATTTTATACTGTAGATTCCATGTGTATACTATCGATTATCTTTTTATATTGAATATTGGAATCTGCAACCAAATTGCATACCGAATAAGTGCTGTCTAAATTACCGTTAAGGCTGATTCGATTGTCATAGCATCCAATGGTCCTATGGTTAGTACTAGTGGCCTCTGAGCGCGTAATAGCATGGTCAACAGCGTACTTTTAACATTTTCACTTTGGTCATACCAAGGACTACAATACAAGGCGTCCGCTAGCACCAAACTCTGCACATAAAATATAGGGCAATTTTAGTGGACTGAGAAAAAAATGGATATTTGCGTAACTAGTGCACTTTTCTGCACCCATCAATAAAATTGTTTTTCTCTATTCGAAATAATTACGAAAATTCTCATAGTTACGGAAACAATGAAATCGGGTTATTCGAACTGAAATGATTCAATTTTACTTAGAGTCAGGCAGGTTGTTGTCTTTAACACTAGTGCAAAAAGTAAAACACGTTTGGTGCGGAAAATACTGCGAAATCTATCAACTTTTGCACGATCGTTAAAACATACATTTTATCTAAACTATTATTTCAGCATTTTTTTAAAAGCGAAAGCCTCATTACCTGACATTTTACTTCGTTAGCACTCCATCCAAGAATAAAAGTCTGAGTAAAAAGTACACAGAAAAATAATATGGGCGATGTAAGCATGTTTTTCTCAAACTAAAAAAGGTAAATAACAATTATTAGATTATGCAGTATTACGTCTGTGCTTACCGTCATTAATTGAATTGAAATCGTGGCTATATTTAATGAGTTCAGAAGAAAGTCCCAAAATATCAGATACTTCAACCAATTATTCAACTTTGCAACAAATCTGTAAATAACAGCTCTGCGAAACAAATGTCAACAAGTTTTGTTTGTTTTGTTTTGTTTGTTTATGCTTGTTTAGTAGCAATTGATACCACTGAACACTAAATTGGAGTAATCCAAATTAGTAAACTAAATTTTCAAGTCTCCAAAAAGAAGAGACCTGCTTTCCTGAGTGGTATATGATTTCTTTCATTTCAAACTTACAAAACAAAAAAAAATTAATAGCAAAATCTATTAAAATTTCTTCCTACGGTGATTGGGTCAGTAAAAGTGGAAAAAACAAATTTCACCCATTTTGTTAATTCTGGTTGTCAACAATTTTTTGAAATAAAGCTTAAAGTGCATTTTAAAGAATTATTCGAAAACAAAAAGGAGATTTTCCGCACTTGTTAAGAAAAGAGCAAAACCCAAGTTGGTCACTCTATATAAGGAAAGGTACTTTCCCGTATGATCGTAGGAAATAGTACATTATGCAAATAGTGTTGGAAAAGACTACAGTGTCTTGCACACAGTACTTTATCTACGACTGCAGAAAATTAAAATGTGATTTTGATGATTCTTTTAACTTTAATGAAACTGTGCAAAATAAGCATGAAATAAGCTCCGCAAGCCCATCGGAAAAGCTACTTACTCAATAGCATTCTGATGTTGTTGAACAAGATCTCTTAAAGTCACGACAACTCTGTCGGAGCAAGCATACAATTTTTGGAATTGAAGTTGCAGCCTCTTTAATATGGATGCTGAATGTATAATTGAAGAAAAAAGAAGCATTTTCGTCGAAGCAAACAAAAGGGAATTCATTACCACGAACAAAGCGTTAGCCACTAGGAGACTAGTTTCGTGTTTGAACGTATCCAGTTTATAGTAATACAACGCAAATACAAAAGGCTTTTCTACACTTCCGTTGCGGTGTTTTTTGTCATGGTCGATTTCTAATCTCCGCCAATAGTTCTCCAAACACATCGATATCCCACTCCCAAATGTAAGAATCATTATTGTCAAACACGATCTTGAGCACATCCGAACCTGTGTGAAATGGCTTCGCATAATTACCAGATCCTTGGAACATACGACATACTTATCATCCTGTATTATGTAAGTTATAATTTTTTTAACCTCTTCGCGTTGGCAAAGTATCATGGCAAAAAAGGTAATTAATAACATTATAATGTAGTGTAGTTTTGAAAATATTTGCTGGATATCCGTATTCGAACCCTCGTCGAATATTGACACGGCCAATTCAATAGAGAGCGAAATCAGAAACGTCGGGAAATATACCTTCACCAAACATGAGTATATGAAATACGCTCTCTGAAGTACTCGGTTTTGCGTAGGCAACGGTAAGGGCCATATTCCTGCGAAAATCAAGCAGATTTTAGAATAATTCAAAATTGGTTTAGTTTTTAATACGTTGGCCTTGGTGTGTGTTCTCATTTTAAAATATTTCGATTAACTGCTTCAAGTTCAATGACTCAAACACCTGTCGACAGTAAGAGCAGAAATAAAGGATCTTAATCAACATAATATGACTTGAGGTTCTAAGGCGAACTAAAACACAGAAATACCCACGGCATTACCCGTCGTGTGTCGACACAGAAATGTTTATTCATTTCCAATATGTATTTTCTTTCCCATTGCATGCCTCCCTATTATTATGTAAATTAAAGAGTCCGCATTTGCATTATTTTACGCAGTTTCGTGTCTATGGAAATCGTTATTTTATCGAAAAGTTTTAGTTCAGGTCAGCTCCATAATATCCTGTGACTGAAAACGTGTATATGTAAACAATCGAAAATAGTTTCGGTCAATGTAATTACATAATAGCTCCACACATCGAAAATGAAACAAAACAAAGAAGAATTTGTTGAAAATATCGGTTTGGTGGTTCACACATACCCATCGAAATATTACATATATAAATATAAATTAATAAAGCATCGTGTAGGGTGACCAACTGATTTATGATACAAATATATTATATCCCAAAAAATAAAAATGTGTGGTCCTCCCTGTATATGGATATAGCATTTTTATTTTGTCTTTTTTTTGGACATGGTAGATTGATTAATTGATTAGTTATTTTTCATTAGTACTTATAGTAGTGTGAAAAATTTGAAGCGGAAAAATTAGCAAGTGAACTTCAAAATTAAAAAAATGACTATAAACTTTAGTCCATTTATTAACCCACTTTCGCATATAAATACATACATTGTAAAAGGTCAAGTTAACACATTACGATATTAACCAATGGGATACAGCATCACTCAAAAGCAAACAAATTGTACAACACTTACAGGGTGACGCATGAATGTGGTAAAATACTATCTGTTTTGAAAAAACGTTTTGGTGAAGATAAACACTTGAAAAATATTGTTAAATATGCAGGCTGTTTCATAAAATTGTGCCCTAATAATACTAAAAATGAAGATTTATTACTAAGAGTTCAGTAAAGCGCCTAAGTAATTAGATTTAATAACTTTTTTTTATTTGAACACCCTGTATATATTGTGTTGCCCCTATTCCACTTTTGTTAGGGATTCCGCAATAATCGTTTTTATTAATAATGGTACATAAAAATGGTAGTATATTTAAATTTTAATCCAATTGTCTACGACAAAGGAAGAAGAGAAAGACAAACAATAAGAAAGATAAGAAACTTTTTTTCAAGATGTTGGTAAGCAAATGTGTCGAAATTTGAGTTGTGTTTACGAGAAGAGTGTTGAACAGTGTATTTAAGAAGGTACTATTTATTAAATAGATTTACCAAAATAATTTGGTGATAATAAAAAAAATATTTTTATGTAAGCAATTAATACATTGACTATACAATTTTAAAATATAAATATACGATTTCCGTTTGTGTATTTAGGGCTCATTAGATAGCGATAAGACACTTAACAAAGGTGGTCCAGAGGCACTGATCACGATAAAGTAATTAGGTAAAGGGGGTTATATATAAAAAATCCTAGAAAAAATAATTTAAAGTTTACCAAGTTGACGTTTATAAAATACTTAATTATATAATGCATATCACTATTATTGAGATATATTCTAAATGTTATTTATAATGACAGCAGATTAGAGGATAGAAGACCATAGAAAAAATTATTTTGTTCTCAATAACTTGGCAATGTCGCATGTTTGTATACAGATTTCATTTAAAATTTTTGTCGTTTAAAACTAATTGTAAAAAAGTCGAAATAATGTCGTTGACTATCTATATTATGTGGATTTTATAGCTCATTCTACTTGGCCGCCTTGTGCACTTGAGTATCTAGTCGTGAATTGTTAATGTCCTCTTTTGACTGCAGAAATGTGTGTTGTGTAATGCGGGGTAGTTAATATTTTAGAAATTATTGACATAGAAAAATTACAACAGCTAGTACATGTGAATATGTTTTCTTAATATTTTGGGAAGTAGTGGAGATAGTTTATAGTAATTTCAGCGGTATGTGGTCAGTCTCGTCTTGCTGAAAAATTGGCCTCTCATACGATTAATTGCCTTAATTGGTAATACAGGGCATGGCTTCTTTCAGTATCACAAATAGACAATAAAACTGAATTGTTCGAAGCCAACTCCTTAAAAATATAATGAATCATATAGCTAAGCAAATAATGAGTGTTGCGAGAAGAGTTTAAGTGATACAATCACGGTTTAACAAAATTTTTATTTGATGCTTTGGTTGACCAGTCAGTTTAAAAAAAATTTAAGAAAAATTTCCAGTTTTATTGCATAAATATAAAATGATAAAATTACACATTGTATATAAGTTGTGACATAAGCGATATGTCTTCATTTCGTTTCTCTGGACACTCCATAATCACCATATGTTTTACTTTGGTGAAGCCACGCTCGGTTTGATTTCCTCATTTCCTGCGTCAAGTTATTCAATCTCGTGACACACAATTCTTCATCAGCTGAATCATTCTCCGATTCGCTCTACAAGACCAGAAGAGTACGGCTAACTGAATGACAATTGTACAATACATTATGATATTCAGCGACAAGGCGCGCTGTAAATGTCTAGAATTATATATTCCACTCCTTAAAAATCTGTTTTAAGTATTACAAAAACATCATTGTTTTCAGTCTCGTATTTCTTACCTAGTTAACAACTGTGGTTATGGTCTGTTCATAGATATAAGAAAGTGACCAATTGCTTTTGAATGGGATTATCCAAGGGTGGTTATTAACATACAATGCAACAAGATTATTACCTAAAGTTTCGAAATTTAAATTCAGGTAAAATTGTGGTCCGTAATAGAAAATAATTTTATACCTACCTGTGTTTAATATTCTTTGGTTTGGTATACTACTTAGTTTAAGTTTATTAGTGATAATTCTTATTTCGTGTATAATACAGCGTGTGTTGAATCGTGTGCGAATTATGCAAAATATGTGCGAGTCTAGTGTATTTCAGGAGATGCTCCCGCCCAAATGTAGAAAACACTATTCTATCGAGACTAAGGAAGTTATAAACAATGTTTATTTGACTCTCATTGAACGTGGTGCCAGCAAGCAAGTATCTTCCAACAAAATTCCAACATCAACTGTCTGGAAAGTTGTGAATAACCCCATTTCAGCGAGGAAAAAAACAAGCGATGCTGACATTTTCTCGAGTGTAGATGAAAGTGATCAAGATATAATATGGCGTAAAAATTTACCAGTTATACGAGGAACAAAGCGTGCCTACATTAGATATCTTAATTAGGAGGCTTGAAAAAGATGAAACCGGTGTTAAATGTAGCAGAACTACCTTATGGAAGTGTATTCAACACATGGGTTTTAGATTTAAAAAAATTGACAAAAGGCAAGTTTTAATGGAATCTTTTACAATTCGGAAATGGCGACTGGAATATCTAGAAAAAATTAAGATTTACAGAGAACAACAAAGGCCAATTATTTACTTGGATGAAACCTGTTCCGACACTTATGATACCCCGGAAAAGGGTTCGGTTGACTCAACTGATAAGTGTAAAACAAACGCGCCATCAAAAAAAGGTAAAAGAATAACAATTTTGCATGTGGGCTCTAAAGATTTTTTTATTTCAAATGGACTTTGTCTGCGAAAAATATTAAAGATTCTTCTCTGGATTACCATAAAGACACCACCGCTGATTTATTTGAAAGTTGGTTTAAAAACAAATTAGTTCCAAATATTCCTCCTAATAGCGTAATTGTAATGGACAATGCAAGTTATCACAGTAGACAATCCAAAACTACATGTATAATAACGACATTTATTTTCAAGAAAATTATACCAAAAAGCAATTAATTGAGGTTCTACAAAGCTTGAACCTACAAAAGGAATACGTCTGTGATAATTATGCAAAAAACCTAGGGCATACAGTTTTAAGGTTTGAACATGTTTGGCGCCAACTGAAATCTGCCATCTGCCTGTTAACTCCAATGTTCTCAAACTTATAAAAACAGAATTTTTTAACATCCCTCGACAAAGTCGGGCAAATTCTGTTAAACATATAGAAAAAGCAGAAAAATCGTATATTCATATTGCAAATAATATAGAACAAATAATAATTAGAACAGGCGATGATAGCGATAGTGATACTGATATATTGTGTGAATAATTTTAAGTAATTTAATTAGGTAATAACAATACATACATAAATAAATATTGTTTAGTATCTTTCCTAACAAAACCACAAATAATTAAATTCTAAGCAAAGTACGGATCTGTTCGGCCATATTTCATCCTTACAGCTTGCCCGGGTCTTTCCTTTATTCGTAGCAGTTAGTCACTTTCTTATATCTATGAACAAACTTTACCTTTCTTAACATATTTAACACATTTTTTAAAGCGTTTGTTTGAGATTTTCTTCATATAGTCCTCAGCCCATTTCTCTCTTATGTTCTGAGATTAGACGTTGGATGGTTGACATTTCGAAGTAACGTTTAGACTCATCACTAATTGATGATTTTGCCATTCACGAACTGATTTGTTTTTAAAATAAATGTTAAATAGGCCTTTATGTAAAATGCAACGCTGGTTTGTTAGTAGCGTGTGAAGTACCGTTACAGTCATCGTTACCACCGATAACAGGTAAGAAATTCGACCACAATCTGGAAGCGGTGACGTACCCCAATATATAACTCGATTGGATAGAATGTGAAACACATTCATAAATGTTTTATGAGATTCCATACGCATTTGAAGAATACTCTCAGATTTTTTTTGCTATCATTTAAAAAAAAAAGTTTTACCCTGAAAGTCGAGGAGTACCAATCGTAGACATCGTTAGGACAAGGACTGCCAGAAGGACTTTCATGTTCGTAAGCCGACGCTATACCTTGCGATCCCAGGCTACAAGGCGAAACACATTCTGTGCGCCTTTTTGTTCTAGAATCATCCATTTTGTCTTTATGTATGGGCCTGACAGGCCGTTTGTGTCCTTGCAGTTCCCTATAATGGACAACATTTCACACCGAATGTTAATAGATAAAAAAACAATATTTGGGAGCAAATAACACTGCAATAAAATCACGCGATATTAGTCAAGGAAATAGTAATATCAATGGGAAAAGCAACATTTTTATAAGGGAGCTTGGCTCTCTGAGGTTGTCTGGCGAATTCCTATACCGAAACCTACAGCACCTTTGGAACTCCTAACCCGGACTCACTTTCCCATAATTTGAACATAGCCTTCCCGGTCCTTTATCAGGAGATAGGAGAGTTTATAATGTTACCACTATAGTTAGTGGGATACATATACTCAATCAACATCAATCAGCAACAATCCTGGAAATAAACACGATTTGTCCTCATCCAATTTTTGCCGAAACCAAATTAGAGGTTGAGAAATCGACATTCAAGGGAAAGTGTGCTTTAACTTGCTATGATATTGCTATCTAATCCGTCATATTATGGGAGTTGACGGCAATGGACTCTGTCTCGATGAGTGGAGAAGATGATTCAACCCAGTTCATTGGGTCTAAAGAATTAATTAAACATGAAAGAAAGCCGCTCATGTATGCTTAATGTGATGATAATGATGTCACTAGAAAATTTGATATAATTTTAACTGCAGTAGATCAAATGAAATAAAATAAATAAGTAAAAAAAGTACATAAGTACCACTTTTTCTTTACCCATATCTATTCCAATGGTTTATATAAATGCTTTTCGGCTTATTTTTTAGTATTTCCCAGATATAAGTCGATAATTGTCCATTAAATTTGCATCTTGAATTCAACTTTCTCGTTGATTTTAAAAGCGCTATTTCGTGTGAAACGTGGCAATATATTTGAGATTGCAACTTAAGAAAAGGGTTAGTCCATGCATCACGCTAAATTAGTAAAAGAATGACAACTGACTGCCATACATTATCTTATGTTTTAAGATTTGATTTGTCGAGCAATACTCCTTCTGCCTTTTGACTAAATATGCAATAATACTTTTTTGTTCGAGCAACCAAGCTTGAACGTTGCTAATAATATTTTTGCTTTCGATGCATATTTCCTCTTTATTACTCATCAAGTTGTCCACGTCATCCTCTAATTGCTTTACTAATTGCTCGGTACCTCTTCAATTAAAAAAAAAAAAAAAAACAAAACGGTAAAAGGGTGAAACTATTTTCATGTCCCCCAGTCTTACCTTTGTTGCGAATTTATGCAGTAATAGGATGACTGCAACGTTTTCATTTGATCTGCGAGGTGTTTGTTTTCTTGCATCAGTTCGCACTTTTCGGCAGTGACGTGTTGCATTTCTTCCCTATACTGGTCCAATTGTCTTTGAACTCGGTCACTTTTGTCCCTCAAACACGTTATCGTACACTGGAACTGGTTGTTCTCAGTACGAAGCATTTTATTCTAAAATTAAGTTGTCAATATTGAGCCAATGGTATAAGCTATTAAGGGGACGCAACCCACGATTACATTTAATTTATTTAATAAAAGAATTAAGTTTCTACTAGATCCATTTCCGTGCTGGAATTGCACTGCTCGGGGATCTCGGGGAGTTTTTCAATTCGTTGTGGATAACTTTTGATGCGCACTAAAACTAGTACTCTTTGCAAATGGTGTGGATATTTTCAAGTCACTTTTTTATCGGGTTTTCAAGCTGCTACTGACGCGGTTGAAACAACAAACAATATTTTCGTATATCTATTTTACAAGTAAAAAAGTCAACAACTATGTGTGAAGAATGAAGTAAAATGGTGAATACAATTTTTGCGCGAAATGTTTTGCGCAAATGGTTAGACAGTTTTTTGTGAGTAGAAAGCTATATCGAACCAGCTTCCGTCCAACCTGTCTTTATTTTAAATAAAATTTAACATTTTTTTTTCGTAATATTATTTACCAAATTTGCACGTATTTTTAAATTTTTTTCAAAACTTAACAAAACCCTTCTGACGAATCGGCCTATTTAAAAAAAAACAAGCGAAAGATATAACGAAAGGCTAAGAGACTATAGAATGTAAACTAAAATGCAACACAGCAACAATAGCAATATTGAAGCGAGATAATTCCTTTATTTCATCACTAAAAGCACATAAATGCTTGGTTGTAAAAATACATTTAAAACAAAAAAAGAGTATTTTATTCGTCTCACATAGCGTATTAGGGCATATAATGAAACTTAATAGATTTGAATTCAGATCTGAGATTAAAATTATTAATTCCAGTGACGGCTGTGAATAAAACGGATTATTATATTTAACTAAGTTGTTGTTCTGTAAAATATTTCTTTTATCTATTTTTACGTTAAGATTAATAGTGATGGTGATGCAGAAATTGAGAATTCCCTGTTTTAGCCTCGGTAAAGTAGCTTTTTGGTAATTTGTATTTACCTCTTTGTCAAGTTTGTCGACTCTTTTCAAGACATTTGTCATTTCTTCCTTTAAATTTTGAATTTCATCCTGAGCACAGACTAACTGAACGCACTTGCTACTATTAATTTCTTGCGCTTTTCTGTTGTCTTCGTTCAGTTGCAAAGTACGCACTTCGAGATCTTGATTCAGCTGACTTACTTCTTTCTCCAACTTTTTCGTCAAATCTGTTAATTTCGACACGTTTTGTCGGGCATCGTGAAGTTCCGCTGTCAGTTTGGTAATCAAATTTCTACAGTCGTTCAGCTCCTTGTCTTTATTTTCTTGAATTTTGCCAAGTTCTGCGATTTCAGTGTCTTTTCTTTTTACGCTTTCTTCTAGTTGCTTGTTCTTTTGCTGCGCGTCCGTTAATTTCGCCTTTAAATCAGTGATCTAAAGCAATAAAATGCAACATTATTATATAACGAGGAACTTTCCTGATATTGCAATTACCGATTTCTTGAGAATATCCACCATTTTCTGATAGAATTCCACTTCGCAGGGACAATTGCATGAATCTTCTCTTCTCGAAGTTGCCTCCGCGTTTCTCTTGCATTTCTTGTTGTTGCAGTTGTTCTCCTTTAATTCTTTTTGAATTAATCCTTTGGTAAGTTCTGAATTAAGTTCCATCATCTTCAAGCAAAGTTTAAAAAACCTAGAGATTATGTATTTCACGATTTTATTTATATGATTTATCTGATGTAGCATAATATGCATGTTACGGATGGTTGGCATATTAGTTTTGCCTTTTACGCAATGTAATTTCACTAGTGAATTTTAAATCAAAGTGGTAAAATTCTAATAAAATTAAGTGCCTACTATGAGGTTTATTTACAATAAAATACCAGGGGTGCGACAACTTGGAACTTCAAGTGTTCTTAATAAATAAAAACAATTTTCTTAGTAAACGTTGTTACAAAATTGGCACAAGCGGGTTAAATTTAAATAGAGAAAAGTGGAAAGTAGTGAGCTGTACTAGGAAGCAAAACATTATTGCATATTATAAATATTACAGTGCTTACTCTTTCAAACAAGATCTTGGAGTAAATTTCTATAGCGAACTCTTCTTCATTAGCCAATTAATAAGCAAGTTATCTGGCTTTATGGTCGATAACTACAAGTCATTTACAAGTATTTTAGAGAATAAAAACTTTACTTTTTGGATTTGTACCGTAATATATTATTCACAAATATTGAAAACATAATCATAGATTAGATTGTCACGTGGTGCTACACCTTTTTCTTGGTAAACATTAACAAGTTTTGTAGGGAATCAATAATCTACATTATTGATTGGTAGTGCCATAAATTTCCCTAAGCCCTTTACGTTTGTTTTTCATTTTATTTTAATTCATTCAATTTAATTTGAAACATCGATACATATGGCGGCCTAGTAATTATAAGCATAACAAACATTATCTTTACCATGAAACCTATTACCGCAAATTCTTGACTGCAAAATATGACGATTTAATCGGTCATCAGTCCAAAAATGAAAATGGATTTTGGAGACATAAAGTGCGAAAAGTTTAATTTTAGTTATTCGTAAATTGTTCTTTTAACTTTTAGATGAAACCAACTAACAAAAGGTATATTTAGTAAGAGAGCAGTTATTCCTGAGAAACCTTTATGTAAATATTTATAACCTGAAAACATTTCATTCAAATTGTTTAAATCCTGATATTCCGCATGATACACCTTGTATATGTTATATTAAGTTTGTTATGTTTATAATATTTCATTACTAAACCGCTTGGTCTATAGTGGTCACTAATTTTTAAAAATCAAATGAAAAATTTGGAAACACGTTCCTCAAATAACCTATTAATTTCAAAATGTTGTCTATGTTGAAAAGATTGAAAGTTCTAAAGTATTTTCATTTCGTTGTTACGTCCTCTAAATATAAGAGTTGTTTGTATGTCGAATTCTTTACCACTTACCGTGCCTTTCAACTCTCCGACGATTTTTCTATACCTTTTGATCTCTTGGTCTTTCACGGCCTCCTTGTTTGCGACGCTTGCAAGATGAGCTTGCAGTTTTCCATATTCTTCGAACAACCTATTGTTAGAATCTTCGCTAATGGACAGCTTCTCTTTTAGATCATTCAGAACGTCGACCATATTCAATTCATTTTCTTGCATTTTTTTGCGGCATTCGCACAGTTCACTTTGCGCGGCATTCAAGGCAGTTTTTTTGTTTTTGTATGCCTTTTCAAATTTCAAACATTCCGTGGTTTTTTCTTGTAAGTTGGATTTCAATTCGCCCAACAACTTCGAATAACTCTCGATCCTTTCTTGACATTCGCGAGAACGTTGCTTGATAGACTCATTTTCAACCTCGTACCTATTTGATACGCATCAAGTAATTTTTTTAAAATGTACTGCATTTATCAACGTCCAGAATATGTTTTGGAAAAGGCGCATCTTGGTCATCAAGATATTTCAGTCTCAAATTTTCAAGAAATAGCAATACGCGAAGCAATTATAAAGTGTGAACTAACATCGATGGAGGCGTTCTCTAACCTCAGAAAAAAGTAATATCTAGCTTGTAAGTGCAGTTAAACGTGGGGAGATGGAAAATGATAATTATCTAAAACATTTTTGAAAAAAATATTAATAATTAAAAAATAATTTTGTACTTTTTCTATTATTCCTTATCTTATTTCATGCGTGTTTCTTGTTTACCTTCAATGTTTAAAACCTGCGGCATTTTTCGGAAAAAAGAACCTACGTCTTGTCCGGAGTTGGTTTAAATAATACTGCTGATATTTTATTATATCTTGAAGCATGTTCGGCGACCTCTGATTGGTAAATAATTGGGAATACGGAAATCAACTAGAATCACATACTTGAGCGAGGCACCATTTTTACTATCATGCACTCCTGAGCACAGGGCAGTGTCGCAATTATAATTTTTGGCGCTTGCCTTGTATGAAGTATTTTTAAACCACCGACCAACTTAAAATTTGCTAGGATTGGATTCTGTGAACCGTAGAGTAAATAAGAAAAAACAGCCAAATTTAAACCAATCGAAACTTATCTTGCAAGGACCGTCTATCAGAGAACAGAGAAACAGGGCGGTTAAATAACAAAATATTGTCTTACGTTTTAACTGCCCGTTGCAGTTGAATAGTCGCGGTGTTCAATTGAAATACGGTAGCCTGAAACTCCTGGTTTTGTCTGAGACAGGACTGCAACTGTTCACTTATGTTGCCGATGGTATCCTTATGACGGCACAGATCGAGTTCTTTCTCCTGAATGTTTTTTTGCAGTTCTGATATCTTTGTCTCGTACAATTGATTTAATCGCCTTTCGTGTTCCGCTCTCTGCTGACATCCGCACAACTGACTGGACAAGTTTTCGTTCAGCTCTTGTATTTCCGCGTATGCTCGCATAAACTTTTGTGATTCTTGTTGCGACGATTCGTTGGATAACGTCTGAAACAATAAAGTTCCACAATAAAAGAAAGGAACCGACCAGAAACTCTTTAACTTTTAAATTTACAAGTATTCATTTTTTCAATTTCGATTTTAAATTCAGATGATTACTTAAGGCAGAACCCCTTTCTCCACTTTTTTAATTTTGTGTAGTTCTTTTTTTATTTGGAAAAAATGATCTGTGTGCCTGCGGCCTGTTTCGCTTATTCAAATTCAAAAAGTACCAGAACTAATGCATTATTGATTCCTAATTACACAATTAATCAATTTGCGTTCACTAGAAACGTACTTAAAATTTCGACTTTTAGAAATAAAAATAAAATTAGAATGTGGCACTTGTACCTGAGGTGCATACATACAGGAAGTCCCTCAAATGCGTAAAAAAGCAAGATTAGTTTGTTTGTGCAAAAAAAAATAAATAAAATACATTCTGTTACGTTTTTACAGAGTATCCCAAATACCTAATGAAAATGATAAAATTTTAAAACATCATAAACCATATTTTTATGAAAATGGTCATGATATATGCAATTTGACAATAATAACAGTACTTTTACATTCTTAGGATCATCTTTGTGCATCTTTGTTTTTTACGGAACAGTTCCGGCTTTCCATTCAATAACCACAATAGTAAATTATAATTTTTTTACTAGCTACCTCTAAAACACGGATCAGGTTGCGCAAAGTGTGACTTTAAGACGTAACCTTTGCTAAACACTATCGCGAATATTTGTAATTTAAAATCGCTACCTCGAGCAGTTTAAAAGTTATACAGAGTGATTCTTTGAGGTATTTTTTCTCATGCAGACAATTGGAAAAGCTGAAAATGGCCATGCCACGCTGACGCTGATAAGGCAAAAAATTTAGAAATAATAAAACTAAGTTCAAAACCACCCTTTAATGGTAAGTCTAACATAACAATTTTTAATTGTTTACAAACTAAAACTTAATGCCAAAAACTCATAATATTGGTTATTTTTATTTGCCATGCCCGTGTTATTCATGACCAAACTCACCAGCAGTTCTTGTAAATTATTCAATTGTTCTGCCATTACCGCGATCTCATCTTTGAAATAGGCAACCACTTCTTCGTAGCATTTTTTCTGTTTGGCTAGTTTTTTCACTTGGTCTTTGCATTCGCAAGTTTCTTTCTAAAAATACATCGGTTTATGCAAACGCTTTATAGGGTGGCGATCGAAATACAAGCCAGCTAGGTCATTACCTCTTTATCTTTTAATAATTTTTTATGTTTAGTTATTTGATCTTCCAATATTTGCACCGTTTGAAGATTGTCGCAGTGTTCAATTTCTAAATCTACTATTAATTCCTGTAATTTGTCGTAGTCTCGACTCTGCAGCCAGAACTGAAAAGTTGAAGCAACAAAAATGCAAGCTGTAGATAGGAAACCTCTCATAGGGCTATATACTTACTTCCTCATTAGTGTTTTGCTCGACGCATTCCAGCATCTCGATGGAGTTTAAATAAAGATCTACCTAATTAGAGAAAAACAAGCAACAAAAACAAGCTTTAAATATAGCGTGTACAAATATAAAATACGATTCCATATTTCTCGCAATCCAATAGCTTAAATCGTTATTGGAAAAACGAAAGCAAAATAGAAAATCTTACTGCTGCTTGGAGATTTGATGCCCGTTCTTCACATGAATTTAGTGCGGCTTCTAACTGGGCAACTTTATGTTTCAAACGGTTTATTTCGAAAGTTGGTTGTTCCGTTTCCATGTTTTTTTGGAATTTAACTTTACTTTCAGCCTAGAATCGCAATATATGTACTCGATGTATTCGTTAGAATTTTAATGTAACATATAATTAAATTGTGTTTATTTATTTTGTTATATCTTGTCTTTTTATCTTTAATTCGAAATGTGATTTTCTAGCATTCCAACTTTAAACTTGCGCCTGATTCTTTCCTTCTTGATAATTTCGGTTCCTATTATACATATTTAATAAACCTAAACCTGCTTTGTTGTTGGGTATAACAATTTTGTAAATGTTGTTAAAATATAAACTAAATTCACTTAAATATATCTAGTGAACAAAACTTGAAATAGAAAAAATACGATAATTAAAGTAATAACTGTTTATTTTTAATTTTTAAGACCTGAGTCAATAAAATATTCAAAAATTTACCTAATTGAGCCTAAATAATCTATAGGACCAATTTTTAGTGAAATTTCAAATAGGCAAGATAACGACAAGAACTTTTAATACGATATAATGAATAATGATTATAAATAACGCTTGGTTAAAACGCACTTACCGCATTCAATTCATCCCCTTCTTCTAAGTTAACCTGCACCTATAAGTGAGAAACCAAACTAAAAAGGTTTATAATTTTAACCGCGTCCACGCACATACTGGAGTTGGTATTTTTAGAACTGCATGTGCTCCAGTGTACGTTATTTTTAATGGGTATTACCCAGAACGAGCTGCGAAGACAATGGCGTGAATATAAGTCTGAAGCAGTTTTAAAAAGCTAATGAATTTGTTTTGGGTTTGGAGCGTTTTCTAGTGTTTGCGTTGCAAATAATTTCAGAATCTAATTAAAAATTTAATGAACGCAGAGGTGTTCTGAGTTTTTATTTCGAGACTTTTTTTAGTGTACTTTCAATAAACACCTGTTTCATTTATCTTTCAACTACATTTCGATCGTAATTACATTGCTTCAATTTAATATGCAAAAACTCAAATGCAAATTATTTTTCTAGGTAATATGAACTTTTCATCGGGCAAAATATATTAGATTGAAAAATGTCAACATTTTCACTGAAATTAGAAGGGTTTTTAATTTGATTAGATTTTTTAATCCAGAATACTTAATGACTCAAGCTATTTTCCAAGGCCGTTCGGAAATTGGAAAGGCGAGTTCTAACGCAATTTCAAGACGAAGATTACAGTTCAATTTATTCGTGGGCATGCTTTGAAGTGTTTTTTTTTTCAATTCTTCTCCGTCAGAATAAAGCGAAATTCACAAATAATTTAAATTCTTTCATAAAAAAGTTGAGTAAAGGATTGTTATATGTTGACTTATTAATATTGTTGTTGACTAACTGCAACAACAATAATTATTTACAAATTAAAGAAGAACCAAAACACTAAAAATGACAAGACACACTAAAGTAAAAAATTCTTTAACTATTCTAAATACTGCTCAATCTGACCATCATTTTCCTGAACACATTTCTCGTACACTCTAATTGTATGATGTCTTGCATTTAGGAACGTTTCCGGATTGTCTCTTAACTGATTGATTGCCTCTGAAATCCTTTGCCGAAGTTCCACGACATTATTAGAAGGATTTCTCTGCACGTGATTTTTAAAGAGTCCCCAAAAGAAAAAATCTACTAAAGTTAAGTCGAGGCTGCTAGCTGGCCAATCGATAGTTCCGCCGTTCCCTATCCAACCCCTGGGATATTCCATGTAAAGAAAATTTTTAACTTGCACAACATTGTGAGGAGGGCACCATCTTGCTGCCATATAATCAGCGCTGATATAGTTAGGGATAAATCTTCTCTATGCATATTGGAGCTCTAAGAATTGCAAATAATGATATTCAGTTAACTTTTGATCTATAAAGTATGTCCATCTATGACCATCTATACCACTGGGTTGTTATTAGTATTTTGTTTTATACGTCAGTTGGAAAAAACTTACAGTTACAGCCAATTAAATGTTATCAAGAAAAATTGAACGCACGGTACAACATATAACAATCCTTTACTTGACTCTTTTTTTTAAACAATTTAAATTATTTGTGAATTTGGCTTCATTTTGATGGAGAAGAATAAAAACCACTTCAAAGAATGCCCACGAATAAATTGAAATGTAATCTTTTTCTTAAAATTGTGTTAGACCTTAGAAAATAGCTTGAGTCATTAAGTTTTTTTTATACTAAATTCTAATTTAAAAATTGGCATTTAATTCACCACTTTACGAACGATGTTAGGAAACACCCATCATGCAACACTAGATCCATGAAAGTAAAAAAATGAAAAAGAAAAAAGAGTAGAAGAATAATATTAAGTATAGCTAAATAGGAAAGTATCAAAAAACTAAAATAAATTTGCTCCTAAAATTTGTATCTCTTACAAATTTTACATTTACGTTGCCCGACTTACTGACCTCTGCAGCTTCCGCAAAACTAACTCTCGATTTGCGTTTGCAAATTTTGCATATCTGAAACCAGATACAAAACTCAATTATTTTTCCAAAATCGAAACTGCCTTTTCCAAAATCGAAACTGCCTTAAAAATGTAATATAACTGACATCTGAAAAAGAAATGTTCCATCTTTTATACTTCATTTCGATAATACTTCATATATTATGGAAAATAAAATAACTAAGTTGACACCTTAGAATCCAGTATAACCACCCACGCTGTCTTGAAAATATTTTAGCCCCAATAATATAATACATTATATTGATGTAATAATAATAATTTTCAAATGTTTGGTAGTTACAGTTAATATTTTTATTGTTTTTTTTAAACAAGACTTTATGCTATTGAGTAAAGATTCTACCTAGCCTGCAGAATAATCAAAAACTTTACCTAAAATGGACAATATTGATTACTAAATGGAGCTAGAGCGTGTAATAGTTGGCCTATAATGATATATTATTTTTATGACATATTATTTCAAACATTTTAAAACATAGAGGATAGATAAGCAACTACAATCTATTAATATCATAACTAGCGAAAGAACATACGTTTTTGCCACTGTCAAACTTAGTAAATGACTGTTTAAGTCTTTCTTCCAATCTGAAAATTGTTTCGTTCAATCGCTTTATTTTTTCTTGATGTCTCTAGGAAATAAAAAAAATAAAAAACTAACTACGATATCATTCAGCCGTTGCTACTGACTCTTTCTTCTTGATCTTGTACCAATTGTGTTCTTTCCAAGTTAGATTGCAGTTGTTCTATGGTTGCGTTCAGTTTTCCAACTTCCGTTTGTGTCAGCTATTAAATCAGTGAAAATGTGTATTTTAATATGTCTTCCCTATGCTTGTTCGACTTACGTTAGTTGTCAATTGATTGCGTTGTTGGAAGGTGTCAATTTTAATTGTTAAATTTCTGTTCTGCAAAAAGAAAAAGCGATTTTATTTATTTCTTCTTGAATAATGTAGTTGTGACCACATGATACTCTGTTAAATCAGAACTCTGTAATACATATGACTTGCAAAAAAAAGGTCACGTTATCACAAATCAATACGCTGTTAAGTTGATGGAATTAAGAAAGATATAAACTTACCTTTTCCTTCAGCTCATTTATCTTTTCAACCGCTCTTTTGTTTTCTTCCATTAGGTCGTCGATTTTACAACGACAGGCGAGCTACAGCACACAAGGATGTAAAAGTTCGTTTGCTTCGTTGTAAGAAAACAAATTAGTCTGCTAAGAAGAGCATATTTTGCAATTTGGCAATAGATGTGTTGGATTTACAAAATACTTTAACTTTTACTCCACTGGAAGCTTAATTCTGCTTTAATTCGGCTTTAAAGGAAGCATTATGGACACCTTCCAGAAAAAATTGCAAACTGAATTCACTGTGATCTGTTATTTCTAAGAAATCGGTTAGTAGTTAAATGTATTAAATTCAAGGCAATCATAATATAAATGAAAAAAATAATAGTGAAATAAAATTTGACATACCAAATAACTCATATAATTAAACAATTATTGGTAAAATTGCGTTAGACATTTAGTACATTTAGATTGTAAGAAAGGTTTTTTTAACAACACACCATTAAGAAAAATTGTTTATAATTTTTTAAAAAAGTAATTAAAATATGTCCCTCTCAAGAATGATAAATATCAGGTTTACATTATTGTCAAAATTTTTTCAAATTACATTTGCAATATTGGTTGCATTATTCTATATCCTTGACACGTTCGTTTAGGATATTTTGAATATGTAATATTTTACCTTTTCCGCTAATAATTGATCTATTTGGGATTTGAGTTTCTGACATTCGATTTTTATCACATCGTTTTCGTTAATATAGTCCTTCATTTGTTTCTCAAAGCTTTTGGTTTTGCGTTTATATTCATTTCGGTCTTTAAGCTAAAAATTAATTACACGTCAAAGTATGCTACTCTCACAGCAACAGAACGAAATAGCTGTAAGATATTTTAAAAATATTTTTTGAAAAATTCCTATATTTCTGTCAATTTTAACAGTAATAAAGGGAATTTCAAGAGAAAAGGTAAAGAGCACAGGCAGATCTATTGGAGAGCGGTATGTTTTGTTGCTATTGTCAGTACGTTTATACTAAATAAAGATTGAGATGTGTCTGTTAAAAAAATTAAACACTATATCTAGTAAAGTAGCAACTTCTCCAGTTTTTAGATTTTAAGTTTCGTTTTTGAATTACCCGTACAGCTTTTAATTTCGAAAATATTTATGTATCAAATGAAGAATTTTCTGCTGCAATATCGTTTTGATATGACAGTAAAAAGTGATGAAATTGAACTGGAAGTTGGAGTGCGGGATGAAAACTTAAAAACTGCTACTAAGAAATGCATATATATATATATATATATATATATATATATATATATATATATATATATATATATATATATATATATATATATATATATATATATAATAAGAAATTTATGTCATTATCTGCTGGCGACGAATGTTGTTACCCAAAATTTTTACAAACTTTTGAAACAAGAATGTTTAGATTTATATTTATACTATTTATAATTAAATTTATAATATTAGATTGTAATTATTTAGTACAACAATCTTTAAGAAACGTCCAAAATATAAAATAATTTAATTTTCATTCATGAAAAATAGATAATCCTCCTAATCCTTAACCTCATTGTAGAAATTGTAATAGATAGATTGATAATTTTTTTGATGGCACAGCAACAGTACAGAAAAACTTCTCTAAACTCTATTCAGATTGTAATAGTGTAAATTGTGATTTTTTGAGATTAATGATATTCGGCTTATTAAGTGACGAAAATATCTTACGAATGCTTTCAATTGTTCCTCCATTTCAAGGACGTAATTTTTGTTAATCCTGACCGTTGAACCAGATTTTTCCAGCAATTCCTGCAAAATCTGACATTAATATCTTAGTTTTTGAGAATGTATTGCAGTCCGCAGACCTAAAAGAGACCCTATTTTTTTAATTTACTATGCTTTCTTTAAAAAATCTCATTGGAACTTAGCGTTGCTCCTTACAACTGATAATGTCCGTTCCTCTAAATACTTTAATCCTTGATTAATGTTAAATAATTTAACGATCAAAATCTTCATCAAATTTAATTGGTCTTCGAGAAGTGATTCGCTTAATACAATCGCACCGTGAAATTTTACCCTGGATTTGTTCGTTACTTTGTTCGGAAATTTTCCTTCTGATTTTTTTTTCATACTCGTTCTACAATTTTGACGCTTAAAATAATAACCTATTATTTGTTTGCGGTTTCGTTTTGAAACAACGAAATCTCTCACCGATAAAAATCGGGCTTTGCCAGTGATATATTTCGCACGTTTTTGTAAATAATTCCGAGTGTTTTCGACCACCTAAAAAAAGAAGCTAATATTAAAATTCTGTTTCTCCCCAGTTAACGTTCTTAGAATGGAACGTTGAAATTTAAAATATAAAAATGCGGTTCGTAATACCGAATTCGAAAGGTATTTCCGAGGATATTTTCGGATCACTATTCGGTGCGTTTTAACTTTAAAAAATTCATTTAGCAGTTGCTAAGTTACTAATTGTTCCATCCGTTCATTCCTATAGCATATTTAAAAGTTAGATCAATTTTCTAAAACATTAATTTATCATTGAAATTTTAGTAATGTTTTCAAAGATTTTGTGTTCAATTATTTTGGTAAAAAACTTCATGTGATTCATCAAGACCGCTCCCTGTGGATAGCTGGTTACAAGGCAAAAAGAAGATGCACATGTTCAAACATAGCAATTTGCTAAAAATTTGACAGAAAATTGGCTTTTCGACTCTTCTACCGATCTAAAATATTTAAACTGCCGCAGTGTTACCGCCTGTATCCAAAAGTATGGACGACTTTGATTTTTTAAATGGGGCTTCACTATCACTTCCTCAACATTTTTGTAACATATTTTTCTGCACCCATATATAGCGGTCATCGAGAAATTATTTATTTTCCATATTTTTATATTCCATATATTATTATTATTATTTATTTTCCATATTTTTCGATTGTAACATTGGCGGTCAATTTAAATTCTCGTTGTTGAGTTAGATTATTTAGAAAGCTGTAGAGTAATAATTGCTGGTATGTACAGTCATCATCATTTTGTCCTATTACACAAAATTGGAAAAAAGTACTGTAAAATCTCCGGAAACATCCGATTGCTCCCAAACCCGTGCGGTAATATCCCAGAAATGTCCAAAGGGGCTTCGATCCGTGGGACAAGAAACTCACGTGGTAAAGTGGCGCTTTCCGCACGCTGTCGGTGTATAATTAGGCATATTACAGAAGGGAGTAGAAAATTAGTACATTATGCAACAAGTGCGGTAGACGGCATTTAAAAGTTTACAAACGTGTTGCATACTATACTTTTTTTACGACCGTTAGTTTTTGGGTGAATTTTTGGCAAAATAACATAAATATATTCACTGACAGTACCGTCAGAATTGACAAACTTGAAAATTCAAACACGTGCGGTAATATCCCGGAACTGTCCGAAGGGGCTCAGATCCGTTTTCCATTCAATCCATTTCAATTTTTTTTCACTTTTTAAACCTCGTTAATAAAGATTTCTTTGTCGATGCAATGACTATAGTGAATTTTTACTAGCAACCAAGACACTACAACTTGCGAGCAGTTTCAACTTTCTAAATATTCAATTAAACCAGCAATAGGATCTAAAAAAAATAAATTAGGGTATGTTTCACCGAAAAGTTTGGAAAATATTTCATATCTTGAAAACCGCTAGGTATAGAGAAAAATCATCAGAAAGTAATAGCATTTAAAAAATGAAAATTATTGCTACTTTTTGATGCAAACCGCAACATTGCGATGCTGAAAATTTTATAGATGGAGAAGGGGGAGCCTACCAGCTAACCAAAATTAATTAAAACAAACCAAAGTTTCAGTAAGTTGATAGTTTCGTGCAAATAATATATAGATTGTTTTATTAAATTAAATGTGATTCATTATTCAAAATATTTAACATTTTTAATAAAAACACTTTGTTCGGCATAATAGGGTTGCTCAATTTTTTTAACACAAGTCATTGATCAATATTTTATCCAAGCTCGTACAGGTTTCATCATCATTATTATAATCCCAATAATTGACCTTTTAATGCATCTCTTTAAAAATTATAATATGTAAACTACAAAACCTTATAGGGAATCCCTAGAAAAACTCTGTAAGCTATAAACTAACGAAAACTATTTAAAAAGTTGTTACTATAATAAGATGTTAAGGGAGATGGGTTGACAAACGATTAAAAATAATTCTAAAGATTATAAGTTTTAAGCTTTTATTAATACCCGTTGAATAGCACCCTGCAGGGCTTCATCAAAATCATCCCATTAATGAGTACATGAGAATAATAGAATATTTATTACCACATCGGTGATTAAAAACCAGGCATTATAACGTATCTAATTCATAGAAATTTTCAGAGTAAATACTTGCTTCGATCATACTATAGTAGTGGGGTTTTCAACAAAATAGAGAGAAATGTAATTTTAGTTAGTCGCTGCACAGTTAGCGAAATGTTTCCCTAAAAATTTCAATAGATACTTGTGACTGTTTTCTTTGGTTGGAGTGGAGGCAGGAGAGGAGCTTAAAAAAACACTTTAAAGCAGGAAAGCATTGTGAACACACCCCCGCTTGAGTAAGGGGCTTAAAGAATATTTAACAACTACTAAACATATAGGCAAAACATGTCCATTATTTTTTTCGTTCATATATAAATAAATATTTAAAAATATCACATGTGTTGCTCTCAAGTTCTTGTGGGAACAAAAAAACGAATCAATGTTCATATGGTTTATTGCATTCTAAATTATTGACGTATATCTTAACCGGTATATGATTGGGCACTGAAACTTTTTTCGAAACCATTGCGCTACCGCGTGAATCTCTATGCAGCTCCCGAATGAAACTATTGTATTTGCCTAAATCGATGTCCTTTGAACATTCTTTGGTCGGTTTCAGCTCACTCTCGCTTTTACACATCGGAAGTAGTGTTTTTGGGTGGCTGGTCTGATGGGTGCCACTGTAAACATTATCGTGGCCTGCCTCACTCGAAGTGCTGCAGGTGACTTTTTTATCTGCGTTTATTAGTATCAGCGTGTTGTTTCCGGTTTCGCGTTTAGTATTTTGGTTTATTCTTAGAGACGGTCTTATCTCACGGTCACTCTTGGAGGATTTCAGGCTGGAGGTCGAGAGACTGTGCACAGCCTAAGTCGAAAGAAAAAAGTATTATCTTCAAAGTTGTCGGTCATAATATCAATTGAAATATCTTATCGATTTTTGATTATTAAATTTCCTTTCTTCAAACTTACCAAAGGTCAAATATTTTAAATCGAAGCGCATATTTTAAAAATGTTCTGTGGTATTAAAAAAAATATATACATTTTCACAACTAACGACTAACGAAAGAATGAAGATTGAATTTTTAAGAATTGTTGAATTATTTTAAAATTTTTAAGTAGTCAGACAAAGGCGTTTTACTTTTAATGTTTTTTTAAGCATTTTAGCTAATAATACACTCTTTTGCATGCCACAAAAGAAATCGATCCATACTATCGCAATTTCAAATTTTTAGAAATTCAAACGGAGCAGTAATAAATATTTTATTTGGAAAATTATTAATATATTATTCAATGGGGTGTCCCATTCAAGATGATGATGATTCTACTTCTTCAAAAAAGCATTTTAAATATACGTCATGGTTTGTGTCAATTATTAAATTGACAAAACCATTCTATATCTATTTTTCCATGAACATGAATGAATATCAATGAGCCTGACACCATTTCAAAATTAACAATCTTGGTATCAAATTTTAAAATATGTCGATAAAGCACACAATTATTCAGAGGATTTTACTATTTGAAAAAACCATTTTTATTTAAATTATTATTAATTTTATTAAATTAATCTCAGTATCACCAAGAAACCAGTTTCTACATTACTCGCACTTACCCGCATTTGATCAAAATTTTCAAAATCCAGTTTCCAATCTTGTTTTATATATATCGAATGTTTTCCATCTTCTTTATCGGGTAATTGTATATTGCGTCCGCTCATATTGTGCATCATCTAAAAACAAAAGATATAAATTTTATATTGACAATATATTGTCATATACCTCTTCCATCATGAGACCTGTATATTCACATTTTGGAATTTTTTTGTAAAAATATCGGCACAAAGCGCATACATTTTTAGATAAAAATTACCTTTCCCGCACATGTATCTTGTCAGCGCAATTACTATTACATTTAAAATTAGTGAAATCGAAACTTTTCAAACTTTCCAAGGTATTAAAAAACACTTAGTGTCACTGGGGTTTATCGAAAAACAACCCTTTCGATAGTTACGGTTTGTGGTGATGGACTACAATAAATATTTTGTTTCGAAAGTATTTCTGTCATTAACATAACATAATTTTCAATAAACGTTAAGCTTTTCCAGACCTACAAAAACGTTTCTTTCACCGCCTATCCGGACGTCTTACCTTTTACCATAGAAAATATTGCTGAAATTTAGCGGTATTTGTTATTTGCAAATTAATTTTAACAAATTAATATCTATCGATAGTTGATTTTTAATGAAATTTCTGGTTAATGTTAAGTAATGAAATTGTTTTACTTTTGTTTCCGAACATATCCAATCGTTGGGCAAAAAAAAAAACAATCTGTGGACAATACATTTATTTTTATTCAAAATAATTGTTTTCCTAATTATAAAGGATAAAAAACTTTGAAAGTTTCGTAAATATGGTCAATTTTAGGTACCTGACGAGGAATCAAGAAACATAATTGTAGCAAATGTAGCGGATATTATATGCAAGGTTTCTCACATTTTTACATCCGTTAAAAGTTGTTAGAAAAAAAACCTAACGTTCGGAGTTTTCTCAGAGTATAATCAATATTCTCTATAATTTAAGAATATTTTCTAAGTTCAACGTCTTGAAACATCTAACATAATTTCCAACAATGATTTTACACCATTTTTGTGGGGTAAATGGCAATAATACCTTCAGAAAGAAGACTTGATTTAGCGTATATAGAGTGTTTGCATAATTTTCAAAGCTAAAAAAATCTGCTTTGCTTTGTGTAACGTGGCACTCTGTTATTACTGAACGATCGCATATAGAAATCCAACAGAAGAGCTCAGAATTCCATATTTCTTTCAATGACGAAAACTGCTAACGAACGGTCATATCTTAAGGAAATCCTACATGTTTGGTGTTTTGGTACTTGTATTTCTAAAACTAAGCAAAATAGTAAAAGAATTTAAAGAAACGGTCATTATACTAGTCAAAAGCTGATATTTCAAAAAGTGTTTTTTTTTCAGTAGTTTAGGGGAGGAAGTAACAAATAAATTAATTAAATAAATTGATAATGTCAAGTAGACATTTTCAGAATTTAACGAACGCATATTAGGCCCAATTGAACGCTTAAAAATATGTTGAGAAAATTTTTAAACTGACCTGTTTTAGAGAATCACATTCCTGGACTTTGGACTTCAATTCATTGGCAATACATTCCACATCACCAAATGAATTAAAATAATTGACTTTTTGCTGGTATTCTTGAATGGATCTAAAAATTTCCAATGCAAAGGACCAACATCGATTACGTTAATGTGCGGTTTTACCTTTCCCTATCTTGCAATAACTTTTGATTCTAAAAATAAATAATATATAAATTTAACTTCGTATTCCTTGTTCCAAAACTAAAAACTTCAATAGAATAATATAAAAATTTCTATTAACAAAATTTTATATAAATTTTGTATAATAGGATTTCCTTAATATCTTTCTTTTCTATTTATTATTGAAAGACTAAGTTGAATGATTACCTATGGCAATATCGCTAAAACTGTTTTTTGTTAATCATAAATTGACAATTTCGAAAAGTTGTTGGTACTTATTGAATGTCAATAGCTGCTCATATGGGCCATTAATTTAAAAATGGAGTGTATTATTTCCTCTGTTAATAATTACATACCATTGTATAAATACTTGCAGTATGATCACACAAAACGAACAATAATATTATAATGGGTGTACTAGTAAAAACATATAAAAAACCTATCTAATTAAGTTTTTCGTAATATTAGTTATTATGAGCCCAGAATGTCAAATAAAAGTGGCACATTTACGTTGTAAATTAATTTTGAATTTAAAATAATTACAAATACCATGTACAAAATACAAAAATCACAAACCTCGCACAAACACTGCGCACTAGTCTCCAGCTGCTCTTGAAGGAGTCGGACTCTCTCGGTGGCCTGGTATTCAAGTTCTTGAATAACCTGAACGAGCATTTCATTCTGTTGGGTTAGACTTTCTATCCACTCATGTTGCAATTTAATTTTTTCCTAAAATTTACGAAAGGCTCACTTTTCTTGAGAGAATGCGACAGTTATGAAATTAAGCAATGCTGTAACTTACTTGAAAGCAGTCACCGGATGCTTCGAGATCAATTCTTTGCATTTTTTCTTCGTATAAACGTTTGAACTCTTTATTTATGTGGAGAGAGCTATTTTCTCCACAAATTCCACCGTCGACCACAATCGGACACTTGATGTCGTATGTACTAGATTGAGAAGGGAACATCCTCAGGAAATTAAAAAAAAAATGCAATACAAATAAGTTCGTGACAAATTAACAATATTTAAGTGACATGTCAATCATTGTAAAATTTGGTAGCCTTTGACTGATAGCATACCAGATGGGACAATCAAGAAAGAATATCCAATAAGTATGAGTTTTCCTTAGGTATACAATACTTAAGTCATAAAAAGCGTTGGTTTCAGACAATACGTTTTTATTCTATTCTATTGTGTTGGCTTTTAGAAAACTGACAAATTGTTCAATATCTAGGTTTATGATAGCAAAAATAAACATTTTTATGATACAGTTTCAGTATTTATTTTTTACGACAAATGTATTTTTAAAAGAATAATCTCATTTTTACAATTGGAATGTTGGATAAATGTAAGTGCTAAAACGCATTTCCTTTTCGTGCAGTACCTTGAAATGGGTTTTATCTTATTGTGTTGTAGAAGTCGCTAAATATTTGTTCAGTGTATTTTAAGTGGTTCATTATTTAAATATTAATAATAATTGTTAATAATTCTATAAGAAACGGCTGTTCTTTGGACTTCAATGTTTCTTCATACTTTCTTGTCGGAATATGCCTAAAAAATACACCATATATCCCTCGATGCCAAGGAAATTGTAAAAAGTATGTCAAAGGTGGCCCCTTTTTTTCAGAATCTGTTGAAATAATCAAAAAATCTTAGTGACAAATTTATTTGGATTCCTTTATACTTTTAAAATATTATGTATTTATATTTTCTTATTTTAAATGGAACATCCTGCGCATTCAATAATTTTTGAATTCTTTGTAAAATTCTAGACAAATTTCATGTATACTTAAATCTTACCGTCTTACTTCGGGTCGATTTTCTTAAAAAAGTATAGAACATACTTTAGTGGTCTGCGTTAAAATTTTAAAAATAGATACACGGTGATTAAAAAATAACATTAGAATAAAATGAAAAATCCGTTGAAAGCAATTTTTTCAAAAGGAAATAATTTCATTGTATATAGCATTTTAAAAAAGGGTGACTTTGAATAAGGTTGCTTATTTGGAAAAATTGTTGATTTTAAAAATTAGCAATAAATCTTTTTTCAGTTGTAAAAATGCCATGACGACGTAACATGGCGAAAAAAAGTTGACTTGCTGTTTTATGCCACTTTATTTACTATTTTTTTTTACGTTTTAATTCAAAAAAAATTATCTTAACTCTGTAAACCGATTTTCTAAAAAAAAACTAAATATAGAAAATTCTAAAAGTCAATTTATCTGGATGATTTTTTAAATATTAAACATTAAATATTTCCGATATTTTGTTAAAACCAGTGAAAACCTTCAGTGTGCACCTTATTTAAGATGTAACTACATAAATTCTTTGTTTCATATTTCAACGCCTGCTGAGTTTTTCAACATGATGAGACTTGTTTCAACATCCATCCTTCTCAAACTTGCTTCCTCAAAATACCAGAAGTTAAGGAAGGAATGTGTATAATTATTATAGTGTAGGAAAACAAAATGAAAACATATTCAACTATCAATTCATTTAATATACTGTTATATACATTTTTTACATATTTCTAACAAAAGTTTATACACAAAAGGACATTGATAAAACTAATCTACAATAGATTAATTTGCATACCTGTTCAATTTTCGCTGCAGGCTAAAAAGCAAATTTTAATTATCAAATCTAAATACACATAGTTTCGATGCGGGATAAGTTGTAACCTCCCAAATGCAAACTATCATTGCTTAAAGCCAAGATAAAATAATCTGATTAATATATTTTCAATACATAAAAAAATTTTTTCCGCCATGTTTATTTTATTCACAAATATTTATATGAGTTTAATAATTTAGATATCCAGGCTTGCAATGGTTTTATGTAGGAAAATATTAACAATATTAATTTATTTTTAATAAGGCGATACAATTTTTGACAACTCTTTTGTTTACAGAACATCCAAAAAAAGATATAAAATACTAAATAATGGAGGAATATTGGTCACAATGTGTAATTTATGTTTGTGTAAAAAAATACAAGACAAGAAGGCGCATTTTAGAAATACTTAATATATTACCAGAATTCTGACAAGACATTTAAGGCCAGACTTCATAAATAAACAAAAGAAGACAATAAAAACACACATCAAATTTTTTCTATACTACAACTTTTAACCAGTAACAAGGCTAAATTACCAAATGATTTGATGATTAATATATAGGTATGTAAAATATATATGCTCAAAAAGAAAAAATATTATAGACACGTCCAAATTATTTACTGAAGTTCCAATCTTCATTGACATAATTCTTTTTAGATTTTTTGTGAAATATATTTTTTGATTAAACAATATATCAAATGAGATTTAAAGCAATATACTAAATTTCTCTACAGTACTAGCGGAAAAATTCCTGATTCCAGACCTTGAGCGTTTTTAGATTTGCGGCAATTTTTCTTTACCTCAAACTTCAGTAAAATTTGAAAGTTCAACTTTAGATGGTCGCCTGTAAAGACAGATATCCTTAGGCCTCTATTGAAAGATCTATTGGCCCCTGATAGTTGGCCACATATTGTGTTAATATTAGACCTGCGGTAATAAAATAGGTAGTTATCCCAAATTGGATCATAGACTAAACAAACCCTCCATGGTTGTATGAACAAATTCAATAAACAGAACAATGTTTATAGTTGGTTTCTAAGACATTACGTCAATATACAATTCACTCTTTTAAGCAACCCTATCTCTACCAAACAAGATCCTAAAGGAATCCTATAATTTTTAATTGTAACAAAAATTATGTCTAAATTGTAAATTGACTATGGATATGGCAGGTTTCTATAATGCCTAATTGACAAAATGACATCGACCTTTTATCTCATCGAAGAATTTATTTGATTGGTAAAAATGAATCCTGACTTAGATATTGTCAAACTTAAGCTCCTGTTTCCAACATTTTTGAAGACAATCGTCTTAAAAATTTCACAAGCACTTGAAAGCTGTGGTATGCCATTAAATTCGTTGTGAACAAAAACAAGCAACAAGAAACTGAATACTTTTAATAAAATCACACCCTATTAACAAAGCGGGCTTCTCTCTTTTGCAAGTGAGTACACAGCAATTGGATACATCCAAGGCGCAATGTATTGCATTAAGTAAATGGTAACTGTGTTTAATTCTTCAGTTGATCGATCATCTTACAGTCTACATAACTTAAAAACTATTTTAAATAGTGGTTGTGCAGTATGTCAATACTACAAAGCAATTCTATTTTAGTTTAAAAATCCGTACTCTCATTTCTTGATATGCACCATCGGTTTACTTACTGAAAAATGATGTTATCATTATTCAATATTCAGGATAACAAAAAACTCTTCTTTTTTTTCAACATGATATAAACGCCCAACACTCTAAGGTTTTGACAACGAAATCTATTTTTGGGGTGAGTGATTCGTTTGCATAGGTTTTACACTTTTCTGAGCGACCTAAATAAAGGTCCCCATCGAGCCAAAGGCCAAACTTTCCATCTCCCGCACCGATGCTCAAGGATTCATTATTTCCTTTGATGAAATATAAATTCTCTCCCGTCCAGTTGTAAACTTGAAATTCGGGGGTGAACCTGAAGAGCAAGGATTCACCAGTTCCGTAAAAGTGATCGGACACGTGAAGAGCACATGAAGTTAGAGCACCAAAAACCTGAAAGAAAATATATTGCTTACGCTATATATTCTGCCTTTTGGTGAAATTTTGAAAATTTAAAATATTTACATTACATTCCAATAATTAAAATTTAAAAAAAATTGCATTTTATTTTATATAATATTGTGGTTAAGAATTATATTCTATATAAATAAAATAAATGTTATATGTTATAAAAAAAATCACTTACATTATTGTCAGTATCTTCAATGACTAGGAGGACCGGCGACTCCAATTTGAACATTTTCCTATACATACTATTTAAACTAAATCCATGCTGACTCGTACTAAACACCAGGGTCCATGCATATCCCTCTGCTCTGGCTGGCAAATGCCTACATAATGACTCCCTGTGGTAATCGGTCAATATTTCCGTGGTTCCTATCAGTTCTGGGACTGTGAACTCTATATCTATCGATGGTGTGCCGGAACCATAAAATGTCCTCTTGAACTCCTCGGGAACGGGAATAGTCTGTGAAAAACATATATTAGACACTTGTATAAAAGTTAAAGTCAAGTGCGACTTATTTGTTGCAATTTGTTAATCTATTCAAACTGATCTCGAATAAATCTTGCACTGAATAGATTGGAACAAACCACAAAAAATACAAAAGCATTCTAAACAAACACATCCTGATTTGAATAATTTATCTCGGAGAAGAAATAATTACCACCATTACTTTGCTACCTAACATTTTCCAGAAAGTAAACAAATACCCCAACATGGTTAATGTCTTCTATGATATTAAAGAGTAGCTAAACGACAATGGACTTGCAAAAACAATTGAATTAAATCCGAGGCAATCTTTTCAATAACAGCAAAACCAATATTTGGACGAACTTTTAACAGAAAGGATCAAAGAAAAACAATACGAATATGAGAAAACAGTAAAAATAACCCCCGCGCAAATGTAATAATATACAATGTTTTGTTAAATTATTCAAATCACTTCAGACATATTAAATTTAGTGAAGTTATCTACATCTGATAATGACTGGGTATTAAACAGAGGGGCTTTAAATAAAATAACAATAATATCGCTGGATAGCAAAATCTTGTAAGATTGAATAACGAACGCCAATGCGCAGGTCGCAACAGGTTCTTCCAAACGTCATGCAATTGAATGCCACTGAAATTGGAAATATCGTTTTAATTTCTAGAATCACTTACGACAGGCGGTATCGATATTGTGAACACGAACAACTAATCACCGTATTAGTCTGGGAAAGTAATAGAAAAAGAGGAAGGGGCACACACTTATACTGTTTCAACAACTAGATAAGTACTGTACTGTTCATCTAGAGCTAACATCAAACATTCATTTTGATTTTCTCTAAAAAGCCACTACTGTGTAAAAATGTACTAAAATTTGGAAAACACTATTGCCTCGCTTGATTTTAACATTTGACGGTAAGAAATATAAAACACGTTTCTTTATTCCATGAGGAATACACAGGGATTTTTCAAAAAGTCGCAACCAAATGGGAGAAATAAAAATAGGATCTCAGAAATTATTGTTCAAAACTAATGTACACTTCACACAATAATTAAAGTAATTGAAGATAATAATTTGTCACAGTATTTACTTATGTAGTAAAAAAACATTTAAACTAAATAGCGTTAAATTAGAAAAAGAAAGAAGAGGTATGTAGAAAGTCTGAGTCTAAACTTATTGAACCAGTCAGAATGAAAAAATCAAGAGAACTTTCATTAATCCCTCTTGCTAAGGGAGAATTTGAAATAAATAAACCAAATTCGAAACAGCTTGGTGTGACAGTAATAGTGTTGTGAGTGATTCAAGAGTCACCTCATCGACGCTTCCTTCAGACGTAGTCTGTGTCTTGATGATGTTGTAGATCTTAACATAGGGAGCCTTGATAAGCTGCACCCAAAAACATATGCATGAGTGTTTTCTATCAAAAGCTAAGGCCCACCAATTCAACAAAAACTAGGAACTTGAAATCTTTCAATTAAAACAAATAACCGAACAATTTGGTTTTCATGAAAGTGTTCACAATTCATTTTACGCGGAGGGAAAAGCAATAAGCTTGAGATGTTTTTTGCAAATCTGAGTTTTTCCCAATTGGTTCGGTTATTAAAAGTAAGTCATAAATAAACCGAAAAAATAAATGAATGGTAAGATGAATACTCCTCAACCTGACCACTGTAAAATAAATGATACATACCTCCCAGCTTTCCTTACTTATTTCCGCAATCTCTTCCCCTTGACTGCCGTGGCGACTATTTGAAGGGGTAGGTTCTTCACTCCACAACTCTGTATCAACCTCAACAAGACTAAAACCTCTCTCCAAAATCTACGGAAATTTTTTTACAAATTAGAATAGCATGTCATTTTAAACTTCAATTTGACAGAAATTATTTTTCATGGTTAATTTAGTCATTTTTATTTTGTTGACTGCATCATATTAGTAGCGGTTATTTTCGAAACAGCAGTTCTACTACAAATAAAATTTAACGCAAAATAAAAACGTCGGTCCGATAAATATTTCATAATAAACTTGGCCATTTTTAACTCAACTTATTGTTAATAATTGTAAGAAAAAAGTGAATACACATAGAATTTCGTGTTTTCATTACTCATAAAAAATTATACATAATGTTTACCACCATGTGAATATGCGGATTTGTACTCTTCTTCTAGGCATACATAGTTTACTAGATTTACTTATAGTGTTTGAAGAATTCATAAAAGAAATAAACTGACAATAAACAATATAATTTTTCTCACCAATGTAAACTGTCACGCATATATAAGAATCAGAACAACTATTTACCTTTTCTTCATCAATCTCGCCATATAGATGAGGAAACCAAGCCTGAACAAATCTATAGAATTCATCTACCCGATTCCTTGGTATGCTAAACCAATATTCAGGACGCATTTTCTTTTTGCCGTAGGACATCAGTGGGGTAGACTGGGGAATTTTTTTATTGAGTGGTTTTCCCATCCGCAAGCGTAAATATAAAGGGGGATCTTCGCAAGAACGCGCTGGCGTTGGGATAAGCTCTGAAGGAAAAGCATTTAGGAAAACTCTATTTTTAATTAAATATAATTTTTGATCTTTGATAGAAAAACTTACTATCAAAAGAGGCAAATAATTCGGGCATATCTTCAACGGAAACCATAGACCTATAATCAAGCTTTGGAGGAGGCTCTTTTTGGTCTTTTTTCTTACTACTTTCTGTCGGCTGCCTCATCAACGTTCCAACAGACGAACGCCTGCAAGCAAACGAAAAATGGAACACATATCGAAAAACAATTTTTTCACTAATTTAATCATTACCATCTAGCAAAACATAAAAACTAAAAGTTATATGTGCGCGTATTTGTCAAAATTAATAAAACAGTTTTTTTGCTGTGGGTAGTGTTACGTTTTAACGAATATTACATGTCAATAATGGTAAAAATAAAAAACAATTAAATTTGTCGATTTTTGCCGTTACAAACTTTCTAAATTTTTTTATTTAATTTTTTCACGAAAACTTTATGTGTGTGGAGTTAGAAACACAAACAGTTAAATAAAAGAAAATAATAAAAAACAGGAGCATATTTTGACTCCTTGAAAAAAAAATGCCTTAAGATTCGTCTCAATGTACCGAGCTGAGTCGTAATGTACCAAATTGGAGCCCCCTGTATATTCTAAACAGCTGGACTTATGGACATTGGTATTTCCTATCAATAGTAGATCATTATCACTTGGAGCACCATAGTCTTCTTATTTTAAATATGTCGAATAGACTTCGGGGCAATTTTGTTTGGTATACTGTGATTGATATTTACCGTGGATCTGTGTGAGTGTAACAGAGAAAACCAAATATAACTCCAGAATAAGTGGCTTCTACTAGAGCGAGACGAAACACACAGACATACCCCACGGCACTAACTGAAGCGCCGACTTGCGCACCCACTGCTCCGACAGTGGAACCGATGGCGCCTACTTGCGCCCCTACCAAATCACTCATTGCCCCAACTTGGGCGCCGACTTGCGCGCCAACAGCCCCGACAGAAGCCCCGACCGAACTAATAATGTTAGTTGGAAAAAAACTCGACGACGAAGAGGCGCCACTCTCGCCGGTAAGAGGTGGTCCCCCACTTCCGGCAGACTGTGGCCCTCCGGAACTACCGCTGTCTTCGGATGGCGTTTTTGTGAATAGACTCGTGCGGAAATCCAAATGAATTGGTGAGCTGACGGCAGCGATAACCAAACAAAATACAAAAGATTCGCTTATAAGGCATGAAAAAATAAATTTCATGACCTAACAATTTCTTGGGTATAACGTTATCTACTAATGTTTGTTTTCTCCGCCTCACCCATTAACAATATTTTCAGCAGTTTAGTGAGAGACGGCGTTTTAACTATTTTCTGAATTTTTTCGACATTATGCGGAGATATAAACACACAAATTAAGAGATACCATGCGATTAGCCTTGAGCAAACGCCATTCTTATTTATCGCAAGTTAATTTGAATAGAAATATGATAGTGACTTTCGGATCTAAAAGTTTGCGAGCTTTGAAGATCAATGTCAACAGCGAAACGTCATAGCACAAGAAGCACTAGTTTATTCTCGTATTCCTATTGATTGTTTCAAAGCGATAGTGAAAATTGTTTACAATTTTGGAAGAACGATGGCTATACCTGGGTGAAATGTGTTTGTGTATTTTACTTTGCACGATTTTCCATGTCTATCCATAATCTTAACCGCGACTTAAGTCTTACTTAAATTTTGTTAATTGGCTTGTAGATCCGTGAGAACCATATTTATGGTCTCTACAAGCTTTTGAGCAACAAGAAATATGACGTTTACATTAATTTTCGCAAATACCTCGTCAAAATGCTTGTTACAAATGGTCTTGCATTTTGCGACAAAGGCAAACAAACTCTTCTGTATGCTGTATATGAGAGAAAAACAATTGACCTATACTGTTGAGCATCGATTTCAAACAAATTGTACAAACAGATGTTACCAACTGAATGCATCCACTCTGATTCTTATAATATTCCTCCTCACCTTGAAAATACTTTCGAAAACATTGATGAAGATTGCGTATCTGCGACTTGACTAGGCGATTTTTCATCATCCTTATCCCCTCCTAAGGTTTCCATCCATGATAATGGATAAGACAGTCTTTTTAACATCTACAATGAATGACATAAAAAAGTTTTCGGCCAATTTGCAAATATGGAAAATTTATAAAATACTGATATTTGTTACCAGTCTACTTACCCTATTTTTTTTGCTGTCAGACTTTTCAGCATCCTCTTTGGAATTAACAAAACTTGAAGAGAGCTGCGTTATTGCGTCAGCATCCCCACTCGAATCCAAGCTAAAAGACACACTATTGGTTTTCTTTCTCGCCGGGCTCTCGGTATCACTGCCGACCGTCAAAGAGGCAATGGTTATTGGAGGCACCCAATCTTTGGATAATACTATATCGGCATCGCTGTACTGCTGCATCCGAAACAACATGAAGTTAATGCACGACACAGTAAATTTCGTTTAATTGATACCTTTTTCGTTGGTACTGGAATAACAGGAGGCAAACTAGATTCTCTAATGTCAATACCAGAATCGTGGCAACTCTGTTTGATCTCATCGTCGTCGTCGTCATCATCCGGCTTCTCTTCAGTGCTGTCTTCTTGAATAGATGAAGAAATTGCTGGTATCTCGTCTGTATCAATTGACCTACGCAGAAAACGTCCCAATTCTCGATAAAATTTACATTAAAATTTTCTCTCCACTTACTGCCTTTCGCGAGAAGTCATTGGCCAGTGATGATCTAGTAATGACTTTCGCCTTTCCTCGAGAGATCTATGTTCATTTTCAGGGTTGTCTAAGTTTGTAGGAGTAACCAAGTCACGTTCAAAAGCTTTTGGAAAAGCATCTCCTTCTCGTTCGGTACATGAGCAAACAGATTCTGCATCATCGGTGGCAATTACTAAAAATTACACCAACTATCAAACCTGATTTTAAAGCAAATTTGTAAGAATTAAGTTACTAAGAAATATTATTTTAGACATTCAAAGACCTTTTAAAAATTTCAGTTTTTGTATCATATTTTGCCACATAGCTACTATATATATAGACCCTGCCTATACTGATCGACAAACTTTTGAAATATTAAGAATAGATGTTGAATATTCAGTCAATTTAAATCCCGTTTTACAGTTCTTACGGCCACTATTAAGTAGCACTATTTATTTTTGAACTCTAGGTACCGATGTAGTACAATAATGGGCAATTTTACATAATCTCTATCCTATTATGTTTTTTAATTTAGATACATAAATACAATGAGCTCCGGGCTACTGCGAAAATAGGCCAGGCACCATCATATAATTCATCACTTAGCAGAAAAACAGCATTGAGAGATTCCAAAAGCCTCTAAAACATTCTCGCATAAGTATCAATTATCTGCCTTGATAGTACTATTTAAGCATTGTTTCGGCCACTTCGTAAACTTTCATTTTATTTGAAACTCAGATACAAGTTGAAGCGTAAATTTGTCCACAGCTTCACAGCACAGCACTTCATTGAATTTAATTAAGGAAATTCTTTTAGATATTTTTTCCAACGTTAAACCTACCTAACTCTGAAAACGTTCCGTCTTTCACAATTTGCGAATTCTTTTCATGTTTAGGGTAATAGATTTCAGCTTTATCACTCATAGCACTTTCAAGATGACTAACTCGCATGTGCGCTATATCAGTGTAAATGGCAATATTGACAACAAATTCCATAGGAGCTACAACGCCGTAAGCCTCTGGTCCTTTTTCTATTACCTATAATTTAAAAAGTTACATAAGTTACCCTCACCGAAACAAAAAGAAAAAACTAATGATAAAAAATAAATTAACTTTCAACCAGGCTATAACGTGTTTAAATAACGCAAAAAGTTATTTTGGAAGCATTTTTTTTCTAAAATTGGCAAAACACTTAGCTGGCAAGAGAACAAAAAAATAAATATTTACACATGTTGAAAGCTTCCGGATAAATTTAAATGGTACGCTAATGTTTATTTTATAGAGAATATTATAAAAATTAAATTGTACTTACCAGAGGATCTGACACGTATGGATCGAACATCACAGCGTTTGGAGTGACCAATAATACACCTGCCACCACTCCTTCGCCGTCGGTAATGTGTCTAACGTTAATTTTAAGAAATCTTTCCCTGGTGATAGATATAGGTTCCTCATCTTGTTCAACAGATATACTTTGGTTGGTAGAAGGTGTTCGAACCCTTTCAACGTGTCCGGGTTTCGGACTGACCGGCCGAAGGTTTTCAAGCAATTCTGAAAACAATAAAAAGAAATTATCAGAATTTTTTAATTTTAAATACCATTATAGTTACTTTTATTTTATATTGGGAGTTAAGTTTATCCACAACCTAGCCTGTGACTTAAAAAATTAAACAATTATAAATAAAACACTCTGTGGAGTGGTACACGTCTTAAACTATCTCATTTTCCTAAATTTTAGTTGACAAGAATTAATTATCTTTATTTTTGTAGCAAATTCGATTTTTTAATCGAAACCTTGCGAGTGTGTTTAATAATGTTTTAACGTAAAAACGTAACAATTTCTGCTGAAATTTCAAAAATGCACGAACATGGATGAAATTTTCCTACAAAAACAAAAATTACTAAAACTGGATTTAAAATTTAAAAGAAGATTTACGATCATAGGTTTATCACAATGCATGGATTGCCTATTTTGGAGGTGAGTATTAAGAAGTAAAATTTACCTTTTTCTTCGGCGGGCAAATCATCGTGAAGATCTTCAACTGGGGTGGATCCTTCAGACTCGTCTTTGATTGACTCTCTGAGGGGAACATAAAGTTGTTGTCCCGGAAAAATATAAGGGGTCCCAAGCCTATTCAATTTGGTTAATTCAGAAGGCGTCGTGTCAAAACGCGCCGCTACAGAAGTAAGTGTGTCTCTATCTGCTACCTAAATTAAAAAAAATATATTTGTAGGAAAGTTAAAAATATATTCGAAAAAGACTATGAAATTATATACTTATATCCACATAAAAACTTGGATTCGGGTTTTTTTTTGGGATTGAGATTACGTATGTAGAGGCATTGGTTACCCTCGATAATGTCGCTATTTGATGTCACCAACTTCTTGTAGTCATTCTTATTAAAAATTATGAAAGAGTGATGATATTTAAAACATACATAAATTAAATCAAATTAATATAAGAGACTTTTTTCTCCGTTATTGGATAGAAAACTGTGTTTGGATCCAATGATTTGCGTTGCAATTACAACAAAAAAATACATAAAATTAAAATTACATAAATTACATTAAACTATTTCAACAAAGTTTCAACAATATTTTTGCTATCAAAAATGGGTATTCATTTAATGAAAACGAAGCTCAAGTAACCCCACAGACTTGTGCCTTAGAAAATCCTCTTTCAGGTTAGGTCTCATAGTTATTTTTAAAACTAATTTTAAGTAACAAGCACAAATGAATTGATAACTTTTAAAAGCGATTTTAAAATGTATATATTCTTATCAACCAGCTTAATTCCTTCTAAAATAGAGACCAATTGAAATCGAGGTTCTTTAAAAAAAATCAAAAATAACAAAGTAAACGAAAAACTTTAATTTCAAGAATAGATGTGGCTTGACATTAAGGGACAAAAGCTCAAAATCTGTATCACTTTAACTGAATTTCTTTAAATATCAGTCATAGCAATCGTAGAACTTAATAAATTATCAAAAATAGGAGAGATAAATTGTCCAGTAATATAAAACAAAAATAACTAAAATTACAATTTGTTAGTATTGAGTGGATCAATGATTTTGCCGGTATATGTCGCAATTAAGCCTTTAGCCTCCTTACAGGAAATTAGGTTTAAATTCAGATACACAATAAATATTACAGTGTTGCTACTACATCACTCATTCACTACAGAACTATATAGTTTGCAAACATTCTTCCTCTAAAACACCAACTGGCGTCAAATTTTTCTACTTGCTATTGCTATAAGTAGAAACTGATCCGCAATTGTCGTGACTCTCGATTGTCTGTCCGTACAGTAGCCATATAAATTAAGCGCTCATGACTTGACACAATATATATATATATATATATATATATATATATATATATATATATATATATATATATATATATATATATATATAATTATTGCAAAATAAACTTACATACAAGTCTGAGATAAAACACGCGGCGCGAGTATTTATTGATAAATAAAAAAAATAAACCCTACAAATCACAAACGGTAGGCGTAAGCAAAAACAATTATTATAAGAAATTTCTTTTCATAATAAACTCGAGAACATTTTTTAAGTTTTTCCATTTTCAAAATGTTTAAGGTTATTAGTTTTACCTCGCAAAAGCAGAACGTTACTTTAATGTAGATTTTACATTTGCTAGACATTTCCCAATCAAAATATGTAATTATTACTGCCATAAGGATTTAAATGCACAACATTTGGATTTATTATGTTGTGAAACATCAGGTCCTAATGAATAATCAATGAGTGGTTAGTTCTCTACTGTAAATTAACGTGAACAACAATGAAGGTGTGAATTACGACACCAAAACAAATGTTGATCGACGTTTGGCGTTAACACAAAATTGACGAATTTTATTTTAGGATTCTCAGTTTGACCCGAATAACCCGTAGGCATGTTTATAATTTTATTTATTCAAATAATGTTTAAAAAAAATCTGCAAATAACTTTAAAATTATTTCGTATAATAATTTGGAAGTGATTTTTCGAAAATCTTAAGGTGACACATTTACACATTAAGAACTACCACCATCTGTTTATAGATGAGAAGCACCCATAAGTTGGATTGACATATATAAAGTAATGCTTAGCGCCGATTTCTCTACCTAGTCTTCCGCGCTCTTCAAGTAGACAAATCATTCGTCAACGACCATAATATGGCTGTATTGTGTGTCGCTATCGAATATGAAAAGCCATTAATAATAAATGTCAGATCGTAAAAGCTTTTTTCCTAGGAACACATACGTATTTCTTTGCAACATTCTATCACAAATGAGAGACCTATAGTTAGCAGTGCAGTACGAATTTTGTCGATACCCGCAAGATCAAACTGCGCACAAAATTGTTGACTTCGAAGCACAGTTATATATAATAATTTGCTATTTAAAGTTTTGTTTGAAAAAAAAAAAAACTTCGTTGCTGCATTTTTGCAGCATATATTGAAACTTTGAAGATCGCGAAACTTTAAAAAATGAACAAATGTGCCTCCGATAAATCTTAAACGTGGGTTTATACAACACAATCGTTTATATACAGCCATAATCGCAATCACAATCACAACAATTTCAAAACAAGGACAGAAAGTTTAGTGACCACAGTCGTTTTTTAAACCATATCTACCTCTTTTACTTTGATTCCATCCAGATTTTATTTTTTTAAATAGTTTTAAATATGTAAAGAAGCTAGCTGTAGTTCAGGTTACATCACTAGTTAGATATATAGATAGATACAGATATCGATAATGTTCAAAAATAATTTCGAAAAAACTAAAATACTTATACAACTTTTATACATCCTGGTCAAAAATTTCATATCGAATATTTTCGAATATATTTGACAATAAAATTTGCTAATCGTGTTATTAAATTTGAAATGAGAGAAAAAAAACGTCAAATATAATCTCAACAACATTAAAAAATTCTAAAACCCTGCAAAAACCATATTTCTTGTTTTTTGAGATAAACTGTTTTTCATAAACATATATATTTTGATACATATTAGGAAAATGTTATATTTTGAACCTACGTTGTCTTAGTTTCACACTTGCTTATCTCCTCGTAAAAATGTGAAATATCACACGGTATTTGCAATTAGAAACATGTTCATTTAAAATTTTTGTTGTACTTCGGCTACATTCGTTCTACAACTTACGCAAAGGCCGAAACGTTGACCTATTCCCAACAATGTGCAAACTGTTGTTAATGTTTTACTTGTTATTTTGATTAAAAATAAAAGGCGTAAAACCGCATAATATAAATATATACTAAGTGACACAACTTTTAAACGGCTTGAGATGGCGATTTGAAATTTGGAAGGGTTATTATAATAATAATAGGCTGAAAATCCAATTTTTTGACAATATGTAGTCAATAGTTGCACTTTCGGTGTGAGCGGAAACGACAGTAACTTTTAAATTTTAACCTATATTTTTTGCATTTTTGTCTTTTTAAATTTTTATTTAATTTTTCAAAATTCTGTCTAGGAGGCTGTGACCATCATAAATACTATTCACCTCATAGAAAAAATTGTAAATGAAATTTTTCTTTACTTGTCTAATAGCAAATAACATTTAATGTAATGAACTATTAATTTTTTTAGGATAACCTAGTTTTTTCAAATAGCACCCTAGTGGGAACAAAAACTTTTTAAAACCGAAACTTTTTTTTGCAACATTTTGACAACAACATTTTCAAAATCCGGTAAAAAATAAGCTCACAAGAAGGATAAAACCAGATAAGTAAATACATTTTTATAAAAACAAAATATTACTAAGGTGGCTTTGATTCTATCCATCATCAAGTCGGCATGATTGAAAATTCTGACGATTTGTACATTTTTATCTGATTATCGATTTTGTCGAATTGCAGCGGAAAATATCGGCAGCGAATGTAATTTCTAGAGCCAGAGAGTGTCGCATACAAGAAGGAGGACATTTTGAAAACATCCTATGAAAGTCTCTATCACACTTATTTAATTCAAATAAATACAAAACTTCAGTTCCAAAATAAATGAATGTGATGTTTTGCGTAAATATAAAATTTGTCTTACAGTAACACACGTTGATATACCACATTCAAATCGATTCCACCGACATTTTCGAGGTTTTATTTTCAGATTTTCAAAATATTGTGTTAAATTATCCCAAAAAGCGACAGATTTGAAAAGAAAAAAAATATTTTTATTCTCTCGTTCTACTGAATTTCCGGTAAAACGTGCTTGTTGCTTATGACGTACGTATACATACAATACTTATGTTAGTTTTTGACTGTATCCTCGTATTCCAAAAGCATATCAACTTTTTACCATAATAAAACACTTTTAACAAAAAATTCTAATCGTTTAATCTCAGAAGAAGCTCTCCCTTGAATTTTATTTTTTTAAATACTAATGTTCTTTTCTTTCCACTTCATGACCTTGTCAAGAGTTTCTTCTGCATTTTTAATCTTGACAATTAATAATGGATAGAAGCAAAGCCACCTAAGCAATATTATGTTTTTATAAACATGTATCTACTTATCTGGTATTTTTCTTCCTGTGACCTTATTTTTTAATAGATTTTTAAAATTTTGGTACCGGTTTTAAAAAGTTTTTGTTCTCGCTAGGGTGCTATTTCAAAAAAACTAAGTAATCCTAAAAAATTAATAGTTCATTACATTAAATGCTAATTGCCATTAGACAAGTAAAGAAAAGTTTCATTTACAATTTTTCCCATGATCAGGCGACCAGGTAAGTAGTATTTATGATGGTGACAGCCTCCTAGACACAATTTTCAAAAATTAAATAAAAATTTAAAAGAACAAAAAAAAAGAGAAAAGCCGTCCTATCCTACATCTTTTGAATCCAAAAATTCATTTATAATTCGAAAGTAACTGTCGTTTCCGCTCAAACCGGAAGTGCAACCATAGACTGCATATTGTCAAAAAATTGGAGGTTCAGCTTATATTAACCCTTCAAAATTTCAAATCTCTTACTCAAGCCTTTTAAAAGTTATAGAGTGTTCCCACTTTCTTGTGTCACCTGGTATATAATATAAATATAATAACTAATGGTAATTACCTACTTATAATAGAATTTGTCTTTTTCCTTTATTGTATTTTGCATAACTTTATTTTGTTTTAATAAATAGGATATAACGGTCCCAAATGCTAATTATAAGTTTCAAAAATAATCTGAATTGAATTAAGTAGTAGCGACTAAAAATTGACCAAAATAATTTAATTAATTTAGTAATTCAAAATTTACTAAATAAAAGTTGATGGTAACCTCTCAAAAACATCGAATTACAAAAACTTGATCGATTCCAATACAGAGCGGAAAAAAATACAGCGAAATTGCAATATTTTTAACAACATACTAATATGCATTTATTTGTCGATCGCTGTATTGGACCTTTAAGCAAAAAGTAAAATGAAAAACACTCCAGTCTAAAGCTTTGGTACAAACTTTCTTTTTGCCCAAAAGCTTTTTCCTCTTGAAAAGCATTAGCTATTTTTACTTGAATTCCACGGTCGGCACATTTTCTCCAGTGATACACAAACACAGCGGTGCTCACACCTACATACACACGGTTGTGCTTGTACCCTTTTCGTTCAAATGTTGAATACTCTGATGAATTCGCATACCACACGATTTTTTATGCAAAAAAATCATATGGAAAAAAAACAACCGTCAAAAATAATCCTTACAAAATTAGTTAACATTTTTTCCATCAAAGGTCTGACTGATATCTAAAATATTTTTATATTTGGGACAGTTGTGTTTTTCTCACCTGAGAGAACTTGAGAAATTCTACCAAAACAACAAGCCTCTGTTTGTGACATAACAAATATCGAAACAATGAAATAAGTAAATAACAAAAAGGCACGCGACTTAAGAGCTGATTATCAGTTCTCCTTAGCGCCTCGGCTTAATTGTCCTCATGTAAATTAAGGCAAACCGCCCGCTAATTGAGGTTAGTTCGCTAATGAAACGACGAAAATTAATTAAGATACAGTTCAATTAATTTCCCGTCCAATCAAGCAAGATTTTTATGTCGGTCGAATGCAGTTTTAATGAGGGACAGTCAAACCTACAGCGAAAGGCCAGCGTGAACTGGTGCAGATTAAAATAAATGGCTCACCATATATCGAAATGAAAAAAAAGATGAACGAAGTACATATTCGGCCTTTTGTTTGATTAATGGCGAAATTATTCAAAACGGGTGTCAGAAGTTAACGAGGTCTTAAAAATGATATCTTTTAAGAAACCCCGTTTAAAATGGTCTTAAAAAATGAGAGCAGAGAACGAGGGGATAGAAACGATATCGATCGAACTGGTCAAGTTAATTTTGTAACCGAGTGAACTTACGTTGTAGACTGTTGTATTTTCTGGAGGCCCGGTCCGTTTTCTCTCCGAAAGACTGTTTGTTGACCCGTCAATATCTGGAAATAAAATTATTTTCAATAAAATCCACTTGAAGACAAAAAAACATTTCTTCAAAAATGTTTTCATAAATTGAATTAAATATTAGAGCTATATCAATGTAGAAGGACGACAAGGAAAAGATTTATTATGGAAAAGTCTATAAGCAGGTAAATTTACATTTTCCCAAACCTTAAACGTCAAATGGACACGACCAGATCGAATGAAATTGCATAAAAATAGATCGCATAGCATTGCGTAAAACACACAGCTAGGGGACCTACCCATGCTGATAATACAGGAAGTTTTGAAGCCATTGAACTCATTTTAAAGTATCTGAAAACTGTTTTGGAATTGCAATATATACATTTGGTATGGGTTCAGATAAAATAAATTCATTCCAATGCATAGACATTATGTGCAAAGGCAGCCCCGAGACTGTTTAATAGTTCGGGAAATTAATTTTGGACAATTTGTAGCAGAACTGAACAAATAAAGATCTATATTAATATACAAATTATGGTATTGCATCTAGAAGGAAACCCTAACCAAATTCTTAATGAAAATATAATACTAAATATTTCAAAATGGGTAAAGATATCAGAACGTAATCTCATATTTTACTTGTCCGGCAAAACTACTCTTCATTTTTCATGGGATATTAAGCATAATATATAACTTCTACTATGGTTATAAAGTACAATATTTTCATTATTGTTCTGGTTATAAAGTACGAGCGTACGCTAAAAGCGGATTATCCGGCGGTTATTGTTCTATGGAACGGTGTGCTAGCATGATTTTTTGAGTTTATGGTTAACATGGCGGATCGGCGCAAGTCTTTAACTGTAAATAAATAGATATTATCAGAAGTATTGAGAGTGAAAAACTAGGCCTCCAGTATCGGAAGGTGGATTGAGGAGGGTGTACTGTAAAAAACCTTCTGTCAAAAATCTCAACCAAAAGCCTCGGGAATCAGAATGGAACACATGATAAACGATATACGCAACGGAAAAGAAACAAAGGAATCAGTACAAAGTATAATGAAATTTTTAGTGTGTTGGAAAATTACAAAATGGACATTGTTACCCTCAAAGAGACAAAGAAAAAAGGAAAATAACTTCATTCACTTCTACAGCGGCGTAGAAAAAAACGAGCCAGAGCAGGTGTATCGATAGCCATAAATAAAGAAACACTGCAAAAATATATTCAAAATTGGCAACCAGTTAGTGAAAGACTGATAAAGTGGAAGTACAGATCTCGGCTCAGAGAATAGTAATCATCGAAGTATACGCGCCTACAGATGATGCCCGCGTGTTAGAAAAAGAGGATTTTTTTGAAAATTTAGCGTTCCTTTTAAATAATGTAGGAAATAATAAAGAAATAAATAAAAAAAATAAAATAAAATTTCAAACATCATTGGAAGGTACGGAGAAGCAACAGTAAATGACAACGGCCTAAGACTTATTGAAATATGTGGTCAATATAAATTAAAGGTATTAAATGGGTTTTTCCTACACAACAACGTCCATAAATACACATGGGTTCAACAATCGAAGGGGTTGAAATCAATAATTGACTATATCGTAGTAAATCAAAAGTCCGCAATTTAATGGTATGACGTGAAAGTTAAAAGAGGAGCAGTATGCAGTTCAGACAATTTTCTGGTAACTGGCGCACTCTCAGTAAGACACTTGGAGATAAATCAAAAGTAGAAAATACAAATCCATTCACGATCCAATATACAATGTAGAAAGCTTAAAAGACGAATCTACGGTGTTCTTGTATAACTTTTAAAATTATAAATATGTATAAATTGTATGACTGGCGGAAAAATTTAAAACAATAGAAGAACAAAACATAGAAAGCCGAAGAATTAGTTAGCCAGGCGATTACAGTGTGAAGATTTTAGTTGTTCCACAGGTTGGCTCGAACGTTTTAAAGTTCGTCACAACATAAACGTCGGAAAAATTTCTGGTGTAGCAGGAGAGATGTTAACAAACAAGCTGTGCTGAACTGGTTAGAGCATAAGTGGTTCAATATTGCACAAAATTACAGCTCTGAGGATATTTTCAATGGTGACGATTCCAGATCGTACTCTTGAATTTACACGAGAAAAGTGTTTGGGTGGGAAGCAGTTGTGCAAATATGACAGGAAGCAAAAAATTCAAACTTCTTTTTATTGGTAAAAATGCCTGTCATTTATAAGTCAAACCAGTGTGGATGACTTCAGCATTTTTTTATATTGGTATAAGGATTGGTATGAAAAACTAAAACATCAGAATAGAAAAATATTGCTTCTGGTTGGCAATTGTGCGGCTCATCAAAAAATATCTAATCCTTTCAAAAATCGAATTAGAGTGTTTGTCTCCAAATGGCACCACAGTCATCCAACTGTTTTCGACATGCAGGTCTGATAAAATCGGAAGATGAGTTTGATTCAGACGATGACTTACATCTGGTTCGATGATTCGAGAAGAACAAAAATAATGACCACGATGACTGGGACGTTCCCCTAAGTAAATGGTTGCGCAGTAGCAAGATCTAACCAACATTAAAATGTAACTTCCTGAGCTTCATAACTTCCCAACTGTTGATGATAATTTAATAACGGAGTTATTAACGGATAATGATATTATTACTGAAGTTTTACAACCAAATGATCCTCAATTGTTACAATTTTTTTACAATCTACTGATAATGTAACTGATGATATTATGCAGGCGTCCTGGAAATTTGTATTGAGAAAAAATAAACAAACAAAAATAATGAATTTTTTTACTCAAAAAGAATTAAAGTATGAATTTTTACTTGTATGCTGTAAAGTTTATATAGATAGATATAGATAGATAAGTTTTTAGTTAAGTTAGGTAGTTCGTTTTTTAGTACCTATATTAGTGTTTATTAGTTTTCTATTTTTATATAAAATAGAAATATGTAGCTACGTACATGTGTACATGTGTTTTTTTTATAGCGTACTTCCGCTTATAGAGTACTCATTTTCTGGTCCCTAGAGGGTACTTTATAAACGGAGTTCACTGTACTCCTATTTATTAGAGTCACAAATTGCAACCATACCCTTATATGAAAATTCCTAATAATCAGTAATACTATTACTAAGTACAAATTACAATAAATTATGTCCCAGACTACTTGACTATATATTTTCTGCTTATTGTTACTGACAATATCTTCTCCTTTTCAACCAAATTCTGTGGTAGTATTCATAATTTCTTACCTCTATTTAAACTTCCGTGAATGTCGACCTTCCTTCGCAGCTCATCCACATCGTACGGTGAAGATATACCGTGATCAACGCTTCTACTTTTGCTCCTAAAAAACAATCAATAAATTAAACGATACAGAAATCAATATTCACCTTCAATCACTTTCCAAAATAGTCAATATTTTATCGACTATAATTGAAAACCGTATCAAGCCCGAGTAAATTCAGGAATAAACACAAAACATAACTGCAACACCTAGATATAAATTTTGTTTTTAACCTTGGCTTACATGTATCGTATGGAAAAAAAATCACATCCTTAATTTATTCCCGAATTTTCTGCCATTTTACGATCACTATATTTCGGTTAGAAATATTTAGCTGGTCAGGACATGTAACAAATTATAGCTATGTTATCCTTATTAGCACACCGCGAAACCAATTTGTCAACCGAAGTTAAAATTAGTATTATAAGCACTTTTGTATAACGAAAAACGTCAAGACTGATGATAAATGGCAATGAAAACAGAAAATAAAATATATGAAGTCTGTGACTTACCTTTCCGAACTGCAGATCGAAACAAATACTTATTGCAATTACAAAATTTGAAACAAAGTTCAAATGGTACCCACCTAATCCATGGAAAATCCTTGGTCACCTTCGTTACATCCTGGGATGCTCTTCTGGACCTAGTTTTATTAAAAAAAAACAAAAAAAAAACGATGTAAAACATGCAATGATTAAATGTATTTGTCAAATTTATGGCGCCAAACACGTGCAAAAGATGCATCGATGACAATGATTTTAGTCATGCATCGAAACATTAAGAAATATATATATTTGAAACCCAAGAAAAGTATTTTTTCACCAAATGAAAGATGACTAGGAAATATAGGCTATAAATATGAGAAATTAAAAGAACAAAAATTGGTGTTATTGCCATCTGATCTGATTGATGAATTGTGGTGGTTGGTAATGAACTCCATAAAAACTGGTACCAGCGTGACAGAAAAGTACAGATTTCTTTTTTACATGGCATTACTATTTAATGATCAAACAACATTTTCTTTAAATATTTATAAAAAATAAAATGTACAATAATCGAACTCCTTAAAAAATAATGAAGCCTTATTCAACGCTCCTAAAAATGTAAGGAAGAAAATATTGCGTTAATTGGGTTTTCTACTCCATTCTCTTAAATGCCCAATTATACACCGATCTAACGCGCGGAAAGTATCATTTTACCACATCAGTTTCATTTCCCACGGATCTGAGCTACATCGAACATTTCCGGGTTTGAGAGCAATCGGATGTTTTCGGAGATATTTGCCACGGCTTGAATTTTGACGTTTGTGAATTCTGACGGTCATGTGGTGTTGTTTTGCAAAAATGTACTCAAAACCTAGAAAAAGTATAGTATGCAACACGGGTGGTAAACTTTTTAGTCACTCGTTTATTAAACTCAAGACCCAAATGCCGTTTACCACACTTGTTGCATAAAATACTATTATATAGGTAGTATGTTTTTACATTGATGAATTTTTGGAACTGCATAAAACAGGCTTTTTATAGACGTATATGAGCTGCTGGGCAATAGATTGGAATATGTCAAATTTGTAAGGTAAATTTCAAAACAGATGAAAATAGATAAAATAGGTTCATGTGGATAAGAGAATATTTTGACAAATTTCCTAAAGAATGTCTGGATAATCACAAATTTTCAAAAAACCTTTTAAAAAAATTGCAGAAATTCTCACAAAAGACGGTTTTTAATAATAAATTAAACATCGATATTTGACCATCATGACATATAAGAATTTAAATGGTTTTGGCTTTTGTAAATTTTCAGTAAGCAGGATTTTTTTGTAAGCGGTCTGGTGCCCTGTATAGGCCCTTTTAATCAAAATGAAAAATTTACATTAATACCAAATATTCTTCAAGAAATTTCCCAGTACATTTTGCTAATTACTATTTCAACCATTTTAGAAGTTATTTGTTTTGAAAATACAAATTTATTGCCCAGTTACAATCTGGTGTCCAGCAGCATCAATTTATTCATTTTCCTATTGGTCCAAAAACTGTGCCACGGTTTTAATGGCGGATAATTTTTGCACTTTTAGCACATGAAGAAATATAAAAATATATTAGAAACCTTTTTCTACTCCATATTCTAAAGTACCCACTGCGCTGATCAGGCGAGCGCAAAGTATCACTGTACGACGCCAGCTGCTTAGCAAAACTGACCAAAAACTAAAGGTCTTATAAGAGCATAGTTGATAAACTTGTTCGTGATTAAAGTGAAGTCTATCAAACTTGTTGGATACTTTACCCTTGTTGAAAAATAAAATCACACTACACTCTTAAACTATTTGACAGAACGCGATAAAAAGAATAATAATAACTGGCCACCCTACCAGAAACCCCGTATACGTTTTGCATAAGGCATCAATACAATTTTTAAAATAATGTAGAGGGAGTAAAGATGAAGAGTTTTTAAACAAAGGGAACAGTAATAGACGTTTTTGTTTTGGTTTCCATCATAGTCGACATTAGCAAATGTTCGTAGGAAAGCAAGATCTACCATGACCAACTTGCTTGGAACGTATTTCGTTACTCGTTTGTGATTGAATCTCAGTTGTTCACATACAATAGATGGTTCGTCAACCGCGGAAGTATAAAAATCGCTACTTATCAAGATTGCAAATTACATTGGACGTGTCACGAATGCGTAAAAACGCCTTTGTTGGGGACCGTCAGTAAGAATTAAACGTTTAATTTATTTTATGATTTGACGTAACAGAAAGTTTTAAAAAACACGCTTAGACGAAAGACGACTGTATTTGGTGGTGCAAAGATCGTAAACACCACATTTTTCTAATCAAGGCAATTGAAAATCGAAAAATCTTTTGCTATTTCCATTGTCTAGTGCATTCAAGGAAACTTACCATAACTGCAGCTAACATTTGTTAATAGACAGAGAGAGAACCGATTAAACGGTTGTTTCACTGCAAAACTAAGGACGAGAGAAAAATTACAATAAAGTCGACATTTTTCGGTTGTCCACATGTTAAACATACGATTTTCTGGAACAAACGTTTTTTGGTAGTTATTTCCCGACTCTAAAACTTTCCACTTTTGGAAATTTCGGCAGAGGAAAACATTGGGCGTCTCTTTAGATTGATATTATTTAAGGAACGCCATGTTGTTCATTATTGTTTCAAGTTTTAATGTGCCAAAATGTTAAAAGTTGTATTAATAACTTTCCATTACCATTTACTCAAAATAACTCAAATAAAATCTCGATGCTTGTTAGTAAAAAGAACAGGAAAATGAACGAAATAATTTTATCAATTATGATTCAAAACTGAAGACTACTCCAAACTTCACATACTGCAAACATTCTAACATCGTAAATGTTTTGGCGCACTTCCGTGCACACAACTTTGGCTTCAGTCAAACACTTCAAACAATAATTCAGCAATTAACGTTAAATAACATGGTATTCCGTGGCTAATTAATGCTATAATATGTCAGACATGAAACGTTATACAGACAACGACAAATCCATTGATCAAACCTCCAATGTAACGAAGATATGCCGAAATTATTTCTTTAAAATCTTGGAGTAAGTACCATTACGTTTCATAAAAAAAAACAGAAAACGTGTTTTCCAAGTTAATTAAATCGTTGAGAACTACATACAAGTTTACAAGGGTTCCTTTAAATTATCCGTTTTGCTAAAGGTATCATTTGCGTGAAAAATTCCACATACTTATCAAACTTAATATTCCATTTGTTGCCTCATAAACTCATTTCGAGCACTTCTCTGTATATGATTGAAACGAAAATTATTTATATGCTTAAAAGCAATAAGAATTTTCCAGCATTCAAAGCAACTGAAAGGTAGCATATTAGAAAACGCGCCGCGGGAACCAACAACTATTTTATTTGACTCTTATTTGAATTCCAATTGCTTCATACGCCACATAATTCTTATTAACATATCACACTTCTATATCCATGTATGGGTACTCAATCGGACTATATAATAAATATGCATGTATCGAATAGCTTTTTAAGCGGGCTGTGTTAGTACTAATGTGACTTGCATGGTGTATACCTATAATTTTATATAACATTTCTGAATCGATTTTGAAACATTTTTTTTATTGTAATAATCAAAAACTGTATTTTGGAACCAATTTGATAAATTAAAATTGTGCTTTATAGGAAAAGGCAAATGTTTGGTATTTTGGGAAACAATATTTATTAAAAACCAGCAAACAATCATGGAAAAATGTAAAATGTTATCTATATGTAATAATATTTTTTTTTTTTTTTTCAGACGAAGCATAAAATATGTTAACTCCAAACTTTCTACAACTACCATTTCTTCGAAATACCTGGTTTAATGTCCCTCTGTACCAAACACCTCCCTAAATTACATTTATTGAACAAGTATTTTTATTTATAGTACCGCCTGCTGCTGTATGATACTCTGTCCGCAATTTTTGCTAACTCGCGTAGCGAACCTCCAGCAGATTATTTGTATTCTTATTATATAGTTTATATATGGTAACGCAGTTTAACTCGCCACTGTTGGCATTCCATATCGTCTGATACTCGCGTCCCTAAAAGCATATTGCTATTTTACCTGAGAACAGAATAGACGCTGTAAATGTCAGCTGATGTTTTCCCGAAGAATAATTAACAGGTCGACTGTGGTGCCGAATACAAAAATACTGATAATACAGGCAGTTTTTAAGAAAACATATAAAATTTTAAAAAGGGACATTCAATATGAGTCATTTCAAAACTCAGCTTTCGGCCAATAAGAACTTAGTTTCGTCGATTCTACAATTTTCGGATTTCTTCTGCAGTATTTTGTCAACAACTAACCAAAACGAGGGGAGTGAAGTGGAGTGTGGAGATCGCTATTTAGAAACAAAATGGCCCAAAGGTTGGAGTGTAAAAGTTAGGTGTATACGAGGAAGATCATTTCCTTTAGTATGTCATGACCATGAGATTCATCGGTTTTATAGGATAAACGTCCGCTATACTATCTAATAATAATAAGTAAATAAGGGTAATTAATTAAGGCCAATATAATGTAGCTTGTGCAGCATGCAGTACATGAAGTACGCGGGATAGAAGAACAATTTCAGCCAGAATAGAAGACATCTACTCTGCTTGAGCACCAACACCTAACACAAGCAAATAAATAACATTAAAATTTTAAGACCAAGATCACACGACAGGCCATCGAGATAAGTAACTAACAGAATCAAACATCAGAGGAATGTGCGGCAGTCAATGGGCTGCATCACTACATCAACTAACCAAGAAAAGGCGAAATAAACAACGCGACCATACGGGGCGCGGAGCTAGCGACGCGAATGTGGCTGAAGTTAGATTTGGATTTGGATTCGGACTGGAAAATATTACAGTGGACCAGTTCGTTATTTATTTTAATTAAAAAAAAACATATTCCTGTGGACATGCCGGGGAAGTAAGCACGGAAATATTGTAAGGGAACTCCCAAAAACCATATCCAAAGTTGCTATACAGAAAATAACCCCTTTTCCGCTCGCATCGCCCCAAAAAATAATTTAATTACTATTTCCCAATCTCGAAAAAATCTGACGTTGTCCCAGAGATTTAACCAGACCATTAAAGAACCACTTAGGAGAGCTTCAAAATGATGTATTACTCAACCACCTTGAACCCGTCGGGAATATATAAAACTACTACTACTACTATATATTCCCGACGGATTCCGGGTGGTTGAGTATTTGAAGCTCTTCGAAGTGGCTCTTTAGTGGTCTAATTTAACAGCTGGGACAACGTCAGTTTTTTTGAGATTGCGAAATAAATATAACGAATATTTCGGCCTTTTATTACTGGGGGTAGTTTTATTATATCTTCCCGACAGTTTCGTGATGGTTGAGTAATACATCATTTTGAAGCTCACCTAAGTGGCTTTTTAATGTTTTGGTTGAGTCTCTGGGACGTCAGATTTTCTCGAGATTGCGAAATAGTAATTAAATTATTTTTGGGGTGATGCGAGCGGAAAAGACGTTATTTTCTGTATGGCAACATTGGATATGGTTTTTGGGAGTTACCTTACAATATTTCCATGCTTACTGAAACACCATGTCCACAGGAATATGTTTTTAGAATTAAGATAAGTAACGAACTGGTCCACTGTAATATTTGCAAATCCAAATCTAATTTCTAAATCTAATCTAAACTAACCAAAAACTGGGAGGGGTGCGTATAAAATATATAGAGGGAAATTTAATTTTATTTCCGTTTCGATTAAGTAATACTATTCAAACACAAATGAACAGTAAACATGGACAATTTCTTCAAAAATGAAGCAAAATGCAAAAAAAGTCATAAAATTCTTATGTAATTTTAGTTACTTAACCTTAGAAAATATGAAGAAAAAAAACAGAGGCGTATCGTTTTCTTTGGAATAATATCGGGCTAAAGACGCGATTTATACTACAATTAATATTGCCAAATTTTCAACAATATAGGTTAAAAGAATGAAATATTAATAAAAAAAAGAACCAAAAAAAAAAAGAAACTGGACAATGGTTTTCCTCCTTCAGAAGACCGACTAAACATCTGAAATCGTAAAACTACCTAGGCTGATTTGCGAAAATGTTCCACCAAGAGCCTCTCTTCTCGCGTCTAGCCACCGGCGGCGAATTTGACTCGGCTACCCCTTTCCGTCGCTTTTTCTCGAATTTTATTGCGTGCCACGACTTGCGACGTGCTTTTTTGTCCACATACTCCTCCTCCTCCTCCTGAATGCTCTTGATATCGGGCCAAGAACCCTCACGGTATTTGCGTAGCTCTTTCTCCGGTACAACCTAAGTATGGAGAATCGTAAACTGAGCAATAACTAAAAATCGAATATACTACTCGGCAGTAGGTTGGTGTAACGCAAACTTATAATTTGGAGTAAGCAAATACGGTTTTCAGGACACAAAAAGCTAAAAGTCATTCAACAAAAAAAGGAGAAGTTCCTCAATAAAATTGAATTGAAAGGCTCTACTTGACTTGCGGTTAACAAATCTTAATACACAGTTCATTTACAAGTTTTTAATATTAACTTATATTTTAATCTAAACTGCTGGACACTCAAAACGTGTAAACAAAAATTATGGATTGTTTTCATATTTGGATATCAAATTAGGTAGTTTTTATTATATCTACACGGTAGTAAAGCAGAAACAGCATTTTCTTTGCACATTAAAAACAAAGTTTCAAAAGTGCCACCTCCCAAAAAACAAAAATTATCAAAAAAGTACCAAAAATCGCCCTGATGAGTTTTGTACTTTTAATACCTAGATCACCCTGCAAAACTATTAATAAGTCCGCTAAAAGCGGTCCACTACTTTTATTTATCAGTTTCTAGCTATATCTAGGGGCAGTTAAAACCGTAAAATTGTTACGCCTCAAGCGGTTATGACATTTTCGTACATGAGGGCCTGACCTTGACTAATTTTTTCCGTTGATCTCAGGAAATGATGATTAAGGAAATGCCTGGATATATCTAAAAGGGTTTAGGGTATCCAGCAGTTTATTTGCAAAATATCATTTGTGCCCCAAATAGCTAAGGCGACAGGGTTAAGGAATGAAAAGGTGATGCTTCGCTGACGGCAGAACTAAGTTCTGAGGACGACAGACACTTAGCAGATAGGGAAGATTAATACCTAATTATTAGTTGGAAACATTAAAATTAATGAGCTACATTTTTTTGTATAGGATAAAGTTTATTACTAGATAACTCCCCAAAAACCGTATTTTACATAAATTTGGCTTAAAAATTTGCAAAATTTGCTAAACAGATTCATCGGAACAAACAGTTTTTCATTTTCAATCCATAACTCGTAAATCCCCTGTAATTTATAATGTAAAACAATAAAAAAAAACTCAAATCATTCTTATTATTCCTGCAAACAAGTGAAGATAAATTTCTTTTTTTTTAATAAATGCGTACCAAACAAAAACAAACACAAGTTCCGATAAGACACAATAGCACTATAAACTACAAAACGGAAATAATTATGGCATACCACGCAAAACACGAACGAGATATTTTTACCATATTAAATTAATCATTGCCAAAAAAATGCAATATTTATAAACTGATACACGAAGTTTTATGTACCGCACTGCGCTGGCATCAAAATCATCCAAAACGAAAGCATAACAATTAACTGTTCGGGTTAATGAACAAGTTAAAAATGTGTGTTTCGGCTTCACAGTGGTATCGCTGCGACATTCAAATTTGCTAAATATATATATAATGTTTTTTATATTGCAATTTAAACGGTTTTATTTTTTAATTAATTTGTGCGATTTGCATATTCTCACTACTCATTTCCAACATAACGTGGAGAATTTTATGGTACGCACGAGTTGGTGGGTACGTGAGGATCAGATTTACCGAGTACAGTGTGTGTAGTACATTTACATTCAATCCCGATCGTGCTTAATTTGCTTTCAAGTGGGCGTTTTACAGTTGACCAGTTACATTGATAATTTGAGGAACAATTGGTAAGTTGTGTTTGGTTGCGGTTTGTTTGAGTGCGCTTTGGTTTTAAGGCAAAAAATTGTTTCAAAGAAGTAAATTCTTAAAAACATTTACCATATTACAAAAAATGTTCTTGTTTTGAGTTTTCCGACATTGAAATTTTAAACAGGCTTACATTTTTGTTTACGTTTGTCAAGTTCCTTGAAGAAATTTCAATTGCCCTTAAGCTTTTAATGCAAATGGTAGTAACAGAACTAAGCACTAACTAAGCACTTTGGAATTGAATGTAGCTTAAAGTCCTCCCAGTCACCCCTTTCTGATTTTGAACTATTTGTACCACTCAAAATCACGAGGTGTCCAGAAAGTTATAAATATCTCAAAATCATGTTAGTTTGTAGTTCTCATTCAATTTATTCTTATCTTGCGTTTTGTCATTAGCTACTTTAATTGAACTGCCAAAAAGTAGGTTATCTGTAGTTTATGGCATGTTATTAAATTTTCAGATGGAATTTATTATATATCTCATTACAATGGCAGTAGCTTTTTGTAGAAATAATCACCATGGTGTAGAAACCACTAACTAGTACTGCCTATCCTATTTTGGTTATCGCCTTTCAGGACACCTTGAGGTTACTTATTTTCAGTATTTTAGCATGGTTTGCTTATTTTCAGGAAATATGAAACGCAATATCATTTCCCAAAAACAGAGGTAAATAATAGTGAATTTTCGTAATCAGCATAAACTTCCTTATTTAAACGAATAAAAATGTATTAACATTGATTAAAAGGTGTAAAAGGTTTTATAATTTATAAAAAAATTGAACAGTTCCTAAAAAAAGCAGAATTAATTTAGTGCTTAGCCAATCTTTGCAAATGGTACTGTACAGATCAATGTTTTCATTTGTGTCACTAAATATTTTATTCGAGTTTTTCACTGCCGGTACATAATATAAGTCAGTTGACTTACAATAGTTTTTTTAACGGTAATAATCAATTTTTACAAGGATTTTTATCACAATACAATATAAAATACTTTGCGATAAGGACTTTTAAAATATTAAAAATATTATTGTTGTAATTAGTTGGCAAACCTAAAATGATAAATAAAGCTGTATTTGCCGGAATAGAATACAGCGGTGCTCCGCAAAGAAACAACCTTTGATATCTCTATTAACAGTTTTAAATTATCTTTAACTAGCGAATGCTAATTTATATATCGATTGTTGGCTGTGTTTTGATAATCGTTATGAATCAAACCTAAGTGTTTAAAATTTGCAATTTCTGGACCAAATCTTTATATTTATCATAACTTTTAAGTTACTGATAGAAACAAATTAATTAATTATGAACCCTCCTAAAACAAATTTTGCAAAGTCAAGCTATTATCTTGATTCGGGTTTAAAGGCCGTCGTCGATTGGAATTACTTCCTAACGTTTCGCTAGCGCGAGTGGCGAGCTTCTTCAGAGGTCCTTCCATCTCCTACGTCCAACATCGGAGATGGAAGGACCTCTGAAGAAGCTCGCCACTCGTGCTAACGAAACGTTAGGAAGTAATTCCAATCGACGACGGCCTTTAAACCCGAATCAAGATAATAGCTTATCAACGGGCCGCGAAAGCCTTAACCAATTTTGCAATGTCATTTACTTCATTCGACGCTAAGTATACTCTACTTTTATTGGTGAGATCTCTATATATCGTCAATGGGGTTGTTGTGTATATATAGTGATTTTCGGTTTCTATATTAAAATCAAAGATGATTTATACAAATGACACAAAACTTATGATTTATGGGGAACATATTTGATGTATTATGGAAATGTTAATATCAATTTGAACGTTTAAATTTTAATCATGTACTTGCTTTCTTTGATCCAAATTCAAACCTGTCACGTGCTAAGATACATAACAACATTCAACATTACATAATTGTAGGTTTGAAACGATATGAACTTGGTTGAAAGGTTTCTGAAAATGCTGACAGATTATTTAACGATGTTTTATAGTATTTAATAGTATTGTTTATAAAAAAATAATTCAGCAAGGCACAGCACTTTTTGTACCCAAAGATATTACCTATCTATTTATCTAACTATAGGTGCTATCTAACGTTCTTTTGCAAGTTATAGTTAATCTTCCTACTTCCTAATTCGCTACGAAGTCATTTCTCTTATTCACTTTATCTACAAGATTTTTTTTGACAAATCTTTATTCCTTACCATTCTCGAAATACAACCGCTCCGTATCTTTTTCCACACACCTTGTATATATAATCGATAATTCATATTTTCTAAAAAAACCTTTCAATGCAAATAAACGTAAAACTATTTAGATCATTGTATTTTATGTTTGTGTTCATTAATGTCTTTTAAAATAATTGTTATTCAGACTGTTCTCGGCTAGATTCGTCACTTGATCGCAGCCTTGCATTTTTCGGGGAGTACTGACTGGATGCATATTATTTTATAATCAAATTATTGCAAATCTAATAATAAAAATCATATTATTTCTCATTTCTTACTGACAAATACTGACAAATAGTCTATGGCATAGTAATCTATATTCAATAATGCATGATAAAGGTTAGACCGATAAAAATTATTTTTGCGGGCAAGCGTCACTGGCGTGGGTTATGACTATTTCTACTTCATTCATAAATTGTAGACTTTTCCATTTTTCAGATTGCTGAATGCATCTAAATGAATGGATGGTTAAGGTCAAAAAAAATTTTGGTAAATGATCAATTTTACAGGCGCGACTATTTAAAGAATGATTGTAAATCGTCTTTGTTGTGTTTCCAAATCTTAATGATCCTTTAACAGAGAAACGACCCGGTAAAAATTTTATGTTCTCCGCACGATTTAACACAAATATGCAAACGGAATTTTTTCATCCATAAATTACAACGCAATAAGTGTACACATGCTGAGAAATTCGCCATAACCACAGTTGAGCTAAATAAACAACAGGCTAAAACCGATTTATTTATGCTAAAAAATATGTGAAGATGTCTATTTTTGAATATCTCCATAAATCACGCTTGTTGTTTTAGTAAGTACAGTTCCTGTGCGCTGCATTATGCGGAATTTATAATATTATCTGAATAGAATCGTTATTTGCCTTTAGACATACGCAAATAAAGAAAATCGCCGGTGACATTTCGTAGACCTACTAAAAGTTTTAACTAATATGAAATGAAAAAAAAAGAATTATACACAATTGGTGATTATTTGCGGCAATTATTGGCAACCGCCAACGGTATCCATATCTTTTTAAAAAGCACATAACTGGTGTGCAGCCTAAAATTGGTTAATTGATGATGAAGGACGAAT